GACAGCTGAGGTATGCCACACAAAATCAAATATAGACATGACTTGTAAAAAGATAACTATACAGTAACATTAGGGTGACCATGTTCTGAATCCCCAAAAAGAGGACACAATGACGTGGGGTGGAGTCACGCGTAATACATTTTGAGGGTTTTTCATGTGCTTCTAACTCAGTTAGTCCACGCAACACAAACTCAAAACTTCCATACAAAACCCCGGACATATGAAGGATTTTATAAACTCCCCCAGTCAAGGCCAGACAAGGTTGGACAGCCCCCCAAAAAGAGGACAAGTCTGGGTAAAAGAGGACGTATGGTCACCCTAAATAACAGCAACTCTGATGTCCTAGTGCTTTACTCATTGTTGTAGCAAAGCAGTGAAAGGATTTATGGTTAAACTGTAAACATTAGAAAACACTGTAGTAATCTCCACACACATTTGTTGTTGGTATTGGTATAATACTTGCTAGCATAAGTTAGCATAAGCCTGCTAACAATGATAAGTCAAAATAAAACTGCTATGATCAACGGTCAGGAGGCGTGATTCTACATACATGTGAATTTGCATCTTTCAAGAATACCCTCAGCAATATGGTGGTGACTAAAATCCATAAAGCAAATAAAATTTGGGGTTTTTGGGCAGCAAACTGTTAAGTCTAAGGATCGAAGGAAAAGGCACAAAGATCAAGACGACTATCGCTTTATCCCTGCAGCTGAAGCAACTGGATGCATGGAAAGTCATTCATGTAAGAGACAACTGCTCTTTGTTGACTTGATGAAGGTTTTTTATTTTCTAAAAGAAATGTAAAAAAATTACATTCCCAATAGTTCCAAAAACATAGTAACTATTAATGTTGTGTTTTTGATGTAAGTCGGATAATGAATGATTCACAAACTGCAATGATTTCTTCTCAAGAAAAGCTTAAAAACAGTGTGTTTACACCCTGTCCATGTTGTAGTGCTCACAGTATGGACCCCATACAGCAGAGCCATTATTGGACCATGATGAAGCAGCATGTCAGTTTTCCTGCCCAGGACACATTAACTGACTGCTGGTGGAATTTACTGTAAAGGCTCGTGTGGGTCAGTCGAGAGTTGTGCACACTACAAAAAATATCCACATTACAGATCTGTGACCTGTTCTTGTATTGAATTTTTCTGCATATCAAAACTGATTAAAGAACACTTTGTATTTTGAGGGTCATTAAATTGACAAGTGTCTGCCTTTATCTTTATGCAAGTTTACATTGGCATATGTCTTTAAAAAGTGCAAATGGTAAACTTTGCAGGGAAATACAGTCATTAAATCTTTCTGACACTATTATATGTTTTTAGAGCTATAAAAACATTAGTAATAGTAATTAATAAATCTGCAGCTTGAAATTCAGAACTTAAAATCTAAAACATTTCTAGGAAATGTAATTTTTTTCAATAGTAGAAATAAAAAATAATTCCAGACATTATATGTAAACAAACTAATCAATTCATTGATTGATGCTTGAGTTATAGTTTTCATACTGTTACAAATGTGTTTTTTTTTTTTTTTGCAGTGCAGGCAGCTCCTTTAACGGGAGAGGCTGTCAAAGGCTGACAAATGGAGAGAGTGCTTTCTGCTGAGAGCCGTCCCCACAGGTTTCCCATGCAGGCAGCCAGACCAGGGCCTGGATATGTCTGTGCTTGTAAATACATCAGTAACCAGCATTATGTAGTCAACTGAAAACCACATAACCCCCAGATATAATTTTAGACAGTCTTACTTTGTGACACACGTGTTAGTTCAACATTAAAGCACTTTGGATGAATAAAGACAAATTTGCTTTTAGATTAGACAACCTTTCAACTACCAATAATGGGAACAGGAGGAACAGCAGAAAACTATGGATAACATTGGTGTTATCTTTCATTGATGGAAAATCCAATGTTTGTGTTTGTGTTATGTTTGAAGACCGTCAAGGTTTTAGTTTTCTGCTGGATGGGTAAGAAAACATTTGTTCATTTAAAGTTAGTTTTTAGAAAAATTCAACATGAATTATCAGGTCTTAAATTTAATCACAACTTAACCATTTTGAGAAAATTGTTTAAAAAAATCTTTTTTTTGAATATGTCCCTAATACTCCGTTACATATAAGAAACAAGCATCGTTTTGCATGACTTGTGTTGATAAAACGATGACAAATATCAGAATGGAACAAAAAATTACAGTTGTAAAAATACTTGTGTCTGTTGTGGATAATTATTATTTTTTTTTTGCATGAATTGGTTTAGGTTCGCTGTTGCCTCGGTAACAAGAGCGAAGAAGATTCTGGATTCTGTCACTTAACATCCTTATTCGGCACACTGCACCTTTAAGAAATGAGCTAATCAGACCTGACCTGCTTTTTGTGCCGGGCTGTAAACATGTTTAATTCTGCTGTAAAAATTGACATTTTGATAGGGGTGTTAATGGGGTCTCCTAAATTTTCAGAGCCAGCCTCTAGTGGACGCTTGAGGAACTGGGGTTTTCAGCATTTCTACACTGGCTTTTATTGAGATTGTATTAGTAGCCTTATCTTAAAACATACCATCCCTAACATAAAATACGACCCATGAATATAGAAATAAACTTTAAGGAAAATAAAAATGTGTAGGGCAGGAGACATGTTTCTCCTGTAAAGGTGTGCTGGGTTCCAAATGTCCACATAGGAAACTGTGGGAAATATCTGCACTCACCTTTGGGCTTTAGTTGCCTCAGAGTTGCCATGTTGCTTTGTTAGTTTATCAACCATTTTTAGCAGCTATTGTCTGGACCAGTTTCTCACAATCGTCTGTGAAGTGTGCTGCAGTATTAACAGAAGCCTGAGGCAGCCTTTTGTACAAAGTACTGGTGATCAGGTGCAACACAGCGCAAAACAACACAAAACAAAACAAACACGCCATGTATTTTGCATTTCTCCCTCAGTCAGGTGTTCTTCCTCCTCCTATGTTTCTGTATATGGTCTGACTATCTGTCTGTACCTCTGTGTGTAGGCAGGCAGCTTCCTCTTAACAGCAGCCACTGCAGCTGCTGTGCCCTCTCCACATGCCCTCATATCTGCAGTCCTCAAGGAAAGCGAGATTTCAGCAGTTTAACAGATTGAGCCCCCGCAGAGGACGGCTCTGTGGGAAAAAAGAGAGAGTGAAAAATCAGGTCTTTTTCTGCATGTCCTGATGGAACACCTGACCGTACAGAAACACTGCTCGTCAACATTTATTTGCAAACACTCAGCACGCCCAAGTCAGACTTTAGAGGAAGAATAATCCCTGTGTTGTTGATTTAAAGAATATGAGAAATCTTATGATACTGCTTCTACATCTTCAGCCGAAAGGTTACCTTGTACCTCTCTTATCATCAATCTTCAGCCCTCACCATCCTCTTTTAATGATGAGGTTAAATATGCAGCTTCAGCAGGGTAGACTAATCAATGAACCGATCATTTGTTTAAGGCATCTCTGACCATGACAGAAGATTTGGTGATTAAGTCCCTCGTGCTTTTAAATCAATTCTGCACCTGTCTGTAACACGAGAGTTACTCTGTGTAGCTGCAGAAAATAAGCAGATGCTATTCTTGAGTATGCATCATCACAGAGATCTGTCCATTATGTTTCAGCGCAGCGTCTGAGCGAGTGTGTTGGTGTGGGAACACTCAGCAGAGCTCCCTCCCTCTGTGTTGCTGCTGACTCATTGTCACTGCCCCTGAATCTGCTGCCTGCCTGCGTTATTCACACACTCACCTTCCTCTGTGAGTTGCCTCCTCAGCACCTGGAGCCTGAAGTCAGATGGGGTGGGGGCTGCTGCTGCCACCCCAAGGCATCTGTTTCCCCCTCATGTCCTGTCACACCAGAAATGGAGCTGAAACCAGAAATAATTTGTCATTTGATGAAATAAATGTTGAATAGAGTCATTTCTAGAATTCAAATCTTATCAGCATGCTGTGATATTTCAATAAATATTAATATTGAGAAATATTTAGGAGTTTTATATAAAGATGGGCAGCAGGAGTATGGTTTTTACCTTTTTAGCAGCATCTGTCTATAACTACTGTTAACATTTCTAGCATCACACTCAGCACAACAGGCTCAGTAGAATTGTGTATCATAAGTATAATCAAATGAATGTATAATCACCTGCATGTATTATTTTTGTAAGCGTATGAGCCTCTTATGTTTACGTAAGGCGTGGATCCTCTTGACCGCCATGTTTCTACAGCAGCATAGAGTAGATAAATTAGTAAGGGCCACATGTGTTTCTGTGTAAGGGCTTTTTGTCTGCAGGAACTCTCAAAAGTACGGGGGACTTTTCGAGGAACTCTGTGACAGCAGAAAGTCGGGTCTAAATTTAGTTCTAGGCTAAAAGATTTAGCCTTGAGAAGCCCCTGTGCAGGGGGTAGGGCTTTCTAACAACTCAGGTACTTTGGGAGGCAGAGCCTGTCGATTTTATTTACATTAAAAATATAGCATGTGAATTTATATGTAAAGTACTGACAGCAGAGTCAGACACGCAGAGGAGGGAAGACATATTCTGCATTAAAAACATAGATTTTGGACTCTGTTTATGGTCATTTTTCTATCTTTGGGAATGTTTTTTGGGTCTTATAAGAGTTTCTAGAGTTCAGCAGTGACTCAGATGAAGAGCTGAGCAGGTAACTTCATTTCCACTCTGGATGTCATTGGCTCCATTTGCATTATTTACCCAGGACTTCAGGGCCCTGGAGGAAACACAGGAACCATTTTGCTCCTGGATCCAAAAGTTTTGTGTGTTTTTGCTCCAAAAGCATCTTATTTCCTATTTTGTGCCAGCAGAAGGAAGAGGAGGAGGAGGAGGAGAGTGGTTGTTGTGCATTAAGTATCTGTACAGGTGTTTTTTATATGGTAACAACTCTACAAGTAGACAATTATACTTAGTGTGCATCTCGGGAGCTTCTTGTCCTTGATGGCTACAGTTGCTTCTGGTGCTTCAACGATGGGAGGTGTGAGCAAAAGAGCATGTTATTGTAGAATTATTGTAGAAAATCTATACACAGTTAGTTTAAGCAGATATTTTTCATGTCTATCAAAAAATAAACTTTCTGTTCACTCAAACAAACATTTTTGACTAAATTATCTAAATGTTAAATCCTAATTGGACCTTCATTTTTTTGTTGTTTTTACAGAAACCCCGATGAGAACAAAACTGAAAATCATCATCTCTGCAAGTTTTCTTTAAGTGGCAAAAAAAACAGGTAGAAGTGGGCAAATATGCCAAAATGTGGGCCGACAGGCTCAGACAGATAACAGCTAGGAGACAATGTTCTTAAGTCCTACGAATAGAAGAAAAAAACTTCAAGTATTGATCATTTATGTGTGTTTGAAGTTACTCATGGAAGCAGAGGGCATCTGATTCAGACATCACATTGTAGAAATAGCAGAGCCCTTGTGTGGGTATTGGCAGCGCTCCTCCCATTGTCTATCAGGGGTCCTAGAGGACAGAAATAAGTCTCTGCTGCAGGTAAATACTGCCGCATTGGCCAGGAGAGAGAGCAGAGCTGCTCAGCTGCAAAACCACCGTCTGCTCTGACAGATCCTCAAATCTGCTGTTTTTTACCTTCAATTTTAAACAAGATGATCTATAATGTGTCTGAGAAACTGAAAGGTCAGAGTGATTCTGTGTTAGTTTCCATGTGCTGCTGGACTAAGGTTGTTTGACTGCAGAGCTTCATCACTGACAAATGAGCCGCCCCCTACTGGACAACAACAGAAAGACACCCAGGTGATTTATAGTGACCTTCCTGAGATAGAAGTGAGGTGCAGCATGTTGGTGTGAACTTTAAAGTCTAAATACTCCTTAGTGCACACACATTTGAATCACAACAGCAGACAAACACCGGCTCTAAGTTTTCAGTTTTATTTAAGGTTCATTTTTCCAGACCTGCAGAGGACAGTTCACTTCCTTTTAAGCGCCTCAATTTTGTTTTGTTTTATATTTTTCTCGCAACATCACGTTAAAACCCATTGAATGACTCTGTGTTGGTTTTCTCCTGGATGAGTTTGTTCATTTTTGTGAATACTGTTAAATAGGGAACAGCAGGAGGTGGGAGGGGTGGTAGGTGGGGTGGTGTAGAGGGGGGATGGGGGGGTAAGAGAGGGAGAAAGAGAGAGAGAGAGTGAACACAGATCAGAATTAAGACTTCAAAAAAGAAAAAAAGGCGGTGGTCGGAGAGGTTGATCTCAAATCCTCAAAGACTGAGAGCTCTTTAATTCACAACTACAGCACTTGATTTTGTCTTGCAGCACCTTCTACTGTGACACACACTCACATACGGTTGCCGAAGTCACATACATTATTGCGAATTTATCAGCAATCATCTAATAAACTCCTTCTCCAATCACTTGAGCTCCTTTCTCTCGTCTGTCCGTTTTAAGGCCTCGTTTAAGCCCTCGTGGGTTGAACAAAGGGACCTTTAACCCTGTTGCTACCCTCAGTATTTTTTTTTTTTGACATTTTCTCATCCAGCTCGTCATTGTCCTGTCTCCTTGGTGGCTGTCCATGTTAGGGCTAGCTACTGTAGGTACCACACAGTGGCACTGTGAGTAAGAGACTAACCCTAGTGCTCAGGATGTGTGCCACGATCTCCCAAAGCCTTGGCTCCCTGTGGTTAGGCAGTGCTCTATCCTCTGATACAGAGGTTCAGCAAAATCTTCCCTCCAGCAGGACGGGGTCAGTGGGAGCCCTCCAGTAAAGGGAATATGGGCCAAGTGGCCTTTCAAGCAGGCCATCTGTGTCCCTACCTAACAGGGAGCCCATGCATAGCCTGTGCCCTCAACTCCCCAATGTGTCATCTGCATTCTCTCTCTCTGTGTGCTAACCAAATCTCAGCTTCTTCTTCTTTCGTCACCTTTTTTTTTCTTTAAAAAAAAAAAAAACACTCAATAAAGAAAAGCTAAGTGCCAACCCCTTCCCTCCTTCTCTCTCTCGATATCCTCGTCCGACTCCTTACTCAGCTATTAGGGTTTAACCGTTTCACAGTCTCCTGTTAAAGTGGGGAGGATGAGGGTCTTTGGGGCAAAGCTTCAAGAGCAGATTCACAGCTTGCTTCATTCCTCTGAAAAACTAATCGTGACTTCAACTTTCAAAAAAAACTCAAATGTTGTTCATGCTTAATCATTAGTTACGTTTAAAAAAGACCTCACTTCAGCCTAATTTTTGTTTTTCCTCGCCAGTTTGTGGAGTTAACTCTTGTGTCACCACTGGGCGCTCGGTGCTTTCATCGTTTGTCGTGTTCTTCTGTCGACGGCGAGCTACATGGTTAATCCCCTTATTGTGCCCAGAACTAGATGTAAGGAGTGGTGATGGCAGCAGACAAAGGGTGATTATGATGATAACTTGTGTGCCACAAACAAAAACAAAAACAAACAGGCCTTCAGAATAGACAAAAAGGAAGGAGGAAGAGAAAAAAGAAAGCATGTTTGTTACTTTGTTAATAATTTTTCATACTCTGCAGATTGGTGTGTATTGCATTGGGGGGAGGGGGTACAGGATGAGTGGGTATAAAGTGGTAGTAGGGGAATGGGTGGGTGTCTGCTGTAGTCTGTGTTCAGTGGCGGTCCACAGCGGCACTCTGTAGCAGCTCTGTGGCGGGCTGTCCCGGGGGTCTGAAGGCGGTCTGGAAGCCAGGGGGAGGGGAGTGGAACTGGCTGGCGGGGTTGGCTGTGGGAGGGGGCAGGTATGGAGCCCAGCCGCCGGCGGCTCTGTGATGGAGGGGGAGGTGGGCGTCGAGGAGGCCGCTGTGGAGGGGCTGGGGGGTGGGGACTGCTGAGCCGGCCGGACCGTCCATCTCTGTGAGCGCCTGCAGGGACTTGAGCCAGTGTGGCGGGTTGTCATCCTGGAGACAGTCTAAACTGCTTCCTGTAGCGGCTGGGATACCTGAAGGGGCGGGGCCAGGGACAGGTCAGAGAGAAGACAGAAAGGGGAGAAATCAGTGTGTGACACCATATGAACGGGGCTTCACTAACTTTTTCAGAAGAAGCACATGTGAAAAAGTAAGGAGCACACTAAGAACGTTAGGGGCACAATGAAAATTGATCAAATAATGTGTGTCTTATTGATCAACTAAAGTACGATTATTTGAAATCAATTTTAGGTCTTTTGGTTACATGACAGGGAAGCTATTGAAGAAAAGGTTCAAAATTTTTCTTTAATTTAACACAAAAAATTTACGAGGACAAATTAGGGAAATAAAGAGGTGTGTCTTATTGGTCGACAGGAGTATTATTATTTGACATCAATTTTAGGCCAATTGGTCACATGACATGATAGCTATAGAAGGAAAACAGCCTTTTCTGAGAATATCAACTGGTAATTTATTGATGGTCCCTTATTCAACACCCGACGTTGACAGTGAGGATGCAGAGTAGATTTAACCGCGACTGCTGTTGCTATTACTGGTTATGGAGAGTGAGAAGACAACGGTAGATCTGCAGTGAATGTCAAATATCCAACCTGAAACTAACTTCGTCGCAGCATTTACGTGAAACAACATTTGTTGCCTCAGCTAATTTTTTTTATGCGCACATGTGCTCCTAAATACATTTTACAATTCGCACATATCTTTTTTTAGTCGCACTGTCGAACCCTGATGGACCTTCTTTTCATGAGTCCCTTTGAACCTTTTACCTTTAAAAACTGAAGGATTTGAAATTAAACTATTTGGCTGACTTTAATATTTTCTAACCTTGATTATTTATCGGGAAAAACTAACTTGAGATTAATGGATAAGACATCTTCAAGACCAAATTAAATGTTTGATATTGTTTAACAGAGGACTGAGCTCCTTTCTTTGACAAAAACATCAGTTCAGCAAAGCTCGACTATGATTCATTGTGTTGTATCTGCTGACATTATGTTCGTCATTTCCTACCTGTGATGATGGCAGGGTCCATCCAACTGGCTGTGCCGTCCCAGCTCAGGCTGTGTGAAATACCTGCCGGCCCCGCTGGCCCACCGATGTGGTTAACACTGTTGGAGGATGAGGAGGATGAAGAGGAAGAGGAGTTTGGGAGGCCCCCGAAGTTGATATTGATGTTTGGCAAGAGAGCTCTGAGACCATCCTGCCACTCTTTCACATTTAAGCCATCTATAGAGCTGCTGTTTTCTGCAAGAGAGAAAGGGCAACAACAGTTACTCACTATCACAGACTAGTGGTCTGCTAAGAGACTGCATCTAAGACACTTCCTGTAGAAGGTCAATTAAAACCTAAAAAAACAGATTCACCATGCTATCTCACAATGTTTACATGTTGTGGTATGTAATGACATGATAGAACGACACATCTAATCTTTTTCTTCACATATAGCCCTCCTTCAGGACACACAAAGGTGCTGCAGAGACCCTGCGGCTGGTACCTGAGATGGGGATCCCTCCCAGCCCTGTGTTGTGCTGAGGAGGCAGATTCAGGTCCAGGAAATTACTGTGTGAGGCAGCACTGGCTGAGTGGTTCAAGTGTGTGAGGTTATTTCGTGTCGGGACGCCCATCCAGGGGTGTCTGGCGGCTGGCTGCTGCTGCTGACTGGCCTGGCTGTTCTGACTGCCGGGGAAACTGAAGGAGCTGTAGATGGCTCTGTGGTGGAGCTGGGGGAGGCGTGGCAGGCCGCTGGGGAAATGGTGGGAGGCGCCAGGGTTTGGGTTGGGGAGCGACAGGCCGGGTCCGTGGTTGGCCCCCTGGGGTAAGGGCCCTGGGGACAAGGGGCTCTGATCCTGCACTGATAGCTCCTTCTCGATCAGGTCGGCCAAGGCTTTGCGGGTAACGTCGAAAGGGTCGAAGCCCAGGTCATCGTCCTGCTGTTTGCTGGACGAGCCAAAGCCGAAAGCCGCCTGCCAGTCTGTGGAAGAAGACACTGGTATTGTGTCTGTGAAGGAAGGACAGAGACCAGTTAGTGGAGTTGTCAATCACTGAGATGTCTTAGTTGACTTATCAGAGCACAGACTGATGAAATTTAACAGAAAAATGAAAATTAACATTTCATTTAGTTTCTTCCTAACATTTTTAAAATGTCGTTGCGATTTCTTATATTTGCTCCAAGGCATGAGGAGCAAAATTAGAAAATAAGAGTTACAGTTGAGCATTTTTATTGTGGAAGAAGTTCAAATTCAGACTCAGGGTTGGCTCATTTGATTTGTTACGATTCAGGAAAAAAAAAAAAACGATACACTGGAGCATATCCCGTCAGTACGGGTGGGAATCACTAGTGGCCCCACGACACGATATTATACTTTGGCCACAATATGGTATAATTGCAATTTTTAACATTTTGCAACACAGTGAGTATTGCGATACAATATATTGCGATTTATACAATTTATTCAACTGTTTAACTCATTTAGCATTTGGCTTTCCTTTATGTTTCTCTAATTTACGCTGTATTTTATTTTCATGTAGCACATCTTGCAAACCTTATATGTATATTTGTTGCACTAACTTTCTCCGACTCTACAATGTCTCCTCTGCCAACCTCACTGGACCAACAGTTGATATTATTTTTCCATTATCATAGATTTGACTTGAGACGACGATGCGATATATCACCAGACAAAATATCACGATACTACACTGTATCGATTTTTTCTCCTATCCTTACCCCTCAGGTGGTTTTGATTTAACTTAAAACACCATAAAGCAGACCAGAGCACACACACAAATCTGCGGAGCTACTCTTTCAGTTGTGTCACAGCCTCATTTTCCCGCTGCGTAGCTTCGCAAATGCCATACGTACTTGTCACACTTCGCATGATGGGCGGTCAGCTTTGAGATGCCACTCACAGAAAGTTTACAAAGTTGTGAGTCAGCCCGTGAATTAAAGGGACTTTGGCCTCTCTGCCAAGCAGTGACACGTGAAAGTCAAGAAACTCCAACAGGATCATGTCAAAGGATACACAATTTTGGCAAAGATAGAGGGACAAACTTCATTTTACAAGCTGGACAAAACATCCTCAGTTGAGATGTTATTTAGTTCTGTGATGCTTCTCCACCAGCAGCAGCTCTTCTGTTGATACTAATTTGACCCGAGACAGAAAACCCTCTTTCATCTCCAAACGGTCCCAGTGTGAAAACACCCACAGACTGGTATGGCTGTGCACATCACAGATCTATCGGAAAAATGCTGTGTCATCATCATAAGCTGTTTGATAGTAAACCTGCTGATGCTCACTCATCTGTTGTCATAGTTGTTATCAGTGGAAGCAGAGTCAGAGGTGGATTGATTTATGTTTTAGAGGCCAAACATACCAAATGAAGAAGAGGGGCAGTGTTACAGTAAAGCCATTTTAGGGTGCAGAGGTTTAATTAGTGGAGGAAAATGTTGAGTTATGCATTTTAGAGAGAAAAGAGAAGCCAGGAGAGAAACGTTGATCTGCTCTCTAACACATTCGTGAAAAGGCATCTATTACAAAGTTTACATGTTCCTAACGGTTTTGATGTTTCATATGAGCAACTAGAAATTTTCAAGTATTTTTCTTTCCCATTTAAGCACCTTGTAATTTTGCATAACAGACATTATTCAGAATATATAATTGATTCAAAGACACCGCCCTCTACATTTTCTAGTCTTTCCAATCTGTTTTTTTTTTTTACATCCTAAAGCCAGTGACACAGCTGGGACAGCAGGTAAGTTTCAATTAGTCTGAAGACTCATTTTATACCCCTCACTGACACTTAATCATGGATTTACAAAAGGAGAATAGTACAATTATAACACTGACATTTCAGCCACTATTTTAAGACAAACAGAAAGCGGTGTACCTGATGTGAAGAGGCTCTGTGGTTCGGGGGTCATGGGCCAGTCAGAACTGCCGCGCGGGGAGCTGGGGAAGGGGGGCAGGCCGGCAGGGAGAGGGTTAGGATGTCTGAAGTTACTGTTGTCTGAAAAGAGTGACTGGGACTCCGCTGCCGCGCCCTCGAATGGTGAGCGAGCTGTGAGGTCTGACACGCTGATGGGCACCACCAGGCTGGGCTTGGTCAAACCCGGGGGAGGAGAAGGGGAGTCACTGATGGGTACCTGGGACATAAAAAAGAGATTAGAGAAGGGCTAAAGCTTCAAAGACTGTCATTTTCAAACCTTATATACCTTTACTTATCTATCATATAAATAGAGCAGTTTTCGTCATTGTACCTGTTGTAAAGTCTCGCCGTTCACCATTCCAATAGATTCTGGAGGTTTGTCACTGGGACTGCAGAGGGGCAAAGTAAGATCATCAAAAAATGCTCGATATCCAAAGACTTCAAAGTTTTTATTGTTGTTGCTGAGCGGTCTTTATTACCTGTTACTGTCACAGTTAGAAGAGAAGGGGGACAGGGTGGTACGTTGGCCGGGACCCAGCTCTGTTTCTAGCCCTTCAGAAGCGATAACTTCTTGGTCTAGATAGTCTAACAATGGGGGAGACTTGCGGTCCTCTGAAAGCCCGTTGGCCAGTTTGTTATGTCCTGAAAGTGTCGGCCACCCATCTTTGCCATTGCTACTGTTGGATCTGATACAAAGTCGGAGAAAATTTAAGCTTAGTACATAATATTAAACCACACTGTTGAAATAAGTCTCAGACAAGTGAACCAACCTCTGTGTGGAGTTGGGTTTACTCTTTGATTTGTCTGTTCCACATGCTGGAGGTTGTAGAAAGCTAGGATTTATTTTATAGAGGTCTTGGAGAAGTTTCTGCTCATACTCTTGATGTTTCCCCGCCTAAAGAAAACAAACGATACGTTAACTCTAACCTTTGTACAAGTAAACAAATCATAAACCAAAATAAGCGCCTGCATTAAGAGAGAGAGAGTAAATATACAACAGAAACATCTGCTTTACCTGCATCTCCTCTTTAGTAAAGCTAGCCGCTTCATCCCCCAACTCGTGTAGATACATACAATCAGGTTTGGGACACTGCATACTTTTTAGGAAGTAACTGCAGTACTTTGTTGTTCCTAAAGAAGCCTGTGACAGACGGATAGAGAAGCTTTGTGATTAAGAATTTCCTCCTCAGGACTTTCTTTTTCAGCATTAAGTATTTCTTACACAGAAGGAGTAAAGACATCGCATAGATGTTTGGTAAAATCAACCGATACGCACCGATCAGCGCCTTATTGTGAAAAATTAAAGGAGCAGCATCACTCTCGGTTAGTTTATTACCTTAAGTGTTCTGCCATCAACAACCACATTGTTCACACACTGTATTGCTCTTAGGGCATCTTCAGAGCGGATGTAAGTGACATAAGCGCTGGCACTGGGCCCCTGAGAACAAAATAAAGAGTTAAAGTAAACACACAAGTCAAACAGATCTACTCTGGCAACTTCATTCTGTTTACAATAGTGTTCTGAGGCAGTAATGAGCACTTCCTTCACTACTCAAAAGCTTATTTGTTTAGACATTTAACTAATCATATTTTAAGATATGCAAAAAAACAAAACAAAGGATCTGTATAAGTGCCGTAGTTTTTCTATTCTTCTTTGAATGGATGAATTGTCAGTTAATCCTCTTTCATTCGTCCTCTTACCTGTGAACCGGCGTAAGATGTGCTATTGTTGATGACCACTTTATGGATTTTCCCAAACCTCCCAAAATACTCGGGTCGTTTTAGGACCTGTGGGCGCACACGCACGGAGAAGTATAAATACATATCATTTTTCATACAGTTGTGGGTGTCTTTGAACTCTTTTATACTCAGGCCTTTCACTTTAAGTATCCGTGGGAGTTTTGGCAAAGAGACCTTCAAATGTGCATTAAAATTCTTCAGTATTCAGGTATAATCACTGTATCTCCCTGTGTCAGAGCCTTATGACATAATCTGAGCTTCAAGTATCATTGGTATAAAATGCCTTGTTGCTGTTTATGCAAATGGGTAGCAAGAGTTGCTGAGTTTCTGAGACTTTACTCACCTCAGGGTCAGCAAGTCGCTGCGATAGCCCCACCACAAACACCAGGTTTCTCTGGACCACTCTGACACTGGCCAGATGCTTGCGATTTTCTGTCACCTTCTGCTTCTTCTCATTTTGTTTCTGCTTCTTCTCATTCTTTATCCTTTGGATCTCCTCCTGTGACAGCGGCTTGTACACAGCGGGGTCCTCTGGGTATGGCTACAGAGAAATACATCATGTAAGACTCAATCTGAGATATTTATCATGTGAACAGGACACACTCTTGAATTAAAAGGATTAATGACAGATATTAGCACTGTGAGGTCCATTTAAACCAACAAGCTTCTTAACAACAGGACCAAAATGTCAACGTTAGATGATCATAATTGCTGTTTTCACGACCCCCCCCCCTCATTTTTAGACTTTTGACATGTTTCCCTGCTGTCTCCTCCAGCCCCTCACCTTTCTACAGGCAGGGCAGAGGCCGTTCTCGTCTGTACGGATACGATGCCAACAGAAGCGGCAGATCTGATAGCCGCAGGTGCAGGGGAAGAAGTTGACGTCATCGATCTCCAGCGGTTCCATGCACAGAGGGCACTCCATGGGGTCGTCCTTCATTTCAGGGCTATGGGACATCCTATGGCGCGGCAAGGGTGAACGCTGAAGCTGGTCACAGAGCACAGGGGCTGAAGAAACATACAAAGTCTGAATACTGGAGCTCAATCATGACAAGAGTAAAAGCATCAACTAGCAAGCAGAGAAGGTACACCATACACAGCAGCTACGGGTTTCCTCTCTCTACTATACATGTCTCTCTTTAGTTGCACTACCAATAAAGGCAAGAATCTGAAAAAGGGGAAGAATTAGTATCAGCTTAAATAACTCATTCACCAAAATAAATTTGCTGTTCACATTTTCTAAAACCCCCAAGAGTGACTTTGACAAGCAACGTCCCAATTTCCTACATTCTGAACCTCCTTATCAGCAGTAAAGACACAAAACCCTCAGTAGAAGAAAAAAACGCTATTTATGTAATAATAAATGTAATTTAATGCAGCCAGTTTGTCTTTATTGATGGACACATTCTCTTATGATTTTACAGGCATTTTAACAAACTCTGAGGCCTCAGTTTGTGGTGCTACAAAGTTGTACTTGAATGCTGTTCGAAAAGATGTTTATCCATTGATGTTGTAGTAGGAAAAACTCAAATCTGTAAGCACAAGTAACCCTTCACAGGAATCAATGAGCAGGTAAATATGATGTACCTATTACTACTTTGACCATTTGAAAACATGCAGATCATGAGTCCTACAAAACCCTCAGTAGAGGGGAAAAAAGGCTATTTATGTCATAATAACTGTAATTTGATGCAGCCAAACTGTTTTTATTGATGGACACGTTCTTGCATGAGTTTACAGGCATTTGAATAAACTCTGAGGCCTCAGTTTGTGGTGCTACAATGATGTACTCGGAAGCTGTTTAAAGAGATGTTTACAATATTAAACCATTTATGTTTCAGTAGGAAAATCTCAAATCTATAAGCAAAAGCAACCCTATACAGGAATCAATGAGCAGGTAAAAATGATGGACCTATTATTATTTTGATCATTTGAAAACATGCAGATCATGTGTCCTTTCACAGCAGTAAAGACTCAAAACCCTCAGTAGAAGAAAAAATGGCTATTTATGTAATAATAAATGTAATTTAATGCAGCCAAACTGTCTTTATTGATGGACACATTCTCTTATGATTTTACAGGCATTTTAACAAACTCTGAGGCCTCAGTTTGTGGTGCTACAAAGTTGTAGTCGGAAGCTACTTGAAGAGATGTTTACAGTTTTCAACCATTTATGTTATTATAAAAAAATATCAAATCTGTAAGCACAAGTGACCCTTTACGGGAATCAATCAGCAGGTAAATATGATGTACCTATTACAACTTTAATCCTTTTAAAACATGCAGATCATGTATCATTTCACAGTCTTATGACAATCCACAGTGACAGTAAACAGATATCATCCAATTTTTGACAAATGCCCAAAAAATTTGAAATGAACCTGGGATGTTAGTCTCCAAGAAACAGAAATATGTCCCAAAGTGAAATATTAAAGCATGAATGTAAAGTTTAACCCTTGTCTTTGTTCACATTTTCAACAATAAGAGACACCTGTGAAGGTTTGAGGACCTGACATCTTATTAAGTATCGTTTAATAAAAAGGTAAACACCTGTATTAAAGAGACGACAAACCCAAACACAGCAGCACTCATCATGTTAAAGAGCCGATGCGGATGTTGTTACATCTTCAGGTGTTGACAGGACCACACACGTCACGACTGATGTAGCAGGTATAAAATAAATAAATAGGCTTATTTTAACGTGACAACACTGCTGCCACACGATGAACCCACGGACACACTCCGATCACGAAAACCCGACGATGTAGAGTTAAATCAGACACACAGAAAAACGCCAGCTTCACGAATACTTGCCAACATTTGGCTAATACATTAACACGTACATATATATCACGGCTTTAACGCGTTACTTTACAGATATCTCCTAATTGTTTTGGCTGTTTATCGAGACTTAATATTAATCTATTTAACCAGGCTGGTAACTTTAGCTGCTGCTCTAGACTGTACAATATGACAGATGTTATTTAACTAACGTGAAGCTAAGCTAACATTAGCCGCGGATTGGTAAAAGAAGCCGGTCTAACTATTAACAAGTACACAGGAGCGATTGCAAGTTATATTACAGGACGAGAACACGCGAGAGTGAATATTTACTTGATATTGACATGAAATATTTATATAAAAGAGCATAAAAATGTTAAAATTTCACCTACATTTTCACTGACAGCTCGGGTGTTGCTAACCGCTAGCAACCGCTAACCGACCATCATAGGACGCGGCCTAAGCGAGCTAACTCTGAACTGAAGGGAGTTTTTCACACTATAAACAACTGACACTGCTCAGGTGAGACTAAGATTACCTGGACAGTGGTGCAATGATCATGAAGTAACACAAATACAAGCCTGTGAGTCGTTACAGCCTGAAGTGTCCTTAATTTATTCGGGTACAGTAGGAGCTGGCTAACATTAGCGTTACTTACCCTGTCCGTATTTAGCTTAGATTCCACTCCGAGGGAGTCACACCAAATTGGGCGGGGACTGCGAGCCAATATATCTGAAATGTCAAAATTTCTATATACGGTCATATAAGGTAACCGTATTAGTGATGTTCTGTTGTGATTAAAAGGCTACAAGGATGTTTTGCCCCTTTCTTTTCTTGGTATTGTAGAGACAATTTACGCTCTAACCACCATCTTAGCTAGCATTAAAGTAGGGAGGAGGGAATGGGGCAAGTGTAGAACTCCACTGAGTCTGCGCAGACACACTGATGCTTGACGGGAAGTCGAGTTTTCGTTGACTCACTCTAGGAGGAGGGACACATCATCTAAAAAGTGAAATATTAAGAATGAATTGCTTAAATGCGTCATGTGTTTTTGGTTTGCTTAACTTTTCCCATGTTTTACATCGCAATGCACTGATCTCAATGTCACACTTAAATTAAACTAGCAAGGGTTGTAGTTGGCTTTATTTTATTTTGTTTTAATGATGTAATTGTTTAAGTGACAGGGACAAATGCATGAGGTATTGCTCTGTAATGTATATAAAGTAGACGTCATGCATACAGATTTCTTGCTATGGCAAATTTGAAACCCCATCCCTGGTTTATGGTGGCCGAGAACTGCCACTGCCTCAAATAAAAAAAAGAATGCAAAAAAAAGAGGTCACAATGGAAGTTACCAATGCAAAAAAAAAAAAAAAAAAAAAATCAAAAAGAAACCGAAGCCCACTGCAAATTAAAAAAAAGAAACGGTGCAGATGAAAAAAAAGCCACAACGGAAGGTAAGGACGTAAAAAAAATTGGATTATTTTCGCTGTAAGTAACTTTTTTTTTTTGAATCACCACTTTTTTTTTGCATCTTTAACTTCCATTGTGCCTTTTCTTTTATTTATTTATCTGCACCATTTCTTTTTTATTTGCAGAAGGCTTCGGTTTCTCTTTTTTTGTGCATCGGTAACTTCCGTTGCGGCTTCTTTCTTTTTTTTTTTTTTTGCATTCTTTTTTTATTTGCAGCAGTGGCTGTTCTTGGCCACCATACTGGTTAGGTATCCAGACATAAAAACAGAAATTAAAGAATTGTGTTTTAAATATTGTAACCATTAAAAAACACACAATAAGACATTCAACAAAAATGGAGACCAGAATTAACAGGGACCAATAATGACCCAATTCTAAGTACATATAAGGTGTGCATGTGCTTTGTATGTTTGTGTATGATCTATGAATCTAAACTGTACGGTTAGTTTAGATTAAGTGGGTTATTTATCCCGAAAACATGGCCAAAGTGCTTCATTCACTTGCACAGTCAAAGCCCTCATGGGGAACTTTCAATTTGTCTTGATTCTGGTGCTCCTTGTGGACAAAATGTTGCCTCTATTCCTTAACATATTTTGTCCCATCTCATCCTTTATCTTAACACTAACATTTGCAAGTCATTGAAAATCTTCACCATGGTGATTGTAAACAAAGGCATGCAGTTTTTCTCTTTAACCAACACCTTAACCTCAACTGTGGCTTCAGGCATAAAAATTACTTGACAGAAATAGTCAGTCTTCATATGAATGGTCTGGTTTGCATTTGTAGCTCATACAAAGAATATTAGTATAAATTTCAGCCTGTAGCTAATATAAATATATACTGTCAAAGCAACAAAACTTACTTTTTGTTTTAAACTTTATTTACAAGGTTAGATTATCATGAACTCAAAAACAATTTATTTTGCTTCTTTCTTTGCATATTTGTTAAAGAAAAAAAATCAAGGTACAGATCTAATCTTGATCTAACATGTTCAATCTATCCACATGAAGCTGGGTTTGGGCCACGAGTGGGTCTGAACTTTGTTGGGATCTACAGCATCTGAAGTAAGCGTGGGAGCGATGGGGTGGGGTGATACCAGGGACATCTGTGCAGCGAGCAGACCCATCCTGACACAGCTGTCAGTGTCTCGTTGCTGAAGAATCCCAGCCATCATTGCACCTGCAAGACTGGAAGCAGAGCAGGCAGCTTTAAAAGTGTTTTCTAAAACATGAGTCATGGAAACTGTGACTGGGACAGGGAGAGAAATAGGTCATCATAAAGTGGGTGAAACTGACGCAGAGGATGTAAAGAAAGGAAAAATCAAAACAAGTATAAGGAAGAGAAGGCAGGTTAAGTAAAATTTTAACACCTATCTCCTGCTCCCGACACATTCACTGTCTCCTCTTCGGTCACGGTCAGCGCTGGATAGTGAAGGGCACATAGTTGTCTCCTCTGCAAACGCAGGATCAGTGAACATCTTGACTTCACTTGTTGAAATCATCATCATCATCATCATCATCATCATCATCATCATCATCATCATCATCATCATCATCATCATCATCATCATCATCATCATCAGTTTAAAATTTTCCTACCCTCTTCTGTTTTCTTGGCTGCAGGTTGACTGAGCCTGCCTCATGCTCTCCACACACCAACACTCCATTAGCCCCCAGAGTCACTACCAGACAATGCAGATGCTCCAGTAGGGGGCGTGAGAGAGCCACAGCAACATTGAGCACCTCAACAGGAGAGCTTGGCAGCACTAGCCCCCCAAACAAGACAAAACCACATCTTCAGCACCAATAAGACTGAACATAAGTGAACCTTTTAATGCTTGTAAGGGATTCCAGTTTACCCTCAGGTGTTGGGAGGCCCAGTGTTTTGTTCATGGTGAACAGCTCTGCCAGGTTTGGGGATGAATAGGACAGAGACTTCCAAGCGTCTGAGAGGAAAGGCTTACAGGCTTTTTCTGCATCTGTTGGCTCGTACCAAACTGTGACACAATTTCATCATATGGTGTTACATTCACTGAAAGATTGTGATCATTTAGAAACTCTCTTCCTTTGCTTACTATTGGTGTTGTGGTTGGCTGCCGTGGAGCAAACATAGTTGATGGTGGAGACGGGGATATTTCCATCAAGACAGACAAGAGTGGCTGCAGTGAGCTGCTTTTCAAACTGGGACACCTGTTTAAAAAATATTTGGGAAGAGAACAGAGAAGTGGAGTCTTCAATACAAGATATGTGACATAGTGAGTTTGTTTGCATTGTATCAAATAAAAAACAACCCCTTCCTTATTATATTTTTTTCTTAATAACTCAATGACTTGATAATTAGTGTCTTATTACATCAAAGAAGACTTTAAGATAGGGACAATCAATCACTTCTGCATTAATTTAGAAGTTTAGTTAATTTCTCAAAGACTTCCATACACTTGTAACAAGTTGAGTTGCCTTCTAATAGCTATTGTGGAGAATGTAAACAAGCACAGTATGGTCTATGTGCGTATCTAAATCTGGCATGATATGATAAAAAATCTGGCGTTTGGCAAAACCTAGATGATACATTTGTCGGTGTAACTTACAAACTGCTCAGTGATTTGCTCGTGAATGTCCATGTCTCCCAGTCCAAGACCCATTTCTCCATTCTCTGTGATAACAACACAGTATGTTGCCGTGCTTTGGTCCTCTATCCGGGCCACACCACTAGTGTTCTTACAGACCAAAACAAAAAACAGTCGGCTCAAATCCATGTAATACAGATAATAATCATGCTAGCTAAAAATAAATCTCATGTTCCATACCATATGTTTACAATAGTTAAACACTGCATCACTGTGGGAATCAGCTCCAGTAGCTGAAATGAGCAGCGGCCTTTGGCCTAATCGACTCAGTGAATCTACAAGGAAGCAGCAAAAAGGTGTGAGATGATTAGATCTGTTGTGCATGAACATAATCTGATAATAACCCACCAGCAATGTTTCGTCCTACACCACCAAACGACTGGCACACACTTCCAACATTTGTCTGTCCGAACTGAAAGAGAAAACATTTAGTTACTTCATGGTATGATCTAACATAAGGGCAGAGCATTAAAGATAAGAATGGGATATAAATTAAACTTACGACAAGTGTTTTATGTTTTCCTTTTGCAATAAAATCAACGTTTATTCCTCCAATGACAACCTGTGAAAGATACAACATTGCGGATACAGTACTGTGACATTAATATATAAAACCTACATAAGTGCTTTAATGAGTGTTTGTACTTACAATTTTTGGTTCTGAGTCAGAGGAGTGTTTTCCATGTTGTCTTTTGTTCCTGTGTTTTGACAGCGCACACGCTATCTGACTTCCAACTTTAGCATTATTATGAATGAGAGCAATGTCTAAAAACATGGTCAAGGACAATTCAATTTTAACAAGTCTTTGATACTCCTACACTCGACTATGCATGCACTCGTCAAGTCGAACAATTTTCTTTGTCTTTATTTTAACAGTGTTTTTAATGTTAGTGATAATTTTCTCTGTGGTTTAGATTCTCAGAAGGATACTAGCCTGGAGGGACTTTCCTTTTGTCATTTCATTGACCTTCTGAAGAATGAACGGTGTCACATTCTTTCCTGTTACGCCTTTAGCACTGAAAGAAGAAAATACCAAAGAAGAGGAAGAGATAAGTCCTTCAGCTGAAATGAGAAGTTTATTTGATTCATAGGAGATAACAACCCACAGATACTTTCTTTACCTTGCCTCTGTCACTGCTGACTGTATGGCTTCCTCTATCTGCTGGCCGGCTGCTGCATACTCCTCTGGGACCGGCACCCCTATCAGAACACCGCTCTGAAGACCCAGGGACAGAGTGCTTTCTACAGAAACACACATAAGCACTCATGAATACATACATAGGTTTGTAATTTTACTTTCATAGCATTTGTGATGTTAAGTCACTTTGATCTATTAAGTCGCTTCTCGGTTTCACCTTTATAAAACTCTTTATCTTTGAGATTTTTTTACATGATTTCATTCTGCTTTATTTAGCTCCATCTTATATCCTGCTCTGTTTGCCAAACTCTGTATCAATATGCCATTTTTACTTTATAAGGCGCCTTTATTCTGAAAGGTGCTGTGCTACTAAATTTGAATTTTATAACCTGTAAACTTTTTTATAAAAACTGCTGACATACCGATTAGTTCTGCAGCCTCCTCAGGGTTGTGAACCTGATACGGAGAAGTGAAACCGCTTCGAGGAGAGAAGAAGGCAGGGAAATTTTTTGATACTCCATAAGTGGCCACACAGACACCCTGTGTCTCCTAAAAAGATATTAAAAGTGAGTAAATAATAACACATAACATTACAACCTCTAGTTACCTGCCCAACACCTGTGTGAGTCTTTAGATGTATTTGGTTATTTTAAAAGTACTGATCAAACACATACTTATCCGTGCCATAAAAAAATCTTCATTAGTTTTGTGCATGGACAAAACAACACAAGAGGGTGCATTTACTGTACATATTGTATGTTCTAATTAACCCACACTTAATCATAAGTTGTGTTGTTTAGGCTCCATCAATTCAAATTAACAGGAAAAAAGAAGAAAACTAAACTGTTGTAAGTACCATAGTATCAGTTCTATCAATGCAGTGATATTATCTAATCTATCATTGTACTGTGATAACATTTCATTGAGATGTACGGTTCTTACAAGGAACTCCAAGGTGCGACCGATGTCAAGAATAGATTTGACGCCAGCAGAGACCACCGCGACAGGAGTCCTGCCAAGCTCTGTGAGATCTGCACTAATGTCCAGACCTGCAGGTATAATCAAGAGATGAACAGTGAATAACTTTGAGTTGTCATGTAGAATGAAGTCTACGCCTTTCTCTATATAATCTGTATATCATGCCTTCAGCAGTACCATCAAAACAAACTAAACCCTGGCAGCTTGGGTGTCCTCCCTTCCTGAAAGTGAATTACTTGTCTTATTATGGCTCACCTGGGACACATTTGTCCCCTCCTCTCTGCTCAATGTCTTTGTCATCAAATTCTAATGTCTCTTTTTTTGTGAAGAGAAATTTTATCAGCGCTGATATGTGTGAACATGGAGTGCATAGTGTGCAGTGTACACCCTGATCTGGAAAAAGCGTCGGATCAAGGTTTTCTTACTGTTCTCTCCATCTCTGTGAACTCCTCCGATGCCTCCTGTGACAAAAACAGGGATACCAGCTCGATGTGCTGCGATCATCGTGGCGGACACTGTTGTTCCCCCAGACAGCCCCTGACAAAAACACACAAGAAAACTTTTGAAACACCAGGATAAAAGTCAAAAATTTGTCCCAATTTTTTCATTCAACACAAAATTTGGTGGTTATTTTTCTGCAGGAGTACTTTCCAGAATATACCCTCAGACTGTCACATGAAGTAAGTAAAAAAGACATGAACACTTTCTCTACAGGTGGAGATAAAGGTGCTGTGGTCTCACCTTGCTGACGGCATAGGGAAGATCACGTCGAGACACCTTCAAGGAGTTCTCACAGCGGGCGAGGTGATGGAGCTCATCTGATGACAGACCAACATGAACCTCACCATCAATCACCCCCACTGTGGCTGGTGTGGCTCCTTCGGCTCTCACAATGGCCTCCACTTCCTTTGCAGTGCTGTAAAAAAACACAATCAGTGACTAAAAGAGGGGTGAGGCGGGGGTTTTAGAGTTTAAAAAAAGACTTTAAAAGAAGTACCTCAAATTGTGTGGATAAGGCATCCCATGTGTGATGATTGTACTCTCCAGTGCCACCACAGGTTTGTTTTCTGCCAGGGCCTGTGCCACAGATGGGTGAACTCTGAAGATGCTGTCTGAGATGAAGAAGATGGTTGAAAAAAAACCCTGATTTGCTGTGAATTGTGTGTGTTTTATAATTCTTGATATTAGGGATTCACCATTTTGGCAAAATCTGCTTTGATAAAATGTAACTCCTCTCCTCAGGATGAGCGCAGAAGCTCTCTTCAGCAGCCTCATCCTTTCCAGATTTATTGGAAAATACTAAAAACAAGAACACAAAAGGAAAAGTTCGCAAAATGTTTCAGATGATGCCTCAAATTCGAGCTCGCAAGTCTTAGGCCAAAAACATACAGGATCCATGTTGAGCACGTTCTGGCATGGAATGCGCTCAACATGGATCCTGTATGTTATTGGCTTTACAGATAAAAAATGTGAATTTGAAAAAAAAAAAAGACATTATTTAGTTGATTCTAATAGTGCTGAAAAACTAAGTAAAAATGCCCTCTACACCCTTGTTTAACAAATTTCATTTAGAAATTTCACACTGAAAGACTTTTCCCTAAATCCCTCCTCTGCAGACCTCTGTATTTGGTAGAAATGCTTCATGATGAACAGCACATCTTATTAAATCTCAGACTAACCTTTAAGAAGGATGTAACATAGACATGATGTCCTTGTCAAAATCACAACACTGAACAACATTACCTCAGCTTCTTGAAGTTCAAACCAAAGAGGCTCCCTGGTATCATCACACCCTGCAGTGTGTTCTCAGTCACTGCAAGCAAGGCAGACGTCCAGCTCAGCCATTGTGAGGATTTTCTTTGCCCCAGATCAGTTTGTTCCCATCCCCCTCCCCCTGTTTTTGGGGCCACTCTCTGGAACTGACAGCCACATTCCTGAGCTGTTTGGAGTCTTTCCCCTCTTCACTAAATTTATGCACTGACCTCAGAAAGTAGATCACATGTGAGTGACTTACCTGTGACAAAAAGTGTGAAAGTTCTGATTCTTTGCTAAGACTGAGCTCTCTGTCTTCAGTGGGTGAATCAAACACACATCGGCACATACCCAAGTCCTGCATCTTCATACATGAGTTAACCTTAACTTAATGTTAGAAAAGCATGCTCTGTGTTGTCGAAGACAGGCTGAATGTTTATTTAAAACATGCATTTCAAAAAGCACTTTGAACATACATTTAAAAAGGTTATTCAAAAGTCTGTTTACCTCTAGTGTTTGGTTCTTACCTTCTTCCACTGCAACAGAAATGCTATAAACTTTGCCCTGGGGGATGAACTTTGACCCCACCACTGTTTACACAGCCTAAAAGCATCAAGCACAGATCTGTGAGGCTGTACCTACTCTGGAATCACCACTGGAGGTGATTCACCACTAGTATCACCTTCAGTGGGAAGCAATAGTGATGAGATATTCACATTTAACGCAAAATACTGCTGAACAGATGCAGAATAACTAAAGCTGTCATCATTGTGTTCTCTGCTGAAGACAAGAAGGTACAATAAAAGAAGTTAATCATTAGGAAACCATACTTTTAAGTCTACATTTTTTCATGTGCAAATTAACATGGATTTGGCACAATCGCAGATCAGCTATTATGGACAGTGTGACATGTTATGCAGATTTTAGCAGAAACAGAACATAAGAGGCTCCACAGAGGCTACCCTAGTGCAAACAGGACAAGCTATTGACATTTACGTTTTTGTGGAAAGTGGCTGTGTGGGATGGATTTTGATAGTTTCAGACACTGGAATACTTGAGGATGTTAATTTAAGTTCAAGTGACACTCTTCACTGATACAACGTCTATTTACAGTCTCGTTATTCGCTTGTATCCTTAAGCTGCTGATGTCTGGGGTTGAGTCAAATTCAAAACTTGGACTCCAGGTTGTGGATGAGTTTGTAGCTTCCACCTCCAGTTCAGATTTTTTCAGTAACCTCTCTTCAAACCAGCGTGGATGCTCCAGCTGGTATGCTTGAAAAGCCTCTATGGCCTCCTGCAGAGGTGGTACTCTCCTTCTAACAGTCCTTCAATAAGATTGACTCGACCTGATTTGTACTTCTTAGCATCCAGGATCCAGAAGACAAGCTCCTCAAACTGTTTCAGCGGCTTAATTCGTACTGTAACATGAAAAAGCAAAGAAACATCTTCCCCAGAGCAGACGTCATCAAAATACACCAAAATATACTGTCCAAGTGATGCAGAGTGGATGAAATGGGGGACCATGAGGCTGAGGGCTGGACTGAATGTCTGACTCAGAAAAATCTGTCTCCACTGGGGCTGAAGACTTTTCTATCTGTGTTCTGATCCAGTTCAGCCACTGGATGTTTCCCAGCACTCCTAGCCTTGTGGAGTCTAGCAGATCCAGAACTACTTCAGTGCCACATTTGGTCACTAGGAAGCCACAAAGCTTGAAAACAACGTCTCTTTATTAAGGGTGGTCTGGGGAGTAGAGGACGAGGACTCTTTTTGTCTTCTGAACTTGAAAAACTTCTGGTTGTTCTCCAGCAGCAGGTGAAGATGTGTTCACAGGAGTTTAATTGATAACTCACAAATTCAGTTGACAATTTACTGATCATGAATCACCAATTTTAAGGAAGCAAACCTTTACGAGACGTCCTCCAAATTATAAAAGCAAGAAAAACTCCAAAACCAAACAGCCGAATGGCAGCCTTTATGTCGGCTATAAAGTCCATGTCTGATAATCTGAAAAGAAATCGGATGGAAAAGGAACAAAGGATTAGCTAAATACTTACAGAAATACAGAGAGGGATTTAAAATGTTATGATGAAAGTGGTTCTAACCAGGAGGTTAGGACTTTTGAAAGTCTGAGGCCCTTGTAATGCGTTTCAGGGATAATACATTAAAAACATTTATCATTTTGCAGACATAGAAGTGACTGTTGGATTCTTGTGTCATTCTTCTGATATTTCAATAAACACACATATAAAACAATAAAACACAATAAAAACACACAGGGCACTTTCTCACCCTCTTGTAGCCTGGAGTTTGCACTTGGTTGATCTTAAAACAAAACAGGACACACAAGCTTTGATTTGTACTTTGATCCAGGATCTTCATCTCTGATCCACTAAGTCTAAATAGACTTACTGTGTCTCACGGGAGAAAATGATTCATTTGAATATGAAATTTCCCTCTAATGAGTTTTCAACTCAAACAGTGATACGTGACTGTTTGGTGGACCGCTTAGTTACTCTTGATGCATGAAAATATGTGTGAAACAACAAACACAGGTGTACTTTGAAATTCAAATTTTTGCTCTTATTTTCTTGAAGGATCACAGAGCAGCAGACTTTAGCATTAATCATCACCTCCCTTAAACTCCAATGCCACCTTTATAACAGAGACAGGACCATGATTGTCCATACAAACTCCTTCATGATCAGAACTCCATTCTTGGCCAGTAGGAGCTTCTTTTACTTGGTACTGTCGTGAGCTCCTCTGAGCAGTTCTCTGAAATTTGACAAACAGTGTGCATATATGTTAGAGCTGAGAATATATATTTCCTCAAAAATCCTTACAGTATGTAAAAATGAATCTCCTATTGTACTGTTTTAAGTGAGAAATGCAAAGATAAATACATACTTATTTTGCAGTTGTTAAGATCCTGAAAAAAATAAAAGTGACAAAAGTAAGCTTCAGTGAGTGGATTTTAAAAAGCAGATTATAAAAATCTCTCTTTACCAACACAAAGTAAATCATCACTGGTAGATTCCAGTCCAGACGTAAATCCAAAGTCCCGAGAGAAGACGAACGTCCAAGTCCTGAGGTTGCACACAAACAAAAAAAAGAGCACATGAATAATTCTGGTTTAACTTACACAACACTGGTGTGAAAGCTTTCAAAAACATCAGGTTATAACAGCAAAATAATCAACTCTGCACAGGAAGATTGCTGAACAGTTTTTGAGAACATGTGATATGTTTCATCTTTATCAGGCTCTCTCAGCTGAATACAGATAAAGACAATGTTCTGTTTTTGTCTCATGTGGTTAGAAGTTTCTATTCTCTTCAAACACATTAAAAATACAGCATGCTTTGCCTGCAGGTTTGTACAGAATTATGCATTACCATAGTAGCATAAATGCAGTATGTAAATGAGTGCCAGCTGCAGGTATGACAGCTAACGGTCACATGGGGGCAGCAGTGTCCATGTTTCTAAGTGGTACAGTTCCAGTAAAGTAGATTTCGTTTGCTAGAAAATGTTAAGCATGAAATGCTTCCAGGAAATTTGACCCCTATAAATATTTCAGTTGTTAAGTTGTTGGGTATTTTGGCCTTATGCGACAATAAAAAGATGGAATTAAGATGAAGAGCAGTTAGATTCTCAGGAATTAGGATATTTTCTGATTTTAAAACCTCCAAAGGTCACAAGGACTCCACTTAAACTAATACCCAGCCTGACCTCACAAAGCACCCGGGCAACTAAAAACACAGATAACAAAAACATCTCAGCGGAGGATCAACACTTGAAGCCCATGAGCAACTCAGGATTATCAGCATTAAACCTGCTTGGTTACCAGGGACTGAAACTGGAGCACAAAGTAGTAGCCATTGCTATGTGTTAATTCCTATTGCTTTGTCTCCGCTTTACTGTGTATCTTAGTGGACACTGAGCTCAGCTGTATCACTTTACAAAACACCAAGAGGGACACAGGCAGTCAGACAGTCATGTGCGGCAGAAATCTGACCAGAATAGACTGTAGAGGTTGTGTTTGACGTCTGCTCTGTATGAGAGCGGTGCCTCGACGTATCAGGGTGCAGAAGTCATGGTGGCGCCTTGATCTGACTTGTTATAGATTCTTTTATTTTGTTTAGATACCATAATGTGTTTAAGGTCTACCTTAAAACCAAATAAATGATTCTTTTTGGCACGGTATGACCCACGATAATGTTGCTGTAATCAGTTACAAGATATGACAACAAAACAACTCCTCATCATACAAGCTACTCTGTCCGTCTACATGTTTTTTTTTTTTATGTTTTTAGATTTGTTTTTATCAGCTGAAGGCTTGTTCTCTGTTGTATTTCTATTCCATCGTTTAATATCAACACATCCAGGTACTATAAATGGAATTATGGATTCATTTTCTGCAAATTTCAGCAAGATAAATATGTGACTATGATAAGATTAAAGGTACAGTGTGTGGTATCTAACAGCATTAAGCAGATCAGACTTGGTAGAAATGGAATCAAAAATATTCGTAATTATGTTGAAATACTAAATATGAAGATTTTAAAGCACTGACGTCTCATGTCAGACTATGCCAGCACACCTCATGAGACAAAATGAAAAAGCAAAGCGGCCGGGGTCAGTTGATATCTGCAGAAAGGAACAATCAGCTGTCACTTAGGTGAGGTATGAGTGAAGTGTGCTCTTGTGCAATGCTATCACATGAAACAAATGGGTCATGGGTTGAGGGCAAATCAAAACGGGTTACATTGTGATGCAGGAATTGTCAGGTGGACAAGGGGTCTATTTTAGTTAGCCATTCACATGAGACTTTGAATACATAAATCTTTCACTAATAACCATATAGTGCTTTTTCTTTTCCCGACTCCCCACTGTTTCTTCCCTCGCTGTTTTCCTCTCACCTTAAAGGTAAGATTCATATCAAATAATCACTTTAAGCCTAATTTAAGACTATCGGGTTAATTATAGACATTAGAATGGGCTCTTTAACCTAACAGGGCAGAGGACTGGGAAAGCAGCCCAGCTAACTTACTGCCTGTCTCTGTGTTTGTCATGATAAAGATGAGTCCGGTTTTATGGTAGGAAGTATTGAAGACAGCATTTCAGCATGCCCCTGACATGGCTGGTATTTATGTGAGGGAATCTCTGCTATGCCGCTACTTTTGTCAAGGTCTTCAAGTAGCCTTTCGAACGTGGCTGTCCAGGGTTGACTCCTTGATGATCTCTTGATCCTCTAAGTGAGGAAATGTAACCTGAGGATTACAGGGCCTGCCAAAGTATTGGCGAAGGGTAACAGCACGTTTGACCCATCGTCGTGGACGAAAAGCTGGTGTGATAAGTGATGAAGGCTTGCTCGTATGAACCGGCAACCCCGTGGCTAGAGGGGTATGGCTGCAGGCTTCCTAAAATTGTCTGCTACTTTACTTGTTTGTCTTGACTTTCGCACCCTGTCAGGATGGCTTAATTTAAACAGGATGTATTTCACACATGTGTCAGAAGCATAGACATGCCACATAGGTCTCTCATGCCTACAATTATTAATTTAATAGTTATGCTATTTTTGAATTAAAAAAACGGAGTGAAACAGGCATAAAGGAAATCTTAAGAAGCAGGCCTCAAGGAGAATGGGATGATAAAAGAGAAAATGATGGTTTTCACTTTAGACTTTAAACTCACTTTTGGCTTGAAACATAATTAAACACAGTTCACAAATCTGAAAATATCAATAATCTGCTCTGTTTTAAGTGGCAATGGCTGAGAGTATTCTTTTAAAATCAGTGTTACAGTCTCTACAGGTTTTTGTGTTGTTCCTCTCTTGGCTGCCAAATCTGCGGTTTGGCGTTCTCTGGCATCATTCAGCCTTCAGCAGCTGCAGTGACAGAGTGGAGCAAGAAGGCGATGTGGCTAAATATAGATGTGATACAGGCTCATGATCAGACCCTTTGTAACAATCTGGTCCTGGAGGGATACTCAAAATTTATCCGAGAGCCCATGAGGACAATAAAACTAACTTAGTCAATAAAACTTTTAACTTGATGGATTACCCAAACATATGAAACATGGGAAAGAAAACCTACTGAGACTGAAAAATGATACAAGGTCAAGACAACCACTCTTATATGTAAAATAATCACATGCATTGGAGTAGAAATGAATAAAAAAAGCTTTGTTTTTTGCTCCAAAGGTACTGTAAGCTGCAGGCATGTCTGAGGGGTGAGTACCTGCATCTAAAGAGAGACATGTCGAATGCTACTTGAATTTTAAATAACGAAAATGTGTCTTTGTCTGCTTTTCTTCTCACATGATGATGAAGACCGGTGAGTCAAAATGATTCCCTTAAATTATTAAAATGGCTTTGAGTACTGAGTCAAAAATATATACATATATATATACTTATTAAGCCTAAAAAGACATTCTGATTGGGCTCAAAAATGACCTTATTTGATGTATCAAGTGCTTTATCTTTCTTACAGAGAAAGCAAAAATACTCAGCAACACGACGGCTACAATTGAAGGTAGGGATTACAAACCTTCAGTCAATGTATGAACAGGATTAACAGTATGCTACATGATCCAGGGCAGCTTTACTTTTCATCCGCACTAATTATCACCTTACTATCTTTCAGTCGAAGCTGCTCAAGAAGGCAGCGTCTATGCTGGTGGCTGAAAATGAGGAGAAGAAACGGGAGAAAGAAAGAGTCGTAAATGAGTCCTACCCTCCGCTGAAGCTGTCAGGCCTCTCAGTCCAGGAGCTCCAGGTACTCACACACCTGATCATGCTGTTTCAGTCCTTTGGTATCCCCCTCAGGCCATCTTCACAGTTCTGATTTTCTGGACAGGATCTTTGCAAAGACCTTCATCAGAAGATTGATGTCGTGGATGAGGCCCGTTATGATATGGAGGTTAAAGTCGGCAGGAATGAAAAAGAGGTAAAGTTAAACTGAGAAAATACAATTTTTTATGCATTTATTTGTTGATCAGGATGCTGCAGTTTTTGTGATGTTTTGCGGCACAGATCCAGAGCCTGAATGCAAAGATCTATGAGCTGAAGGGGGCGAGGAGACCCAGCTTGAAGAGGGTGAAGAAAACAACAGATGACATGCTTGGCGCGTGCACCGACAACTCTAAACTTATGAAGCCTGACTTTAAAGTCAACCTAAAGACAGTGAAGAAGGAGGAGGAAAAGGTAAAGTTGTTGCTATGGATGAACTTTTACAAATGAAGAGCCTGCCGTTGAAAACCAGTTCATATCTGATCTCTTCTGCAGAGGGAAGAAGTGACTGATTGGCGTAAGAACGTGGAGGCCTTGTCTGGTATGGAAGGACGAAAGAAGCTGTTTAATGCCGGACAATAAGAAGGTGAAACTATAGATGCACACATTTAAGAGCAAGAGACATTGACAGACAGAAAGCAGATCAAAAAGCTTCTTTAACAGTTATCATTTTCTGCAGATTGGGAATAATAGTATCTTGAGGAATAAATCCAAAATCCATTTACTTCCTGCAAAACCAATATTTTATCAGGGTTTTCATACCAGCTCAAGTACTAACCAAGTTTCTCTTAACCACAAACAACAAGTTCAGCTTGTGTTTCAATTCCAATTCTATCCCTTTTGTTTATCTCATTTTCAGAATTCAAGACATGGAATAAAACTGGTTTTGTAAAGATTGATGTCAACCACAGGCGCCTTTAAAAGATCCAGTCGAATGCATCTTTTCAGATTACACTCAAGTAACATAATTTTTATTATCTTGGTTTCATGTAAACTAGTATTAAGAAAACACCAATGTCAGTATGAGTGCATTGACATACACTGTAGTTCACAGTATTCCTATTTAGTGATTTTGTGCTGAAGAAAAGGCTCATGGGCTCCATGTGCTTTAAAGTGCAGTATTTGCATTATACAGATGATGGCACTGTCACACTATCTGTAATACACATGCTGATGATTAAACAACCAAGACAACCTTTCTGTTTGACTTCTTCAGTTTCTTCAGATCTCCAGATTTCAAAACTATTTTAGATCTGTTCAATTGTAAAGTTCACCTTAAAAATTTGATTCCCAACACCCTGTACTCAGAGAGTTTATCAGCAGAAACAAACTGGTGAACCTGGTGTTGAGGCTGAAGTTGTAGAAGTTAAGAAGCAAACAGCATGCTGGCTCAGGACAGAGGAGACTATTTTAGTTGGCCACTCACAGAAGACAAGAGGAGCCATTAAGTTTGACTTGGGGGTTTTCTACCTGTCATTTAAAGACAGCTGCTTCTCACCTCAGCAGGTTTTCTTCTGAGACATAAAAAAGGTATGTTGTTTTTTCTCAAGATGATATAGAGCAAAGTTTTAACAATGTGAGCTATCTAGAATTAGTTTCAGGACAGTAGAAGCTTAATTAGATGGACTTAGACATGCACTTTTACTTTAGATGTAAGATTTTGTTCAGTATGACCAAATATAAGAACTGAAAAAATGCCAAGTTAACTCAAGTGTATCTCTGTATTTAGTGAATAAAGACAAGCCTGCAGTGATTGTTAAAGAACCTCTAGGAAGAGTGTCCATTGAGTGTAACCATTATAAAATATAACTTAATTAATGTGCATTTTAGTCATTTTCTGTTGTGGAGAACACAATGACTTTGTTTGATTAATTAATCAAACCTACATATGTTAGTCTGGTTTTTCCTATGAGAAAAAAACTGGTTCTTGATCTTCATTTTGCCTTAAAAAATGGACTGATATCATAATATTATTAAATAGATATCAAATATTAAGAAAGAAATTCATTGGAAATATCTGAAGCAGTCAAGCGTGTGGAGCTGCTAATTCAAAGGTTTATTGCTTGTATGTTGATGTACCATGGAGTGGATGCCTAACATTAATGTGAGAAGTAGATACTGGGCGTTAATTTCAGAATCAGATCTATTAGTTTTAGATATGCGCTGAGTTTAGTGCTGTTTAACTATTTTATACAGTAAAAATACTCAAAGCTGATGCTTGTGTCTTCTACTGGAACGGCCACAGATGAAAATCTGATTTAGATTTTAATAACTTTATTTTTACAGAAAAAAAGCCGACCATGTCTGAAGGGTAAGTTCTATTTTTTAATCAATAATGCTTTTTGATTTTTCATTAAACTATAGATATTAAAAACTTTCTCATGCTTATTCTAACTTCTATGGTTTATTGTCCTTTCATCCTCATATTTTCTACAACAGAGGGGTAAGTTGTTCCAGTTTAAGTATTGTCATTTTTTGTTTTTTAAGTTATGTTTTACATTTCGTTTGATTGTTGTATAAATTACTGTTTCATACTTCCCTTTCTTGCAGAGAAAATCAAAGATCACTGCATCTCGCAGATTGGCTCTCAAGGTTGTTTTCTTCAGTTTTCATTCAATAATTAGACACAGAAAAAATGGCAAGAGTCCACACACAAGTGAGCAATACAGATTCTGTGCTACAAAGTTAATCGTTCTATGTTTTCATATATGTCAGACCAAGCTGCTGAAAATGGCAACAGTGATGTGGGAGAAGGAGAAGGAGGAGAAAAAGAGGGAGAGAGCGACTGCTCTGAATGAGAGACTTCCTCCACTTCAGCTGTCTGGTTTGTCCCTGCAGGATCTGCAGGTATGTGCAGGTCACTGTATCAGCAACTACCACCACCAATGTAACAACATTATTGAAATTCGTCATATGATAGCCTCTCTCTGTGATACACACAGCCAGATGCCATTCTTACAGCATGTTCATTTGCAGGAGAAGCTTTAGTGGAGAGGGGCAGCATTTTCTACATTTTATACTCTGTTTGTAGCTTCACTATAGTGACACAAGTCAAAGGACTCTTCATGTTTCAGTTTCCCAATTAATGAGTGTTGCATCTCTACGAAGGGATGAAGTCTTAAGATTGAGATGTGCTGCTCTGTAACAAGCCAGAGGATGTCAGGATTCTCTGTCATCAGTTCATCAACTGTAACGTGACTCTGTCTGTCTGTCTGCAGTCCCTGTGTAAAGAACTGCACCATAAGATTGATATTGTCGATGAAGAACGCTACGACATTGATGCTAAAGTCTCCAAAAATGACAAAGAGGTAAAAAAAATTGACTGAATTTGAGAGAATTTAATTCCCTTTCAGCTTTTTAACTTAGTCACTGACCTTTTTCATCATCACTCATACATTTCTCTGGATGTTTTGCAAAAAGCAGCACTACATATTTTCAAAGTATCAAAAGTAAACAGCTTAATGCTTTGTCTGGATAAATTAATCAATTTAAAACTTATATTTTTCAAAAGTTATACAGTGATTAAATGTGGAAATGTGTCCCACAGATTGAAAACCTGTCTCAGAAGATCATCGAGCTGAAGGGTAAGATGAAGCGGCCTGCTCTGAAGAGAGTGAAGATCTCTGCTGATGCCATGTTGGGTGCTCTCCTGGGTACTAAGGTCAAAGAGTCCGTGGACTTTAAGGCCAACCTTAAGACTGTGAAGAAGGAGGAGGAGAAGGTAAGCGGAGCTGCGATAACACTATTTAGACTTGGTTGAAGTTTTATTTACCCTGATTTCAAAGGATTTCAAGATTAAGTCAGACCAGCCTGGCTACTTGGTTCTAAACTCAGGCTTTAAACATGTTATGATGATAATGAAATGGTATTGTTATTTGTATAATTTTAAGTACAGTTTCACTGAGAATGATTTTCTTCTTATAAACAGAAAGAGGAGGTGACTGACTGGCGTAAAAACGTGGAGGCCATGTCTGGTATGGAGGGCAGAAAGAAGCTGTTTAATGCTGGACAGTAGGCTCCACATCTATGGACATTTTAGCTAAAATTCAGTTTAACTGTTTAAAAAAAGAGAGGACTATAAAGTTCATATCACTGCCCACAAAAGACAGTGACACTATTTCTTTAGAGTCTGCTGTAGACTTACAAAGAACAAAAACTATACTCAAAAGAAGAGGGCTGGGGGGTTTGGGGTGTAAATGCTGCCATTTTGTGGTGTTGACGCTTAAAAACTTCAGTTTTTAAACTTATTTTTTGATAGTCTACACATTCATCAAACAGACATTCACCTGAAATCTCTGTCTTAATCTTGAAACCTTTGTAAAAGACTGCTGTTTGTCATGATAATAAATGCCTCTGATTGACAAAGATCCTGCTGCTACTCCTTTTGTTTGTTCTTATTAATGTTGATACATTTCTGTGAGTTGGGACAAAACAAGAGGGGCCCCTGAAATTTTAACATTTGCTTAACAAAATTATGGATCAGTGAAAAAAAAGTAAGCAGAGCAACGAATGTCATAATGAAATATTCTTCGCAGTACTAATCCTAATAATAAATCACATTTCTTCTTAGACCCTTAGAGGTGTCAGATCTCTTTGAGCAGGTTCAGGCAACAATTACGTTTTTTGCACCTCTAGTTTTAAAGCCAGTGAATGCTTTATGAATGGGTGAGATCTGCAATTAACACAAAACAGAGATTTAAATACTAAACATTTTGATTTAAGATGAAAAAACACTTCATTTAACACCCCCTTAGCTTCCATGAGTCCTTTTAAAGGCAAGTTGTAGTATTAATTTTATTTACTACTTTTTAGTAGGTGGTTAAACGAGGATATCCAAGGTTGTCAGGAACATTTAAAAACACCATGCCAAAATCCGACAAGTTGGAAGCTGGGGAATGTAACCTTGCTGTAGTTTGCTTATTGCCAAAGCCACTGAATTTCCCACTCATAAACCACAACAGGGGCGTTAGTATAAAATCGTTTTGTCTGGGTAGCATCTAGTCATTCTGACTCCACTCTATCGTCCTCTCTATCAGCTCGACAGGTTGTGTGCTGGAGTTATTACTGATTTCTCTGATCATACCTACATTGTATGAATACAAGAAGCCTTTTTTGATAAATGTAGGATCCACTATTTTCACAGACCTCCATCGATATGTAAAAGAAAGTCTTCTTCATTATTTTAACCAGTTTTTTCCTTATCTATCTTCATCGATGAGTAGTAAAAAATGTCTTTCTCTCTTAAAGCAACTTTGGGTGACCTGAGAATAGTGTTTGACCTCAGGTTTGAAGGCTACTATTCTTGTTTAATCATCCACTGCCTACCTATCTTTACGTGAGGGCATGAGTCGCAGCCCTTTGAGGGACCGAACATTTGACTCCCTATTACAACAATGACGCAGATTTAACTCTGGCTGGCTCGGTTTACAACCATCAAGCCTGGAACAGCACCTGTCCTTTTTCCTCTACTCACCTAAATTAAGACAGAGTAACTTTATGCTCTGTTCCTACTCCAGAGGTGGTCGTATAACGTCTTATAAGGTTGCAATAGTTTATCATTACACACATCAAACAGTAGTGTAATGTGACTTTTGGGCTGAACAGAAAAACTGCACTGACATTATTTGTGCAAAAGGTGCATCATTAAGCTAGAACTCATCTCCAACTTGAGGACAACAATAACAACACCCTTGCCATTTGGGAAACTTTTACTGTCATAAAAAGATTCGTTACTAATTTTCAGTTACCTCTCATTTTAAATCAGTAAGGATGAATTTGTTAACTGCAGTGAGATTATTTTCACCTAAAACCAAACAGGTGAAACACAGCTATGGGAATTGGTATCAGACCCTTTTCAGTCTCTCTTGTTGATGTCTATAGATGGACATCTTAAGATGGTCCAGATTCCCACGCAGGCCGTGTTGTTTGTTCTATAAATAAAGGTGCAGAACAAGTTAATACGCTATGCAGATTTCTTCCTACTGTTTGCCTCTTTGACAGCTTTATCTGAACTCCAATGAGCTCGTCAAATGCGAATGCGTGGCAATGACCCAGCATTAATGTGGTCACCTCTTTAAATGCTCGCTGTCACTTCCCCCGACAGGTGTTATTGAAACCGCACAAGATACCCAAACGTTTGAGCCCATAAGTGAAGTTTTATTGCCCCCTTTTCCCATCTGAATATTGCTGTGATGCTATGTGCAACAGTAAATGCCACTGCTGACAGGCTGACACTAGCAGTAGCACAGACAGGAGTCTATTTCAGTGAGCCATTCACGTTTGGCACTCATACTATAAATCTGATAATTCTCCATCGTCTCTCAGAAAGCTGATTGCTGCCACGAGCAGACACTCTTTTCTTCTGTTTTTAAGGTGCAGCATAAGGAGCCGCTCAGGTACAGAGATGCTCTTATTCTGTAACTTGTGTTTGGGTCAAATCTAATGTAGTGCGTATGTGACAGTCTATCAACATGGGGTTATTATTAGAGTACTATGATTTACAAAAATACTGTATGTTGAGTCCTTCTTAATCTGCCTTGTCATTACTGTGTTGTTTAATTCTGATTTTGTTGTGGTTAACTTAAACATCAAGTTGAAAGTGGTCATCCTACATGCCTGCGGATTATCTGGCCATTCACTTTTTCTGTCGCCTATGCAGAGACTCTTGTCAGTTATGTTAACACATGCACGGACTCCATACTTTGACACTTTACATGTGATATAATTGCTTCTTAAGGTAATGTGCTACTGATTTTTAATTACTTTTAACAGTGGAAATGTATTTTTTAACATTCATAATTTTGATTATAAATAATTAAGAAAAATAACCCTCTATAATGTGATTTATATTGCTACTAGTAAGTGTAAATTACAACAGAATTACTTGTCTGGTACAATGAGTATCTTCCTCTGCTTTAAATCGCATCGCTGTAACAACTGAGTGAGCGATAAATAACTGTGTGCACCTTGCTTTAAAGGGCCAATGAGTGTTTGGAGTGAGTGAAATACTTGAGAGGTTAGAGGGATCGTTCATCTTCTCCTGTGTACAGCTTTACTTGTAGAGGGGGTTTCAATTAAGGAAATGAGCTTTGCTGGTTATTTAATGTACTATATAACTTCAGTTTTCACAAGATCATGTATTTCTTGCAAAAAGACTTCATGCTTTTCTCCACTTTGAAAATTCTAGTGAAAGGATTTGACACAACAATGGCTGAGCTGTGAGTATCATCACTTATGGTTTCTTTTAATGTCCTTATAGGATGACTAAAAGCTTTTTGTTTAGCCAGTTTTTGGTGGTCTGTATGTGAATGCGCTGACATGTGTTATCTCCTTCTTGTTATTGCTCAAACAGACCTGTGAGTATCTATCTTACGACATTTTACTAATAATTCAATATTTTAAATCCCACATTTGTCCATTAAGGCCAAGAGATAATGTGAGTAAATGTGATAGTATTTGGAGTACAGACTGAATGAATGTCATTTATTTATTATAGAAAAAATGTAAAATCTCATCCTCTCGACGACTGGGGTTGAAGGTAAATTTTCTCTTCATTTGAGACTTTCTTTGTTTATCAACACCTACTTATATTGCATATAATCATGCATACTAATCAACAGCCAAAACTAGATTAGCTAAAACGTTTAAGCAGTATGAAAATTCCCTGAAACATGAATTGCTTGTGCTGCCTGTTGTTTTAAACACATAGTTTACATTGTGGTATTTCTGTGGATGAATACACTTTAAAGGTTGTTTCATCATCATGTTTCAGTTCTCCCTATAAATTGAGTATCATTTGTGGAATTTGTAAAAACCTTTTTCCTTTTTGCCCTGGGAATTTTACGTTTTCATATGTGCTTATTTTTATCTATTTTTTTCTTAGATTAGACTGTTGGCAACGGCTGCTCAGATGCTGCAGCAGGAAAAGGAGCAGAAGATACAGGATAGAGAAGCTGCTCTTGCAGAAAGAGTTCCTCCCCTAAATCTGTCCGGCCTCTCAGTGCAGGAGCTGATGGTAAATCACTTTGTAATCATGTTTTGTCTATCTCTTTCTATCCCTTTTCCCATTTTTCTCCTACATTAGTATACCACTGAAGCATGACTTTTACTCTTCCCAAGGATCTTTGCAAAGACTTGCATCACAAGATTGATGTAGTCGATGAAGAGCGGTATGATATCGGCCTCAAGGTGAACATAAATGTCACAGAGGTGAGCTGCTTGAAAATCAATATGGTAATCAATAGATGCATGTCTATACGTTCCTGTTTCTAGTATTTGTTCTATGAAGACAATAAAAACAACATAACAAGCTGAAAATTTAACCAACACTACCTCCCAGTGGCAGGAGTGAGAATCACAACACATGATAGAGCCATGAATAGACATTTGTTATATCCCACATAGTTAATGTTAAGTTTAACATGACTCCAAATTGGTGATTGAGAGAAAACAGGAAGTGTTTGAGTAAAGCAGGAGCACACAGACTTACTCTATTTTGTGGCATTCAGGATATTTAGTCTCAAGTCACATTGGTGAACTTGCCTAAACTAAGATAAAACACAGGGCTAAATTATGACTGCTGATTTTTGCCACCAATTAATTGCATTGCCATTTAAACTTAATTGAGGTTAGACTTATAATTAATAGTACTTTAGTGCTCTAGACGTTGTGGACTCTAGTCCATAATATCTTGAATTACCCCAAAGAAGCTAAGATCCGGGTAATATGATTCTGTGTATATAGACTTGTGTTCATTTGTTTCCTTCACTTTAAAATTGTACAAAAGTTTAATAAATTGTATTTTTACCCATTAAAAAATAAAAACACTTCAGAGTTAGTTTGACCAAACAATATTTTGCATGATATTTAGAAGTATTTAATTGTGTAGCTGCAGGTTGCAACTAATTTACAACATCTCTCCTTCCGGTAACACTTCATTTGATCCCTATGTCTATAACGCATTATAAATATATGTATAATGTGTTATAATCACGTTATAGCACTGTATAACTATAATTATAAACACTCATAGATGATCAAAATACTTTATAATAATAATCATAAAACATTATAAAGCATTTTATCATGACTTACAAGGTCAGGTTTTATAATGTGTTACAACTATTTACAACTCATTGACAATGTCCACATAGATAATGTAATGCAACCGTTGTGTTGAATATACTTAGATTAATTTCTAATGTTGTGGTTCCTGAGTAGATTGAAAACATGAATCTGAAGATCACTGAGATCCAGAGCAAGTTCAAGAAACCAACCCTGAAGAGAGTGAAGATCTCAGCTGAAGCCATGCTCAGCGTCCTGCTGGGCTCCAAACACAAGGAGTCCATCGACTTCAAGGCCAACCTCAAAACAGTCAAGAAGGAAGAGGAGAAGGTAAGACAGGCCTTAGCTTTGGTGACTGTTAAATCATTTGAAGATCGGCATAGTAACCTCTTTTGTATTTCCATTTTAATGTCATGGTTGTAACAGAAGGAAGAGGTGACTGACTGGCGCAAGAACGTAGAGGCCATGTCTGGTATGGAGGGCAGGAAGAAGCTGTTTGACGCCTCTGGAAACTAGAGAAAGAAACTTTTCAGTAACACAAAATCCTTTTTGAGTAAATTCTCAATATTTCTTACCAGCCGATCCACGATTATACATTAAGATTACAAAACCTCGAGTGAATTTGTGACAACAATGAAAAACATGTTTGATATTTGTTGTAATTCCAAACAGAGGTATAAAGGACGGGGAATGATTTTCATTATAAACAAAGTCACTACAGGCTTTGAGTGGATTTTGGATGATTGGAAAAGAGGATTAAAGATTTATACTTATCTTTGAGTTTTGTAGAAGTAGTTGACTGTTGCTACTGCTAGCTGTTTTGTGTTGGTAATGCAGTGACTGTTTGTTGTAGTGTCACTCCGCTGCCATGTGATGGCAGCACAACTCTTAAAATCATCTCAGGATTCTCAGGACACACATGGGCTATCTAGAGTTGACTGTGGAGGAAATATTGTTACCCCCTCTGTTCGCCACAGTGATGAATTACCATATTTTTTGTCAGACATTAAACCTGTATTCATTATTAAAGGCATTAAAGACAGCCTAGTTAATGTTAATGCTCTGCTAGTACATTCTCTTGATGTTTGGTTGGTTTGCTTGATACAAACATGAAAATTGATGCTCCTAAAATAAAAAAGCAAACAGTCTCGACTTTGTTTTTGTCCTTTTTGTATGTGCAATCAACTTTGCAGAATCAATGTCTAACATATTTGATTTGAAGCTCCTTCAAACTAAGCACACTGTATCTTAACATAGACAAGGAGATACTAAAGAAGCATCACAGGTCCAAGTAAGAACATTCACACCTCATACTTATGGGATGTGAGAGACGCAGCGAGGACAGAGGAGCTATTTTAGTGGACCACTCACATGGGTGCTGGAATCTATATATCTACCCTCTTTCTGCTCTCCCGGGCTCAGAAAAAGACGTCTGTGGGTATTTGTCACCTACCGTATAAGGTAAGAAGTTTTACTTTAAATATCACAGAACATGGACAAAAACACATCATTGACGCTTTTTATGGATCAAATATTTGATCGTATTCTTGTTAAAAGTGAACAGAATATACTCTTACAGTAAAAATTACACTTTTGACTTTGGTCTGACAGTATTTAAACCTTTTTTGCTTGTCAACGAAAAGTCTTTTCAACAGTAAAAGGATCCTCCTCGTGTGTGTGTGTGTGTGTCAGGACCAGTTGTAACTTTTTGGTTCAAATTTCAGATCAGCTGGTTTTCTCTGATTTGTGACAGACATAAAGGACATATATGTGATTTTGATTTATGTTTTTCTTTTTTGCTGCTAATTACCATTGCTTTCATTCAGACCCGCTTTTACATAAATGTGATTGACTGGAATTAAAGAAGGTTAGCTTAGAGTAAATTAATGTTATAATGTCTAAAAATATTTGTATCACAAAGTCTCCTGCACTGTTTTGCTTGTGTCAAATCACTTTGCACGTAAAAGTATTTTTAGTTTTGTTCGACTCAGTATTTTGTGAGTCCAAGGTTTGACCTTAAGACAATGTCATATATTTTTTGTGTCACAAGTTATAGATCTGTCAGTGCTATGTAGTGTTCCCCCAACCAGGAGTGATAAATATTTTTTCTTTTTTTGGCTCTCATTTATGTCTTGCTTTTTTTTTTCACAAGTAAGAATATATTTCGACCTAAAAACAAACAAACAAACAAAAAACCCTGGCATTTAATGTTTGTCGTGTTGTCTGGATTGATAGATTGAACAGCACAGACACACAGAACTGCAGCCATGTCTGAAGCGTAAGTATCAGCTTGCAGTTTACATCCATTCAAATAATCAAATCATCATGTCAGTGAAATCACAAAAGTTGAAACCTACCCTTTTTCTCTCTTTCTTATTGAAATGTGGGCAACACCTTTGTGACTGGACAGCGCTCCGGTGAGTGGATTCTACTGTGAAAAATAGAATAGATAATATAAAATAAGAGGGGCACCAAAGTTAATATGGAAAGTTCCTTACAGAAGTTTTAAGCAGTGAATAATAACTAGGGCTTGATCACCTTTACATTTTTAAGTTAGTCAAATTACACTCCAGATTAAGACAGTACTGTATATGTAAGCATATTTTGTACCAGGATTTTATTTACGGTATATTATCACTTAAAATAGACTGTGTACACACACAATAATTGGATATTCGTTCTCTTCTTCTCCAGAAACCAAAGCCAAAAATCTCTGCGTCTCGCAGACTGTTCTTAAAGGTATTTAACGTGTTTCTCAATTATAATGCTGTAAAAACATTACAGTAAACCATCCATTGCCTGGTTGACCATGGTGTTGTTTTGTGTACACTCCAGACCAAACTGCTAAAGAAAGCCATGACTATGTTAGAGAAGGACAAGCAAACAAAAAAAGATGACCGGGAGAGGATCCTTGCTGAAAGAGTACCAGGACTCCAACTGTCAGGCCTGTCTGTGCAGGATCTACAGGTATATACATCACTATATCACTTTAACCACCAGGAGGGTTAAAGTTGTTTTGACTTTTAGAATCTGATCATAAACCTGCATGAACATTTTCAAAGAAATATTACAACCTCATAACTTTTTTCAACCTTGCCCTAGTGATATCTAGCTTTAGAAAAAAACATACATGTAATCATAGATGTTTCGAGTTATCCTTCATTGAATTCTGCTGAAAACTAAATAAGTCATTTGAATGTAATTTAGTTTGTCACCTCAAAGCATTAACAACTTGCTGGTGTGCAAGTACATCTAACTGTTGATTCTGAAATAAGGACTTTTGGGGGGCCGAATGAGTCACCTGGTTTTCATCCCTATCAACAACCTAAATAATTAGCCTCATAGCATTGAGTAAAGTTTCTCAAATGAAAGATCCTATGAGAAAAGCCCTTTGTGATACCCATATAAATTCCCCAGGATGAGTTTTGTTTTTTAATCACAAGACACAGATGAAGCATGTCTAAGGCAAAAACTGCATTGTCCACTGGGGGCACCAAAATTTACACAAACCAAAAGTTCCTTACAGGAGCTTTAATAAACAGCCCCTCAATGTGAAGAGCTAATAAAAAACACTCACAGTTAAAACCAAAACATTTTGCATTAGTGTCTTTGCATCAGCCCTTACTATGCAAGTTTATCCCAAATCAAATCTATCCAGATATGTTATTAAAAAGTCTAATACGTGTAAGGTTTTTATCCACAGAATCTCTGCAAAGAGCTGCACCACAAAATTGACGTGGTGGATGAGGAGCGGTATGACATTAATGCTAAAGTCACAATAAATGACAAGGAGGTAAGTGATTTCTACAAACTGCTTTCTAAATTTTAACCTTTGGGCAATAAATTGTACATCTTACTTCTGTTCTGTATGTAACCTCTACTACAAGTTACAGTATATTGGGGCGGGTTTGTCATTGGTGTTGCAAACAGATTCAGGACCTGTCTCAGAAGATCTTTGAGTTGAAGGGCAAGATGAAGAGACCAAACCTGAGGAGGGTGAGGGTATCTGCCGACGCCATGTTGGGTGCTCTCCTGGGGGCTAAGGTCAAAGAGTCTGTGGACTTTAAGGCCAACCTCAAGACTGTGAAGAAGGAAGAGGAAAAGGTAAGAACTTCTAGATTTACTTTAATACTATGTGATTTCACTTTATAATAACTCACTCTTTTAGGGTCGTCCACTTTGAGTGTAGGTACATTTATGTAGGACATCATTAGCAATAAATGTTCATGTCATTCTTCTTATCAAGACATGTCAAAAGCATGTGTATGTTCATATTTTCTTATCCTCAATACTGTACACCCATATTTATTTAAAACAATCCTTTCACTCAACAGAAAGAGGAAGTGACTGATTGGCGTAAGAACGTGGAGTCCATGTCTGGTATGGAGGGCAGGAAGAAGCTGTTTGATGCTGGACAGTAGATTTTCTGAATGTCTTTGAGAAGACGTTTGGTGCTCTTAAACAGGTGAAAGCAGGGAATAATGAATTCATTTAATTTGAACAGTTTACATGAACACCATATTATCAGCATGTCTGGCACAGTTCATGTATCATGAATTGTGTAAATGTCAATAACTGAACATGTTCAGCTTGATGATAATTTACAGAATACATATATTTTTTAATATAATGTATGCTATATTATGAAAAACATATGTATTTAATGTACTATAGCTCTGCATTGCTTTTGTAGTTTTTTAGTATGCATATATACTCCTGAACACGGCACCACTACTGGCTGTCCAAATCATCTGTCGTAGAATTACCAACTTGCTTTTTGACCAGCTACAATAAACACACAAGAAACTGAAGACTGGTTGGTTTGTCCACAATTGTGTATCTGATTCTTTTTCCTGTTCATTCAAATTACACATTTTACTTTACAGTGATGTGATTTCATAAATGGGAAAAGGTATCTGTCCATTGAATGACAAAAACGTTCAAGAATCAATGAAATACTGTTGAACTCTGGGTGTTTCAAACAAGAAAAAATACAAGAGTAACTTGCCCAATGTTTTGTAGTCTTTCAGTTTTAAAATGTGACTCTCCTTATACCACTGTGTAAATATTTGTATACTTGTAAGCAACACAAATATGTATACCGCCCAGTCATTTCTACTAAAGTAGCTTTCCTTTTAGCAACTTTGGTGCTTCATTTTATCCTGAGATAATATGTTAAATCTTTTAATTGATCAATAAATTTGCGGATGGAATATGATACCTGGTGATCAATAGTAGAAACATCCTATCCTACTGTCACCTTGATTTGCTGCAGCTCACCTGCCATATGAGGCCACAAAGCTATCCCCTCAGTATCAACCATTAGCTTCAATCTTTGCCATCACAAGACTGCAAGTGGATGTATGTGCAATGATACTCAAGTAATTGTATTAAATCAAGTTTTAAATAATGACACCTAGGTTCAGCATTCAAAAACTCTTCATTTCTGCCTGAAAAGGCTGCTTAACAGTATAAGTTGCACCTTGCAGGTCCAAATCAGCCACATCTACAGCCTGCATTACTTCCAGTTTACCACACACTTGCAGCAATTCAATTAAAGGGATATTTCGGCGTAAAATTAAGTTAGGGTCGAACACACCGTAACACCAAGTTAGACACGCCATCGAGAGATGAATGTTGTCGACCGCTTGCTTCTCTCGTTGTACCAACTTTAGTAACGACCGCACGATAGCAATACACAGCGGTCTGAGGAGCCATAAACAAACCTCAACCAAAAAGCCACTCTATAACCACAAATAATGCTCATAACAGCGACATCTTTTTAGCTTTAGTTTCTTTAGCAAAGAGACTAAACACAACTCACCCACTCTCTTCCAGCAGCCGTTTTTATGTAGCAAGACCTCAGGCTAGTCCATTACAGACTGCAGGGGGGTGACGCAGCTCAAGGAAGAACATTTATGATCATTTCTTTATCATTTCCTTGAAGTAATAATCGTCATATTCATCATTTTGCACTGCAGATGCTATAGTTCTTCTGCCTTACTGTCTCGGTCCGATTTCATCTCCAAAAAGTAAGGATCATAAATGTTCTTCCTTGAGCTGCATCCCCCCGCTGTAGTCCGTAATGGACTAGCCCAAGGTCTCACTACAAACAAATAGCTGTTGGATGAGAGTAAGTGATTTGTGTTTAGTCTCTTTGCTAAAGAAATGAGGCGAAGTTAAACAGATGTTTGGTGGCTAGTGCTATGGTTTGGTTGAGGTTTGTTTGTGGCTCCTCAGACTGCTGTGAATTGCTATCTGCGGTTGTTACTTAAGTTGGTTTAAATAGAGAAGCAAGCGGTCGACAACATTCATCTCTCGAGGGGGTGTCTAACTCGGTGTTACGGTGTGTTTGACTCGAACTTAATTTCACACCGGAATATCCGTTTGAACTGCTGTCTTCCCTCCAACAAACACCATAAATCCTCTCCAAACTGTAAACTACCAAACACACCGACTGTACCTCTCCTCCAACACATCCAAGCTTGAGAGGCGACGGTTACTCCCCTCCCTCTCTCCTCCACTGCGAACGTGCGTCTCTGTGACTACTACTCCAAATATGGGCATGACGACTGTCCAATAGGTCCCGCCCACTTGTGATACCTTCTATTCCGATTAGAGGAACTACATGTCAGTCTTCAACGTCTCCGGGAACACAGTTTTACATGGCCCGCCATGCACTGTCTGTCACAATTACAGCTGTACTAGCGACATTTAAGCCGGATTTAAAACCGAAACAGGGTAAGCGGACATTTTATCAGTGTTTTTATCATATTAGGACGGAGTTGGCAAATGCCTGGAGCTCTGTGTGAACAAACGTTGAAGCGGTTGTTTACTCCGTATTGGTCATTTATGTAGCATCACATCCATCCATCCTTTCACATAAAAGCTAAATAGCAGCAATAGATGAAATATTTGCACACATCTCTTCGTTAATATCCTCTGTATCCGAGTTCAAAGATTGTGTCAAATCTTAAAGTTAGGATCAGTTTGTAGGGTTACTGCCAAAGCGATCTGCCTTTAGCCTGTCAACCTTTTAAAGACAACCTTTAACCTTTTACATGCCCTGCCTCCAACAAGTTGCTACTGAACCCAGATCAGATGCACAGACTTGTGACTGTATATTGCAAGCAGTCTTTCCTGTTTGAATTTTATGCACTTTCTTTATTAGTTATACTATCACCATTTTTATGACTGTTTTGCTTGTTTTTGCAGGCTTCTGTTTCTGATGTCCAAGTACAAACTGTTTTTGCTGAGGCATGGGGAGGGGAACTGGAACAAGGAGAACCGTTTCTGCAGCTGGGTTGACCAGAAACTGAGTGAGGCTGGGGTTAAGGAGGCCCAGGATTGTGGAAGACTCCTGAAGGAGCAGGGCTACAAGTTTGATATAGTATTCACCTCCATTCTCAGCCGCTCCATTCAGACAGCATGGCTTGTTTTGGAGGCGATGGGTCAGGAGTGGGTCCCCGTGGTCAAGTCCTGGAGACTGAATGAGCGGCATTACGGGTCTCTGATCGGCTTAAACAGGGCAGAGATGGCTCAAAAACACGGGGAGGAGAAAGTGAAGCTGTGGAGACGGGGTTACGACATCACTCCACCTCCAATTGATGAATCCCATCCCTACTTCCTGGAAATCTACAATGACCGCAGGTACACCACTTGTGATGTGTCAAAGGAGAACCTTCCCCGTGCGGAGAGTCTAAAGGAGGTGTTGGACCGGCTGCTGCCATACTGGGAAAGCACAGTGGTGCCAGAGATAAGGAAAGGCAGGACTGTGCTAATTTCTGCTCATGGAAACAGTTGCAGGGCTTTGCTGAAACACCTGGAAGGTATGTCATTGAACTGAAACAACACTATCTCACACAGTGTTAGCCTTTGTGCTGTGAATGCAAACAGTTGAATTCAGCTGTTTTAGTCATCAGAGTGAGTGAATTGAAAGGACATTTTTTTTAGTTCCAGAAATGGAAGGTTGAACTTGTGCAAAAAGACCAGAGAGCTTATGTTACATTGGCTGACCTTTATCACACTCATAAGCTTTGGAGGCTCTCTGTGCTACTGGACACTCTGCAACATAACTCTTACATAATATTGTCCAGTAGAGGATATATATATATTTATTATACGTACACGCTGGACTTTTAATATAGTAACACATATTGTAATGAACTCTGAGGGTTTTATGACAGAATTCATATAAGTTGTGAGAGACTAGTTTTAGTGTGTGTGCCATGTCTGATCTAAACTTCCTTGTCCTTATTTTAACAGGGATATCTGATGAGGATATTGCCGGTGTGACATTACCTACAGGGATACCTGTTCTACTTGAAATGGATGAAAACCTGAAGCCTGTGAAACCCCGACAACTCTTGGGAGACCAGGCGAAGATTCAGGCTGCAATTAAAAAGGTGGAGGACCAGGGAAAAGCCCTACCTTCAACTTGAATAGACTGAACTGGCTGTACGACCTAACCTAGCTCCATTTTTGTTTCACATGGTCATTCTTAAAGACAGAAAAGCTAACTGAACAACATTAGATTAGAGGAACAAGTTGTTGCAGGAGTTTAAAGGATTCTTGAAAGTCTTACGGTGATGTTGCTGCATGTGTGATATTTACCTGACCTGGATGCATAGGGGTGTGTCACAGGTCAGACGGGTGAGAGACGGGCAGGAAAAAGATCAGAGATGTACTGTAAATGTTTCAGCACTGTGTTGAGTTGTATTATGTGTAAGCACTGAGGAGGAGTTCGGTTTGTATGTTGTTTTTAAGCTAACTGCCCCCATTTCTGCCTGTACAATGACCCTTGTGTGGTTATTTATTTATTTAACTATTGATTAATAATAATGTGGTTTGGCAGCAAAATCTTGACGATTGAAGCTTTCCTGTTACATTGATGAGCATTAGGAAATATCTCCTTGCGTTTGTGGCTTGCGATCGTGTGCCTTTAGTGTAAACGTAGCGCTCATCTTCTTTTAAAAGCTTCCTTTAAGTCGAGCTTCAAACAGCTCTTTAGGGGTTTTTGTTTAAAGAGGATTTAAAGTAAAAGCTCACTGTAAACAAATCTTACCTCACAGACATTGATAGCCAGGCTGTCCATTCCAAGAATGAGTCAGTGTGAGCCACTAAAGTGCTGTAAATATGCGAAACTGCTGAAATACTCCACTACTTCTTTACTTTCCAAGAACCATAGAAATGCCTACTCATATACTAAAGTAACGTGTTTACTGTGAGTAAATAAGACAGCTGAATTTTAAGAGTTTATGCTGGAGAGTAACTTTGTCATAACGTAGGTGGAGTTTAAACACTGTGGCAAATAAGCGTGGCTATCTGATAACTTCTTTATAGTCTGCACTTTTTGGAGAATATTTTAACTATTATTTTTAAACGTACTGCCCTTTTTATTAAATGCAACAGCTGTGAATGGTAAATACAGTTATTTTTGATGCATTTGACAAGCTTAATTTTAAAAAGAACAAGCACTATCAAGGTTTTTGTTTTATACTCTATCATTTTATCAGACATGTGCAATTTACTTATTTACTCATTTAAGGTCAATAATGTTACAAACCACTCCCAAACCCTTACATTTTGTCTCATATAAGCACTATTTTAGGTTACAACTGTTTGTTGCACAAGCTACTTCATTGTTTTGTGTATAGTATGATGTGTCTTCTGTCTCAGTGTTTTGTTTTGTTTGTCTGCCACTGTTGTCATACACTGGTCTGTTGGGTCAAAAAAGGACAAAAACAAGCATTTGTGTACACTAAAGAGTAAAAACTATGATATGTAATGTCTTCCCTGCTGTTAACATCTTCCAACCTATGAGACTGCATGCTGAAATAAAAGGGAAATAAAATGTTCATTTGGACTATTTTCTCTCTCTGACCTTTTTTTAATCCAGCATCATTAATTTGCAAGATTAGCACATGCTTAATAGCACATTGACAAAAGTAATCATGCCTTCCTGTTGTGGAAATAAAGATGTGTGTCATTTAGATTCTGCTCACCTTTAGACTGCTAGAAACAACAAACCACTGAGTGTGTTTGGGTGACAGAGATGGATCCAGAGGAGTGGTCCTTCTTTTGTAAACCATCTCTGAAACTCGGCCAAACCAGAGAGGCTGAGCCAGAAAGAAACCCTCTTGTTGGATTGAAATGCTCTTAAATGAGCTGAATGAAATGCAGGATTCTTATTGCCATGGATGTTTAGCAGCAGTGGCATCGTGTCAGGGTGCACATCATGCTGTATGGACAACACATTCTCACATGAGGCTTACAGAGGCAAGCACCTTTTATTTTAAAGAGGCATCTATAAGGTGTGACACTGAATCAGGCAGCTGTTATATTTAGAGCATCTGTAAGGTGGCTTGTGGTGCGATCACATTTAAAAGGTTAAAATGATCACTGGCCCCTTATTTACTTTAAAACAACGACTCCAATTTTCAGATTCAAAAACTTTTACAATAAAAGAATGTGTACAAACTGCAGCATTTAAAAACCGCTCAGTGATAAATCCACACCATCCCTGAGCTGCAGCTGCATCTGGAGCAGGCGGGGCTGCACACTGAATGCTGTGCATATAAACCTCTGGTTGCTCTTCTTCTGATGATCTCAAACAGGAACAGCAACTCTGGTCAGTCTGCCTGGTAAGTTTAATGATGATAATCTGTGTTATGTTGCTGTTATGTGATTCAGATCTGAGGTGTGATACTTAATTTATGCTTATGGTGTTGGTTTTTGGGATTTAGAGCTGACTCCTATCTCTGTTGAACAGATCCTTTTAGAGATTTAAGACTACAAAATATTGTGCTGGTGTCCAAATATCATTCGTTGTCATGAAAAAGTTCAGTCTTATAAACAAGACTCAATTCTTAACAACTGGTTTAGATGGGTTAAAGATGCTAAAATTAATGGTAGGATAAGTTATGCATGAAGTTCTTCCCTGTCAAAATGTTTTGATTTAATCTGATCACACTGATAGTAAAGCCTTGAAGGAAATTGCTCGTATGTTTGAAAGCTCAAAAAATAATCCACAGATATGGGAAACTGACATCATCTTACAAAATAAAAGATAATTAGTTTAAAAATTTTCATTGAAAGAAAGGATTTATTCAGAATGGAAATGCATATAATTATTCTATTTAAAAAAGTAATACTAATAATGATACACAGTCATACAAAAGTTTCATGGAGATTAAAAATACGCTCTCGTATACCTCTGCAAATCAGTAGTTTTCCTTTTTTTCTTCTTTTCACTGATGCCAAACACTTGAGCACTTCTGTCAAACTCCGAAAACGCTTTAATTTGACATCAGTGTCTGGTAATCATACATAAAGCAGACATCTGGCTGTGGAAAAGTTCTTTGCTGAGGTTAACTCGTCAAGTCTGACTCCTATTCCTTAGATGGTATTGAAGATAAAAGCTACAGACAGATGAAGTGTGAGAGTTTATGGCCACCGACACGTTTCTCTCTGGAGACTGGAAGTGTGTTCGTATGTGGAGAGCATACTCCCCTCTCAAATCCCCTTGAGATAACTTTTCATTGCAAGAGTTACACCAAGCTTATCTTTAACATTCTGTTTAACTGTGAATGACCTGTTTAAGCAATGGAAAGATGCTTCAACCATTTATCTTCAATCTAGCTTCACAGTCTGCTCAGACAAGAAAGAGTGCAATTACAGCTGGAATAAGTTCTTTTTTAACAACCCAAAAGTTGTGAATAAAAAGTGTTTGTGAATCATATTTGTCAAGTGAGAATCTATTACGGGGAGATTGGGATGCTTGTGTTTTATTAGAAGCACAAACATGTCCTAATCTTCTGTTTTGACAGAGAGAAAGACTGCCTGCTTCCTTTTACAGATAGGATACTTAAAATGCCACAGTGTAATTGACTGTGAAATCAGTGGAGTCAATCGGTCTGCCATCGTCTGCTTAAATGTGAAGAAAAACAGCATTTCTCATAACAACACCAGAACAGTTGATAAGTTATGTTTATTTGTTTTCATATCCATCTGTTTCTATTTAGTTATAGAGATGTATGATACAATCACAACTTTAGCAGCCAATCTTACAATAATAAGCAGCTTCTCAGTTGTACTCTGTCTCCCAGCAGGATTATATAAAGGTGATCACCCGCAATCACAATGTAAATAGGTTATTCTTGGATTGTCACTTTGTACAGCAGCAGGTATTTCCTAGAGTAAACCATGCTTACTGCCCTTGGCCCTTAACTTTGCCAAGCTGGGACACTACGACTAACAGTGCCTGTGAACTTCCTTAAAAGGAGGCTGAGTACACCATCTCAGCTGACGGGATGCAGAACAGGGAGTGCACGGAGCTGCATTTCCATTGAATATCAGCTGATGAGGAACTATAACTCAGCTTTACAGTCAAATTATATTAGATTCATGTTCGCTCTCATTGTGAAAATATAGCAAGCAAGCAGCAGTTTCCTCTGTTTTGAGACACACCTGTCAGTAGATGATGGATTACTCATGTCCTGTTGCCTCTCAAAACAAAGCTGAGCTGCAGAGCATGGGGTTGAGAGCTGAAGAGCTTGAGTGAGCGTCCTGCTGTTAACATGGAAAAAAGGAGACAAGACCTTTTCAGACTCCTCATTTCACCAGATGATAACAACTGTTTGGTACATAAACAGAAAATGTTTTCATCACAGTACGTTGGGGTTTCCACACTGGGAAGAACTTGTATCCTGGTCCTTTTCATATGTGACCATGTTTGGTCATGTGGAGTAAGCAGCTGTTGCTCCTTGATTGATAGCAAACGCCTCTCAGGCAACTGTTTATGCTGTCAGGGTGTGTAAGCACTGTTTTATCTTTTAAAAAGAATTTCCTCTGATTTCACATGTAGATTTCTCTGAAAACTACGCACACATTTTAAATATTTAACTTTAAGATTTAACTCTTGTGAGGGAAATGACTAAACCTCAGAGTCATCAACCTTACAGCATGGATTAATAGTAAATAATTAAACTAATAGCCCATTAATTTGACCTTTAAAAGTTTAACTAGCAGCAGTTTTGAAAGTGAAAGTGATTTTTAATAAAAACTTAATATTTTTCAGATTTCTGGGGGTCTATAAGAGTCATTAAAAAGTGTGTTAACACTGAAATAACTTTCAAAGCGAACATGTGAAACCTCCAAAACACAACTGAGATGTAAAACATAATGGAAAGGGTAGAGATCAATGTGGTTATAAGATTTGATATCTGGCTTAGAAAAGACAATGTGAATGATGTAGCTCCTCCAGAATAGGACTTTTCACCAAAATGTATAACTTTTACTTCTTTTTACCCTCTCATTCAAAGTTTTTAGCCCGACAGTAAATTAACAGACCTTTGAATGACATGTTAGATGGCTAGTTATTCACCAGAGACAACATATTTTAAAAAAGTAGCTTCTTTTGATGTCTAATTTGATGTTTCTTCAGATGCTTTCGGCAAAAAGTAGACAAGTTTGTCCCTCATATTTAATCTTTTCAATCAAACTCCATACTGACCTTACTAAATCAAACTCTGACTGAACAGCTTTATCTTACAGGAGGCCTGAACTGTCTACTTGTCGAAGCCCATATTTATTGTCTGGTAAGGGTTTAGGAACAGGGCTTAAACTGTAAGCATGCCACAATGAGGGTTTGGAGAAAAATCGGCACAGATATGTGAATGACAAAGGGATCACATAAGACTGTTAGATGAACTTAAGTCCTCTTTATGACAGGATGACTTTAACAAGCACATGCCCTGAAGTTTGATAGTTTGGAGCTTTCAGCTTCGTTTATATTTTGGAAAGACATTTCCATCTAAATTAAAATACCAATATTTCCAGGTCTCCATCCAAGAGAGAACATGTAGTGACATTTGGCTGCTTCAGTGTTAAAGCAGAAATAAATCAAAGCTGACAGCACACTTCTAACCCAAACTGATCACCTGTCAGGTAACTGATAGGACAGCTGTCATGGGGAGCTCTGATTTAGGCGTCCACCCAGTGTGCGTGTCCACCTGCATGAACACCAACACGGGGTAGAAAGCCTTTTTTCACCCTGAGCTGTCAGTATGCTAGGTTTTTACACCTTAGAAACGCAGAACTTCAGTGGCCGTGCTGGACTCCGGCCAGTCTAAACAACCCTAGATCCAGACTCTGACATGTCTGTGAGCTGTTGGCCTGCTTAAGAGAGTCTCTGTGTGCTGGTCGACTGAATCCATAATGCTCCCACTCCTGCCTCAAAGTCAGACCCACCCCAGACTGTTATTGGTCTTATATAAGAACAGTTGTATAGGGGGGAAATGAATAACTGAGGTGAGACTGAAGACATGAAAGCTTCACATCTGTAAAAACTGGAAAGTAGAGCAGATGTGAGATTTGATGCCTTCATTAGAAATGTGGTTGTCATGGATAGGACCACACAAATGAAGTGGTTGATAATGATGATGAATAATGCAGACTGGTTTGGTCCTCAGGACACAGTGTCCATGCTGACATGATGGTGATGACTGATGCAGAGATCCTGAAGTACTTTCTTCACTGTTTCTTTAAGACACTTTGTGTAACAGTTCATTATATTAATGTGGAAGGCTGAGTGACAACTGCATTAGTTTGAACCATTTCAGAAATTTGAAAGCTGAATCAGCAAATCTTTTTGGACACTTTTGTGGAAGTTGTATAAAGTTGTTAGTGTGTCAAAGAGAAAGTCTAGCTGCTCAATGCCAATGGTATGGAGGTATGGTTGAATCTCCTGAAATGTAGGTTTGGCGTGTGAAACAGGGGGTTAGACTCTGGCAGTGGTGATGATGAAGGAGGGATACAGGGTAAGCTGAGGAGCAGGGCCTGAATTCTGATGACAGTGACTGAGGTAGAGGTGGATTGCAATGATAGTATTATGCTGCATTCTAGTTGTACTCAGAAGTCGGGATTTCCGAGCTCCGAGTTGGAAATTCATCTGGAACGCCCCCCTGAAGTCGGATTTCCAACTCAGAAAGTCGGACGATCCTCATCGACCCCAACTTGACGTCCATCTTGGTTTTCCGACTTGTTTACTGGAACGCCGTCAACTCAGAAGCAACATCATTCCTGGCTCCGACATCCGACTTCCGAGATAACTGGAACACCGCATTAAAGCACTGACTGACAGCAGAATAGAAGAAAACAGTTTAAAGCTCCTCTGATGAGATTTCGATTTGTGTCAATTTCAGTGCCCCCTGTGGACAAAGTTGTCTTTGCTTTGTCTTCTACATGCTTAAGTAGTGTCATCCTGCTGACTTCTGACCACTACATGTATAATTTTTTGGGAATATTTAATGAAGGAAATGCAAAAACAGGACTCTTTGTTTAGCCGTTCCACTGACCCCCACTCTTCATGGGTGCTTTAAATTGAAGCTACATGTTGTTGGTTTAGTATTTGTTAGAGTTAATGGCCACAAAAAGCTGATACCAGAAGGACAAATACATGGATTGACATGAGTGATGACTTCAGAGTGAGAGACCATGGGCGTGGTAGTGGGCGGAAAGTGGACCTGACTACCCAGGACCCCGGGCATGGATAGGGGCCCACTGACATTGAGAATTCACAGGGCCCAGAATTTGGTGCTATGCCCCTGTGAGAGACAAAATGAACGAGTCTGTTTAGATTCACTAATCTGGATCAAGGTGTTGGGCTGTTCATTTCCAGAATTGCCACTTCATTGTTTTCTGGACACTGACCAATGAACGCCTCTCCAAACCTCTACAAATACTTCTTGAAAAGTAACATTAATGGGTTTTAATGAGTCACAGTTCTGTTTTCCAGGGAGGATGTGTTTATGATGGCTTTGTGCATTTCTGAGAAAGCTCTCAACTCTCTAGTTACTCAAAGAGTGTCTGTATTGGAAAAAGACCACCTCTAAATCACTCAGTTTATAAGCCTCAAAGACTGTATATGGTGTAAAAACTAAACTGTTTCTCTGTCCCACTATGACTTGTTGCTCATTGTTGGTGGGCTCCTCTTCAGATCTGAAGTTGTGGATCTCTGAATAAGGGGTGATGAATAAAGTGGGCCTCTTTATGACCTCATATGATCAAGATAGCTGAGCTCAATTGGTTTGGACTTGTTAGGACATGAAAGTCATATAGGGAGGGGAAGAACAGCTCTTAATAGTGTGCAGTTCATATCAAGAAAAAGTGAGCTCACATCGTCATAGTGTCGTTTGTTAAAAGACGATTGATGCACGCTGTCATGCTTGAAATGGTGTCATTTTCTTTTGGTATTTTTTCCAAATGAATGTAACTCAGTATGTTTGTATTCAGTATGAAATAACAGACATTTTAGTCCTGACTTACAAGAGTTGTAAACAAATACTATTGCCTCTCTCTCTGCCTTTGGACTAATTTTAAATACTAACTGGGGCCAGTATGGAATTGTGATCTTAATAAAGCTTAGTTTGGCACATTTTATTCTCTTCTCACAAACCTAAAAGAGAAGTTTTTGTTTCAGATAAGGCCATGAATCAATCAAAAAGAGATATATGGAAAGAGTCAAGGGAAACAAGACACAACAAACAACACAGAGGGATAAAACAGGACAAACCTAGACTAACCACTTGGGAAAATATGGAGTCAGAGATCAGGGAGGGAAAGTGAGATGGAGGGAGAGGGCAAGAGTCAGGTTAAGGAGGAGGAGGAGGAGGGAGGCTGTAGGAGAAACTGAGGGGCGCTCAGAGGCAGGCTTTGCCTTTTCTGGTAGTTAAAGTGGCTGAGAGAACAAGCAGGAATTCTTAGTGCTGCAGAAGGGCCGAGATATAAACCAGACTGTAGAAGTTGATGTATGAAGAGAGGGGAGACGCTGCTGTTCATGGACCTAACTTCAGCCACTGCAGAGGTATTATAAACCAAAAGGAGCTATGATGTTCTTTATGTTTCTCTCTGTCGTGAGGATGTGCTGTGTAGTCTGCACTTATTGGCACTTTATTGAGTACATTTTTATTAGACTAAGCCTTGTATTCGAAGGGAAGCTTCTAAATTACCTTGATGATGGACTGAAATTCACCTCACCATTATTTAGTAAAACGGTGTTTTCAGACATGCCATGTGCTGCAGTATTTGCAGTATGTCCAAGCATATAATTAATGTTGATCAAGTAGATGCAAACTAGCTGAGAGATCATATCTAAAAATTATCTGAAATTTTGACGATAATCTGGAATAATCTGGAATCATGACTGCGTGTTTCAGTGAAAAAGAGAGGAAAATCTTTTGGGCATCATGGACGATGACTTTGATCGCCGCATGGAGCTGAGGAGGCAGAGGAGGGAGCAAATGCGCCTTGAAGCTGACAGGTAGGCAACATAAACATGCACAAACATGCATATATATATATACATGGAGATCTGTGAGCAAATGCATGCTGAACTTGGTTTGAAAATGTAAATAAATGGTGTATATTGTACCAATGCTAATAGATGTCCTACATCACGTCATCTTCAGTGATGTTTCACTTTGTCCACCACTGGTCCTGTGCAGAGCAGAAGAGAGCAGAGTGGATTTAGACTGTGATGATAATGGTTTAATCATCTGTGCCGCCCTCTTTGCTCACCAGAGAGTCAATCTACTGTGCTTCTGTTTGGGTTTGTCTCCTAATGCTGTCACCTCCTTCTGTCTCTCTCTGCACTTGAATAAATACAAAAAATACCACTTAAAGTTAATGTTGACATCAGCTTTTGAATTACAACACCTGCTTATGAGTGCACCCAAAGAAAGACAAACTGGATTTTATGTAACAGAGACCAACGTACCAACTGATATCTACATCTCTGTAACCAAATGATAAAATCTTAAATATAAACCATATTAGAGCCATCAGAGCAGGATTTGTTAATTATAGCAATGTAAAATAGTCCAAAACACAAGAGGGATATCACTCCTTGACTTTGTGCTTAGATAGTTAAAAACTTCATCTTCATAAAGTCAGTCAACCGTATTTTGGAAAGAAAGTACTTATTCCTAACCTTTGTAGAAAATCAGCAAATCAAGAGGAAATAAATTGAGTTTGGGGCTGACAGGGTCAGCAGTGGAAACAGATAAATCATGACCCCGGAACATTTTCAGCTGTTCTTTTAATAATTAATATTGTGGAAATTATGAACTAGATAGTAAGCAGTCAGGGTGTCTGTTCAGAATTTATTGGCCGTCATGTTTGATATCTGATTAGAGCTACAGAGGAAAAGAAGACATTCCTGGCAATTTTTCTCACAGTCGTGCAGCCAGCCCGACAAGTGGTGCCAACACAGCCTGACCTGCCTTTTTCTAAACACACACACACACACACACACACACACACACACACACACACACACACACACACACACACACACACACACACACACAGTTTCTCTCAGCCCCAGAAAACACTGGAGGCTAGGCTTTGCTCAAGATGACTTCCTTTTAAACTTTGGATTTGATTGATCCATTCGGCTGTTTTTTCTTTATCTCACTTAATTCATCTAATCCATCCAACATTTCAGCTGGAAACTGGCTCTGGATGGAGTGACTTAAGCTGACTGAATGATTTCCCTGGTCATTTGTGGATCAGGGCTGTTTGTGGGAGCCTTTGCCCAACCTTTGTATTTCCCCTTTTTTTGACTCCTCTGAGTCAAAGATGGACAGGATTCCTGCCATCTTTTTTCCCCTCATAGCATCTGCTAAAGACTGTACTGTGGATTCAGGGAAAGTGAAAAGACATAATACCAGTGATTTATCGGTGGGCTATTTCTAAGTCTCCCTCTGAGCCTCATAAAGCCTCATCATGCTTGTAAAGATTCAGCACAGCACGTTCAAAAGTTTCACAGAGGATGAAGATACAACTGGAGATAAAAACCGTTGTCAATATGAATTGAGAGAATCTTTTGTTCTGTTCTTTAAAAAGAAAAAAGTGAAAAGAAAAAGGTTTTACTACAACTCAGAAAACTCACATTTCTATATGTGTGACACTACAGTGTTGGTTTTACTAATGAAGACGATGAGGAGGAAGCTCGAGAGCAAAGGCGACGCGCAAGAGAGGAGAGGAAGAAGATGAGGGAGATGGAGGAGTCCGGAGGCACTGAAGTGATTAACACCAACAGGTACGGTTTGAAAGCCTAAAATCTCTTCAGTGAAAAGAGGAATAAGCAGGTGAATTACAAAGATAACTGGGACCAAAACAAGAGGGGAAGAGATTGACAGGACAGTGCGTTGACTGTAAAGCTGCCACAAAAATCCAAAGACTGGAGTGGCCTCTGACCATCGATTTGACGAATACTGGAAGTAAATGATGCCATTCAAACTTGATAAATACTCTGAATACACTGAATTTTGTGCCGTCAGAATTATATGTTTTACATGATGACAAATGAATTGATTCCTACTGGCATGCCTTGTTGAATAGGCACAACATATGACCAGAAATGGGATAAAATGGTTCAAATGAGATCTTTTTTTAACTTCAATTTGTCAGTCATAAGCCATGTCAGGTAAATATATTGAGCCGGAGACTGTAAGATAATTGGAGCAAATTTTTACTTCGGCTTTCCCTTCAAGAAGAAAACAGGTCTATCACAACAGATTGTATTATTTGTATTTGACTGTGATGTATTGTATTTTGCTTTTTTCCTTATAAAGCACTTTGTTTAGGCTGTAAAATTAAAGGTTGACTTGATTTTAAAGTGTTATTTGTATACTAGCCTGTAATAGTCAACTTATCCCTGGTTTCATTTGCTAACAGCGTGACAGAGACGGATTCCTCCACCACAACAACAAGCGCTGGTGGTGCAGACGATGACCAAGTTCTCCTGGACCGGCTCGCTAAAAGGGAAGAGCGCCGGCAGAAGAGGATGAAGGAAGCCATGGAAAGACAGAAGGACCTGGACCCCACCATCAGCACCACCAACGGTACAGACAACATGCCAGAAGAGCAGACAGAAGAAGAGGAGAAAAGGGAAGAGGAGGAACCAATCAAAGAGGAGGTAGCAGAAAAAGATACAAACTCCTGGAAGAAAAATGAAGAGGAGGAGGAGAAAGAAGAGGAGAAGGTAAAGTGAGAGATGAGTGGAGATTTATCAGTAACATAGTTTGGAAGAGATCATCTGTTAAACTTCTTTTCGTGTCTCTTGACAGGAATCTGTTGCGGAATCTGAAACAGTAAACGTAAATATTGAGGTATCAACTCTTAATTTAGATTTGTGTTTGTAATTTTATGAAAAGATGAACAAAAAGTGACCGAAAACAATCATCCTTTAGGTGGAGACTGAGGAGAAGAACGAGGAATCAGAAGATATTCAGCAAGAAGATGCCGAAGAGAAAATTATGCCTGAAGTTGATGAGGAGGAAGAAAGGAAGAAGAAAGAAGAAGAGGAAAAACAGCAACAAGAAATCTTGAGGCAAGAGGAAGAGGAAAAGCAAAAACGAGAAATGAAAGAAAAGCTCAAGGAAGAGGAGGAAGAAAGGCAGAAAAGAGAAGAGGATGAACGGCAGCAAAAAGAAATGGAAGAGAGGCTGAGAAAAGAGGAAGAAGAAAGACAAAACCAGGAGATGGAGGAGAAACTGAAGAGAGAGGAAGAGGAGCAGCAGAAAAAGGAGATAGAAGAGAGACAGAGGAAAGAGGAGGAGGAGATACGAAAGAAGGAGATGGAGGAAAAGAAGAAGAAAGAAGAGGAGGAGAAACGGAGGAAAGAAATGGAAGAGAAGAAGAAAAAAGAGGAGGAAGAAAAGCAGAGGAAGAAAGAGCTGGAGGAGAAGAAGAAGAAAGAAGAGGAGGAGAGGCGGAAAAAAGAGGTAGAGGCTAAGAAGAAGGAAGAGGAGGACAAGCGGAAAAAGGAGGCTGAAGAGAAGAAGAAAAAAGAGGAAGAGGAGAGGCGCAAAAAGAGAGAGATGGAGGAGCAGAAGAAAGAGGTACTGACATTTACCAACAACGACTTAAACCCCAGAAAACTCACATAAAGCACGAGAGTTCATCAGTAAACAGTTTGAAGTGACACTTTAACCATTTTGAAATGAGATGTGATTCATCTGGCTCTTTTGATATCGCCTTTATAACATCATTTTCCTGGTTTAATATTATTTTTTTAGGTTCCAAACATGTCGTGTTGACAGTGAGCCTTCTGTTTTCAGTAATTCAACATGTGTTTATCTTCTTTTTGAAGGAGGAGAAGCCAAAGAAGTTCGGTTTCAAAGAAAAGGTACAAAACATGATCGTCATACCGTACATTGGATCCTTTGTTTTTAAATGTTGAAGATAAATCATGAGGGGGAAACTGTTCACTGTTTAATTATTTCCTTTTTCTCCTGGAAGAATGAACCAGCCAAACTGACCGGCAGTCCCTTTGAGAGTAAACTCAAGAAAACAGAGAAGACAAGGTAAAGTTGAGCAGACCTAAAACCACAAAAATATCTTTGAACGGACAGAATTTTAAAACTATCCTTTTTTAATGCACACACCATCATGGTATATATTGGCCTTACACCCATCATAACAAGGAGCTTCGCTGTGCCAATGCATTTGCTCATTGGATGTTTATTGAGGACATAATGTCAGAAACTGAACTCAGGGGCCAAACAAGTTCACCACTACTTTGTACTTCTTTTGTAGTTTTGACCTCTAAATTCAGGCGAGACCATTTCCAGGGAAAATGTTGGTGTGTTGATGTTACACTAAAGATTTGCACTAAGTTTCTGTTAGTCCAGTCACTCACTTGGATCCTCAACTTGTACAAATCCATCCCACGATAAAGCTGATTTTCAACTCATCTATTAATTTTAGTAATCATTGAGTTTGTTTGTATGTGAACTGATCATTAACATTTCTAGTTATCTGTGAACAGGGACAATGTTTCCTCCTCCAAGGCCGATGACGAGGCCGAACGCAAACTACAGGAGCTGAAGCGCCGACGAAACGATGCAGAGAGCGAGGAGATCGAGAAGATGAAGCAGAAGCAGCAGGATGCAGAGGCCGAGCTGGAGGGGCTGAAGAAGAAGAGAGAAGAAAGAAGGAAGATCATGGAGGAGGAGGAGAGGCAGAAGAAACAGGAGCAGGAGGAGAGGAAAGCCAAAGAGCAGGTGATAAGTACACCAAAGAACTGTAACTGAGTGGGAGATCCACTGAGGAAAGTTAGATGACATTTTGATTTTTGTAACAGGAGGAGAGGAAAAAGATGAAGGAAGAAATTGAGAAAAGGAGGGCGGAGGCTGCAGAGAAGAAGAAACAGATGGAAGAGGAGGTGTCTGCAAAACCTTCCTTTGCTATCAGCCCAAAAGGATCTGCAAAGGTGTGTGCTAGAGAGTGATATCTAAGAGTTTCTGTCCTGCATGAATAACAAAGTAGTTTCTTCCAAATTTAGTGGACAAAATATTTCCTGGTGTGGCTTCAATAGTGGTGCACATTTTCTGAACAACATGACTGAAATAAACAAACACACGCTTAAATATCGAGGGTGTTAAAGCAAGAAGGATTCTCCCCTACTGCTTTGCATTCAGTTCACTTTGTTGAAAATGGGCAGGACAACTATTTCTTATCTCACGTACCTCATGTTAGGAGTTGTAAAATAAGCCTTATTCATCCTTTCCCTTTATGGTCAAACTGTTTTTTGGGCCTGAGTTTGTTGATTGTTCTTCCAAAGGCCAATATATATTTTTAGCTGACAAGATGGAATAAAAGAAAAGATGTAAGCTGGCGCCTGTGCCTTAGTCAAAAATGTCTGGGTAATCATGTTGCTGGAGTATTTTTGGAGGAATGCTGAGAATCGTGTGTGCATAATTCATTTTGATTATCAGTACTCAGTGTGTGTTCAGCAGACATGTAGAGACTTTGTTACACAATAACATTGCAGAGACCTGCCTCCTTTTTAACCATACAATGAAAATCATCACATTTTAGGGTGATGACTTGGTTCTTGGTAAAGATTAAGAAAAGTTTGTTCACAGAAGTGGAAGAGTCACTGTTAAGATTAAGATTGGATGAGGTCCCCATGCGATCAACATGAGTCGATGTAATGTCCCTTAAAGTTCAGTAAACAAGTGTGTGTGTGTGTGCTGTGTATTTCTGTATGCTTGTGTGTGTGTGTGTGTGTGTGTGTGTGTGTGTGTGTGAACTGTGTATTTCTGTATGCTTGTGTATGTGTGTGTGTGTGTGTGTGTGTGTGTGTGCGTGTGTGTGTGTGTGTGTGTGTGTGTGTGTGTGTGTGTGTGTGTGTGTGTGTGTGTGTGTGTGTGTGTGTGTATGTGTGTATTCTGGCTGCCAGACAACCAAACTCTCCAGATTGGTCTCTGAGGCACTAACCAACACTGTGTTCAGTACAGAGAGACCTTTTGGTCCGTCTCCCAGTGAGGTCGTCTTGGAGACAGGAAGGAAGTCAGGACACTCGGACCATGTTAGACTTTGTGTAAATCACTGACAGACTGTTTACATAATCTTACATTTTGCTCGTTTGTACAGATTGGGGAGAAGGCAGAATTCTTAACCAAATCAGCCCAGAAAAGGTGAGCTATACAAAGTGTTTTAGAGTTTAAAAAAAGATCTTTCTAGACTGAGGAACCACACTCACACCCTGTGTTTTTCATTCACACAGCAGCACACCCAGAGTGTCTCATACTCCAATGGTGTCCAAGATAGGAAACAGACTAGACCAGTACACTTCTGCCATCCAGGTGAGCCTCAGATCCTTTCAGTGCTATTAAAACTGAAAAGTCAGATGTTTTGCTGGAGTAAAAATACCAGTATAATTCTATAAAAAATACTTAATCACACATGCAACTCATTTATAATCCTATCTAAGGTTTGTTAAGATGTCATCAAAAGCTGCAAAAGTAAAACTCAACAGATGAAAAGTGTTATTGACATTTTAATGAGCTTTCGACTATTTCTCTTTTAGTGATACTGCATTATAGCAACAGTCAAGGTAGATTTACTTTTAAATTCTAGTTTTAAAATGAGTTATTATAATGAGGCTAAAAAAATTTCAAACTTACTTTTTAAGCACTAAACAAACAAGATTTTGCTTCACCTCCCTGCACCATGAAACTTATTCAAAAGTCATGTGAAATAAAATAAAAACACGACATGAAGGGGAGCTATGGCTTTCCTGTACTTTTATTAAAATCATAACTCCATTATATTATTGCAATTCAGTATCTGAATCTGGTAAATTAATAGTCAATAATGATTTCAAATAAAAAATACCTTTGCCAAGCAGTCGAAAGAAACATAAATGGTGTTCCAAATAGTCGATTTCCAGATCCTCGGTCAATGCAACAATATTATCATCCACATAAATAAAATAAATCCATCCTTGTTTTGTCCAGGGAAACAAAGAAACCAAATCCCCAAAGTCTGCAATGGCAGATATTCCTACAGGAGGCACACGCAGCATCAAGAGCATGTGGGAGAAAGGTAACGTCAGCAGCTCCTCTGAAAGTCCTGCTCCTGCCAGCAAGGTGAGAAATCAAATGACGGAGGCAACAATGAAGACTACTGATACAACAACAACAGGCAGCTGAGATGTTTCTTTTCCCAGGATTTAGCTGGTATCAAAGGGGGCGTGACTGGACGTGTCAACAGTTGGATGGCAAAGCCTGCTGCGGAAGCGGAAAAGACAGCAGCACCTTCATCTGCACCAGCAGCAGCATCGGCACCTGCAGCAGCAGCAGCAGCAGCAGCTCCACCAGCAAAGCCAGCAGTAAGGCCTGATAATTCCCTGCCTTCATCGCACATATATCATTGTAAATAAGACCCCAGTGTTATATGAACAGAGTAATCCTTTGATATTCTGTTCACGCTAATGTGCTCATTTGCACATCAGCATCTCTCTCTTTGTTGGCTGCTGCCTTAATATCACAGCTCGCTGAGAGGACCAAGTTGCTTCTTGGACTGTGGTGACACCCCATGGCCAGCTTACTCGACAACAACTCTGTCAGATTATATATGAATTAAAAGACTCTCATGACATGTACAATATCTCAGTACTGACATGTGGACAATCATGGGTTGGGATAAAAACATGATCTCCATTCTTTCAAACAAGAGTCCTCTCAGAGAGCAGAGGCAGGTATGTGTCAAGAGGCTAAATGCCAACATACTTCCCTGCACTGACGTTTTACACGACTCTGTACACCCATCAATCACTCTGTCAGTATTGGTGGGTTATATTACAGTATGCTCCAGTACAAAACAAAACGCTTTTTGGGACTCAATTTAAGTACTTAATGAGGAAGCTGTTTGCCGGTTATGACACAAACTGAAATTACAATTTTTTCAGAGCTAGAAAGCAACAACCAGGATAAAGACTGACTATTTCTATGCATTTTTTTTTAATATTTGACACTTCTGGTGAATTCAAAGTTTCCTTGTGGAGCTTTTTTAGCCAAAATAATACATTTCAGTCTTATTGAAACCTTAAACATGACAAATGTTACCAGTCTGGTTTAGCATTTAAAGTGTGTTCCCCATGTACAGAGGGGTCACTGGTTCAACTTCAGACCTCTACCCCTACTCTACATTTCCTGTCTCTTATTGGCTGTTGTATATACAGTAGTGAGAAAATGAAGCATTATTTTGTTTATTGTTTTAATATTTTCATAAAGAGCGCTCAAGGGTGAATTTGGTTTCTCTATTTTTGTATGATTCAGAATAAGAGAGGTCACATGTAACTCGGTCTTCGGTAGACACTGTGTCCTTTTCTTAAAGAAGGACACCAGCTGCTGTTCCTCACAGCTCTTCTGAAGACATTGCACTATGTCTGCACGCTGTGACATTGCTCGATGACGTGTGACATTGTTCTAACGTGAAATTTACGAGCCAGATATCTTTAGTGTCAAACGTCTTGGTCAGAGCGGCTGTGATAACTTTACTCTGACTCATATGGCAACACCTCCCCCTGACGGGATAAAGCTGTACAGCAATTTGTGTATTATACTGAAATACAAAAATCCTGAGGTTTATTTTTTATCCATTCAATTTTTTTCTCTTTTTTTCATACTTCATAACTTTGACCTGTAGCATATATAGAATATTTCTATACAGGTGAGCAGGTACTTTGGTATATGATCAGAGTATAACCCCCAACACTGTTTGTTATTAATGGCTTTATGGTCAACCTTATTTGTTGCAGGATAATAAACCCGGTGAGATTGGTAACAAACGTGGCATGTGGGAAACCAAGAAAGCACCTGGAAAGGTAACACACACACACAGACACATACAAACACACAAAAGACTTTCTTCTGAAAAAATGAAGGGGGGCATTGATTTGATCGTGACATGGTCCTGTTTCTTTGTTTATTCAGTTTACCAGATAAACAGGTGTAAGAGGTAAATGGTGGCGACAACACTTGATGCATGCTTAACTTGATGCATGTAGTGATCTTTGTGGTGTAGCACTTTTGCCATCAGAGCACTTGTGTGTTTGGTTTTGCCAAATAAGCAGGTTGTCACTCATTTGGTTACCTGGGCATGTCTGCATTGTTTTAAATAGGCTTCAATGACGGAGGCAGGTGATTTACTGTGAGAGCTAAATTTAAACCATTTCATCCAATCTACCTCAATCCGAGATGATACTGTGTGCTTTTGGTGGTTTGTATGCACAATTTTCCAGTGTGGTCAATAAGAGTGTTGCATTATTTTCTTTTTACGAAATGAGATCTTATTTTCCATTCTTCTTATATTTCATAACAGTTGTGTTTTTCAGTTTTCCTCACTGGTTGCATGTCTTTGTTTCTCCTTGTTTTCAGTTGGGAGCTGGAGTCAAGAGCAAGTTTACCATCAATGGTAAGTCTCTTAAGATCCTGTCAGTAGTGGTTTAATGTACTTCATTGCAACTCTGTGTTTCTACACTTAAAAATATTTACAGTTTTACTCTTTCAATTTGACCTCAGCATTTATCAAATGAATATATTGATTTTTTTTGCTCTAAATGTAGGCTTACTAAAGTGAAAACACTGACGAGCTTCTACAAATAAAAGGTTACACAAAGGATGGGTGCAGTTCGTCAATTAAACAATTAAATGCCATCTCTTTCACTCGTTGGCACAAGTATCTCTAGTTGGTCAAACAGGTTATTTGACTTATAATTATTAGTCATATTGGGACAAAGCTGTAGCACACCTATCGACCACTAGTTGGGGCTGTAGCTCCAGTGTTGCCATAAAACTATAATGCTTTTCTACTCGGATGTAAACAAGCTGACAGGTTGCATCCAGTCCAGTCTTAGAAAATAAGAGATAATGTTGTAGGTTAGGGTTAGGGTTAGATGTGTCTGGTTTATAATCCCTTGAACTGAACAAAGCACAACAGCACAGTCATGCTAACCTGAAAGGAGGAACAAAGGCTAGTGGTGACTGGTGCTAGCTCTGCTACTGTTAGCCAAAACAATTTGACATCATTTACCTGCAGACTCTGTGTTCCTGTGTTTAGGTTTGTTAAATAAATTGTGCCAAATCTTATCTGCTGTGTTACCTGGAGAGCGGTTGGTTAGTCAGAATTTAAATCTGCATGTAATCGACTGGGAAAGGAGTGAATTTCAGACAAAATGGTTGGACATTTTTATTGGCTTTCTTGCCAAATACGAGACAAAAGATCAGTGTTATAACCAACTCTGTTTGCTGGGTTTAAGGCTAACACTGGAAATCTTAGCCTCGAACGAAGACTTGAATAAATGGACACACCTAGTCTGGAAACCAAAGACATAAAAATCATGAACAAACATAAGAGTAGTTATCAATCCCCCATCAACAGATTTATCTTCTGATGCATTTCTATGGTGATAGAAATGGTTTTATTTCTACATTTCATCTGGATGCTTTCTCCTAAATGAGCACATACATGTTAAACCAGGGTTTATCTTGATCAGTCCTGGGGGAAGCAGAGTTTAGTCGAGGTGTGTTTGCCCTTCAAAACATTTTGTGGACAAGAGGGGCAGGCTGTGATGGATTTATTACCCTCTGTGGACTCACAACCACTGCAACCCAACAACATCCCTCTCTGCCAGACTAGCTGCTCACTGTAAATCAAATCTGCTGCTGGAGATTTTTGGCACGGCACACCTCTGTAGGCACTGTGGTCTATATCTAAAAAAACCCTCACCCTGACCTTGTTTCCTAGTATAAAGAACCTTGTAGACTCCTGGCGTGGCTGGCGTGTCTTTGTGGCGCACTGTTCACCCGCTGCCACCTGGGCTGTCCAATGCCACGCAGGGTGTCGGGGAGCTGTTCAGCATACCACAGTGCAGCTGCTTGATTGTCACATTACAAATGACTGCTGGGGAGGATTACTAACAGTTTAAGAAGCAAATCTGTCCCGATCACCAGGCTTATTCACTCAGTACTTAAATTAAAGAGCTTGTTAAAGTCCATCTTGCGGGCTGTAGGGACAATTCAAACCAGCATCACTCATAAAAAGACAAAATACTTGCTAATATCAGCTCAGGAAAGCTGTCTCTCTCTTCCCTCTGCTCTGTTCTGTGGTTGCTTTTCTCCAAGCCTTGAGCTGAAGCGTGAACAATCAGACTGGAAAAGTGTTTGTCGGGTGTCGGCTTCGAACCTAAATAGCAATCCTTGTTTGTAACCTCCCCACTTCTTCATCAGAAATAGACCACGGGGAATGAAGTAAAGGGCAAATGACAAAGTAACAGCTTTCAATCACACAGAGTGAAGTGTCCTAGCTTTCACTCTTAGTTATATGATATTGGAACCTAATCTGATGTGCAAACAAACATCACATTCAGTCCAGAGTGAGGTATTCATGTAAAAGCTTTGATTAACAGCCTTAAGACAGATTTCTTTTAATACCTTATAAACCATAAAAAGTTATGATATATTGACTAATCCATCTGTAATGTTTTTTTTTTTTTTCGTTTGTTTGTTTTTAGCGGGGGTGAGACCCTAACTACTGACATCCCCTTTGAAATGCAGCCATACCTGACCAGTCACGCAGCTCTGTTACTGTATATGCATCAACTTTTTTCTAACATCCAAGCGTTTTTGATGACGTCCTGCCAGATTGAACAAAAAAGACACGGGACCAGGATCAGCAATTCGTAAGAATTCCAGCATCAGTCTATCTTCAATGCTCACCAAAAGCCATAAATTCAACATCTACTGAGAGTTTTAAGGATAAAGTACCACATGTTAAATGCTTGATAGATAATCGATTGTGAAGTATATTTTTGTTTATCCAAGGTTAGTCTTTACAAATTTTGAATGGCTGTCTGGATGTGTTAATGTTGTGTTATTTTGAAGCCAAACTGATGAGCTTGCTCTTCTTGTTGAGTATTGTCACATAGCTTTACACAAGTGTAATTCTTCACACAGTCTGCTTTTTTATTATGAAACTTTCTATGATGGCTGCATGTGATAATTGAAGCCATTTGATGTCCATTTCACAGCTCGCATTTGAACTGTTACAGTGTGATATCACCGATCCGGGCGATAACTAGTAATTGATTAAGTAAATTCAAATGTTGGAACCATATTCAGAAAAGACGTCCTTTAAATAAGGTATCCTCGACGTCTCTTTATTGATAAATCATGAAGGAAAACCGTTTTTTTCTTATTTGGTTTCATACCTCAGATCTGAACAACTTCTGGATTCATTTCCTTGAAATCTTGTATAAATGTTCATGGTTCTCAGTGAAGGTACCTTTGTATTAGGTCCTCCCCAGCTTTATATGCAAGGATACCAGAAAGTCATATTTTAATTTAGTGAGGTCTTTTTTATGAACATCATCGAAAAATTAGATTTTGTACAGACATTCATGATCCCATTGGCTGAACCCTTGGCTGCACACCTGGCTTTGTCTGCTTTATTCAGTTCAAACAATCATGCCTCCAGGAATGAGTGTAATGTCTGTGGTGCCCTGACCTGTTATTTAGCCCATCATCAGGTCAAAGTTACCCATGACAGATGATCTGAATCAACATTCCCGCCAACCTCTTCACAGATTTAACTATTGTCAGAGGACATCAAAATTTATCTAAAACTGAAGAGAGTGAAAATGGTCAAGTTTTACATGAGCAACATATTTCCATTACGACTTATTTACATTTACAACTACAAGCTTGAAATCTTATAACGACTTATTTTACAAAAGCAGATTTCATGATTTATCAGAAATGAGCATCAAGTTGGTGCTCATAAGACCATGAAACCAAAACGGTATCTACATAAAATCAGTGGCACATTCTTCCTAAGACTACAGACTGACACAGATTCACACCTCCTCTCTTTTTAAAGATGACAATAAACACTTTTATGAGAGCATCACAATGTCTAGAAATAAGTGTGCAAGTGTCCACTTTAACAACTATTCAGAGACCAAATCTATTTAAAAAGCAGGAAGCAGCCTCGCTAGTCTACCATCAGTTTACGGGCCACTAACTTTAAAGTTTATTGACATTTCAGCAGGTATGAAGATGTATGAGATAAAACCAATATGCACTGTAACACAATGCCTGTAATCAACGTTCAGTCATTCTGTTCTTCTCAGCCGGCAGTGCACATGAGCTCAATCTTGCCAAATGTATTTGAATTGTTTCACTATTACCGTCGTGAATTGCTTTGTTGGAATTTTAAAAACTATTGTTTGTACTTGCTTTAGCAATAAAAAAGAGAATTAAAAAAAATTGTTGGTTTTTTGTTTTGTCTTAGCTGTTCAGGGGAAATGTTGGTGCGTTTTTGTCTAACTACTTGTAAAATATGAAGTGCTGAAACCTGAGTGGCTGGTGAAAGCTGGAGTAAATATATGGCCATTGGAGCAGGGCAGGAATCTACCTGCTGAATGTCTGTGTGTGTGTGTGTGTGTGTGTGTGAGAGAGAGAGAGAGAGAGAAAGAGTTTTAATGTCCATCTGTCTAACAATAGACTGACCAGCCATAGGGTGCTGCGGTCACATGAGTAAGAAGGGCCGGACTATGTATCCTTGATGCTCAACCTGTTTGTCAAGCAGCTGAAGTCTGTGGCTCTTCTCTGGCTTACAGGTAGGGACTGTGTTGCTGTCTATGCTGATGCTTTAATTCACATCCCCGTTATGTTAAAATTCTTAAAATTAGTTGATGTTAAAAAAAACATTTCAAAGTCACAGATAGAAGGCTTCTTCTTATGATCTTAAAGTTATGTTTAACAGTTAACAGGAGCGTCTTCTCATCCATGCTTTCTGATTTGCATCTATAACCACTTACACAAAACTTGCTTTTCAGAGAGAGTGCTGCTAATGCATTATTCTGTATTATTAATAAGCTTCAGCTGCTTTCACACAAAATAACTGACACTCACTGTGAACCATACATGGTATGTGCCATAGATGGACTTGTTACCTAAGATGGATGGTGCAGTAATTGAGTCCATTTACCTCGACAAGGCAGGCCTACTTACGTGCCAGTTTCACTGAATCATAATGAAGTGTTTCTTCTCAGGTTTAATATTTCATCACAAATATGGAGATAACATCCATTTTCAACATGATATATGACAGCTGTACTGACATGTTTCTAACTTTTAGACACAACAGCTTCACTTACTGTTAGACCTAAAGTGACTCACTTTGACAAACACTTTTTTTTTTTAAAATTTACTAATTTTTTTTTATTGAAATTCTCTTCGGGTATCAATAAATGTCTTTTTCTTAAATTAAATATTTGTAGAGTATTAAAGAAAAACTGAGTAAATAATCTCTAATTAAATGTAAGTTTGAGGTCACAGGTCTGGATCATTTTATACTAAGTTGCCTTGTACTTTTCATGACATTTATAGGGAATATTACACCTTTCTTCCTTGATACCTTCCGGCAAATTTTTTTATTTTATTTATGCAATCCCTCTGACAGCTTCAACCTTTTTTTTAAAGGGGACCTTTAACCCCAGCTTCTTTGTTTATTGACCCACTTATATTTAGCTTTGATTTTATTTAAGATAGCTATTCCTAAATTAGTATGTCATTAAGATATTGATATTATTCCTGTTGTCAGAGCTTGACATGCTTCTTCCTTTCCTGTGAGTGTTTTATTAGACAGCATGTTTGTGTAAACGGTTTGAACGGTTGCCACCTCATGCTCTGCTATGCTGTTTAATGATCAGACATATTCGTCCGTCTAAAAATAATCTAAAAGGGATCCATTTTGCAGAGCTCATTCATAACAAAATGTCGGACACAGAAGAAGTCATTGAGGAGGAAGCTCAGTATGTATTTATTTTACACTTTTTTATTTCCTAACTTGATCAAATCAGATTTTTTTAGAGTAATCAAAGGTGATAAACATTTATACTTATTTTTGTTTTTTGTTTTCAGGGAGGAGGAAGGTAAGAAAGACTCATCCACACATATTTCTGCATAAATCATGTAACTTTGAAATTTGTCAATAATCAAATCTTTTTTTTTCTTTCATAAGCACAAGGTAAGAAAACTCTTTTCTTGAAAATGTTTATGTTCTAAATTCACACTCCTTCATAACTTTTTAGTTTTCTCACACTGGCCTCTGTTTTCCTTTTCCTCATCCCAGATGAGTCAAAGCCCAAACCCAAGTAAGTACTTTTAGTTTGGCTTTTCTTTGATTGAACAGTGAAAAACCAAACTCATGACCCATCATAAAATAATAAACTCTTTTCTTCTGCAGGTTTATGACAAATATAACCGCCCCAAAGATCCCTGATGGTGAGAAAGTGGACTTTGATGTGAGTGGACCTTCATTCGAGAAGAGACAAAGACGTGTCGTGGTTACTTTTCAATAATGGTGGAGTCTGATTTGTTTTTGATGACAGGACATCCACAGAAAGCGTCAAGAGAAGGATCTGTCTGAGCTGCAGTCTCTAATTGAGGCTCACTTCATCCAGAGGAAAAAGGAGGAGGAGGAGCTCATCGCCCTCGTCAACAGAATTGTAAGTATCCCTCAAAGATGACTGGTGGGGTCTCTGTTCGATTGACTGAGCGTTTTCCTTCTTTTACAGGAGAAACGCCGAGCTGAGAGAGCCGAGCAGCAAAGGGTCCGGGCAGAAAGAGAGAAGGAGAGGCAGGCCAGGCTTGCGGTGCGCCTCAGCGTAGATTCTCAAACAAAACATGACATAAGAGAAAACACAAGGGCCTGTCTCTCATCTGAATGACTGATGTGTTGCAGGAGGAAAAGGAGCGCAAGGAGATGGAGGAGCAGCGTAAGAAGCAGGATGAGGACGCCAAGAAAAAGAAGGCTCTCACCAACATGACCCAGCAGTACACTGCCGGACACAAGGTTAATTGACTTCTCACAGTGTTTAGAAACAAATACGATGATGCTGCAGGAGCACGAAAAGTAGACTTGATGGTTAATTAATGTAGAAGAATAAAAAAGTCCACAGACAACACTCCATGATGTGGCAAAGTAGCAGAAAAAAGAAGTACCCAAGTTAAGTGTTGTTCAACTGAACTTTTGTATGCATGTAGTTAAATTACTTCCACTTTTGGAGTACACACTACAAAGCAACATGTTTTTCCACACATGCCCATGAAAGCAGTAAGTGAATACTCTCAAAATGCATAAGGGCCTGTTTTTACACTGTCAGCATTTTTTGTGTCGAGAACCCCTATTCTGCTTGTTTTAGAGCTCCTCTCAGTGGCACTTGTTGCTAGAAATGAAAGTAACCCAATGTAACTTCTGCTTCCGTTAGTAATGACTGATGAGGAATAACCCAATTTATACACTGATTGATTTTTTTGAACATGTAAATGGACTGAATGGGATTCACCCATTAGGCATAACAAATGTTTGTACCTGATGGTTTTACACATATTGTAATAAAGTATGTATCTTGCTTGTTTGACCAACGCAGAGTGAGAGCAGAAGAGGAGGCAAAAAACAAACTGAGAGGGAGAAGAAGAAGAAGATCCTGGCTGACCGTAGGAAGCCTCTCAGTGTTGATCATCTAAATGAGGAAAAACTGAAGTATGACCGAGCTGCACGCTGTTTTATGTCTTTTTAAACACTGTTTCAAAGATTGTTCCTGCAGGAGATTCTGCGTTTATACAAAACTGTTATCATTGAATATTGGTGGATGTGCTCTCACTTGGATCACTGATTTGTCTATCAGGGAGAAGGCCAATGAGCTGTGGCAGTGGCTGATGGGGCTGGAGGCCGAGAAGTTTGATCTGAGTGAGAAACTCAAAAGACAGAAGTATGATGTAAGTCACTCTCCAACAACGATGCCTCTTTTTTTATTACATCTCCTTCATTGAAGTGTAAGCATACCAGTCCTACTGATTACTAAACTATGTGTATTTCTTCTCACAGATTAACCAGCTTCTTGCCCGAGTCCAGGACCACCAAAGGTGAGTGTGCAAGTGTACAGCCCATGCACATTTAACTCCCTTCAAATTTAGCAAATACATACAGTAGTTGTAGCCTCAATCAACATAAACAACCACAACACACACCAGTCACTTCAAAAAGCATCTGAGGTGTCTCATAATGTCTTAGCTCTGATCATATCAACTATGCTGTTACAGCTGAGTAATTTCAAGTACAGTAGATTCCTCAACCTTTAATGTCAATACAGTACAAGCCTTCTGCAAGCTAGCAGCCTGCTAGCTGTGGCTAACATAAGCCTTAGCTTGAAGCAGTCAACTCAGTATTTATGGACTTTGATCAGACATAATTAACTTACACTAATATTTTATCTATAAATTTCTCTATATATTTATCTAATATTTTATAACAGTTCTCTCTACCCTCCTGTTCATCCTTGTGTTGTAACAAAACATCCTCATCTCTTTAGCGTCACAACAATTAGCATCCTGATTTCTGGAATTAGCAGTGTGTAATCCTTACATCATCCACTTACAAGTTATGAAGCCTAAATCAATAAAAAAAAGTTTATTTTTTGCTTTTTAGTATTTTACAGGATCAAATTAATACTTGTAGTGACTTTTAGAGTGTTACCTATAAAAGTAAAACATGTTTCTGTTGTTCCAAACTTACTTGCAGAAGCAGTTATGGTCATTTTAGCATTACTCGGACCATCAGTTTGTATATCATCAATGTAATTTCCCCTTTGAATGGGGGACCTTTACTCTTTACAATACTCATTGCATTGTGGGCATTTTTGTATTTGTCATTTAAATTTCATTCTTTCTTGTCTTTTTCCTCGCTGCACTTATAAAATTTCTCCTCATGGATAAACAACTTATCTTTAATCCATCAAAATAACCATTTTAACTTTGCAAGTCAAGTAAAATATCACCTCACCTTCAACTGAATTTTGTCATCATTTTGACATCAACTTGTGCAAAATTTTTCAGTGCCAAAGGTCGTGGCAAGGGCAAGATGGGTGGCCGCCTGAGGTAAAGGAACAGCCAGACAAGGAAGAGGCAAAGCATGACACCAGTGATTGGCGCACAAGTCTATTACATGTGTATTCGTTGTTCTGTTGTGTTGGGGTACATGTCAAACACCATGATTGCAAAATAATAAAGACATCATTACAATCACTCTGCTGTTGTCTGGAAACTGATTGTCTGTCTGTTTTCTAGATATGCTATATGAATAAACTTAAACTTGAACAGCAGCTAACTCACTGTATCAAAAGTTTTAAACTTGGTGAGAATTTTTGTTCAATAAGGAGTTAAAAAAAATATGGATATGATGCAAAAAGTGGTCTCCACAAAGAATACTGAAGAATGTGTAAAAATGGTGTTGCGTTGTCAAAATACAAATCCATATTCTGTCCATTTCCCAGGAGAAATCAGTAGACACATCATTCTGTCAAAAGATCGAAGATTTTACATTAAAGACAGTATCCACATGTTGCGTCAGAGATTTTTCACCTGTATCTTTAATCCAAATGTACATGAGAGCAGACATTCCTCAGCAAGGCTCCACATAGTGGTGATGAATAACATTATCTAGATGTTGTTTTAATAACATAAGAAAAATATACAAATCTAGTTACAAGAGCATATGTGATGCCAGCAGTGAGGGTTTTACATGTACTGCGCTTTTTTAAAAACTATAGTTCCATATACAAATATCAGCAGCTCTGCATATTCGAGCTGCTGTCTCTGCAGTGTGAAGTGCGAGGACTCTCAGCTGATGGTCTGGGGGGGCTGAGGGTCCATGAGGGATGAAGACAGCGAGCTGAATGAAGGTTGTTTTCACCACATGTGAGTTTCTCGGATTTCTGCTATCACCTGGCTGGCTTTCTGCAATGCCTGGACAAACAAACAGAGTAAGGAGGATACTGAGTTTAGGAGCTCAAGAAATGTTATGTTTATACCCTCAAGTAAAATATTTCTGTATTTACATTTACTGGCACTAAACGTCTCAACTTCTTATAACTCTAAGAGGGAATAAAATGATAGGGTTTCCTTTCCCCACATAATTTTCTGGGTAAATTAGAAAAATCTATCATTTTTCTTCAGAGAAATCAACAATTAAACAATCGGGATACATACCATTTTTCATACGGTAAGTGCTCCACGCCACAAACTGATCAATTATTATCGCACTCATTGAGAACTAACAAAAACAGGAAATGACACAGTACTATCACAAATCTCATCAATTTATAATTAGGGACCACAAGAGACTGAGGGTGAAGAATTAAAAACTCCAACTTCAAGTAAACCAAGATATAGAATCAGAAGTAAAATGGACCAAAATACAAATAAATCTAACTCAACTGAAAACCTGACCTAATCAAGCCCAGTGAAGACACGTGACTTTATTCTTGCTTCTAGTATAAGGTAAATAAATTAACTGTGTATTTGAGCAATGTGAGGACTGACACTTGATCTTGTTTTCACACTCCACACTGACTGAAAATGTTACCTTGAGCATGTCAGCAGCCTCGTTGCGTCTCTGAGCCATGTCCTCAGATTCTGTCAGCAGGTGGTCCAGCAGAGTCGTCTTATATAACTGACCCACTAGCTCACTCTGCAGGCAGTCCTTCACATGGTTCACCAGGAAGTGCATCACTGCCTTTGGTACACTGAAAGAGGGTGAAGAAAGTGGACAGGTGAGCACACAACATCTGACCAACCATCTTGTAAAGGATGTTGTAATGGGTGAAGAGCATGTCTACCTGTCCTGGATGTTTTTCCGGACGATCAGAAAGTATGATTTGATGAGTCTCTCGATGACTTCACAGTCCCTCTGCTCCCGAGCAGACAACTTTCTGGACACCGGAACAGGCTGGCAAACATGAAATGTAATTTTTTAATATATATTAATGAACTAAGATTCAACCTTGTGGAAATATGCAAGAATAAAAATATAACCACTGAGAAGTCCAGAGGATGTCCCCCAAATCTTTTCATCATGTTTAGACATACAGGGTACTCACCACATCTAGCAGGTTGACAGCATGGCCTTTCTGTGGGCTAACAGGGAGGGTAGAAACAGACAAGGACCTGTCTCCTCCTGGGTTCTCCTCTCCCCTCTTCAACATGCCCCTCCAGTTTCCTGTCCCTCCGTCTGACTGGTCACTGAAAGAGCCACCCTGAGGAACACTGGAAGATGCCTGAAAGAAAAATGAATGTTAGTACCCTCATGACCAACTCGTGGTGGAAATTTGTCAGAACAAGAGGAGCGAGGAGATTATGGAAAGAATACAAACCCAATAAATAAGCAAAATGCGTTAAAATAGCATGCATCAGACCTTCTTTGGCTTCAAAGAAGTTCATCAAAGTGTTAGCAGACTGAACGGAAACATGACAAAGAGAGAGCTTGGACTAGACTGGTCCAATGATGGCAGTCATTATTTTCTGGTCTTATTAGGGTGCAGTGGTCGATGTCAAAAGCCGTACAACACAAATGCTCCTGTCAGATGTGCAGGACTTCATAGAATCCTGATAAGGCTTGTTTCACTACAAAAGTATGTCACTCCAGCCTGGTGGTTGTGTTTTTATCTTAGAGCAACCAGCATGCAGATAAAAGAGTTAGCTGTACATTATAACTAGAGGTCAAAGGTCGGATCAGTAAGGTTATGAAGGGTGAAAGGCTGCCCTCTGGCCCACGACATCTGTGGTACACTGAGGCACATCCACCTAATGCAAAGACTGTATAAAAAGATGGACGACATGTCTCAACCTTCTCTCTATGTGAGTGATGCCATAATAACCTCAACCTTCAGCATTTGTTGCCAGAGTGTGTGAAGTAAGGACTGGCCCACAATTCTGTTCTATTCTTTTGTTCCTCTGTTATATCATGTACCTGATTTCTAAAATCCTAACCAGGGACAAGGACCACAAATTAGCCATGGCCAGAAGTCTCTTGAACACTGCAAATATAATCCTGCTGATCCTGGAGCTGTATTTGTCAACAAAGCTTCCCGCAACTATATTATTTTAATTTAAAAGTATGTCCCATCTGTTAACATGGAAATGACAGGCTATAAAATCTGTACCAAACAACTCAGTAGGGAAACCTCTAAAATCTTGAGGCTAAACTTTTGTGGAGCTGTCATGGCGTCCATTTTTATACAGTCATGGTGACATGGCATGACATGGTGCAACAGGGTAAAAAGATTAGGGGCTTAGATCGGCAGAGGTCAGATGTGGGCAGGCAAGGACTGAACAAGACACACCTTTGCAAGCTCCCCCTCAGGGGCAGGAAACTCAGTAGGGGACAGAGACTGCCCACCGGGGCCTTTAAGAGACTAGAGAGAGAGCGTGAGGAAGGAAAGAGGAGCTACAGGCAGATATTTGTATGAGCATCTTATACTGTAATGTGAAGCTGCTAAGCTGAAGGGAAAGGAAAGAGAAAGAAAGAAAGAAAGAAAGAAAGAAAGAAAGAAAGAAAGAAAGATAGACTACCTTCATTTGTAGGAGTGTGGAATAAAACCTGTTCAAAGTTAAATGTGTAATGTAAATCATGGACACTGACTGTACCTTGTCTCTTGGGACAGCAGAAGGGAGGTCTCTCATTCTGTTCCGTCTCTGCTCCTGTAAAACAGGAAGTTTGACAAATGAATGTCATTGCTATATAAGGAGGAGAGGGTATACTGTACAAGCTTTCATTGTTTTTGATAACAGTATTTAGACTTCTGTTAAGTTTCTGCTTCATTGTAAACTTTAGCCCTGGATTTTGTTTTTAAATGGAAGCTCAGGAAACAGAAAGTCAATCACTTGACATTATCTGCCCAAGATTCAGGCAAAAAGAAATTTTTTTTATGAATATTGTATTTTATAATTTGGTGCTTATTTCTTACTTCTATGTTGTTGTTCATGAGACCACATGCATCAGCAAAGTCAGGATGCTTGGTGTTGATATATGCAAGTTCAATGGCAACAAGATTGTGAACCTGAAAGGATTTAGAAAAAGGATTAATCAGATCACAGTGCAAATAAATCCAGATAAGGAGTCTTCGTGGTATTAAGTCTGAGAAGGTCCTGACCATTTCATTGGTGACGGGGAGTCTCTTTCTGAGTAGTGAAGTGACAACCTCGACTATGGCATCATGGAGTTTTGGAAACCGCAGCAACTCCTGCAAAAGCAAACAAGCCACTGTTAGTTCTGTGTTTTCCATGTGCCTCTGTGCGTCTGTTTTTCAGCGGCGTATGTGCAAGCATGATTCCAACCTGTGTGCTGTAGATGCTGCAGTGCTGTATGATTCTCTGCATCTCCTCGTGAACCAGCTCCACGCAGCGCAGACTGGGCTCTTCTAGACGCTTCACCTGCCGCTTCACAAGCAACTCAAAGGAAACTTCAGGCACAAATAAAGCAGGCCTGGGGCCCTGTCAAATAAAGTGATAGTGTGAGTCCTCAAATAGTGTGTCTTTTCATGAAGTAAAGGCCAGTAAACACTCACTGTTGCATTTCTGATTGCAGTGAGGACATCAATGGTTGTCAGACCACCTAAAGGATCAACTGACTCCAATGTCCGACCAAATGTCTCATGAAAAATATAACAGATTCTGGCACCGCCACATCTGAGGAAAACAGGAGAGGGAAAAAAACAGTTGTTATTTGGTATTAAAAATGTTGTCGCTAGCACCCCTTAGTGGTCAAAGAAATAAGTGACTCACAGTTCTGCTGTCTCGATGTATTTGGCCGTGCCCTCGATGGTGTTGCAGTACTCTGCAGCAAACTTGGTGATGAGCTGCAGCAAGGTGGCACTCTTGTCTTCCACAGGTTCGCCATAACTGTTGAGTAGAGACTGGTACTGAGCTGCCAGCACATTGATCCTTGTCTTCAGCTCAGGCAGACAGTCTCTGATGTGATGCATGAGTAACCTGCATAAGGAATAAAGAGAAACATAACTCTTGGATAGAAAGACAAAGAATTGCAATAGACGTCAGCAGTGTGAAGATCTTCTGTTGATTCCATTGTGACAGAGAGACAGTCAACCTGAAATGTTTAAGGTCTGATAACACCCATACTGACCCATACATACCTGTTTAATGTTCTCGCCAGATATTTTGTTCCATTCCTGTTGGCAAGGGAGGGGTATTTCTTCTGTAGGAAGGCATATTCATCTCGTATTGAATCTGCCACCGGTTTCCTCTGATTGATGTCCAACTGACTCCTGAGAAAATGTGTAAATAACACATACTTACAGAGGTAGTTTTGTCCTAGATCTAACTTTAAAGGTTCCTAGTATGACCAAAACCACTGACCATGAGACAATATACCACCACAAAACTGTCACACAGAGAACAAATGGTGAGAAAGACATTTGTGGAGCTCTAGATATGGTACAGGGATTATAACCAATAAAACAGCCCCGGATGTAGTCAAGTAAAAAATATAAAGTTAACATCAAGAGCAGAAAACAGAAAATTCTCATGACAAACAAATGTTTATAAATGGAGCCTTTCTTGTCTAGTTTCACAAAGACTGAAAGTGAATGCAACCTGCTTTCTGACTCACTAACCAACAAGCGTGACAGTCTAACCTGTTTACTACTCCTATGATTCCGAGTTTGACAGGAATAACCCTGCCCATCAACACATCCATGGCATCTGTGCCGGCATCCATCAGGTCCAGCTTGGTCACCACAGCTAGTGTTCTCCTGCCTGAAGACAAAGACACATACACACCTGGCTACAAAAAGCAACAACTATGGCAGGAAACAGAAAGCTCATATAATCTGAAAAGTAAATCTTCACTATGTAGGTGTATGACGCACAAAAAGCGACGAATTTCAAATATTTACCATCAGGGTCAACCTCTCGGGCCACTTTTAGTGCCTCCGAAGTTGCCATGTCTGTATTGGCAGCAGTCACAGCCAGGATGATGGAGTTGGGGTTAGAGATGTACTTCAGAATCAGTTCTCTGATCTGGATCTCAATGTCTTTTGGCTGGTCTCCGACTGGTACCTGTTTTCAGACATTATTTTGACACAGATTGAAACCTTACATTCAGGTGCAGGCTCACTTTAGTGTATAGTTCAAGGACACGGGAATGCAAAACAAAACAAAAAGAAAAAGCTATCTCACCTTTGTTATGCCGGGAAGGTCGACCAAGGTGAGGTTCACTACATGTGGTGAGAAGACTTTCAGGTGAATGGGATCATCACTGATACCCTGAGGGAAAGAAAAGAAGAAAAGAAAAATCACTTTCGTTTTAGAGGCTGATGGATACTTGTATTTGAAGATCATCCACCTTCTTGGCAGATAAAATGTCTCGTTCAGCGAGTGCTGGCACTCCTTCAAGTGTAATTAGCATACCTTGTTATTGCCAGAAACTCTTTCTGTTTCGGACTCAATCTCCTGGCTGATCTGCTCAAAGTCTGTGAAAAGCTGGAGGAACATTTTCACCACAAAGACGAGTAAATACTAATGTTAGAAATGCAATCAGAGGAAAGCTGGTCTACAATCAACAATGAAAACAGAGTGACAAAAAAGAGGATTACTTTGTGGTTCGTCATGAGGCCCCCAGAACATCATAATGATACAAACATAAACTATGTGGCGCCCAAGAGACACAGCTCAACCTTGGATGACATTCACTCTCAAGCAATATGAATATTTTTAGTTACCAAGAGGGTGTGTGCATGATCTTTTTTTAGGTTAGATTGTTGTTGAAAACTACAAATAATCTTCTATGACTAATCCATGCAGGAAAATGAATTGATACTCTATGAATTTTTTAGATATATTTGTAAATATATTGAAGCAGTGGTGAGAAACTCCATTAAGGATCATGTCTTCAGAGAACTTTACCTTGTTTTTTGTGTGTAAGAATTTGCCCCATTCCTCTCCCTCGATGCCTGCAGAAATACAAGGTTCAAAGCAGATGTTTCAGTTACTGGCATGACAGATGTGGCCTTAAGATCAGAGCTACTATTATTACTACGGCTATGTTAGCTGTCTCATGGGAGGATTTCCCTGTGGGCGGACATGGGATTGAGAAAAATCCTCAGAGTGAAGAACCACAGCTGAAGACTTTTAAAAAACGAATACACAAAGGAACAACTGTTGTTTTCCGACAACAGTCATGGAAGCAAATTAAAGATAAAGCTTGAAGCAAATAAAAAGTGTGTTTTAGGAAGCAGTGACTTCTTGGAAAAACAAAGTTGATACCTCGCCAAAAAAAGGGAGCAGCATTACAAGGGTGGAGTCTGTTAGTCATCAGGTATTTGAGGACATCACAGGTGAGCTTTCAGGAAGTTGGAATCAAAGAACTAATGACTTTTAGGATGAAAAACAAAAATTGGATTGTATATGACAAGAATCTGCTCATTTTCTCTCACTGACAGAGACCAGCCTCAACGAAGGGGTGAAGGGAACTGGCTAAAGTGAAGCCACATGGTTTGGCAGCTCTGGAAAAGCTACATAAATACAAGCCAGGATGGGGCAGAATGGGCAAAAGAGACGAGGGGAGGTTATGTAATATAGGAGCATAATGGGGTAAAGAAAAAGGAAAAGGAGACCTCTGTAAAGGCGTCCATTTCTCTTGGATTCTGTGGTTAAGGAGAGATGACAGGAGACAAAAGAGTTAGCCGGCCTATCTGCTGCTCCTGCACAGCTTTCTGCAGCAATGCAGAGTCACACTGAGGCCATTCCCTGAGGACAGCGCTGGATTTCCGCAGCATCTTGGCCTCCTTTTTTATCCCTGTTTTTCCCCCACCGAGGACTACATGGTGACAGTGCTGGCTCCAAGTTATACTTCTTTTATAACACAACAACTTTATAAAGCTGCAAAAAGACTTATTATGGCACAGAAACAGAGTGTTTCCATTCTTTGAAGGAGCTTCATTAAATGTCAATGTGATTCACTGTGACGCTCTTGTTTGCCAGTGAAGCTGAGTCAAACCACAATAGACTGATTGTTGTAAATTACTTCAAGTATGGACTGCTATTGTGTTTCAAAATTTCAAATTCAATACTATAAAATTATTATGCACTTATCAACTGCAAAACCGGCTATGATGTATGCACAGTATTTAAAATCAATATATTTGTGTACAATAACTACAGGTAAAATATTTCACTTTGCAAGAGTAATAATGAAAGAACATTTTTTAAGAATGATAATAACTCCACACACAGAAATAAGAGAGGTGAAAGTGACATTACCATTCTCTTCAGTGGTTTTCCTGCGATCCTCTGAGTCAATGTGCACAAGCTGTAGGATGAGGGGCCGACGTGTGACAATGCCTGTGCCACGTGGTAGGATGTCCCTGCCAACCAAGCTCTCTAACACAGAGCTCTTCCCACTGCTCTGTAGAAAAACAACAACATCAACAACAACAACAGTATTTTTCACAACACTATAAGCTGAGATTCCAGTCAGAAAGATTCCAGGTCCAGGCGACTCAGTCTGTCCATCTTGCTGATTGACAAAACAGTGCATTCTCCTTGACTATTTGCAAGCAAGAAGAAATTTCAGTGATTCTTTAACATCCAACCGCATTTAAAACAGAGGTTCTGGTGTAATTTCACTTAAACACCTCAGAAGACAAAACTTTTGAGACTCCTTTGGCAGGACTTTTTAAGAGTTCCTACTAGTGCCGTGCCTCTCAGCTGTCCAACACAATCTTATGGCTGCTTTGACTTGTATTCAGCACCCTCATACACAAACAATGGGCACCACCTGGAAGACATTTCTGTTTTAATGACAAGTGTGAAAGAGTAATCGCTAATGAGATCTTCTAAACTGAAATAACTCACTTAGCTTACTTGGCTGACAAATACCCCCTTAATGGACTGATGCAGATTTGGTTGTTGATGAGCTAAAAATGTAAAAGGTTAACTGCTTTGTGTCAGTGAACCTTGTTTTACTTTCGCTCAAGTTATTACACCTTTACATGAAGCATTAGGTATGTTTCAAATGTCCTTAACTGAAGGTCTTTCCTGGCTGGAACATACCAAACAACAAATCAGGCATTTAAATATCCTGTAGCTTGTCTTGTCTCGCTGTAACACCCACGAAGGCCTGCCAAAACGCCTGAGACAGCCACATCCTATTAGCTGACCAATGAAAGTAAACGTGTTAGACATAACCTGCCACTTTAAACCACTTAGCCTTTAACAGTACGCATGGTAGTAGGATGGACAGGGCGGAACTTGGAATAGAGACGTGTTATGGATCACATAGTAGTTTGTAATGCTGCTGAAATTAATAATAATAAATTATATTTATAACGCACTTTTACAGGTGCTCAAAGAAGCCTTACAAAGAAAAAATAAAAATAAAAAGCACAATTTAAAATACAGAAAATCTTGAGAAATAAAACCAACAATGTAAAAGGTTAAAAAAGACACAATATGAAAAGACAATAAGAGAACAATTCACAGGATAAAAGACAAATTAAATTGAATATACTGTTTATCAAATATTAATGTTGAAAATAAACCAAAACATGAGAATACGTTACAAACTACTGTTAAACAATTGGATATAAACACAAAAACAAAGTAGAGGACCTAACTATAGGCCTCTCGTCTATACAGCTTTAATACTAGCTTTGGGTCGCCTACCTCATACAGTATATCTCTGAGAAGCAACATAAACCCATGCTTTCTATAAGACAAACTTGTATATTTGTTACTGAAGATAGTAAAAAGGAAAGGATGTGGTCTTAATAATCAAAAATGAATCTCATCTCCGTTTATAAACGTAATTTTATTAACAGATAGGGGTCTCAGTGCTAAGCAGCTATGTACTTTTTCTTTCAGACAACCAAACATTGCAGCTTTGAGTTTACAATGAGATCACATGTTGCTACCGCTGACTGAGTTGCTGTATTGTATTGTTATTAACTTAAATATGAGTATACGTGTTATTTCTAAGTATAGTCAGCATGTTTAACTTTGTTTACCTTACCCGGGTGAAACTGAAAGAAAAACTGTAAGCAAAAGCGGCACAACAACTAGTTGGCGCAGGCTAACTGGCGTGCTAGCCTCTGAAGCAAAGTGACGTTTCTCACCTGAGTTCCGACAACAACTATCTGCGGTAGTTGAATAATGTCTGCGCCGACCGTATTAAACACATCTTGCAGTTTGTTTATGACAGGTATGAGGGCCTCCATGAGCTCCGAGAACTATCTCAACCTGTCAAATAGGCAACTTTCTTTAACCTGCCGCAGCACACGGCTACAAAGTCATTCAATGTCCCTCAGCTAAAAGCTACTGACGTCTCTTTGGAGCTACAAACAACTGCGCATATAGTTCCTCAGAGTGGAATCATGGGAGTTGGAGTTTTTGGAGTCTTACCCACACTACAAGAATACCAGCTTTGGCTTTGGCTGGACTACATATCCTATAAAATGCATCTTACTGATGTTTCGCCAATGAGAAGAAAGATCTTTATTTTTCCCTCCAGGCAACGGTAGCTAGGGTGAACGCGATAATATTTTGAGTGAGAAACTTATCAACGATGCACAGCCGACATCTATGCTGAAACTAGTGAGACCTGTTTCTTCTTCTTTCTTTTCTTTTTTTCATTGCAAACATTTAACAAGACATACAAAGGAGTGAAGTACAAAATGAATAATAATAGAAATAAGAAGAAAAAAAAACACCAACGAAGACATTAACATGAGAAAAAAACAGATAATTTTTTTTTTACAAAATTAAAGAAAATTTAAAAAATATATAAGATAATGGGACATCAGCAAAAAAGTATGGTAAGGAATATTTTCGCTTGATTGTGTGGATAAGTACAATATATGTGGTTTGGGGCAACATGTTATGTAAAATAAAATAAAATAAAATAAATAGATAAATAATAATAATAATAATAATAATAATAATAATAATAATAATAATAATAATAATAATAATAATCAGTTGAACACAAAAGAAAATCAGATGAAATGATAATTAGTAAAATAATAATTAAGGCTCTGGGAAGAAGAGGGGTCCAGGTTGCTTCAAAATAATGACTTTGGTCTTGGAGAGTGGCTGAGAGTTTTTCCACAGATATGTATTCTGTAAGGATGTTTAACCAGTGTGATGTGCTAAGTTAGTGAAACATGTTTCTGTCGGGAGCCTCAGGGAAGCTAATTAGACTGATTGTGAGCCATACCAGTTTCTGACAATTAAATCTTACAGGACTATTATTGCGAAATTGCCACACCCAGTTAGACATATGTACAGGGAGCAGTGCCCTTAATGGGATTTTGGTGGACATGTTGCCTAAATATCACTACGTTCGTAAAGATACGACGTACCAAAACACTAATGTTGCTGACAAAACACAAATGTACACGATTCTAAACACAGAAATCATATAAACAACAGGGAGTTTGTCTTATCACTTTAATTCTAAAAACACATTTTCTTGTACACAAAAATGAAAGTGCCATATACTGTTTATAACAGTATTAATAAAAACTATAAATATAACAAAATACATTGTAAGCTGAACATGTCATTGTAACCAGTTAAAGATTCTTAGTACACAGATAATGAAGTAAAGAAAACATAGTGAAGTGATTCCTTCAACTGGTAACTGAGAGTATGAATTTTGTATACATACATACATACAAAAAATTTTGTGACTCACAGATTTGATCATTCAACCTCTAGTGTGTACCTAATATGAAACACATACTTGTTTTTACTCACTGAGCATTGTAACTCAGATGTAAAACTACATTTTAATATCACTACAAGCTAAATTGTGTACAGAGAAATGGTTGAGGCTTTTTGCACTAATTATAAATGTCACTATGAAGACACAGACAGCTCATTCATCTCAAAGTCTTTTCACCACACACAAAAAAGGTTAGTTTAATCAGAAGTCTACTTACACTTTTGCTTCATTACAGCTCTGTAATTACTTTTGAAAATGTTTGACCCACAAATACTATCTTAACTCCTTTCATTCTTATATTTCCTGCTTTCCCAGGTTTGGTTGTTTTTTATTTTGTTTGTTTACTGAGGTTGAGACGCAACCATGGATGCTAACCTATATGCATTCCAACAGATGTGATTCATGTACACACAGTACATTAATATTTAAATAAAAGATGTGGTGCTAACTCAAGTTTAACGAGCCAACGTACGGAGGGTAACAGACTTTGGTTGAAATTGCTCACCATTTGTCAACCAGAAACAAGAATTTCAATGGTTGCTGTTGTTTCTACCTCAAGCTGCTTTTGGAGGCAATGACAACATCCATACAAAAAGAACAAAAGACTGTACAAAAGACTGAGGTGGAGCGGTGACCTGGTGACCTGGTGATGAATTTACATATGGGTGATTTACATGCCCCACATATAGGAAGGTGCATGAAATACTGACAAAATACTCCCTGTCAGCATACATCAACAATAAGAAAAGAAAAAAAAACACAAATATCATTTAAGGGTCAGTGGGCACACAGATAGGGAATAGTTTGAACAAAACATAGCTTATTGAATTTAACCTTATCTAGGTAAACTGAGTATTCACTGTTATTCGTTTGCTGCCTGAAGGTCTGATCTGAATGTCACAGTTTAAAATTCGTAGTAGTAAAGCCAAGTGATGTCCATTTCACATTCAACAGTACTTTTTCCTCTTACGGCAATCCCCTTTCAGATATGATTATACACTGCAACTTAAGATGCAGTACAGTCTGTGTAAGTCGTGACCATGTTCCCTCTGCGCTGTGTCACCGTTCTGCAGTGCTGTTTTGATGCGCCATGAAACCTGTTCTCAGTCTGTTTGGAGTGTCTATCAAAGGTAAACATTCTATCTGCGTCGTCAAACAAGTCCTCAAAGATATCAGCTCCAAAACCCCCTTGAAAGTGTCTCTTATGACGGCTGTGGGAGTCCTTGTGGGACCTGGAGTGTTCATCAAAGTGTCTTCTATGACGGGAATGCCTGTTGTGACTGTGGATGTCAAAATCCTTAAAAATGTCATCAAAGTTGAAGCTGAAAGGTTGGTGGGCACCCTGTCTTTGTCTGCCTTGTGACTCCCCAGTGAAATATCCAGAGTTTTCACTGAACTGATCATATTGTCGTCTTCTTGTTTCGTCCGATAAAGTTTCATAAGCTGCAAAAAGAAAGTAAAGTTAAGGGTAAGAAATCAAATGAATATACTCTTTAGGTGGCATGGTTTTTGTAATAAAGATCTCAGGTCTACCTAAGACAAAGGGTTACAAGAGAAAGAACATAAAGGAAAAAACTGTACCTTCCGCAATTTCCCTGAACTTCAGCTCAGCATCTGGGCTCTTGTTCTTGTCTGGGTGGTATTTCATTGCAAGCCTGTGAAAAGCCTTTTTTATTTGCCTTTCAGTGGCATCCTTTGGCACTCCCAGTATATCATAGTAGTCCTTCTTGGCAAGTATCAGCTCTGTTATCATCAGGACGCACACTGCAAACGTTATGGCAGACTGTGCAGTTGCCATAGTTCAGATTGCCCCTGCATTCAAGGGATAAAAGAGATCATTGTTAAGGTGTGAAGGATGCATAACACAAAACATGTGGCAGAGAAAAGCAAGTGACAGCAATTTGATTTCAAACACTATTTTGGTTGTCAATGATCCTAAAAACAAGATGTTCTAAATGAAATGATTATCCTGTTGCCTGTTCATTTGATGAATGGAGTGCACCTCCTTTACCTCCTCCACCAGAGGGTGTGCTCTGCCTATCCCCACTAACAACACACTAACTTCAACTTGTATTAATGATGATACATCATCATAAGGATATAACTTATTCTACTTATTTTATTGATTTATCTCTTTGTTTTTACTTGTTTTATCGATTATGTATCTCCTCTTTCTACTTTATTTGCACTGGAGTTACTGTAACAAATAGCAATTTACCCTGGGGATTATTAAAGTATTTCTGATTCTGATTCACTGAACATGAGGAGAAAAAGAGGGTGTGATGATAAGCAGACAACTGCTGGTCTGTCCTTCTCATTATTCTTGATGGTAAAGCAATAAAAGTTTGCAAAAACAGAGTAATGGATTAGATCTGAAGTCTTAATAAAATGCAGATGGTGGTACAGTAAAGATCTACTAAGTCTTGTATTCAGTAAGTAAAAACCCGTAACAGTGAAGTCGCGTGTAACAATCGTGACTTAAATACCCATAAAAATAATCGTGATTAAGGTCCTTCCCATCATCAAGCTTCCCTAACACGTGGACAGCAAACCTTGGTGAAATATAACTGTAATATCTTGTTATAGAAGTATTTACCTCAAGTAACTTTCTCTGACAAAATTAAAGAGCATCACAGAAACATCTGATCGTATTTAATGAAGACCCAGATGTTCATTCTTTGTAAATACAGACAAACTCTTGGTTTGAAACGTGACATAATTAACCATTTCACCGCGATGTCATCACCACACATCAACCGTCACAGCTCACGTTAGCTAACATCAGCTAACACCCTTTCCGTGTATTCCTCTTTCAACTGAACCCAAACTTACCTCTCTGGTGCTTCTTTAATGCTGAACCGCAGCTCTGCCCTTTATCTGTTTATTCCACAGTCAACATTAAGATGTAAAAACGCCACTTTAGGCTATTTTTATTATTAGCATGCAGCAGTTCGGATTGTACAGCATCATTTCGGTCTTCTTTTTCTTCTTCGCTGTCATGGTGATAAGGCATACGTCATTATCTTACCGCCCTCTGTCGGTGAATGTAGTTTATGGTCTGAGAATTTGCAGTCATCATACACTTCAGCGTCTGCCTGGCACTCCATTTTGTTGTACGCGTGTACCGCTTGCAATGTGGTTGACGTATTCTTGACTCTGTGTCTACTCCACCCACCTTAGAGAGATTCGGTGTACGCCGGTGTTGATCCTGCTCTCTTGTCAACTGCTATGGGGAGAATTTTTCCAACCAATCACAGGGCTCCAAATGAGGGCCGGGAAATACAGAGCCAATCACAGAGCACATAGGGCTTCACGTGACCATTGTTTTTCTTTTGACTGACACTAGACGTCATTATGGAAATACACAGTCACAGGTCGAACACCCGTATTTGTTTCTATAGGTATTTAGTGTCAGATACCGTTTTCAAATGAGTACCACTCCATGCGTATGATGGCGGAATTTTGTCTTTCGTGACTCGACGACCTAAGACTGGTGAGGTTTAATATATTTTGTTTGGTCTGTGTTACTGTGTTAGCTAGCAGCGGTACTATGTGTAAGCGAAGCTAGCGGCTAGTTGCTGATGTTGAAACACATGATTTTGTGTAGATGTAAGTCATTACTTTTTCGTTTCAATTAGAAGTGAAGGTTTTCACTTAACAAACTAAGACAATCATCAGAAGTCCGAATTAGGTGCAGTGTTATATTCATTTCATGTCATTTCCATCACTTTGTGTGTACCACTGTTTCTTTCTTCATGCATACATCTGTTTTTGTTGTTTTTGTTGTTGTCTGTCACCAGGTGCATTAAGAGGAAAAGCGTATCTCTAGTGCTTAGTGGATGGCACACTCTTGTGACCTGAAAAAATGAACTATTTCTGGGCTCCCCATACCTGGGCGAAAGTAAACAGAGCGTTTCATCTGTGGCAGATTTACACTCGCAGGTCAGCGGCATCACTTTCCTTGTGTGGTACCTCTCACTGCAGGGTTCATTCACTGCAAACTCACTGTTACAAGCTCGGTTACATCAACTGGAGACACATCCACCACCTGAGGATCACCGGGCGTAAAGGATGGATCTTTAAAGCCAGACAGAGGCGTGGACTCCACACCAGCTCCCCATATTTGAACACTTCAGCTTCACGTTGGTCTGCAGGTTTGAGCCAACACATGTCGCGGGTCAGGAACACACTGGACACAGTTTCTAAAGCTGTGAGTGGAACACATACAGAACTTTTCTCCAAGATCGCCAGACTCAAGCCGAATGCTTTCAAAGCTGGGAAAAAGGCTGAGGCGAGTAATGGGTCAATGCAACAAGCAGAGGAGATGTCAGCTCCTGCTATTGCTTCTCCTGATGCTGCCGCCCCTTCTCCATCTGTTACACCCACACCTGTGTGTAATGTATCTCCTGCTAGTACTGCTGCTACCACTACTGCAAGTGCCACTACCTCGACTCTTCCACTCAATTCTACCCAAGCAAATATTGCTGCCGCAGTTCTGGCTGAGCGTGAAGTCAAGGAGAAACGACTAAGACGTGTCATTCCGGCTGTCAAAGTCAGTGCTGCCAAGAAGCAAGAGGAGCTGAAACCTCCTCACAAGGATTCTGAGGCCAAGAGCCCAAATCCTAAACAAAACACAGCACTTTTCCATCCGAGCACCTTCTCAGTCAGCCTGGATGAGACGTACAACTACCTAGCCAATCACATTAACTCCTACTTTGGTACGAAGAGCGAGGACAAGAAAGAAGACAATGCTGGCAACTCCGCTGTATCCTCTCAGGATAAACAAACCACAGGCCTTATGCCCATGTCTGAAAAATTGGACGCTGTTACTCCAATTACTCCACCCTCTCCCAGAAAAGGTTTTGGACACTACCTGTCCTACTCTGCTCCAACTGTCCAAGCTTTTGTAGGAAGTTACATTGCTCCCCTGGTGCCCAAGTTCAGGTCAGTTGAGTCCAAAAGTGCAGCAGTGGAGGAGAGAAAACCTGAGGATTCACAGGTCAAAAAGGTTGAAGCCACAATAAGTAAAGAGCAGAAGGCTGCGGAGGAGAAAGCCAAGAAACTACTGCTTCAAAGAGAGAAGGTGGGTTTGTATAAAACCACTATTTCATTTGTGTTTATAACTGATATCAGAATTTTTTTAAATCATAATTTCCAAAATAACTTGTGGTCTAATAAATGTAGTTATGTATATGCAACCTAAATTTTAACAGCATTTCTCAAACATGTTTTCCTTGTTATAAAAGCACAGTATATACAGTAACAAATAGTTGTCGGGGGCCCGCTGTCCTCATGTTTACAAAAGCTCTTGTTATTCTATATGTCTCATGGTAGCGAACTGTGCTGATGCGCTGACTGAGTTCTAGGAATCTATTTTTAAAAATAACTGGGTTGCGGGCTAGGAGGGCCACAGAAGGTGTGCACCATTTAGACTGAGCTAGTGTTTCAGTTTGTGAAATAATAACAAAATGTAAATGTCTTTACTTAACCTTACTTTGGATTAAGTGATTTATAAATGTAATTCACAAAAACATTTGATAGTTGGCTGACAGCAGTGACAACACATACAAGTTTCTTATGTATATGACAGAGAGTGAGCTGATGTGATTAACACGAGGTTTCCCGTTTGCTTTCGCTCTGATTTAATCCACCTAAGGAAGAAATGTAGTTTGAAGTACTTACAGTATGCCTGTTGACTGTGATTACATTTGCTAAGTTATAACCTTGTCATCTATCGATGATTTAATCACAGAGTAAAAGAAGTTGGTATTTTACATGAGTGAGTTTTACAACCTTTTATGAGGAGTGGTGGGTTTTTAAATGTGGGTGTCCGGCCCATGGAACTGAAATTCAGGTCATACTAGGGACTGTATCTCTATAACATGCTTATGACACATTTATGAATGTTTTCAACTAATTGCTCCAATTTCTGGTCCCTTTAATTTCAAGAAAATAAATGAAACTGTATTCAGAGCATCAAATAGTCAATGCGTTGCTCATGCTGTACAGAAGCCATATATCAAGTCAGGTTTTAACTAGGATTCCAGCTAATGTGTAACAGCTTGACTAACTCATTTGTTCCTCATACATTTCTTAGATCATTGCAAGGGTGAGCGTGGACAATCGAACCCGGGCTCTGGTTCAGGGTCTCCATAGAGCATCGGATGTGAGGGTCTACATCAACAGAGTAGAAGACCTCAGCTATCATCTCTTGGAGTTTCCAGAGACTGCTGGGGTTGCTGTCAAGGTGAGAAACCTGTACCGTTTTTACCCAGAATGCTTTCATGCTGGAGCCTTGTCGAATGCCGCTTAGCATATTAAGAGCACCACCTCTGATATTCCCCAGCACATGGTGTCCAGACAGCATAGCTTTTTGCATACATAATCATGTTATATCTGGTGTGTATTGTAAACAGCTGTAGCATGTCAGAGCTGTAGATAATGACCTGCTGCTTATGTTTAGGAATTTTCCCATGCCAGACAAAATGTCACAGCCTAGAAACTACATGCACACTGCATACTGCCGTGTTTATTTATGTCTCAGCCTTATCTGTGGTGGTGTCAGGAGCTATACGAAGCCAACCTTATTCAAACAAGGACACCTCGACTTGTGTATGTGAGGAAAGTTTTAATACTGCTGAGCTCAATCTTATTATGGGAAGAATAATCTTTGTGTCAGCACAAATACAAGAAACCAGAGTGGTGACTTTGAGGTGATAGATTATCCTAAATTTGGTCTTTATGAGATCCTAATGTGAGTGAAATGTGGAACATTCATCCTAATCCTATCATTCAATCTACAAACTGACAGTTTATGTCACGCCATTAAAATCTGGGATGAGGAGGGGGGCACCTGAATATATCAGGATTGATCTGCTATCAAGATTTTGAAGGCCTAGTCAGTCTCAATAAATCGTTACTCTAGATTCATCTTAGCCAGAATTTGATATGCAGTGATTTTCCATTGCAAATGATCCAACCTTGCCCTCTTCACTGAGTCCATTCTCATTGAAAAGTGTCTGAAAACTTGTAAAACTTGTCAGTGTCCAGCTGGTGTGAGAAAGCTGAATCACCCTCCCATTCAGGAAGTTCTGCTTGTTTATGTCTTTGTTTGAGGAGCTACCTGCTGAAGAGATAACAAACAATACACTTAGTAGGAAGGACACTTGATTCTTTGAAAAACTTGTAAAATGTAGAAATAATTATTCATTATCTCATATTTTCATATTGTTATATGTAAAGTATTTGTGGTGTTGAAGGTATTGAAGAAACTTTCCTGAGCATTCGGTATTTCACAAGCTTCACAATTGGGATACTTCTGTGCAAGCAAACAATACTGTTTGAGCACAGTCTCCTTCCTCACCACTTTTGAGCCCCACCTCTTGTGTACCACATGCACACAATGATACACCTCACCTATTCTGGTCTGACCACATCCCAGGAGAAACACTGTTTTGTATTTTCCTGTCCTGACTGTCTGTCTGTTTGTTTATATTGTTCCCTTAGGAGAAGGTTATCCCCTGCCTGCTGCGACTGAAACAGGCCAATGACCCGGGCCTGAGGGCAGCAGTGAGGGAAGCTCTCGCTCTGGTAGGCTACCATTCACCAGTTAAAGGCCGGGGCATACGGATCTTGTCCATAGATGGAGGAGGGTTAAGGTACAAGTTCAAGTCTTCCTCTTTTTTGTGTTTTGAAATATGAGAGACTGACTGCCAATGAAGAAATTTAGTCAATGCACTGAGTTAATCTTAAAGGGATATTCCGGCATGAAATTAATTTAGGGTCAAACACACGTAACACAAAGAAAGACACCCGTCGAGAGATGAATGTTGCCGACTGCTTGCTTCTGTAGTTATACCAACCTTAGTAACGACTGTAGATAGCAATACACAGCAGTCTGAGGAGCCATAAACAAACCTCAAAACAAAATGCTGCTCTATAGCCACAAATAATGCTCAGAACAGCACCTAAGTACATATAGGGTCCTAGCCATAGTACTAGCCACCAAACAATTTTTTAACTTTGCCTGATTTCTTTAGCAAAGAGACTAAACACAACTCACCCTAGTGCTGTGGTTGGGACCCTATATGTACTGTGGATGAACTTAGGTGCTGTTCTGAGCCTTATTTGTGGCTATAGAGTGGCGTTTTGGTTGAGGTTTGTTTATGGCTCCTCAGACCGCTGTGTATTGCTATCGTGCGGTCGTTACTAAAGTTGGTATAACTAGAGAAGCAAGCGGTTGGCAACAATCATCTCTTGAGGGGGTGTCTAACTCGTTGTTTCTGTGTGTTTGACCCTAAATTAATTTTACGCCGGAATATCCCTTCAAGGCTACAGTATTCTGTGTCAGTTCATATTTATCTTCACTGTATATCCTGAAGCCCCCCCACCTTTGCACCTTGGCTCTTACCTTGGACATGCCGGCGTCATATATATGTACATGCCAGACTCATTTTGCAACCTCTTATCTCCTTATGAATTCATGGCCCCCTGTGTTTGTGTTTGTCTATGTCTGACTTTTTGTCTTCAGAGGAGTTCTTGCACTTCAGACGTTGCACAAGCTGGAAGCCCTGACCGGAAAACCCATATACAAACTCTTTGATTATATTTGTGGTGTCAGCACAGGTACGTCGTCCTCCTGCCCTAATTCTACATGTTTGTGAATGAGTGTGTTTGGATTATGAGAGCAGAGTGAGAGTGAGCAGAGTGCAGGCTGGACTGGCAGCAGTGATCACACAGTGACCCATTTGTTGATGTGCTGTTGTTTTGACCTCAATTTTATGTCCCAAATACACTCCCAAAGTCAGGCTGCTTTGCTCCACTGTAAGCAAAGAGCAAATCTGCTCTGACTTGTTCAAATTTTAGATAAATAATGAGGTGAGGATGTTAGGAAATGATACAGACTCTGCTTATTTAGAGGATTTCATGAGGTACATATTTTTTATTCTTTTATTCAAAATCACCACAGGGGGGTGCTGTTGACATCCTGAAAATACTTCAAACTGCTGCTCAGTAAATTACTTCACAGCAGATTGATAAACTGCCTTTTATTTGCAGAGCAATTTGGTCCTTAATCACCAGCAGAAGTTTTTATTTGTCCCTAGCTCTCATCAATCCTCCCAGTCTTAATCTTCAGCAGTTGGAGGTGCTTCATTTTCACACTTGGTGAACGTCGTCAAAGATAATATAATCATAGCCTGCTTGATTGAAGGATGGACACACATATATTTTACCCATCTGGGTTGCATCTGTTTTGTTTGCTTACCCAGATAATTTATGAACACTCTGTCTGCATTGTTGATGCTCAGGAATCCTGTCAGGAATCAATCTAAGACAGAGAGCGGTTAAGAGGTGTTTGTTTATAGTGTAAAAGCCAGGTTAATCCCACACACTTCCTATAGATTGTTAAATGATGAAGCAGGTGGAATCACATCATCTCTGCACCTGTTTACTCTTCCATCACCGAGATTACCTTGCTGCATTCCCAAAGGACTGACTGAGTTTCTCCTGCTCCTCTATATTTGTTTACCGTGATTTCTCATTCACTTCCCTTCTTTGAATGTTTATTTTCTTTTGTCTCCACAGGTGCTATCCTTGGGTTCATGCTGGGTGTGTTCCAGATCCCAGTGAACGAGTGTGATGATCTGTACAGGAAGTTGGGTTCAGATGTTTTCAAGCAGAATGTCATCGTTGGCACCGTGAAGATGGGCTGGAATCACGCTTTCTATGACAGCGAAGCCTGGGAAAATATCCTCAAGTCAGTGCATTTGTTTTTAATGGCAGTTATAGTCACACAACTGGTGGTGGTTTTAATCAGTTAACATTGATAATGTCATCACAGATGTATAGATAGCTTTAGTTTCTATTGAAGTGTGAATTTTAGGTTTAACAGGAGTTGAAGCTGATAATAATAATGCATCAGATTTCATATAGCACTTTATCAGAGACCCTCAAAGCGCTTCACATTGGATACATCATTCATTCGCTCACTCAGTCACACCCTGGTGGTGGTAAACTACCTTAGTAATCACAGCTGCCCTGGGGCAGACTGACAAAAACGTGGCTGCCATTTTGCAACGGCAGCCTCTCCAACCACCGTCACACAACACTCACATTCATACACCAGTGGAGGACACACATGAGCAAGGTGAGTTAAGTGTCTTGCCCAAGGACACAACAGACAGACTTGGGATAGAGGGAACTCGAACCACCAACCTTCCAGTTATTGGACCACTACTCTACCTCCTGAGCTCCTGTCGCCCTGGCATAAATAATCATAACCTGTGAATGCATATAATAACAAAATATAACAAAAGGTCTCACAAAGTGTACATAGGCTGTTTATTCAGCCTGAAAACCTTGAAAACACAAGAATGGTCCTTTTAAAATCATTGTGTTGTTGTAAAATAATGTTACATTCCATGAACTCAGAGCAGGTTGGATTATTTGAATCCTTTAAATTTGAAAAAACTCAAATCTGGAGCAAGGCATAACGTTTTCTAAAATTAAGTCATCCAGAAAATAAAATCGTCTTATCTTCCCCTCCACAGAGAGAAAATGGGCTCTCACCTCCTGGTAGAGACAACAAGAAACCCAGAATGCCCCAAGGTGAGTTTTCGAAGACGCTCTGACTCATCCATCCCTCTTGTTATGTTCTGGCTCTGACCCCCGAGCCTCCACTTCTCTTTGTTTGCAGGGATATTACAAACAAATCTCTTTTCTTTATCTTCACCTTGCATACGGCTGCATGACACTTGTAGGGAAAATACACTCGAAAGCTTTATAAGACCGTGTGGATGAAGCAGCATACAGGATTTATGTCAGCAGGCTCCTCTGCAGAAGAGAGATGATATTGAATGGATCTGTCAGAATGTCTGCCTACATATTATGCTGCATTTTAGATTCTCTTTAAAATGCCATCTCATGCTGGAAAAAAAATTCATGTTGTATCTAATTCTCTTCACCTGTAGGTGGCAGCAGTGAGCACTGTTGTGAACCGGGGCACTCCTCTGAAGGCTTATGTGTTCAGGAACTACAACCTGCTGCCTGGGGTGCGCTCTCACTACCTGGGGGGCTGCCAGCACCAGCTGTGGCAGGCCATCCGTGCCACGTCAGCTGCTCCAGGGTATTTTCAGGAGTTCACACTGGGAAACGATCTCCACCAGGTCAGTCCTTCTCACTACTGTAACACACCCCGGTCATGGCACACTTGATGATTAAACCAACAGTTAATCTCTGAAATATAATCTCTGATGCTTAGATTTAAGGATGAGAGTCATAAATTACACTATTCTACGAACTAACATTTCAATATTCTGGATGTAATTTACAAAGAAAGAGTATGTCTTTTAGTAGCAGAAAATAATGAACATTGTTCTGTTTCACTGGTGGGACTCAAACAGTTGGGTCAGTTTTCTGCAAAAATATATGAAAGATCACAAGCACACACCATGAGTCTAAAGTAGCTACTTCACAAGTGCCAGTCAGATCAAAGTTTCTTTTCATGTAAAGCCAGGTTTACTCTGGCACGGTGTTTCAAATCTTTGTGTGCAGGGAAGTAAAAATAACATATGAGTCATTATCTGTAGGCTGCTTTACCGTGACTACTAACTGACTAACTGAATAGACAACACACCTTCATCTTTCCCCTAATGTGAGATGTGAACCCAAAACACCATCTTGATGGATGCTGACATTTTGCACTGGTGGAGCCAGTTGTTCACAGAAGCAGTCTAGGTGGTAGACTGACATCACAGCCTATCCCTAAACCAAAACACACCGGTTACATATAGGGTCCCAGCCAAAGAACTAGTAGCCACCAAACATCTTTTTAACTTTGCCTAATTTTTTTTAGCAAAAAGACCAAACACAACTCACCTACTCTCTTCCAGCAGCCATTTGTTTGTACAGAGACCTCGGGCTAGTCCATTACGGACTGCTGCGGGGTGAGGCAGCTCAAGGAAGAACATTTATGATCATTACTTTATCATTTCCTTGAAGTAATAATCATCATATTAATCATAAATGTTCTTCCTTGAGCTGCGTCACCCCGCTGTAGTCCGTAATGGACTAGCCCGAGGTCTCTGTACAAACAAATGGCTGCTGGAAGAGGGTAGGTGAGTTGTGTTTGGTCTCTTTGCTAAAGAAACCAGGTAAAGCTAAAAAGATGTTTAGTGGCTAGTACTATGGCTGGGACCCTATATGTACTGTTGCTGTTCTGAGCATTATTTGTGGCTATAGAGTGGCGTTTTGGTTGAGGTTTGTGTGTGGTTCCATAGGCCGCTGTGTATTGCTATCGTGTGGTTGTTACTAAAGTTGGTTTAACTAGAGAAGCAAGCATTAATTTTATGCCGGAATATCCCTTTAAGTGTAGGGAAAACGACATGTTTTCTATTAAAATCTTCAAAAATACATGATAAATGATGCCCTGGAGAAATGACATAAATCAACATGTTTGTCATGTTGCATGAAAAGTATCCTCTTTGTACCTCAGTGAGCTTCAAAACATTTTGCTTTCCAGTGTGAGGCTGAGATATTGAATTTTCTGTGTCTCTTTGAAAGCTGTCTCTCACACCACGTTTCACATTCACACTCTATATTTACACACCTCGTGAGTATTCAAACTGCAGTCCCCAGCTACAGAAATACAGGGTATAATGTCTGGATACTGGATTTAAATGTTGCATACAGGCAATATGGACTGTGCAGCATTTGAAGGATTTTAAGACGCCTGAAGAGAAAAATCCTCTGCACAGCAAGCGAGAGGGAGGAACTCCATTTCTGAGCCGTCAGTGTTAATTTCCAGTCAGTTACATTTTGACGAGAAAGTGAGGGGTAGAGTCGCAGCGAGACGCTCTTAAATCCATCTTCAGTAAACAGGTATGCATTAGCCATCAGGAGCATAACAAACCACCGGACCACTCAACCATTATACTGATCAATATGTTTGACCACTCTGTCTGGCTTTACCTTTTCAGAAAGGTTGCAGAGAAGAAATAAGAAACCGTCTAAGTAGGAGAAGCTTGAAAATGAGTGTGCGTCACAGTTTTGTTTTGTTCAAAGAAAAGGTTGCCAGGGGATAAACAAAAAAGGAAAGTAACAGATGGGAAGACATTGATTGAAGCCACTCTGCTCCACTTCTTTGGAGTTTTCAGCTGACGTAGCCGGCGTTTGACCTGCCTCATCCAGATGTCAGCATCCCCTCGGATTGACGTTCAAGCACAGATGTTTTGTCGAGATTGACTCATTCAATGTAGACTTAGCGCATGTGAATAAGCATGTGTTTGCATCAAAGGCAATATCCCATGTCGACTCGCTCCTACGCTCTTAATTGGAAGCTGTGTTAGACGGGTAGGTGAGGCGGGGGGAGTTCACGGGGAGAGAATGAAAGAGACTAGTTGATGGAAAAACCCACCTGTGGTAGGAGACTTCCCTCAGCTTGCTGTCGAGCAGGTCTCACTCCACTCGGAGATGCATAAATTAGCCAAATGCAGCGAGCGTTTCCCTCATCACACACAAACTGTTTGACTGCTACATCTGCCTCGTTAGAGTGAAGAAATAGACAATCTAATTATGAAGCTGCTATTCCAAAACCTGTTAGCTGCTAGCAGGGAAACCTCAAACTGAGTGAGGATGAGACAGCATCAACAGATTCGTTTATTTAACCCATCTGACGACAAATCAGTCAGATTGTATTTCATTTTTATCTCATTCCTGTCAAAAAGATCTTCTAAACAATCAACTGAATGACAAAAGAGAGGATTTCAGTCCTAATTTATCAACAAGTACCTTTTTAGTTTTCTCTCCTTGTGTTTTTCTCAAGCTAATGAATTATTTTCAGAATATTTTAAAAAGGTATTTTTCTTGGACCGGCCATTCCTGTGTGATCTGAGCTTCTCCTCATTTGCCTTCTCCACCGTTTCTTCTTTATTTTAGGAATACTTCATACCTGTGTTCACTTCACTTTTGCTGTGTTTTGCTTAACTTACTGACATTTTGGAGATCGGTTTCACATGGTTACAGTACAGAGCATGAAACTTCTGTGTTTTTAGCTGTAGTTCATTTTAGACCCTTGGCTGTGTCGGTCTTTGTTTGGTCTTAACATAAACAGCTGGATTGGATATATAACATTTAGTAACCAGTGCTGTAGTCTCATCATCCCGATTTGAGTCTCAGAGAGGCTCAAGTCCTTAGTGTTCCTAGTCCAGGTCACCAGAGAGCAATCCAGCTGAGTACAGGTCCAGTCCCCATGATTTGAGGATTTACTGTTCACTGTGTGGACCTTAACTGACTGTGTGCGGCCTATGAATGTATAGATGTATAAATTTTATTCATTAACCTTGGATCTAAATAATCATTGAAGTTACCGTATGAGGCACACTTATTATCCTTGCTGCAGTGGGTTCGCTGCATGTGTCTTAAAAACTCACCTCTTATTAATCAAACATTGTTGCCGATCAAACATTTTGATCATTACTGCTGACCTAGAATCGCGCTGATACCAATCCAAGTCACTTCAAGCATCCATCTTAGTTTTCTAGATGCAACCTTGACCGATGTTTGCTAAAGTCTGAGCTTTTATCTTCATTTAAATGTAAAACATGTAAAATTTTAAAAAGAAAAACTCACAATTCATAGTGCCTCATAAGACGATGTGGCAGAATCGTGGATGAACAAAACATGCATGCAGATGAGCACGACCACCAGCCCCTGATTTCTTAAAACTGAATGGATTATATGGACCTTATACAAAAATGATGGTATAAAATAAAACAGTTCTTCTTAATAGATGAGCTGAGATCCCCTTCTCTTGATCCTGAAACAGTTGATGCTGAAGTCCAAGTCAGATTTATCAGTCCTCGAGTTTCATGTAGAGTCCTTCTTCTTGTAAAATCAGGACACAAGTTGGACTCCAGTCTGAGTCCTGGTTTGGTGTACCATGGCGATGTCAGTATCAAAGGATCTTATAACAAAACAAACAAAGATACAATTAAAAATGTTGACTATAAACTATCATTGTTCTATTTCAAACCAAAGCAAAAGTGTTCCTTTTATTATTAATTGAAAAATATTGTTCTTTTCAGCCATATCACCTCCATTAATGAAACGGAAAATAACTGAAAGGAAGACATTAAATCAAAACCTCAAAACAAGGACCCACTGTGTCCTTTTAACAAACCCGTCTTGTGAAATATCAGGAGAAATGCGGATTCAAATACAAATTTTGTAAGAGTACCCAAAACATCATTTTGAAAGTTTCTATAAAATGTTTAAATCTTTCTTTTACCGTGAAGAAAACTCTGCCAGTTTCAAAAACGCCACCCAGCATGATGGCTTTATCTTTTGGCCTCTTGAGCCACTGAAACCAGTTCATGAGCTTAACATGCCGTCCCTGTGATGTAAGGATTCCCCGGAGAGGGAGGCATCTCGCTCTTTTCCACAAACGCCCACTGAGTTTCCACTTAATTCAGACCCTAAACAATTATCTTTTTGTTTGAGTCAGCGCAGGAGAGTTGCCATGCCATGTGCTGAACGAATGCCGGAATTCTCAAGCAGCATTTTCAAGAAAGTTGTGATTGTTGTACTACGTATCTGTGATTCTGACGGCTGGAATCTGACAGTAGTTCAGATTCAGAGTGGTAACACAGGGGAAATTGTGACTCAGAGCAAGACCTTTGAAGCAGGGCAGCCATGTTTTTATCAAAGCCTCACACTTGCCACCACAGCCATGGAGAGGATGCGTTTAGAGAGCGGGAACAAGGAGAAAAGAGAGAAAAAGTAGACAGGATGAAGGGAGGGAGGTTCCACATTAAAGCTCGCGCAGTTATCTCTGCTCTAAAGAACACAGGAGAAGAAGACTTCAGACGCTTCACAATAGATGCCAGGGCATGCGTGGAATGGCGAGGAGGGCCCAATTTTTTCCGCCTAGTTGCCATGGCGTCTCCTGAGGTGATGGGGAGGAATGGGAGCATGTTTTTTCGCGCCCAGTTCTTCCAGCATTTAATGGGAGGCATGGCATCAATGCAAGCTCTTAAGAGCCCCCAACACAGCACAGCGCTCGGCAGAAAAGACTCCACACAGCCTGAAATAGAGCAGATCACATTAGCCCTCCCATACTTTTATGAAGTGTAGGGAATGAGGCATAAATGAGTCTAAGAAGTCATTTAAAGTAGCAGCTTTGGCTAAAGAACTCAGGCAGTGTGGTTCTGTGAGAGGAAAGAAGAGGAGAAGGCAAAGGGCCTCATATAATTAAGTGCCATTCCCAAAGTGCAGCTCCAGAAATCATAACCTTTTGGATCACCCTTTTCACTTCTCTTTTTCTCACCCATAAAGGCCATTGGAGGTGAAGCTGTTGGCCGTAAATTACATGCTCAGCAGCGCTGCGGTGCTTCTCCTACGAGGCAGTGAGGAGGAGAGGTGGTGGATTCGGGGAGGTTTAAATCGGAGCTTTAGCCACTTTCTTATCCCAGCTCTCTCCTCCCTGTGTTAAACCCTGAGAACTTGGCCTGGATGCTGTCAGAGGATGGAGCTCAGACTATTGAGCCCTGCTGCAGACAGTTTCCTCCTCCCACACAGACTCAGAATCTCTATCCTATCAGAGAACCAAGTTCACATTGATCCTCTTATTGTGATTTTCCCCCCTCTGTTTGCCCTTTTTGCACCATAATACTGCACGCTCAAGTGCCCATTACTTTCCAATCCAAACACCTGATTGCACCAGCATAGAATTAGGCCTTTTCATTGAAGGAAACAGAACTTGGGGTTAAACATTGAAATACAATTAGTGTGAATAATCATGTAAAAGTTGTACAAACAGGGCTGTTTATTTGGTCGCCCAGCTGATGTCATGATATCATGAAAAGGCATCCTAACTTTCAGTCAATCCAGCTAAAAGCAAAGAGGGGGAAATGAAGTGGGGTCTCCTGGAAAATGGCAACAAAGCATCCATCTGTCTGTCAAATTAGCCACACCCCTGATTATGCAAAATTTCATAACCCCTATATCTACTAAAAGGAGGAGTGATAGCAAAATTAACCCTCCATTCATTGTCCACAAATAGAGAAATAGGCTATAAAGACCAAAACTGTTTCTAATGTGTCCTGTTTTTATACCAGGCTGAAAACATGTTGTGGTCCTTATGTGGGTGGCCTGGGTTCAAATTCAACTCTGACCCATGTCTGTAACCGCTCTGTCAACCCCCTTTAAAGAAAAAAAGGCATTTTAATATGTGTGTCCATGGGGTTTTCTCTGCTTTTGGAGCTAGCATCAATGTGACACTTGAGGGACTGAATGAGTCTTTTGACATTGAAGGTTGCCACTTGTCAAAGAGATAAGATGTACGACTTTGGCAACAGGTTTGCCAAAATCAGCAGAACTCATGCAGTAGCTCTCAGGGCGATGAAACTGAAAATTTACAGATACTGAAATTTACGACAATAACCAACGTCCTTTTGCTCATGTCAGTATATATATTCAGTGTTAAAACAATAAATAAATAAGATTGGTTTTGGATGTGTGTAGGTAGGCTATGGTCTCATGTCCCTTTAAGACGCTGTCCTATGTGACGTGACTCCACCCCATCCAGTCTGTAACAACAATGAAAAGACAGGTGAGGAGATGGAGGACCGTTCAAAAGTTGTAGCAGCTGAAGTAGATGAAGTTCATGTGGGAGGGGGTGAGCAGCTTATAGAGTAGTTATCATCCATTTATCCATTTATCGCGATTAACTGCTCAATATATTGTGATATTGATTTGAGGCCATATTGCCCAGCCCTAAGTAGCTTTACTATGGAGACCTCTTTTGTAGATTTGCTGAGTCACAGCCCAGAAAGATTGTCTGAAATTCACTACTTCAACCCTCATATTCGTAAAAAATGAACTTTTCCAATCCTATATGTATGGGTCTGAGGGAACATCAAATCAATGCTGTAACTGCGGTGTAAAAGCCCCCTCAAAATCTCAAACAACCCCTTTTAGTTTCACTCTGCACCTCACTCAGCAGGCTCTTTAGTGCCGCTGCAGCTCCAGATGAGAAAGTAAATCACACCTTGCCTTACAATGTATTGATATGCTAGCATGTGTGTTCGACCAGCTCTCCTGTGAGCAGCTGGGAAATGAGCTTTAAATTGCCTGGTAGTGGAGTTATGATGATGGACAGAAAAATTATGCTTTCTAATATGAAGTTGTCAAACATGCACATGAAGCCCAAAGGGAATCCAGGCTGAGTAAATATGAGCAAGGGGGTTCTGCGCTCATTTATATCACTGAGAGAAGTGGCATAGTTTAATCTGCATGGCTGCAGCTGGCAGAGATGATTCATTGTTTCAATACTCAGCGCACATGTGTGGTCATGTTTTCTCTGAATGTGTGTGGAAAGGTAACTGCAAACAGTAAATCTCAATTTCTCTGCCTGCCCGGGGCAAAGTTGGCACCCACAAAGGCTGCTGCTTTCTCTGTTGACAGCTTGGGAAGATGACTCAAGCTTCAATGTGACCTTTGGGGCCTATAAGGCAGGGAGGCAAAAAGAAGAAGAGCTCGGCGTAATTATGTAATACGGCATGAAGACCTCTGACTTGGCTTGACCGCAAGTGGAGTGGAACTCACAACACTCACACTGTTGTCATTCTCATCCTCAGCGTTAATAATGGTGGCCTTTATATGGATTGGACACCATTTGGGCAATTAATTTCGCTCAATAAGCACATTTATTTACCCGATCAGGAGAGTGAGAGAAACTCACACTCTCCAAACTGTGTGGATAATCTTGAAGTGGACAAGTATCTTTTTTTTAGCACCCTAATTATCTACTCGATCAACTGAATGACCATCTCTGGAAAACAGTGTTGTTATTGTGAAAGACATAATAAAGCTTATGTAATGCTTGCCTAATTAATGGTTTGAGAAAAGAGGGGCTTCATAATAAATCACAACGGTGCTCACGCTCGGCGCCCTTTTACTGCGGGCCTGTCAGAGACGCAACACAAGAAATTGTAATGACCGCACACTGTCTGTCTGTGATGTGAATGTAACTCTGCATAAACGTCAAAGGCTCACCTCATTTAGATTTAACCCAACGCTCTTCTTGAACCCTCGATCAAGCTCGTGTTGAAGCTTACCCGCTGGTTACAGAGGCAGAGAGAAAACGAGGGGGAGAGAGAGGAACACAGGCTGAATGGAGAGGATGAAGTTTGCTGTCCCAGCTAATGGGAGCTGACATACACTGGCGCGTGAAATGACTTTTGCTGATCCTGACGATAGCACCTCTTTCCCATTCAAATCAGGTCTTCCCTCAAGACGGCCTGAACTGGCCTAATGGAGATAAGCTCCTAAAACTTAATGACAGCGGAGGAATTTTTAACAGCAACACAGGAACCTATAAATCCTTCATGTCTTCATTTTGTTTGTTTATCACCGCCCATGTCATCTCAGTCATTTTATTTCACAAAACCATCTTTGGGCAGACTCTGTTTTAAGGGCATATTTCACTTTAATTGGCCTTTCTGAAGGATTGAAATGCGTTCCCAAAGGTGCAGAAAGCCTAATTAGTTGCAAAGTCGCTTTAATTGAGCTACAGGAAAAGAAGGTGCTGATTTATGAATCAGTCATCAGACCCTGAAGGGCAAAGGCGAGGCCACAGAAGCTGTGATTCTCTGGAGTATCAATAAAACCGGCTCCACCGGAATCAAGGGAAGCAATAAGGCTTTCAGGAAGGCAGGATTCAGACGCACCATTTCTGAATTCAGCATCCGTTCAGACTCGGAGGTAAAACTTCTATCAGATGGTCTAACTGACAGGATGTGCCCTCCGAGGACATTTATCTGTTGACACATGGCAGACTTTTTCTCAGCGAGATTGAGTCATTGTGAGTCTGTGCAGCATTATAGCTCTAAATCCTCATAAATGGAAGTGACCTTTGCCTCGCATCCTGCTGCGTGTTTGACAGCTAACTTCAGTTGGGCCACTTTGTATGCAAAGCTCTTTTGCAGTTTAGCCTAAGTACATCATTGTTTCTAACTTAACTCTTTATCCAAATATGCCCTGGCCTGAAGAAACCCTTGTTTGAGGATGTGGCAGTGGGCCAAGCATGGATATTTCACTGAAAGTGGCGTTAAAGAGCCCAGGCTTTTCTACCGTGACTTCACCATCTGCCAAAGTGATCGCTGTGCAGCTTGAACCTGGAACCATTTTCCACCTGTTAACTTGTTTGTCATGACAACTGCTAAAAGCTGCGAATTATGCTTTGAATTATAACTGCTTTCAAAAGTTCTGAGTGCGACACAAAAAGAAAACCCACCAGTCTTCCAATAAGCTCCATCACTACCAATATAACACACTTCGAATTAGGGCTGGGCGATATGGCCTCAAATCAGAATCAATATTGAGCAGTTCACCTTGATAACGATAAATGGACGATAACTACTCCACAAGCTGCTCACCCCCTCCCACAGTAACTTCATCTACTTCAGCCGCTGCTTCAGCCGCAAGAACCTTTAAACCGTCCTCCATCTCCTCACCTGTCTTTCCCTCTTTGTTACGGACTACACACATCCAAGACCAACTTTTATTTATTTATTTTTTTTTGTCACTGAATATACCGATATGGGCAAAATGACGCTGATTATTGTCATAAATTTCGGTATTGATTAATTTTCGGTTTATCGCCCAGCCCTAAAGCTACTCTATGAGTTTGACATTTTCTGTTAATTTTGGCAAACCTGTTGCCAAGGTAGTACATCTTATCTCTTTGAGAAGCAGCAACCTTCAATGTCAAAAACTAAGACTTGTTAAAAAATGCAGTCCCTCAAGTGTCCCATTGATGCTAGCTCCAAAAGCAGAGAAAGCTCCATGGACACACATATTATTTATTTTTTGGACACCAAATATGTTGACATGGGCAAAATGACGTTGGTTGTTGTCGTAAATTTCGGTATCAGTAAATTTTCAGTTTCATCGCCTGGCCCTACTTCGAATGCGTCTCCCAGCAGCTCTGAATTGCCCGAGCAGGTGCCTGAAATGGAGACAAGTTATAGTGTTCTCTTCACTAAGGCATTGTGCAATGGGCCTCTTATGTTACATGCTTGTCTCTGTGCAAGGCCAGCCACTGTGCTCATGAAATTTGCCCCCAGCCATCAGCACAAAGAGGCCATGGCTGGACCCAGACTGTTGCCGTAATTGCCACCGAGTTGAGAAAATGGAACCTCTCGCAGTGGTGTGAGTGATAAGAAAACTGCAAAGTTGTTTTGTTTCCAGCTGGGATTGTCTGGTGCTCACCACAGAGCCAGTCTCCTCTCAGTATACATTAGGAGGGACTCTAAGCTCAGGCAGTTTTTTCCCCTTCCTGTGATTCATTTCTTAGTCTGCCAGACACCCCGCTGGTGCATAACGACGTGCTTTGGACAAACAGCTGCTTCAGCAGTTCTCCCATACTTTGTGACACAGTGAATCCCTCTTTGTGGGACTTCAGTGAGATGGGTGCTCTCTCAGGCTTGAGATCTCACAGGAATTTCTCTTCATAACTTACTTTCAAGGTTTGAATGATTCATAAAACACATTACCATAACAGATTAGTTCTTTCATAGGAAGTTTCTCTATCTAACAATACGTCTCAGCGGGACCGGAGACATTTGTCTTTGTAGTTTTATCCCACTGTTCTTTTTCTTATGTGGCTACACTGATGGCTAAATCAGTCTGTCACTCAATAACAGAGAAAAAAGAAAGATCTATTTGAGAGTGATTCATAACACCCAGAGGATGGATCCTTCCTGTCTCCCAGTCGGAAAGTCAGGGTTTCAATCCCAGGGCTGTCCACGTGTCCTTGGGCAGGACACTTGACCCACTTGAATATGATGGGCTCTTTACAAAGCAGCCTCAGTCATCAGTGTGAATGGGTGAATGTGAAAAGTGATGTAAAAGCACTTTGAAGGTTCAGAAGACCAGTGAAAGTGCTGTACTCGATTTACAATCCATTTACCAATTACCACTGTGCGATAAAGCTCTACCACCCGGATGTAAACAAGCACAGTTGACAGATTGCATTTCACAGCATAGTGTACTTCTGCAGAATTTCATCTAGAAAATGGACATAAAGTTGAATATTGCTGTGTCAGGTTGAACTGACAGTTAACCATCGAACCAGAGCAATACACAAGCAGCACAGGAAGTTAACCTGCAGGGGGGGACTCAAGGCTTGTGGTGCTAGCTCTGCTAAAGTTACCCACAATCAGCAAACCAATTTGTTATGGTCTACCTGCAGATTCTCTGGTCTCATGTTAAGCCATCTTTGATTAGTTGTGCTCCATTTAGACTGTTTTCTGAGTGTCTTTGTACCTCAAGACTACCCAGCTAATCAGAATCTAACTTTCTGTATAAACAATTAGGAAATTAGTGTGAATGTTACCCAGATAGAACTGTAATCACCTTGTCAGCCTTCTACTTTGATTGACTCAAGGTTTACAGTGTTTAGTATAGGACTGACACAAAGTTTCATACAAAATCAGTAATATTACAACTATGTGTGTGATAAACCTATTTATTCTTTGTTTAAAAATGCCTAAAAGGTGAATCAACAGGAATCCCAAAGTCAAAGGTATTCAGATTACAATAAAAAGATTCACTGGAAATGTTTTAAAAGAAGAAAAGGACACCTCATGAATGTTGTGCTTTTTTATTTAAAAAAAAAATAATGATTCATTCATTATCTTATCAATAATTGTTGCTCTTTTGGCTAACACTTCAGTTTATGATCAAACAACGACAACTAAGAAAACGTCATCAGCTCATGCCTTGTCTTGTGTCATTATGAGAGAAGGAGCATGGCTGCCATTATTCCTCCTGAAACACGGGCATTTGAACCGTCAATTTTCAGTAGATCAGTGTGCAGTATGTAGCTGAACTATCTCTAATCCTGACTCAGTCTTAAAAGAGCTGCAAATGCGTCTCTGAATTCTGGTTGTCTGATGCTGATTTTTTCGGCACCATTTTACTGAATTTCTCAGCGTCACTAAACATTTTTATAGATGACTGTAATATTAAGCCAAAATAAGTCATTCATGACACATTTACCACCATGGGAGCTGTCATTCGATGTAGTGCCCCCAGCCTAAATACAATAGCCAATTCTCTCTGCAAGTCTGTTTTCATGGACTTTGGATTGATGACACAATTACTCAGTTTTACTCCCTGGATGGTTTTAGACCTTTGTTCGTATTTCCAGCTCTGTGCGTTCCCTCAGATCTGTACAGAAGTGTTGTGACACTGCCTGCGACGTGGCTGAAGTGTGCTGCGAAGCTTGGTTGTTCCCTCCCCTCTGCTCCCCAAGGCTCAGTGTGTTTGAATCCATGTGACATGCTGTCAGGAACACGCACACTTTATTATATGCACTGACTCTAAGTAGGCATGAGCTTTCGATCAAACATGCACATGCACATGGTCATATAAACAAGCTCTCATCCCCCTCGTGTGTCCCCCGACACTTGGGGCCCCGCGGCTCCCACCACCCCCCAGCCTGGCCTCTTTAATGAGGACTGGCCCCTGTGTGTTTGATCCCACTGCCAACCCACAGCCCCCCCGGCCCCTCAGCCTCATGCCTATTCAACAATTCCCACCGCCTCTCCAGTTACTCCCCCATTGCCGCGGGTAGACTATAGATCCAAAGCAAAGCACTCCTGGGCAGTTGTTCAATATCAAAGCCCATCTGACAGAAACTGTAGGGAAAAAGAAAAAAAAAACAACAACAATTTAGTTCTTTGCTTTGTAGACTTGAAACCAGCTCTGGAACTGTGAATTGATTTTTTTTTTTTGTTTGTTTCATCAGCTGCTCCTCAAAAATTCTATCTTTTGTCTGATAAATCCAAGAAACATTTGAAGCTTCAAAAGCAAGTTAATTGATTGCGCTCACCCTGCTCTTATTAAAGAAACATTTAAAGCCTGTGAATGTAGTCTGTAACATGAATCTACTTCTGTTGTGTGTGCAGGACGGTGGTTTGCTGATTAACAACCCCACAGCTCTGGCGGTCCACGAGTGCAAATGTCTGTGGCCCAACACGCCATTGGAGTGTGTGGTCTCGCTTGGAACGGGTCGCTTTGAGACTCCCGGGAGGAACAGTGCTACCTACACTAGTCTCAAAACCAAACTCACCAATGTCATCAGCAGCGCCACTGACACTGAGGGTAAGATACAGTCAGTGCAAATATAATGATGCAAAACTAATAATACAAATGCAACCAAGTGTTTCAGTGAATGTGTGGGGTAATATTTCTTGTATCTCTTGATGTCGTGTTCACACTAAGCGCCTATAAAATCATTCGCCTGAGTGAATTACATGTAAAGACATGATTAAATGCGCCTTCTACACACACAATGTGAATGACATGCCGCAAACAGCACAAATTGAACGGATCACTCGCATGAATTCATGTTGCATCACATCCAACGCGCTATTCGCTTTAAATGCCTATTCGTGAGAGTTGAAAATGTCTGAATGTGAGCAAATGTTCGCGTCACGATAACAAATTACTATGGAGATACCCCAGTGATGTATGTCAACAACAGACCAGCAGAGATTCATTCATGTGGATAATGGAGGACTAAGGGATCCTGACAGTATACAACCACCTGAGCTGTAGGATCAAACTTGTCGGTGACACCAAGACAGGAATATAAAAAAATACACATCTGGAGGGTTTTATTATCTGGTCAGTTGTTTAAACACAGCAGATCTACACGATGTGATCAACCTCTGCTATGTTTGATGAAAACAGACTGACCTGATATGCAGTAACCCCTCCTCTCTTTCTCGTCTCTTGCAATCAAACATATTTTTTGTCTCTCTGCAGACGTGATACAAACACGAGAATTAAGCGAGTCATACGCGCGAATTGAGCGAGTACACACAACATCGGTGTGGCCAGGCACGCTAGAATTAAGGGAGTAGATGATTTTATTCGCACTTGGTGTGTATGCAACATTTAGGGGTCCTCTCTTTTCCCTATTAGAGCTAAGTCTGTAACATCAAGGCCCAGTCTTTCTGCAACCCTTGTTCCATGACAACCCTGTTCCCAAAACCCCTTTCACACAAGCACTGTACCCCCTGAAAGTGTCTTAAATTTGCTCATGCGTGAGTAAAAATGTCAGAACCATAGCAAAACTTACAAAAAGCCCTTACCAAGAGGTCTAAAGGAAGTTGGGTTGAGTCAGAGTGTGAATAAATCAGGCATAAGTCAACAAAATTCACCACTACTAAGCTAAGGTGAAGCTATGATGTTATTCACTTAATCACAGAGGTGCTTGAGTAAATGCCAAATGCCTGCAAATCTCAGGGCCTGAATGTCCTAAAGTTGTCTTAAAATGTCAGAGGTGTTACAGGCTTTAGAGTCGTGTCATCCCCACTCCTCCAAACCTTTCCAAACTTTCCTTTCTTTCTTCTAATTTTGCTCTAAAAATACAGTTTCAAAAAGCCCCCAAATTACTCTGAGATGAAACAGGAGCAGTTTGCAGACAGACTAATGTAAACCCTCTTGAAAAATGAGTAACTCAGTATAAAATGATGGCACTCTGCAATGTTATATAATGTCCTCTGAGAGTTTTGAATTAAAATTTGCCTTAAGATATCCTCAAGGCTATCTTAAATTGGGGATTAAGACTGAAAATCTATAACAGAAAGCCTGAGCTCCCCTCAGGAGAGTTGGAATCAAACGATGAGGCTGTTATATGCGGGTTATAATATAGCATGTGAGTGATTACTTACATTTAGCTGCTTGACATCTGCTATATACCAAAAAGTCAAAATTCTTCAGTCGCTGCTGCTTTAATATCAAGAGTTGTTGTTCATAATACGCCTCTGTAAAGGCCTCTAACTTGTGATGGAAGTGCAGTACGAAGTATTTGAATTTCCCATGCTTATAAATCTGCCAAATGGGTTGCACACGGTTGATTTGATTGGATTAACTATGAAGGAGTTCTGGCACTCAGCATTTTGCTCTAGAGCTCTCAAAGCAACATAAAACTGCTGGCACAGTGTCAAAAAACATCTGATTATTTTTATTCAGATTAGTCCAATTTACTGAAACACCACTAAATATGTCAGCCTGACAAAATTGACGCATCACATGCCAAGAAGAAAATAGTGGATGGAAATAGATGGTATGCAACCTTATGTTGTCGTCTGCGTTGTTTGCAGTGCTTTTAAATCTTTGTCAGTGTTCAGAAACAGAATTAATTCACTTTATAGTAAGAAAGTACAAAGACTTGGATGGATTAGTTGCTCAGTTTCTCTTTCATCTCAGAGGGAGGGAATCAGGTTTGATGTCTTCGGTGTAGAAAATACTGCACTGCAGGTTTACTTTGTTCTGATACATCCCGGTGTGGCCCTCCGTAGATGCAACCTCATCTGCGTCCTTATCACCTCTGGACATGGGCACCTCCGCTGTGCCTAAATTTGGCTTTGTCCCCTCCTCGTTACGGCTGCTGTGGTGCAGCGTGTGACCCAGATGCCTCTCTCCACTTGTTCCTCCTGTGTTTGGGATTAAGCTCTCCCTTCCCAGCTCTCCAACAAGCTTTGTTATTTAGAAATAGAAGATTAGCAGGAGTGTTTATCACAGATTTCCTCTCTTTCAGAAGCTTCCCTCCCGTCCCAGAGCTCACACGCCTCCTACTTTGTCTTAGGTGTATCAGTGGAGCTGAGTTTGTTGTTGTTGTGGACAGATAAATATGATCAAGTGGGATTTGGATGTAAACAAAGCGCCTGATGGAACTGCATTGTAAACTCCCTCACAAACTCATTCTTACAGCCTGTCCTCACCACATGCAGGCGTCAGATATCATGTTGTGTCGTGTCGCGGCGGACGCCGCATCCGTCAAATACACACTTCTGTTACATCGCCCTCAATAACTATTTTCTATTTTTCTATGTTTGCACTCCATCAGCAGAAAAGCTGGGCAGCCACCAGTGTCAAAGGAAATAAAGGCTCAATAGTTCAGTCATGGGTATGAAAATGACTTATGCATCAGTATTTCCACTTTGAAAAACAAGCTAACAAGCTCAGATCAGCAAAAAGCAAAAGACAATCAAGCAATATTTTCTCACTGGACACTTTCTGGGCCTTGACAACCCCCTCCAGTCAGCTGCTAAGATTTTTGTTGTGAGTTAAGTAGGAATACACCTGATCATTATAAATTAATCCCTAACTCTGGGACCAAAACAGCACATTGAACTGCATCACTCAGTGTTTCCTGGCAATTTCGTCCCCCTTAGAAAGAAAGAATGTAATCAAGCTGATTTAGTCACCAACGCCCACGCATGTCATGTACACTTAGGACCCGGTGTTACTGAACAGTCAATATCAATGCTGCTCAAGCTGCAGTTAACACATGCATGCAAATGTAAACACTATAAAATAAATCCCCACTGACAAGCAGGGAGAAAAAGCAGCTTGAAGTATTTAGTTGCTCTACAGAGTTTCTGGGCTTCTTAGTTATGTAAAAAAGAAAAACACTTTTTTAAGTTCTTTATAAATGTGCAACAACAGGTCATATTCAATAAAAATAATTTTAGGAACTAATATTATTAAAGCTCCTGTTGTCAATGATTAGAGTTGAAGATTCAATGAACAAAATTCCAAAAAGGTAAATAACAAAAATCTTAAAGTCCAACAAAAATGCAAAATGACAAACCACCAAACTGAAAACAGTGGGAAACAAAAAAGCAACACTGGAGCACTAAGAGAATCACACACAGACTTACACAAAGACAAAGAATCAACACAGAAGGAGGGAAAGACGGAGACTATATACACACTAGGAAACAAACAACAGGTGGGAAAGACGAGACACGGGTGAAATTAAGGTCAAAAAAGGAGAGAAAACCAAGAAAGTTAAACTGGGCTTGACACACAGGGGAATAGGATAACAAAATAAAACAGGAAACATTCAGAAATGATCAACGATGCGCACAGAGAGCAGGAGCACAATGGAAAAAAACTCTAAAAATGACTCTTAAACATGAAAAAATGAGCAAACTGCACAAACAAGAACATCAGACATTCAAAATCACAATAAAAAAACTGTCAGTCTTGTCCCTGATGGCATGTTTGCTTCTTGATATCATTAAAAGACACCAGTATGGTGTTTTGTCCATTTCATGAATGTCAGAAAACTGCACAGGAGCTTTAAAGCCCTTTTTGTGTGTATTTATGCTTTCCAAGATTTAAGAATGATGGGGAACAAACCAAGTGTTGGTACACAAGTGTCATACCTGTGAAATATTAGCTTTAGCGCAAGGACAGTAAAAGTGCAACCTTCATCATATATTTGTTCCTGTATTCACCATTACAGCGCAGATTTGGAGCTCTGACTCATCAGACTGTTTTTGAACTTAAATCGTTTCTCTGAAGTACAATTGTTGTGGAGGGATTGCTTTATTTTAGCTTAAAATGCTAAAGGAAGCTAACACTTAGTAGATGGCATTTCCTCTCATTGACGAAAAGAGTCTTTTCCCTAAAGAGCAAACAGCTGAATATGTAAATATAATGATTTTCTACAGCTTCACAAAAAGACTGAGACACAGTTTGATTACTTTTTATTATACCCCACATGATCATCTTTCTGCCTATCTAAAAAATGAGATTTCATAACTTCTACACTCATTATCCTGATAAGCGTTGATGAGCGCACTGGGAGCTGATAAGAGCAGGAAAACATATGTTCTCTAGAGGCTGTAATGTTTTACCCGTTCAACATGCAGGCCGATCTCATCCCAGGAATTTTGTAATTACTGTCATCTCCCTCTTCCTCTTTTGTTCTCATGACTTCAATAAAAAAAGGCAGTAATGCAGCACAACAAAGACGCTGCTTTTAAAAAATACTAGAAAGAAGTCCTCAAACTTTTCGTGTAACCTTTGGATAAGAAACTCTTTGTGGAGTTTCACCCCACCGCCTCAAAGGCATCTGATGTAATCGAATCATGTCTGGACTGCTGAACCAGAGTGGGGACTCAGATACAAACAACCAGCACTGGCTTTTTGGATCCTTCAGGCGTGTTTACACTGGATAACTACACACTTTCAGCTTGTTTGTTTGATTTATTTCATGTTGTAGATTTTAAACCTCTCAGATGTAACATTTGAAAACAACTATGACAGACAGGCTGGGTGGTTTCCCTCTGTATCACTTCCCACCATCAACCCTTGGAGCTTGCTCTGTGAACCTGCCTGTCTAACTCTTACAGACTAATGTTGGCTTCACACGCCCTCTCAGTCTCAGTGTTTTTACATATTGCAGCTATTAGCAAACTAATTGTTTGTTTTTGATCACAGTGCATGTAAAATGTCATTTTGTCTTTTATTCCATGTGGCCTCACTTTTACCTCTCCTCCTCTCTCCAGAGGTTCATGCCATGCTTGACGCCTTCCTTCCTCCCAACTCTTATTTTCGCTTCAACCCTTACTTGAGCGAAGACATCTCTATGGATGAGAACCGGCAGGAGAAGCTGAACATGCTGCAGGCCGAGGGTGTCCGATATCTGGAGAGGAATGAGGAGAAGCTGAAGAGGGTCGCCGGAATCCTTAATCGAGAGAAAAGCTCCGTGCAGAGGATAGCTGAGTGGGCCAAGCTCAGAGCAGACATGTACAACAGTCTGCCCTTCTACTCCTCAAAGTTATAGGTCCAACATGAGCCACCTTTACCTCAGATAGAAACTCTTCTTTCATTCTTAATAGCCTAGAACATAACCAGTTATCATAATTGGTGTCATAGCTGTTGTTCTCCTGACCTATAGCCCTGAAGAACATTGTGTAAACACACTATTGGGTAATTTTCTCAACATGCCAAACACTACCTTCCTCTTCATTCATGCATCTGGTGGCCATTTTGGTTGGAAGCACTTGACTTTGCACTCTGAAGCACTCAAATAAGATGTGTCAAATGACACTGTGGATGATTTAAGAAACTCCTTAAATCCAAATTAAATTCTGTCGGCCGTTAACACAAACGCATCTTGAAGAAATAGTTTTAGAAATGTAGGAAATACACAAAAGCGAGTATGAGCTGCTTCAGGAGCAGGTTAGCTCAGCTTAGCTTTAGAAATGGCATCCTGTTTTCAGACTTTAGGCTAAGCTAAGCTAACTAGCTGCTCGCTCTCTAGCTCACAGATATAAGATAAGATATTTCTTTATTAGTCCCACAGGAGCAAATTCCTGATATGTGGGCGGCACTGACCGTTTAATGTAACTTAAAGCAGATGAGTTTATATCTAAAAATGTCAAACTACTTCTTCAAAAAGCAGAGTACTGTAACGGTCTGCATCGGCCAGTTACGTTTTCTCATGACAAGCACTTAGTAACCTCTGGCTTTCTTTTTAAAGCTCGATAATGAAAGCCAGTATTTCTTCACATACGTGTCTGTACTTTCACAGGAAAGGGATGTGTAATTGAGAAGCTTTATTGTGAAGTGTTAACAAAAGAAACTGTCTAATCAGGCGCCTAATGTAAGTGACATATCAAAATTGTTTTGACAAAAATTTGCACATGTAAAAATGCAGCTACTGGTTCACTGTGTTATTTTATGTAGGATAAAATGACATCGGTACATAAGGGTCCACTGCAGGGCTTTCAGCAGTGCACATGTTGTATGTAAATGCTTGTTATAAAAGTTAAAATGGTAGCTTTATCATGAAAATAGCAGGATATCTACCTTATAATACAAGAAGAGGGATTTAAAATGTTGCTGCTGTATTTTATTTTAATTTATCTATGATAATTAATGGAATAAGAGATATACTACAGACATAATGATCCAATAGGAGCCTGGTTGTCATAACAGTGTACCTTTTATGTATTATTTTAGCCTCAGAGTATTTTAAGTTCACATGTTTCAAACACTTTTATGGTTGGTATGCTCGATTGTTTGGCTTTATGGATTCCCCACAGGCTAGGTACATTTTCTGCTTCGTCTTCAGTGTGCCCTCTTTCCCTTTGATGCCTCTTCTCAGAAGCTTCTACCACCCTTTCTACCTTGAAGTGCAGCATTTTGTTCCCTACTCTGCTGCACGGTAACATCTGTTTGGTTACTGCAGCTGTTATTGAAAGGACAGGTTACAACAGATTGCTGCAAAGTGGTTTGTTTTGGTGGGAAATTATCTTAATGTTATACAGTATACTGTAAAAGAAAAAAAAATGCACTGTAGACATTCATTTCTTTGCCAAACCTGGTCAAGTACTGTAAATACAACACCATGTCGGTCACTCCCAGAGGGTCTAAATACGGCAAACTACCCACGGATTCATGTAATTCCTCTGTTCTGTTGGTCCAGACTGTTTGAGAGTGTTTGTAATTAAAACCCATCACCAAACCTGACTGCTTCCTGCCTCCTAATTATATGAAGATTAGGTGATTGTGATCTGTGGAAAGCTGCTGTGGATCATCTGAAGCAGGAAGACGTGTGGATGATAAGTTGGTAATTTGTCCTCACAACTGCCTAATTATTCCAACATTGATCTGGACTGATATGTATCCTCATCTTCTCGGTTTCATTTCCAATGTGTTTGGATTTGATAAGCACCCATTTCTGACTGATAAAATAATAATTTCCACTAGTTAATGTTCTCCTCTTAACTGGAACGCATTTTTCCTTGTTGGTATGTAAATGTATCCGCTGGGTTCCCCCTGGAGAAGGTAATTTGAAGGCCCTTCTCTGAGCTGCCTGTCATAAAAGACAGGAAGGTGAGATGAGATGACTGTGCAAGGCTGTGCTCAGACACCTGACTAACAGCCCTGTCCGATGATGGATCGCATTTCCCTGCAGCATAAACACCCTGCGCTAACACAGCTCTCCTGCGACAACTTACATGCATGATAACACAGTGCTGGTCACAGACTGTAAAGGACATGACACACAGCAATCGAGTGTGGACTGAAAAGAAGGCAAACAGGTTATAGCCCAGTTTTAGCTGTGCTTAATGGAGCAAATAGATGAAGTAAGAGGGTATTAACTGAGTAAATTAGGTGTTTTTTAAGCAAGAAGTCAGAGAAACACGTTAAAGAAACATCACACAAAAAGGGGATGCTGCTGCTCCCTGATTTGGTGATGTTTTTTTGATGAAAAGCAAAATTCAACTTCTTATCTAGCAAATTCAGATCTAGATATACCACAAGGTGACTCCTTCCCACTGGGAGATGTTCTCAGGCAATCACTCAAGTTTGTGATGACTTAGAGCAGCTAATCAGCAGTTTAAATGTTGTGGAGAAATCTGTCCTCCTCCTTTTCACTCTGCGCCAAACCTGATTTCTATACAAGTTTTTCAGATAACTTTAAATTTCAGTGAAGATCTGCACTGTACTGACACTGCTTCTTAGTGAATCCAAGCTGCATGTATTTTGAAAAACAATCAAGTCCAGATGTTTGCCTCCAGATTTCTGTTTAGTGGTTAAGAACTTTGGTAGCTAGAAAATGCCAAAGCTTTGCGTATTGCCAAGTATCTACAGAAAGACAGGGATCTGATTTTGGAACAGAAACCCATCATCAGTTTTAGTTCTTTAGAAGATTTGAAGATGCCTACTTTGTGTTTACATCATCCCACATCCTCACTAATCTTGATTCAACACCAAAATCCATTAAAGTCAGTACACTATCCAAGTTATCTTGACTCTTCTCACTGACCACTTACCTGCAAATAAAGTATTGGTTATTAAAAATGCCATTATTTTTGTCTCAAGCAGAAACTTCTCTCTGAGAAATTGAAAATCTTACAAAAAATAGGAACCAAGCTTATTAAAAACACTTAAGGCTAAATGAAGAAGTACCCTAATTTAAAAGTTTTTGTTAAAGCAGCAAAAGTTGTTTTTTAATCTAAAATGAAAGAAAAAAATCTGAATTTCAGCTAATTTAAAAGATTTAGTGTTTAACAGGGGTGGGAGAAAAAATCGATTCACATAAGTATTGCGATTTTTTATTTTACAATTTTTAAATCGATTTTTTTTTTTTTTTTCAAATTGAAGAATAAATCTTAAAAACTGACTTACATGTGCTCTGTATTTTGGGGGAAATATGGTTCCTGGAGTAGTCAGCAGACAATCATAATCATTTAACTGTTTCACTGGTGTTAAAAATGCAGACTGAAGATCAAGAAAATCAACAACATCGTAGTATCGCAATTTTAATCGAATCGGCATCCCAAAAATCTTAGAAGAATCAAATCGGGAGAAAAGCATATCGTCCCAGCCCTACTGTTTAACATATAACCCTTGCTGATAGTTAAACATGCTTTCTTTTTATTGACGAGAGGATGTTTGCAGAACATAAACAGTATGCCAGTCGTTTCAGTGAAAATATGAATGCTACCCTCTGACATGCAGGCGCTCATGTCTGCTCACTGGACTGTATCTAATAGAGTCACGTCATGTTTCTGCCCCCTGTGTGGTAACAGGGTTAGGCAGCCAGTTCAGGCTGCTCCTACTCAATAGAGAAAAGTTGTAATCTGATTACACATCAGCCCACAGAGAGGAAATGCATCTTCTCCTGATGTAAACACATCTGACTCATGAACTCGTCTCCTGGCGGTAATCACCTCACAAATGTGATTTCTCTCCACCGAAGGGCCAAGCCTCCGGACTGAGAATACAAACACAGCCCGCAGTCCAGTTCAAGAAACAGGATCTCAGTGAGGTTTTCATGTTTTAGTGTTCCCCTATCTTTATTTAAATGTTTCTTTTAAACCCAAAGAGTGGCTGCTACTTACTAAGAACTTATCCTCCCTACCCCCCTTTCCTCTCTACCCTTTCTGCCTCATCGAGTGTATATTAATATGCACAACATGCCTCCGTGCTCTCTCCAGTGTGAAACATGAAGCCACAACACTGTCTTCATAGGTGCTGGCATATATGGAGCCAAGGCATGCGCTGAGTACGGCCTTTTTACTCCCCTTACCCTCTCCCCTCAGTGTTGGGTGGAATCTTCGCTCGTATTTTCTCAGGCTGGCCACACACTAGACTTTAAGATCTTGACAGGTTTGAGAACCCTGGGAGGCCACACACAAAGGATAGTGATGGGCAGCAACAGCGTTACAAATAGTAGTGTTAGCAGCTTAACTACATCACACATAGTTCGGTGGGAGTGTTGTTTTTTATTTTGAGCATGTAGCGCCTACAAAGCTGCATTTGGAGCTCCCGGCAACCTCTTACAAACTATCAACAAACTACAACAGTAGATATTGTTGTTCATGATCAAACTATAAAAATAAATATAAGTCCAGTCTGAAACACCTGCTGGTGAACTCGAAACAGCTGACACAGTACATACAGTCAGGCAATGGTGCACCATAAATGAGATTATAATAGAGAAATTGGAATTTAGGTAAAGAGAGAGGGACAGGTCTAGCTACAACTACATGTTGAATTAATATAGACTGCATGCCCTGTGATTGGTCCACTTGGTGGCAGACATTCCTGGTATTGCCTCCCGCCCATTGTCTTCTCCTATGCCCTTCCCTTCTCTGTAAAAACTGCAGCATGATCAACTGCAGCACAAATTATTTCAGCTCCAACTTAAATATATTATCCTTAGATTCAGTTAACATGGTTTTCTGTACACAAACAAGGAGGAAACCAACTGGGCAGGAAACTGACGATATGACAAGCGTAGAAATTGCACTGCCAGCTTGCTTTATAGGTGGATTATTGCAGATCAGCACGGACACTCCACTGTGCAGGAATCTAGCAAAGACATTGTATTTGTTTTGTTACAGAAGTCCATAAAATGCATATATCTTTGAAAACTGACTTTGTTAAATCGCTAGTTTCAGGAGTGTGCATTCAACACTTCTGCAGCAGTAGTGAGATATAATCATAGTTCTTTGGATGAAAAGTATTTTTAAGTATTATAAAATGGTATCTGCCTTGAGTTTTTAGATAGGATCCCTCTCCACTTCTGAACAAATGCTTCGGTCTTCTGGGATATATAGGAACCCATTTAGACAAGTCCCATGTTGCACCATATGGGCAGGCCTTGATGTGTATTTTTAAAGCTAATTTTCATGAAATCCATTCATTCATTAGGTCTACATAATCAATTCTTCAATTTGAAATGAAAGTAAAAAGCTTTAAAAGGAGTACAGCATCAGTGCTAACCATCATGCTGTCGTGCAGTGCTGACTTTTTTAGATTTTACTGTCCAATTCACTCTGATAATCTCAAACAAGAGGCCCAAAACCCAGTAGCAGAACGACAAAAACCATAAACCCCACAAGAGAGGGCCACAGCCTAAAGCTGAACATGGAGTCTTTCACTGTGAGGCACCAATGCAAACTGTTAAATGAACACCATGTTGTACAGCCTGTGTTGTGTTGTCTTGCAGTGCTTACTATTTGGGATTAATTCACCATCTAGGTCACTCTGGTTGTTCAAAATCTGACTTTTACAATATAATGGGGGGAAATGAGAAACCTTAATGCGCTTACTCCACACAGGAGAATTTCAGCCATTATTTGAACCTTGAACCTTTTTGGTTTCAGACAAGCATTGTTAATCACAATACAGTGATCAAAACCTGTGGTCTAGAATACACTGGCTCCAAGTAAGAAGGACCCATGCTTAGATTTACATTTACAATGTCATTTAGCAGACACTTTTATCTAAAGTGATGTACATTCAAGAACAACTGGGCAGGGGCAGGTGTCTTGCACAAGGAACACGAGTAGGGGAAGACTGACTCTACCAACTTGAGCCATGGCTACCCTAGAAAGTCCAAGGCCCAATCCCAAACCGCCCCCCTACACACTCGCCCTTCACTACTGAGTTTCACTCGTAATGAAGTTACACTCCCAGCTGTGGAGTGCGCCTCAATTGAGAGGGGAGGATATCAACAAGATGGGCGGGTATGGGACGCCCTCCTCACTCCACCAGGAAAACGGAAAGATCCAAAACCACAGCAACACAAAGACGCGTCTTGTGCATTGCAGCGTTTCTTTTCTTCATAAATGGGCATCATGTACAGCTCTGAGCCGCACCAGCTGCCTTGTTTTTTCATTGTCCCACTGAAATCATAAATCCAGCAACCATTACAGTGACAGGAGCTAAATTATACTTCTGATTGTTAGTGATTCCACACGTCTTTGAACCTCTTTACTATTTGACAATCAAACCTCGGCACAGAGTAAGTTTCCTGACTTCGGTTTGATCTTTCCAAACCACGTCTTTTGTGATTTATTTATCTATTTTTTTTCAATGAGACAAAGGTGGACACATACGGAACTTACACTCACCGGCCACTTTATTAGGTACACCATGCTAGTAACGGGTTGGACCCCCTTTTGCCTTCAGAACTGCCTCAATTCTTCGTGGCATAGATTCAACAAGGTGCTTGAAGCATTCCTCAGAGAGCTTGGTCCATATTGACATGATGGCATCACACAGTTGCCGCAGATTTGTCGGCTGCACATCCATGATGCGAATCTCCCGTTCCACCACATCCCAAAGATGCTCTATTGGATTGAGATCTGGTGACTGTGGAGGCCATTTGAGTACAGTGAACTCATTGTCATGTTCAAGAAACCAGTCTGAGATGATTCCAGCTTTATGACATGGCGCATTATCCTGCTGAAAGTAGCCATCAGAAGTTGGGTACATTGTGGTCATAAAGGGATGGACATGGTCAGCAACAATACTCAGGTAGGCTGTGGCGTTGCAACAATGCTCAATTGGTACCAAGGGGCCCAAAGAGTGCCAAGAAAATATTCCCCACACCATGACACCACCACCACCAGCCTGAACCGTTGATACAAGGCAGGATGGAGCCATGCTTTCATGTTGTTGACGCCAAATTCTGACCCTACCATCCGAATGTCGCAGCAGAAATCGAGACTCATCAGACCAGGCAACGTTTTTCCAATCTTCTATTGTCCAATTTCGATGAGCTTGTGCAAATTGTAGCCTCAGTTTCCTGTTCTTAGCTGAAAGGAGTGGCACCCGGTGTGGTCTTCTGCTGCTGTAGCCCATCTGCCTCAAAGTTCGACGTACTGTGCGTTCAGAGATGCTCTTCTGCCTACCTTGGTTGTAACGGGTGGTTATTTGAGTCACTGTTGCCTTTCTATCAGCTCGAACCAGTCTGGCCATTCTCCTCTGACCTCTGGCATCAACAAGGCATTTCCGCCCACAGAACTGCCGCTCACTGGATATTTTTTCTTTTTCGGACCATTCTCTGTAAACCCTAGAGATGGTTGTGCGTGAAAATCCCAGTAGATCAGCAGTTTCTAAAATACTCAGACCAGCCCTTCTGGCACCAACAACCATGCCACGTTCAAAGTCACTCAAATCACCTTTCTTCCCCATACTGATGCTCGGTTTGAACTGCAGGAGATTGTCTTGACCATGTCTACATGCCTAAATGCACTAAGTTGCCGCCATGTGATTGGCTGATTAGAAATTAAGTGTTAACGAGCAGTTGGACAGGTGTACCTAATAAAGTGGCCGGTGAGTGTATATTTGTGTGTTGTTTCTTCCTCCTCCATTTTTGCTAGTGCATTAGCTGCTTATCCTGCTGTATTGAGGGTGTGAACAGTCCACTCGCCCTCCTCACCCTGTGGTTTGGAACGGCCTTCAATATGGCGGAGTCTCCTCGGGCAAGTGTGTAGGGGGCGATTTGGGATTGGGCCTAACTGTATGAGAAATGGAAGCGTGCAACCTGGCAAACACTTGATTGGATCAAACGAAAGTGTCAACGCCTGAACAGGGACTTGAACCCTGGACCCTCAGATTAAAAGTCTGATGCTCTACCGACTGAGCTACCCAGGCCTGGCAAAACATCTATAAATTGTGTATTTGAACCCAGAGCCCTTTTGTGATGAGGCAATCATTACCTACAACATTGATGTATCACCATGCAGTGCTTGTTTGTACAGGTTCATTCTTCAACATCAATCTTGATGCTCAAAATCTGTGGGACACACTCCAAAGACACAGAGCCAGAGCTGTGGTCCACATCACAGTGAGAGAAAGCCATTTCAATCTGTCTGCTCTGGAGAGCCCAGCCTGGATTTACACCCAGAACCATTATGCTGTGATGCAGCAAAGCTAAACATAACACCAAAGTGCTGCCTTGTAGCGTTTACTTCTCCATGTTTGTTTTCTTTCATGATCAATTGGTAGTTCTGAGTCAGGGGTCCACACTCCAATTGGAGAAAGCAAGAATACTACCTACACATGGGAGAGCTCGGTCCTGAAAACAGACCCTGTACCTGCTTGCTGTGAGGCAACAGTGCCTACCACCATACTGTCATGCTGCTCTGAAAGGCTATTTGTGTGAGTGTAGCTACTTTCTAGTACATTTTCAAATACATGCTCTATAGTAACTGGAATTAGAATCATGTTCTATATTATTGTGGGCGGGGGCTTACATTTAATCCTTGTATTGCTACCTGAAATCTAAAATTTTAACACAACCCTCATTTTGAAGCCAGATTACTTCAGACAGGACAGAGGAAGAGGAACTTCCATTACTTAGCAAAGTCATAAACTTATAAAAAGAAGATGCAAAACAATCTGATAACAGAGTATTTTTTTTCCTAAAGCATATCATGGCTGTGAATTTGTTTTGCTCTGCTGTGTTTTGATGTAAGTTCTGACAATGAGCCTGCTGATCTGAGTTAGTTAATCATCACCTCTGCTGGGAGTCAGGTCATTTCATGGTTGGCTTGCTGCTGTTGCATCTGTTGTGGAGTTTGTTCTGAAAAAAAAAAACCCAACCAAATAACACTGAATCAAGACGAAGAAAACAAGCCAAGTGATGACTCTGTCTCTGCTGAGTAATAGCCACACCATGTGTGAAGTTTTACATCCCAGGGAGCTGCGGACTTCAAGGATCCTCCGCAGTTCGAGGCGTGATAATTGGAGTTACCTAACAGTGAGGACGGGGAGAAGTCTGCTCTGCTGAGTCTTTTTTTCTTGCATTTTAACACAAAGACCTGGAAACATTCATTCAGCAACTTTGCAAGTGCTACGCTTTGTCTCTGTGGTGGTGTATCCTTGAACTTATGGAAATCCCTCAGAGTATTTTACGGATAATATGCATGAGGGAAATTAAAAGAACATTTAATGAGATTCAAGAGGTATACAGACATATCTGGAGGCAGTCTGAAATGAGAGGCAAGGACAATTACAAGACTTCCCAGTGTGGTACTGCATGTAAGAATCCCCTCGACTCCCACCGTTGAAAATGAGGGGAAAAAAAGTACTTTTGACACCGGGGGATTACAACCAACAAATGACCTTGGCTGCTTGTCAGCTGTCATATTATACTCTTAAGAAGAGCAGAAATTTTTCAGAAAATATTTCCCAAATTACCAAAGAAGACTAAACAGAAGAGTGAAGAGACCAGGGAATCATTTGGGGAATGGGAACTGTGTATTTTACCTTTGAAAACGGCTTTTTTTATTCATGATTTATATGCTGAACTGCACTTTGGCGCTTCTCCAGGAAGATATTAATCCATTAACCGCTTTTCATCTTGCTTCAAATCTGTGCCACAGCCTAATTTTAGCTAATCTCAGCCAACCAGCTTCTACATAGCTACTCAAATCACAATTGTCTTTTTGCCAAACCAGGCTTATCCCAGTAATAACTGTGCCACTTGCACTCAGTGTTTGAGTCTATGGCTGCAGATGGCTACCACTGCTAAGCCCAAGATAATGCATGAGTGAAACATGCATGCAGAAAAAGAGAGCATAGCAGGCGGCAGATTGTAGTGAGAGGAAATGTAGCTTTTATAAGTCACATGGCCTCTACTCAGCCGAGTCTTGCTTGATGCCAGAGGCTATGATTTTTAGTGCAATCCTGCTCTCAGGACAAGATGCTGTAGTAAGACATGCTAATGGCTCGAACAGCTGGTATAAGGTTATCTGTCTAAAGGTGAAACTCTCACAATAAACTACATGCAGAACATGCACAAAATTGTGAGTAAAAAATACGTCAATTCTGTTTTTAAGTCATTGTTAAATGTATAGAAAAGACTACCATTAGAGGATCCAGGTTCATAGCTCCAGACTGGAAAAATTTATCACATACCTGTATATATGTATATAACCTATTTTTAAAATTCAGACCTTTTTCTGTAAGTTTTTACCAATTTTAACAAAGTTTTTACACAAAATCAGTGGGGCATTAATTTTTAGGAATTCATGACAAACAACACCGGAATTAAATTTTTTGCATCATGTGACCATTTTGACCTACCATACCTTTTGATTTTACACCCGGAAATCCCGTGCTCTGTTTCTCGTTTGGATACCTGATATGGCATGATAGCGCGAATGGACGCACAGCAAGTAAGTGAAGGGATGAATATCTGTGTGAATGTATGTTAAAGTTTACCGATAGAGCTCTAAGTGTGAACTCTTGGTTACTCTATCCAACAGAGAAGGAAGAAGGAGAAGTAGCGCTGTTTAGTGGCTAAATAGCGACGCTGGCGCGGAGGGAAATGTTGGGCGTGTATGTAGGTGTGTATGTGTGTGTTTGGCTCAATGCGGTGCCCGCAGTCAGTGAGGACGTCGCTAAAGGACGTCACACCCATTAAATGTTGAAATGGTGGTAATATTTCTAATGTTAAAATAATAGTAATATTTACACATGCATTGACCATTTTGACCAATTTTATTTCAGGGGGGATGCCATCCCCCTTCATCCCCGCTTAACTCGAGAACTGGTTATTTGTAAATATCTTTTTTTTTTTTTTTTTTACAAAAGTCACTCTACTTTTTTTGTCTTCCAACAAACATATAGATATGTTGCTACGGTGGCCGAGAACCGTCACTGCTGCGAATAAAAAAGAATGCAAAAAATTAAAAAATAAAAAGAAGCCACAACGGAACTAGAGGATGCTAGTGTATTGTTAGCTTCAGTTCAGCTTCATATCAACTCAGGCGCAACATGGCCTAACCACATTGAAAAGCACACAAAGTGAAATTAAACAATAACCTTTCCACTTACTTCTTTGCTCATCTTCTCGCCGTCATCTTCTGTGCCTAGATCGTAAAACACCGGTGCGTCATCATTATTGGTCCCTGGCTGCTCACTTCCGTTGTGGCTTTTTTTTTTTAATTTGCATCCTTTTATTTTGACACAAGGTAACTATTTTTTCCATCACCACTTTTTTGGGGGGTCATTAACTTCCCTTGTGGCTTTTTTATCTGCACTGTTTCTTTTTTTGTTTGCAACGGGCTTCAGTTTCTTTTTTTGCATCGGTAACTTCCGTTGCGACTTTGTTAAATTTCTAATTTTGCCATGTGATTTAAAATTAGAATTTCTAAAGCTGAAATTTTTTTGCATCAAAATCAGACTTTGAATTTCAAAACTATCTAATTGAAAAAAAAAATCAGTGTAAAAGAGACAGACTCAACATTCAAGTAACCAGGGAGAAGCAATCGATTGGATTCAATCTTCCACTGGGGTCGGTGCCATATAACCAGTCTAGCATTAATTGATTGGTTGGACGATTCTCCCTGGTTACCCTGATGTTTAGTCTGTCTCTTTCACACTGAATGATTTGACACTGAATTTTTTTTATGTAGATTTTTTTTTTTACAGTTTTTTTTAAGTCAAATTTTTACTAAACAAATATTTTTGAGACCTTTTTCTTTTTTTACACTATTTTTTTATGTTGAATTTTTAACACAGTTTTTAAGTAAAATTTTTACTAAATGAATATTTTTGAGAGACACTTTCATTTTATTTCATCATTGTAAAAAAAATGTGTCAGAAATAAAAATGCATGCTTGAAATTCAATGGTTTTAAAATTCAAAGTCTGATTTTGATGCAAAAAAAAATCAGCTTTAGAAATTCAAATTCAAAATCAGATGGCACTAATTTACTTCCATAAAAAGCTTCCTCCTGTTGATAAAAACCACTAAAAGGGACATTGTACATGCGGAGAAGACTTTTTTCCATACTCGACTCGTGCAGCTTTTGTCCATCTGTGATTTTTAGCCTTCAGAGGGCTAAAGCACCATTAAAGTGTCTGTTTGGATAACATTTTTCTGGAACAGTTCAGTGCCTCAAGGCCACCATACTCGGGCAGCGGCGCTGCAGCTCGCGCAGTGGGCGTGCGCACGCCCCGGAGTGATGCTGCGCGCCCCCGCATGCGAGTGTGAGTGTTTGTATGTGTTTCATTGAACTGGTGGGAGAGAAGAGAGGACCAGTGACTGTAGCTGAGGAGGCAAGTGCAAGGAGGCTCGTCTCGGATGAGCAGGGACTCCACGTAAACAGACCCAGTGTCGCTCCGTCGCAGGGGACTGAAGACAGGGACGAGGCTTCGTGTTTGGTACCGACGAGGGAGGAGATAAGGTGAGCGGAATGATACCGAGCCTCATTAACACGTGCGGTGTAGCTTCTCAGTTTCTCTGACAGGAGTTTGTAGAGAGGGGAGCGTTGCGTTGAGGACGCTGCAAGGTTGTCAACAAGAAAACTGTTTTCTTTACAGCTTTGTTTTTTGCGTTGAGATGAGGGGTTGTTTTCAGCTGAGGAAAACTGCAGCTTAGCCTCTCGCTTTTAGTCGTTAGACCTGGCAGGTGCAGGTGACTGTCACATCAAGGTTTAAGTAGGATGTATGTGTTTCTCAGAGGATGCTGTGAGAAATCCCTGTCACTTGTTTTGATAAGTGAACCTCTCATGTGATCTGCGTGCTTGTTCTAGATGCTCACATCATACACAGAAGGTGAAGATTGAAAGATACAATGACAAACAGAGCTATTACATTCTGTGTTTTCCCCCCCTGTGTTGATGAAAATGCATCCCTCTCCCACAAAATCCCTCGCGTCCTAAGCTGATTTGCTCCCCACATGTTTAATTCCCTCCATATTTGCATGACAACTCTGTCTCGTTTTGTCTGACCACTCGGTTTGCTTAGTCTCATCTCCTCTCATCATCATACTCAATCTGATTGTGACAGCCCCCTCTGAGACTCGCCACTTCCATCCCATGACATTTCTAATACGAGCCAAACAACTGCCCCACTGAAAAAAAAAAAGAGAAAACCCTCACATTCCCACTCAAATCCTCTGCTTACACCCCCCTCCCCTTCTTTTTCTCCCCCCTCCTCTGTCTCCTCTTGGTCAAAGCTTCGGTCAAGGGGGGAACTCACCATCATGCAACAACACAACACCCCCCACCCTTCCTTTCTCCAGACACTCACCCGTACAAACATGTAGGGGCTGCCCACTTTCGCTGCTTGCTCAGATAGACAAATTAATACAATGCTAATGACCCTATGCTTTATTGTCTGCTCTTACTGCTCAATGAAAAGGCTGACACACTTTCTAGTAATGTTTATTCACAACAGGCAGACTATCGTTAATCTGTTTAAGAAGATAACAATATCCCCCCATCTTTGCCTTATGGCTAGTTTGCATTCACACAGAAACAGGCGGCAAAGTGTGTAACACCACCTCAGATACCCATATCCTGGTTTGCTCTTGTGCCCCTTTTGCTTGTCTTTTTAGCCATCTTGCTAAGTCAGGAAGTAGTTACAGCCTGGAGATCTCTACTGCCAGGGCATTTCAGGCTCATTTGACCAACGTGGACAAGATAGTGACCTAAATTGTGCTGTCATCTTTACTTTCACCCTCAGCACAAACGGCACTAGGAAGGAGATTTGCATAACTAAGGGATTATCATGACACACGTTGGCCGGAGTTATTGTGAAAGCACCAGTCAGTCACACACACAGACACACACACACAGACACACTGCTGACCTAAAACCAACCAGTGGCGGGCTGCTCCTGGCTGAGGGGGCTATGGGAAAAGCTTGGGTGTCAGAGGGAAAATGCCACTTATTTCACCCCGTGGGCCGCAGAAACACGCAGACTATTCTGCAGAGACCAGATCAACGCTCCCTCTGTGAGCTGCCGTCTGTGGCTTTGTGAACCCCGCCAACCACAGGATGAGACAAAGTGTCTCATGGACAGACTGGGTTGTTGTGTGTCACTTGTTGGTGACATCATATCTCAGAGGAACCGATCTGAACCTGAGAGGCTTTCACTCTGTGATTCATTTCACCAAGGACGCGTTTCATTGATGTGGCACAAATGTCTGTTTGATATAATCAGAGATGGAAATACTTGACTGCCAATGAAGTCGGAGCAGGAGACTTTCAGTCTACAGACTGCACAGGAGAAGCTGTTAGTTTGAAATAGTTTGATTTAAGGGCTGTTGAAATGATTATTTTTTTACATCATGAATAATTGCAGAATTTTTGTAGTTAAAAGCATTGTGTCACATTTTCAAGATTCTATTTTTTACATTTAAAGAATGTTTTTTGAGGATTATATTGACAATGTAAAGCAATAGCAATAGTGTCTTGATGTTGGGATTAGTGCAGTCTCCTTCCAGATATTTACCAAACTTTGCAGTTTGCTTCAGATTTGTCTTCAGGTAGCTTGCTGACTGATATCACTCTCTGTAGCTGCACCTGTATGCTTAGCTCAAACTCAAAAAGCCACACAGATATATTTAACTCTGTTATTTAATTTAACTGTCAACTGAGCCATCTGGGACTTTCACATGGTAAATTGCGCAACTCAAAAGTGGAGCGGTTTCATCGGTTAGCATTGTGGCAGTAGTGGGAAGCAGAAAGATGCTGTGGCTTTTTAACTACAGTGTGCCATAAGGGACAAAATAGCATGTGATTCAGAAAAAGTAACGTACTAAGTTGGACCTCAATCACATTGTAATTCATGCAGGCCATGTTGATTTGCATTATTTGATCAATAAGTCATTGATTTTGCATCTGGTTTAATCAAAACTATCAACTTTGATTTATTTGGTCAATGAATGAGAATTCTTCATTATTTTTGTTAAGTGTTTCTCACATCAAGGACAAAAAGTAGTATTTGCTTGTGGAAAATCACACAACTGAAACTCTATTATTGGTTTTAGCTATAGATAACACAATGAGACAGTTTGTAAGAAGTCAACAGTTTAGAGAGCTTGTTGTTAGTCGTTCCACTAAATACTGTGAGAGAAAAACTGCGGATTTTACTGTAGAGCGAAGTTGAATCAAAGTCTGAGCTGGCCTAACACTTGTATGATAATCTGTGTTTCTGCTCTGTCTGACTTCTCCGACTGATCCTATTGTCTCGGCCCCAGCTTTAACACCAAGTGCAAAGTTATTATATTGGCTTCACATTACAACCAGAAGCACTTTACCCAGGGTGAAGTATACCACAATTATCCTTTTATAAAGTGCAAGAATAATTTTTCTTTCGTTGAGAGTGGCACAGAGACTATCAGAGGTCACTTCAGCTGATATACTGAACCACTGAGCGTGTTCCTCAGACACGTGTGCTCTTCCTGAGGGTAGACAAACCCGGCAGCCGCTGTGATTAGGAGTGCTGTGCTGCTCAGCTGTGATGAGGCTGGATCTCTGGGGACCTATGGAGGCCCTGTCCATGCCTATCCATTAGTGTCACTGTGTTGTAGGTGTCTTTCCCAGTGGGACAGTCACACACGTCAGCACAGCACACTGTCATAGCCAGGACCTCCTTGTCAGAGGCATGTTCATCTTGTTTTGGGACTGATGAGCCTCTCATTAGACCACCTCAAAGGGAATGATGTGTCCCGCCCTTACTTGTTCCTGCGTCACGGCTGCTTGAACATCAGCCTTTGTTGTCATTTGGATAAACGCATGCAGAGGCAAATGAGAACATGCAAAGAAGGACATATGTGTTCATGACACACACGCACACACACATATATATACACACACTGGTTTCACTTCCTCTCCCTGTGAGCAGGTCTGGATGGTCGCAAGCTGGCGGGTGCAATTAGAGTTTCACACTCAGTTAGGCAGGAGCTCTAATGGGGATCGACACGTTCCTGCGAATCCACTCAATGCAGCTGCAACTGTTGCTGTTTACATAGCAGACCTCTATAATATTATCAGGAGTGGAAAGTGACAGGTGAGGAAGGAAATTTAGGTGATTTATTTGTTGCCGGGAGGGTTGAGTTGGACTGATCGCTCAAATAATTAGATAAACAGGCGTGAAGTTAGTCTTTTTCCTGTTGTGTCTCCTGAAGGAATACAGCTGCAGTGTCATATACGAGGTAATTGCCTTGTGTTTAGCTGATAAACGATCATTCAAAAGTAGGAACTTAAGAGCTGATAATGACATAGCTGTGTATGTAATTTATCAAGCAAAGACTGGAATATTGGGATATTTCTATCTTAATTGACCTTCTTGTCTGTTCAACAAATCAAAGATTCTGACGACATTACCTCTGGTTCTGAGAAAACGGGGATCTTTTTTTAAATGATTTTGACATTTGATAGTCTGATTCAGTCAAAGTAATTAACAAAAACATGAACTTAAAAGAAAAACTGGTCCACAATCAGTGATACAGACAAAATGTCGTTATCTTAAGCTTCATTTTATCCTTAGTAGACCTGAAGGATATAACACTTCCAACACTCAACAACTGGAAAGTTAAAATTGACCCACTGATGTCCCGAGACCCCTTGTAAATGTGGCAACATGAACACTTTTGAGGAGTTTCCGTTAAGTTGCATCGTCAGTATCAGTGTGCTGTGCTACTGTGTGTGACTGCCCCACTGGAGGAGACACTAACACCGCAGTGACACTAATGGATAGGCATGGACAGGCCTCCAAAGGCCCCCAGAGATTCAGCCCCATCACAGCTGAGCAGCACAGCACTCCTATTCACGACGGCTGCCGGGTTTGTCTCTCTGTTTCTTGGGTCCTGCATGAATCAAAGTATTGTTCCCTGTCATGGTTGGACATGAGACTTGTCTCAGTAGGTCTACCTGAGTACACCCTTATGTCCCAGCTGTGGTGATTCACACACTCCAAAAATAGTGATCTGCCAGCTTTTGTGGTGCGTCAGCCTCATCAGCTGCACCTCTATGCGTAGCTCATGGGAACTCAAATTACCAAACTCAACTCAAAGTACTCAGCACTTTGGGGATATTTTGATTTTCCTTGAGCTAAGTGTGTATTACTTCTAACTTGTCTGCTGACCTGTCTGGGAGATTTTTTTTTAAAGCAATTGTGTCTTAAACCAGCTTGTGAGCCAGGGGCAAAAAACAATAGGCCGTTCTGCTTTGCTGGTAGAACAGATAAACGAGTAAGGAGAGCGTATTATGCTGATGCAGGCATTTTAGAGAGTCTCGCGTTTTCTCACAAGGTGCTGTTTTGAACAGTTTACATCCATTTTCTAAGATTATGACAACACGTTTACCTTGTGATATGAAACTTTGCATATATCCAGAATGGACTCCAAACATGTAACTTTGTAGCCTGGCTGGGCCATCCTGTTACGTGAATCACTTGCCGTTCCTTCCCACAACAGTCTGGACTTCGGCCCATTGGGAGCGTGTATTCCCGATCAGAAAATAATCGGGCCAATCAGAGACAACAGGGAAAGGCAGCCCCTGATTGGTCCATGTGTCGATTGTGACGTCTAACACATGCTGCAGGACTTTTCAAAGCGCCGTTCATTCAGAATGGCGCTAATTCTGCAGTTGACTTTGCAAAGTCGGCAGAAATCGTTTATATCCGACGTCTTCTGCGGATATAAACGTTTTCTGTTGTGAGTAGGAACGGCAAGTGATTCACGCAACAGGATGGCCCAGCCAGGCTAGTAACTGCAGTTTTTGTTGTAAATGTGGAAATTCACATTTTCATTATTTTGGGACTCCCCAAACCACATCACGAGTCCTGATTAATCATCAGATAAATCCTTGATGAACATTTTTTTTTCTTTCTTAAATGTTTTTGTTACAGACATTGCATTGTATACATTTGGTGTGCTGTAATGCGACTCTAGGTTTGGTGTTATTTACAGCAGGTAATGTGGACAGATGGTATTGAGTAGCAGTCAGTGCTGATGCCCTTTGAACGGCCGGCTGTGACCAAATCATTCCTGCAGAGCTCCACACCATGACAGTCATCAAGCTCAATCACTCACTGTTGCCTAGGGAACGCGACTATTACGGCCCATGTCAGATTATTACACCCCTTATAGAGAACAAAGCATTTAGAGATGCTCTTTTCTGTCCAAACCAACTACCAGGGAGTGATGGTAAAACGGCCCCTTTTTTGAAGTGGGAGGTTGGGATAATGGAGCCTAATGTTATGGGTTTAATGTTCCCTCCCTACCCCCAGTAGAGCGGCTGACAGGTTAACTCGCTCCACGTAACACCAGATCTGACTCCCAGTCAACCCGCATTTCAGAGACGAGATACAAACAAATGAAGATGAGCCTTGAGATGTGCACTCAGTGAGCGTTTTCTGAATCTTTCTAAGATGATCTGAAGTGGAGGGAGGGAAAGGAAAAGTGGGAGTGTTGAGAGGCTTTCAGGGTCTGGGTGAGTGAGGGGGGGTGGGGGGTACCTCAGTTGACGCTGAGAAGGGGCAGAGGGAACAAAGGGGGTCTGTTTTCTCTGTCCGTACTGGCGGGGTGGCTGTTCTCGTCTCCTTTTTTCGCGGTACAGGGGGGCGATGCAGGGTTATGCCGAAGGAGATCCACAAAAGAAGCCTGGGTGTTTGAGTTTCTGTTTGAGCACACAGTTGTTCCTGCTGAAGAGGGCAAGGGAGGCAGTTCTTGCTTCCACACAAGTACCCCCGGGCCTGTTGAAGCTTTGGCCAACTTTGGATGGGCAGCAGATGTTGGAGGGGTGGTTTGTGGCCCAGTGGCAGCACATTACAAGGACCACTGCTTCCCCATCCTGTCCTGAAAACAACAGGAGGTGGGCAGTGCTCCACCAGCAGGGTGTAGGCTGGCCAAAATTAAAGAGAATTCAGGAAGAGTGCACACTTGAATGCTTTTTATTCTGTTTCAAGCTTCCATCTTCCTCCTATTTGCATAGAGCTTAAGTAAAAACTCAGCCTCACATCCCACTTTCTGTTGGCACAGTGATGCAGCCCACTTGTGATGTCTAATAGCTTGACAAATACATCTCCACAGCTCTTATTCTGCTCAAAACATCCAAGATATAAAGACTGAGCCCTGCCAAGAATTCCACCACAAGCCTCCACACTCTTACCAGCCTGTTGTTGAGGTGGGGGTCTGCAGAGATGAGCAATACGAAGGCATAGATTATCTTTGTTGCCCAAGCACATGATGCAACAGTGATTGAATCAACAGGAAAGATGGGGACACGTAGCTGTCAGCACATGAATAAAGTTGACATGAAAACACAAAGTGGCTTTGCTATGGTTCAGGAGGCTCTGACCTCGAGGTCTTATTTAGGCCAGGCTTTCTAATGCCCTTACCCTCTGCCCCACCCTCTACCCCCTCCCCAACCAAGGGTAAGACACCATGTTAGCAGCTCAGCAGCCACCACTGAAGGGTCCTTAATCCAAGTGGGATGACAGCTTGGCTCTGGATGCTGTTTCTGTGGCGCTGAAACCAATGGGCTTTTCTTTGCCTCTTTTTCATCCCTTAAACCCCCCAAACGCAGCCACAGGAATCCTGGGAAAAAAAATTCTCTCTGGGGAGACAAAGAAATGGGATGGTAAACAAATCCAAGTGTAGATCTGAGATTCCTTCATTCATTGGGAGATAAATGTGCATGTCCTTTGAGAAATCAAAGGCACAGAATACAATATGACCTCAACTGCTTTGTGTATTTTTTTTTGTCCCGGTGCCACGTGTTGTGCTAGAAACATAATCTAAACCCAGATCATCTTTGTCCAGGCTTCAAAATGATTAGGGAAGATTAAGGTCAGAAAACCATTAGAATCATAAAAATTTGCTCTCAAACCAAATCTCTTTTCCTCCCCTCTCCACCAATCAGTCGTGCCACTTTGGGATCACATGTGTGTGGAGGTTCAAACAGGCCAGTGGTTCCCATTAATACAACAATGAGCATCGGGCGTGTTTACCAGTAGACTGAGTCACTCTGCCAGGCAGCCTCAGCAAATTCTGTTTTTTTCCAGGGTGATGATGCGGACATGCTGATGTGAGGCTAACAGTGAAACTGTCAGAACAATGTTGTTTACTCAAAAACATGGAGGGGGATGTTAAGCCTCTTTATTTTGTACTCAAAGTCTTAAGTTTCTGCATCTTCTTGTGATCTGCTAGTGGGTCCATGATAAGCCATTTTTCAATAACTAAATGAGAATATGGAATTTTTGTTGGCTATTCTGATTTTCTTGGTTTTATGGCATTCTTTATCCTTTTGACATTAGGGCAAATGATTACCAAACATTTTTCCAACATTAATACCAACAAAAACGAGCTGTTGTGATAACAATACCAGTATTAGGGGTGGGAAACACTAGTGGCGCCATGATACAATATTATCACGATACTTGGGCCACGATATTTTGCGATACAGTGAGTATTGTGATACATGATATTGCAATTTATACAATTTTTTCAACTGGCTAATTTAGTATTTGTCTTTCCTTTATGTTTGTCTTATTTACACAGTATTTTGTTTTCATGTAGCACATCTTGCACACCCTACATATATTTGCTGTACTAACTTTCTCTTGCTCTATAATGTCACCTCTGCCAGCCTCACTGGACAAACAGTTGATTTTATTTTTCCATTATCGTAGATTTGACTTCATATTAACAATTAATTTGAAGAAATCGATACTTGGTAAATGAGACGATACGATATGACACCAGACAAAATATTGTGATAGTATGCTGTATTGATTTTTTTCTCCCACCCCAAACCAGCATTGGTGTTGGATCTCAGTTGAATACAGCACCTGATTTTAGTGAGTGTGCCAGTCAATGCATCAATGATTAAATGTGTATTAATACAGAGTGCCTTCAGTTTCATCAATTGTTAAATAGGGTTTGATGTGATTTGATCTTTTTTTGACATAAAGCACATTTGGGAAAATTGTATTTGACATGTATTAATTTTCCAGTCTGACCCTCGATATATCTGTTATAATGGAGGTTGTATGGCGTGTACTGCAACCAGTCACCAGGGGGAGCTTTAATGGTTTTTCTTCCCTTTTGGGGGATCTGTTGTACTGTCCATATTTTGGATGGTCTATGGCTTCAACCAAATACTGTGACCCCACTATAAGCCTGGAAAAAATTAACTGATTTTGGGTAATATATGATATAATGAAAACAAACAGTTAGCAAAGAGTACAATGCTGGATAAAAAGCAATCAAAATGTCAACAGTTGTAATGTAGCCATAGTTTCAGCTTCTTGCTGTAATTCAGAGTTAAGGTTTTTTTTTCCCCTCCAGTAACAAAACCAAGAGAACCCAAGAGATTTCACCATCAACTGCATGTTGTGGATATAATTTTTCAGCATCTATGAGAAGAAAATTGCCTCCAAATTATATTTATTATGAAAAAACCCAAGGACATCCACCATGGGGTTGACAGTGCGAAGGCCTTGTGCCAGAGCAATTTAAAATCAACAGAAAAGCAATCAGTTTAATCTCCTTGTGGTCAGTCTTTTACTTTCTCAGCACTGGGTGTCTTTAGGAGCCGGGAGAATGTAGTTGTCGCTGAGAATTCCTCGCTGGGGGCTAGCCGAGCCCAGCTGTGAGCAGAGGGGAGGGTGGACAAATGGCAACTACATTTATCAGGATCTCCTCTGAGGCTGGCTGGCCTGATAACCCAATCAAATGTCTAGTGTGGCTGAGAGCTGTCTGGGCCAATGTGGTGCTCTTTCAGCCCAGTGTTTGTCTCTCTCTCTCTGTGTGGAAATATCAATGAGTCTTTGTCGCTGTGTGCCATGGTTTATAGCCAAAGCCCTTTCGCAGTGTCTCAAAGTAAAAAGTGACACCATAATCTTTAAGTATGAAGACTTTTTTTTGCAGTAGAAATGTTTTTTTCAAGACTTACCTCACAAGTGCACCATTGTGTATCTTCTGATGAATGGTATTCCTTATATTGGTTTTAAGTTGGTATTGTCCTGGCAGCGGCTGAAAAGACTCGAGTTTGAAGGAGACCTAATGCCCGGGTCTTCAAGGTTGGCTGGTTTTGGGCCTCTCGGGGCTTGACTCACAATGACGGTATCTCTGTATGAGCGGAGCCATGGTGGACATGTTACTCAAAGGGGTTACTGCGTGACAGAGAGCACGCCTCCACAGATCAGTGAGGAGAAAATAGGGCATTTTAACTCACTAGTCGTTTGTGATGTGTCACTGAGGTGGAATTCATGCAGCTGCTGGTTTTGAAGTTAGCATCTTGATTGTAGTTGACATTTCAGAGTTTGCAGAGGGCTCAGCTTGGAGCCAAAGGGCAGTCTTTAGATGTTCACCAAAGCTTCCATTAAGTGTGATTGGTGTGGAAAAATAGATAAAAATGTCAAAGTACTTACTCCTATGTTATGCTCATTTGGTCGGCTATCTGAAGCTTCACTAAATTGCACATCTGAGGCTTTTACATAATTGTTAAAACCGCTATCTCAGTCAAAATCTCCTTTCCCCTTGATTAGATGGTAATGATTAAAAATGTAGTTTAATATCTGAAGCCAGCCTCAGAGATCATATGCACAGCGCTTATAGTATTTTAAAACCTGCTTTATAATCTCAGCTCGTAGCCATGTGATTTAAATAAAGGAGCAGTCACTGCCCTGGAAGCAGATTATACACTGATCTCTAACACAGCCTGTCTCTGCCCCTTTCTATTCCTTTGATTATTTCCTCCTCTATCTTACACTTTCTCCACTGTATCATTCCCAGAGTATATTTCTTATCTACATTTGATGAATATTTGCAAAGCCACGGCCAAGAGTAAGTAAAGATTCTAAAAAACGAATGAATCCCTCTGCTTTGGTGATGTTCACATAGCCTAGTGCAGAAGTACAGTCAGTTTAAAGCATTTATAGAAGTGGTGTCTTCTTAAATATGTAGTAGGATGAAAAGCAGTTCATTTTACACAATAACTTTTAATTCCTGTGTGTTCCAGTGTAAGCTTTATTTTGCTGTTTCTGTCATGTCAGACCTTGGTAGCAACATTTTGACCAAATGTTTGGTGAAATGTTGAGGCTATACCCTGTTAACTCGTGTTTTTTTTGTCTTTTAATAACCCCCAGCTAACTTAAGTTGCATAGTTGTTGCCATAGTTACATTAGCAAGAGCAGCAGGGTGAAAATGTTGAGTATTTTCTATACAAAAAAGGTTTTAATGCAGTATCTTTAAATGCAATCCTTAAATTTACCCTCTCAAACCTTTTATCACTACCAAAGACAGGGTTTAGCTTCAAGTTATCTGTTTTTGTACAATATCAATATAAAGACGTTCTATGACACACTATTACTTAGGTTTAGGTTGTTAAAATTCTTTGTACAAACATTTTTATGCTGTTTTATCCAAGTGTAAAGCCTGGGGGCAAACTGGTAACACTAATTACAGCTATGCATATTTTATGAATTTACATTTTTCCATGTTTTCCAACTTTATCTTCAAATGTAGATGTTCACCAACAGAGTTTGACTCAAATCAACTGCAAGGAGGTCGCACTGATTGGATTTTCCACGGTCATCTGTAGTGAAAAAATCTAATTAAGCCTTGAGCGTCCCAAGTCAAACTCCCCGGGATTACCCTGGCCCTGCACCCAAAACCAGACCCTGGGAGAGAGTGATAACTAGACTCCCATAATCTGGAGCAAAGGCACAGTGGAGTGAAGGGGGTTGATGATGAAACCGTTGCAAAACCAGATCTCTACCAAACCCAACTAGGATAGCTGACGTCAGCACAGGTTTGGCAGTATTTCTGTCACGTCATTTTGGAAGAGGTAACAAATCAAGTTGAAATTAAACATCGCAGTTTGAGATTTACCGAAGCAGACTCTGTGTCTCAGCGTTCAAGACCCCAGGAAACAGTGGAATAGCTTCCGTAAAGTTGGTGTGTTTTGGCGAGATAAAGATAGAAAAAACTGATTTCATGCAGAGTTTCATCCGCATTTCTTACAATCCCCCTACACTTTGAAGTTAAATTAGAAGTGTGTCTGTATGGTTGGGAAAGACAGACAGATTAGAGAACAGAAAACACATTTTGAAGGAGTATTCAACCCCCCCCGCCTCCTCCTCCTCAAATCTGCCTTACACCAAACAAAAGCCTTCTAAAGTATCCTTTCCTTTGCCTCAAGTTAAGGATGTGGGTCGGACATACGCTTTGACTTTAGGGTTTACTTTTTGGCTTCTCCTTTTGTTTTTGAGCCCATTGAGTGAAAATACATGTTTACTGCTGTCATTGCTTTTTAACAGACCTTGAAAGAGTCCATTTGACTGGAGAATCACTCACAACAGGAGACCACTATTGATCAGGTGATTGCTTTAAGGAAGTAGGGTTTAAGGGAAGAAGAGGTGAGGGAGGGTGAGGGGTCAGGATGGGGTGAGAGACAGGGAAGAGCCAGGAACCAGGACATGCTCTCTGTCTCGCACCAGGATGCAGCCAAGTCTGAGATATGGCTTTATTTTCTTTTGATCCTCGGAACAAAGCACCTGCTGGAGGCCTGAGGATATCTCCTCTCCCTATGTGCCCTTCCCCATGTCTCCAAGGTATCACCAACCTGTGCCCATCTGGATCTGGGTTTAATGTTGACTGTGTGAGCAACTGAACTTGGACAATAGCCTCTTTTCTGTAACACTACAAAAGTTTAAGAGTTCCTTGTCATCGCTTCTTGATCTCTCGCGGGATTCGATTGTTTGTGAGATGTTTTTCTCTGTCTAGCATCAAAGCGCAGCCAGACGGAAAGCTGAATATGCTCTTTTGGCTTCAAAACAAAAGCCCCCGAATTTGTTTCACTCGCTCTGTTTATCTAAGCTGTGATTCAGCCGGAATGGGACTTAGGATATGAATTTCGAGTAGAAGCAGAGCGTTGGCAGCAGAGGCAAGGCCCTTGTCCTTGACAGCCCTGTTGAATTTTTCCCTTCCAAATGGCTGGTTTAGAAAATGAAAAGAGGAGTCTTGAAAAAAAAAACCTACAAGTAATCTAATCCTCCGCTATGACGGCGGTCCATTTTCACCTATATTGTCTTGTGAGACCATCCTTTTTCCTCCCTGTGACTCATATTGTGTGGAATTGAAGCATAATGGACTAGGTGTCCACAGAGAGAGAAGAATCCACCCGGGACAGCTACTCATAGCACTTCAGTTTGATTGACATAGCTCTCCTCTTTTCACATCAGACATGGTAAAACGTATGAAAGTGGCTCTTTTACATAACATTGGAGAATTGCATGCCTAACCTCTTTCATTCAGCGATGGGCCTCTGTGAATTCAATCTGGAGCAACCTCAACATATCTGTGTTTTGTGATGCTAAAATTAGTAGAATCTGAGGCATGTGCTTGATATGGTAATAAGGCAAGAAAACTGTGTTTGAGTTTCAGCTTTTCAATTGAACATGGCAGAATTGGATTTTAAAATTTGACTCGTTGTTTTGCAACAGTTCCCACAATTTAACCATTTTACTCAGATACTTCACACAGCCGTGGCGGAAATTACAGCAACATCTATGATTTTCTTTTTTTTCTAAAGTTTCCAACTACCCATGCTGAATTTGGGTGAAATCCTGAGCACCCAGAAATAAACTGAGCTAACAGAAGTGAAAGTTCTGCTACCAGGTCTTCGCCGGTCCTCCATTTTTAGTCTGAATTTTTTGTCTTTTATATAAGTTAAAAAGATCTAAATGCACTGATTGCTAACATCCTGTCAAATCTGGGGAAATTTTGAGTTGATCTCAATCATGAATTTTTGTTAGCCCAACATTATGAACACATATGAGGATCAATTTTCTCTTCTACGTATATCTGCTTCTATCGGTACGAAACTGACCTAAGCATTCTGCACATGCTCTACAGGTTTGCATGCCGTGTTTTGATTTGGAAGTTGAATATCATAAATGCATTGCTATTTGATTCTTCACCAGTCCTGGTAAACCGGGTCAAGGACAGTAGTCAAGTTAAGTCACCCAATCAAGCTATAACCAGGGATGTATTGGTCTAATATTGATATCAGATATCGGTCCAATATCGGCAAAAAGAATATCGGATTATATTGGCCTGCATCTAAAATCTTCGATATCAACACTCCAATACTAGAAGTCCACTCCAGACTCCACTCCAGCACCTCTAGCTAGCAGCACCCAGATCCAATATGCAGAGCCCACATGATCACAACAACAGTGTGTACTCAGGTACGAACAAAGCAGCAAGGAGTAGGAGTGATGTCGGCCGTGTGGCAGTATTTTTTGTTAAAATCCAAAAAAGACGTTGCAGCTGAGTACAAAACTTTTCAAGTTTGTGTCAATACAGGATCAATATCGGTGTCGGCCAATCCTGATGACTACAATATCGGTATCTTGTTAGAGTAAAAAGGTTGTATCGACCACCCCTAAAGGTATCCGTACAGTACAAGTTGAGCTTAATGTGTAGTTTAGTTAACTCCTTGATGGTGGCACATCATCATTGCTCTGATTGGTCTGTTATGAATTTTGCTGACAAAACAATCATCCAGTCACCCACACAGTGTTTCTATTGTTTGTTTGTTTTTTAAGGATCTGAGCTCTTCCTGAACACTGTCTGTGGGGTGTTGCCCAGTTAAATGGGACATATACTCCATGCCATTGATAAGAGAAACAGTCTCGCTTGTTTATTAGTTTACATAGATAAGGATTACATTAGAGACAACATATGTCAAATTAATCTCCCTCTGGCGGATCTAAATAGCCTCTGTTTTATAGATCCATGAAGTTTCTCCTTTGTTTCCTCTTCCCTCTCAGAGCTGAGCTTTTTGGTGAAAGACTAACACAACAAAGAACAATAAGTGCAGCCAGACATCTCACAGAAAAGCGCATTGTGCTGTATGAGCTGTGATCGTGTTGGTAAATGTGACATAAATGAACACTTCTGCGACACTAAAACGTTTTTCTCACACAGCAGCAGCTCTCAGCTGTGCAGAGTGCTGCTCTAAATGTTTAATGGAGAGGCAGGAGATGAGGGGCATCCTCTGTCTCTATGTCTCCGTCTGCAGAGTGTCTCATTCCCACCTGGCCGGGCTCCAGTGCTCACTGCAGCAGTCTGACCCACTACGCTGCTGCATTGAGACCGGATACAAAGCCTCATTGGAGACTTTTTAGCTCCATTGAAGTTATGCGGTGTATTGACTAGCTTTGCAGCACCAGCTTCTGTTCTCAAACTTGGACGGACTTAAAAGTTCCTCTGTTATTTTTTTCTTGTGCTCTTTTATTTCGTTTCCATGCTTGGCCTTTTTCACAACATTAGTGTCAGAGTTTGCAGCATGCAGGTCGTTTGCCCGACTCCCACCAGCCCTGTGTCACAGTCAAAGTCTCAACATTCAGGGACATGCCATGGCTGTCCTTCAACGGCTCTTTCACTGCTGCTTGGTGACAATGCATTTTTTCCATGCCATAAAGCAGATGCTGTATTATAGCCGCACAATACTGAAACTGTTTACCATGTGAAAGGCTCACCGGGATCAGGATGCCTACCGCTGTGTGGGGCTTTTTGACTTGCCACTCTATAATGAGAGCGCACTGGAAGGAAAAGAAACAGGCAGCTTTAACTGGCATTGTGATCAGTGCGTGGAGAGAGGAAACACAGAATAAAGTGCTGAACCAGACTATTCTTCTGAGGGCAGGAGTTTTTATAAGACTTACGAGAATACAGAGATTACTGTGACATCCAATGAGCTTGTCAGCAGCTTCACCAAAAACTGATAAATAGGCAGGAAACTTGCAGTTTAAGCAATTGTCCAACTGAAAAAAAGCTTATCCTTTGAACGATTTGATGCTGTAAAAATATATATTTTATCTTTTCACATGCCAGAAATCCTTGTAGTGAGTAGTTCAGTACAGCTGTGGCAGGTGTCCTCTCGATGAGGACGCCGATCTCTTAAGGCCTCTTTCTCTTAAAGTCAACAAGAGAGTCACAAAAAAAGTGAAGTGAAAACAGCTTGACTACAAAGGCTTAGAAAAGCCCTGAGGTTGAAAAATTAGCTGTCTTTGTGTGGCTAGTAACCTGTCTCTTCATGTCTCGCTGTTTGTTGTCGGCGAGTTGAAGAGGCTCCTGTTGCTTTGAATTGTCCGCCCTCAGGGTTTCTTGCTTGCCTTTTATAAAAAATAAAACAACTGAACAAGGTTGAATCAGCACTAGTGTTGGACTTACTGCTTGTTTGTCTTTAAAGCTCTTAGTCACTAATTGAGTACTTAGGCGGAGAGGGACCTTGGCTGGCCAGTCACCCTTTTACACCTCAGACTTGATTTCAGACTCTTGAAGGACCTCCTGGAGACAGACAGCACTCAGATCCCCTCCTGAAGCTAAGGTCTCCTCGGCTCCCCAGAACCACTCCAAGGGCTTATCCTTCCTAACAAGAGCTCCCCAAGGTCTGTGGTCCTCAACTGGTCATCAGTCAAGTCAAGGACACACATCTATCAAGTCAAGAGCCCCGAGGAATAAAAGCAGCAGCACACACATAAAAGCCCAGACAGGGACACTTTTAAGTATATTAACCCGACTCTTAACCCACTGCAGAAGAAGGATGGCACTATGGGAAATAAGGAAGTGACTGGTGGTGTATAAACCAATTGTATAATTTGATTTCCGCCTGCAGCTCAGCAGTCGGATGAATGTATATCTAAACTCAAAGAGAAAACAGCGCTATTGGCTGTAGTTAAAGCAAAGCTGTGCATCAGTATTTTTTCTAGTGAGTGCAGTTGTTACAGCACACACCAGAACTACTAATCTGTTAAACAAATCAATGTTTTAAGGGTGTAGGCCTTAAATTTCAATCAAGTACTGTGTTTTATCTGTTGTGTAGCCGTCCAGAGCTACGGCACTGTTTGACCCCCAGTTTCCACCGCATCCGGAACGGCTACCAAAAGGCCGTATACACTGATCGCAGCTGATCGTAACCATTCAAGTTAACGCGTCAATTTCCACTGGCTTCTTTCTGTTCCACTGCGGAACAGCGGATTCCGCAGCTGATCGCAAGAGTTCTATTTTTTTCCAGACGCCGCAGCATAAATTCCACATAGATCAGTCTGTTCTGGAAAGGAAATCAGGCACAGACACAAAATAAAACATCCAGCTTCTTTTCAAAATAAAACACTACATGTTTCAGGTGGACCGTATTTCACACCAGACAAACAGGCGGGGATGAACAGGGGGAAGGTTTTTCGACAGCATTTCACCCTGTTGACACCATGGATGAGGAGATGCTGATTCTAGAAGTCAAGAAATGGATTTCCTCCTCTGGACGGACACAATCTACAGCTTATATGGTTTTGTGGCTGTCTTTATAGAGACAACTTGTTGTCTCACGATTGCACGTGAATCCACAGGTTCTTGTAAGTTCTCACGATGTCCGCTGTCTGTTATCCACCACGAAATTCGGCTCACAAACGGATCTGATAGGAATTGGCGAACAGCGAAAATCGCTGCAGTTCCGGATCGTAGCCATTCCGGATGCGGTGGAAATTAGGGGTAACTGTCATAACGCCATAATGCTCAACTACCTGGATGTAAACAAGCATAGATGACAGATCACATGGCATTGCAGTATTTCAATCTGGAAAATGGAACCACTTAAATTACTGACTTGAGCAGTTTGTAAGCAGAAAATCAGCCAGATTCAGAATACTTTACCTCAGGGGAAACTACGGTAGAGGACCAAAAGCATGCGGTGCTACTTAACCTGAGGGTGTTGTCATTGAGAGATGACTTATGTTTTCTGCAGCTTCCACATGAGCATGCTGAAACAAACACAGCTAAATCAAAGCACTGCTGTACAAATAGTGTGGATCGAAAGCATATGTATGCACACCTGTGTTCTGTTGCGTATGCATGGCTGCTATTTTTAGCTAACTTTCTGACAGCAAGGCTTGGTCAAGGATGACTGCTTAACAACCATGCAAACCCCCGTCACTTTTAACAATCAAACAAGCCAATTTTGCCAAATACCCCATGTGCTTTATTCCATCACACATTAGATACAGTTTTTACAAGGATAAAGATTTTTATTTTACCCATCTTTCTCCACAAAAGGACATCTACAGTGCAAATAAAGATAGGAAACACATTTCTGAATGCTGTTAAGATATTCAGCTTTCAAATAATTCTCTTTAGTCAAATTTTAGCAGTGAAAGAAATGATGTATTCACCCAGAAACACGTTCACTCACTTTTTATCTTCTCCCTCAATGCTGCCTTCTTAGCTATTTCAGCAGTGAGCTTCTGTCCCATTTTGTCATATCATTCCCCGAAGAGTACAAGGTGTCTCTTGACAAATACAGCTATGTTAGTTTTGCTTATCAAGACTGAGGCAGGGAAGACAGACCACAGAGACTAACATACAATCCCTCTAGTGTGAAATCCTCCTAGGTTGTGAATAACTGAGCGTGTAGCACAGATACCAGAAAAATCATATCAGAAAACTTGGGCCTGGACGACTCTAAACTGACAAGGCTGTTGTCTCCTGCAAATCATTTAAAAAAAAAGAAAGTCTTTCTTTTTCGTGCAGCTTCTTCTTATCATTGAAGCCAGTTTCTCTGACATGAAGCATTCAGGCACAGCTTCTTCTGTCTGTCAGCTTCGTTTTGTTGCTAATTTATTCATTTAAGCAGAGGCAGCCACATTCAAAGACAATGGCACACAAGCTCCGAGTTGAATTAACCTCAATAATTATGCAGATTCAGGGAGAGAAAAGCCCAATTGTTACGCACTCCTCAAAATTCCTGCCCCCTCCTGTGCTTGACATCCAAGTGAATAAATTACCAGACTCAACGAAATACCCAAACTATCTTCTTCAGGATCCTCTTGTGCACTGCTAAAAATTAATTGTGCAAGAATAATAAGACTGTACCCTCCCAGGTCAACCTTTCTTGTTTGTGTTTGTGTTACTGATCATTTTCACGACAGCCTGCAGCCTAATGGAAGCATGTGTCTACTGTGAGTGCATTATCCTGATGCCTGTAATGCTGGGATCCATTTTCTCCAAACATTTTAAAGGAATCGACTTTTAAGTGTTTCCAATAAAGACCCAGTTCAAAGTGCTGGCTAATGGGCTGTTTGATCAATACATGAGCTTTTCCACTGTAAACACCAAAGTTAGTTGAACACATTGAAAGCAGGTCATTAGAATCCATTAAGTATTGGTTGAAATTCAGCCCCCATTTATGGGTGTTTATGGCGGTTATATATCAAGCTTTTATAATATAACCGGGGTATCTTCTCAGTATGGTTTCCAGTGCAGTTTAATTTGTTATAGACCTGCAATTAGTCTAATTGCTATGTCATGCAAACATGGAACCACAAATGTCGCCTGATATCAATTAAAAAAACAGCGAGGGGTATCCTATAATTTTGATGTACTGAATAGATTTAGTCTAAGAGAAAAACACTTTCACAAAAATAGGTGCTTAATCCAATTGCCATGACAACAACAGTAATTTACACATTTTTAGACATGTAATTGTGATGATAGACTTCTGTTAAACTGCAAAGCCTCTTAAACACTCAAGTTATGTGACTGAGCTCAGATCTCACACCTATATCGTCCATGCTTAGGATGTCCCGATATGATATTCAGTGTTTCCCCTTCATTCATTCAGCAGCTCTGCATCGTTGCTGCTAAATTACGTGTGCGGTACTGAAATTTCACATGATCCTGAGTATCGATGCGCCACTAATGATTTCTACTTGCACTGTGTGAGCACAAGAACACAAAACGTTATTTTCCACTTGTTTTGAGTAATCAGCGAGCGCATCAAATCCTGTCGGACTCTCTTCCATTAATCTGACAGGTAATGTTCAAGCTTACTCACGGTCTTAATTGCATGGATGATTACATGAACATAACAGCGTAGCACCATGGGCGGCAAGAGAGTGGGGGTAACAGCAAAAATCCCCCGCCACAGAAGCACCACTTTTGAAAAAAAATCCATGAGAAACACTGACACTTTTTGAAAAATTGATATCGGCCCAATATCAGGAAAAAAAAAAAGAATCAGATATCGGCCTGCATCTAAAATCTCAGATATCAGCACTCCGACAAAGCAGTCCATTCCAGACTCTGCTCCGGCACCTCTATGTAGCAGCGCCTGGATCCACAACAACAGTGTGTACTAAGGTACTAGTAAAGAAGCAAGGAGTAGGCATGATGTTGGCTGTGTGGCAGTATATTTTCTTTAAGTCCAAAAAGATGTTGCAGCGAAGTGCAAAACTTGTAATGCACAATTTTGTGCCAATGTCAGGGCAACAACATCGGTACGCCTAGTTGTTGCACAATGAACCCCACAATTCGTGCAACATTGGTGTCCAAGTGTGTGGTTTCAGTGAGAACACAAGCGCCACTAACTGTTCTGCCCTGCAAGCTCAGGTGCAACAAATCGCTGCTATCTTCTCCCCCATTCTTCCTCTGAGGGAGAATTAGAGGTGGAACAACAAGGACACATGCTGGGGAGCGACACCTCGACTCTTCTAATCTCACAGTTGAGATGCTACGAGGTATTGGCTGATTCTTTGGAAAAACAATAAACTAAACCAACAATAACAGGAGCTCATTTGCATTCTGCAACCAGCTGCTAAAGCAATGGCAGCTGTAATTCTGTCTAATGTACAACACAGTGGAGGAGATGAAAGCCTCTCTCCAGCGATGTGCTGGTACTCGGCCTGCTTCAGATGAAGTGTTATGATGGATCTGGAGAATCGGAAGCCCAGGGATGTTTTTATATTTGTTCAGGTGTTTCCAAAAATAGAACAGCCTGATTCCAAAAAGGCTCATAGTGAGGGCTAATAACTGAGGTAATGAGTGCTGTAATGATGCAGGATCAGTCAGTGGGACAAAGATTTTGCCTCTAACCACATCTGTTCACTGTCAGTATCATTGTGTGTTTCTGCAGTTTGTGACCACTGCCTCCTCAAAACGCTACTGGTTACTCAAACACAATCTGTGTGTTTTTGTGTGTGCCTGTGCCTGTGCCTGTTTTGGGATATATGTGTGTCTGAATTATTGATGCAGTGTAAATCCAATCTGTCTCATGGCAGGTGCGCTGTGTTCTGTTTGCAGTGCGCGTGTGTGTTTTTGAATTGCGTATCAGCCATTGCGAGCGAGGAGGAAGGAGCAGTGCTGTAATTAAAAGGCAGCACAGTCTGCAGTCCTTCCCACACAGACTCAGCTATAGGCATACAGGCCAAAGGCTCAGCAGACTTTACGTATAAACATGACCACCACTGTTCACACACATATGCACACACACTGTGATGCTACACAGACAACTGTCTTTTTTCCTCCTCGCTCTCCCCTCCCGTCTTCTTCCCTTAGTCTCAGTTGAGCAGCACAGTTTTTCTTTTCTCTTCCTCCATCGCCCATCCTCTGTCTTTCATGCTCTTTGTATCCCTCTCCCTCCTCCCTCCCACAAACTTCACAATGTGCCACACTCGAGCTGCAGCAGTCTGTTTTTGTGCAGCATGCAGACAAGCTGCTAGGACCCGACCAGTGATATCATCCCATTGTCCCTGTGCCGTCACCTGCACCAGAGAGCTGGGAGTCTGGGAAGATAGAGAGGGAGGTGGAAGGAGGGAAGAGTGAAGGAGGAGAGAGGGAGAGTCTGTTGAGTTAGTTAGAGGCACCTACATCGGCAGAGTAGACCGAACAGGGACACCAACGTGAATTCAACACAGGTCAGCACAATAGCATGAAAAACTTGATAATCTTTATGCAGAAACCTCTAGAAGAACCAGACTCATGGGTGAAAGATGGATAGAGACAAAGACTCGAACAGATGCAGTCAAAAAGAAAGGCAACAAAGTTCAAGAGCATGATTTCCCATCATGGATGCCAGAATTGCCTACATCATAATGATTTGTTCAGCATGTGCTTGTGAATTGTATTTTCTTTTCAATTTTGTGCCTACTTGCTTTCATGCATAATATCTCTGAATTGGTTGTTCACCATGCGAACTGAGCACAGCCCACCTGTTTGCGACAGTAAAAAGAAGCAGTGACTTTTCAGTAATTATTACCTGACAATGATGCATGATAGAAGGTGAAACTTTATTTGTTTGTCCTAGCTGTTCCCTCGGCTGTTATTTGAGAATGTCGACTACACACTCTGACAAACACACACTCACAGGGGATTCATGTTTCTGTGGTGTACTAATTTGCCAAACAGACACACAACCTCACACTTGCGGATGTACAAATGAAAACATTTGCTGATTCATGTTGCAGAGATGTACACGTTTATCTCTCTTCCCACGCCAGTAGCCATGTTGACATTGGCAAAATTTCTTGATCCGATTAAAAATTTGAGGGATCGGATAATCTGAATCCACTGTTTATATGGGTGCAGAATCAAATAATTCGATCAAGACGTGCATGTACATGCACCAAGCTTTATTCAGATTAGAAGCATATGGACATGAGCAGAGTTGTCTGATTTCTCTAAAACAACCTCAGAAGAAGAGTTGTATTTACGCCTGTGCTGACAACAAACCAGCAAATGCGGTAGCAGCTTGTCCATACCCGATCCGTCCCGGAAACCCGATTTGTACTGCGCATGTGCGAAACGTACGTCACTTCCTCTCTTGGCATGTCAACAGTGAGTCACTACCTACCCAATCCATACTGTGCAAGTGCAAATTTACTTCACCTTAAAAACTTTATTTAAACTACCAATTGACTCAAAAACAAGCTGTCAGTGTGATAGGCTAGCTAACAGGAGGCTCCAGCGCTAATGCCGAGGCATTCGGCAGAGCTCCTGCCCAGCACGGTGAGATCTTTTGGGCCACAGAGAGCGCTGTGTGCGGTTTGCGACAATGTCGAAGCAGTTGCAAACCGCGAGAAGCAAAGAATTGCTCAGCTGTCGCAAAGATGGCTAGTAGAAGAAGTGACATACATTTCTCACATATGCAGCACAAATCGGGTTTCTGGGATGGATTGGGTAGCGACATGGATCACTCCATCCAATTCAAGAGTTTTCCCCTTGTGTACTTATTTTACTGTTCTGTCAAATTTTGCACTGTGTGTGCAGATGTGACATGATTATGCTGTATGTACGCCTTGTTATGTTACTGGAGGAGCAGACACGGCACCTGCGGTTGTGTATTATGCCAGAGTGTTAATAATGAAACCTTTTGTACTGGCCTCGATAAATAAGCCAAAGGCTAAAAAGTAAAGATCGAGCAGGTAACAGAATTACGATCAGAGTAAGTGTTAACAAGGACACGTTTCGGAATAACGATCGGCATAGACCACCCCTCTCGATCGGAATGCAATTTCTTTCCGATTGAGCCGAATTGGATCAGAATCTTCCGATCAACATGTTTACATGATGTGTTAATATTCCGATCAGGCATTTTTCCTGATTATTTGTGCCCATGTAAACGCAGCTACACTGTATCACACACACAGTACAGTGAACTTCTTGAGTCTACACACAGATCAGCTAACTAGCTGACGCCTCTTCACCTTCTCTGGCCTTCACTTCTTCTCCGCTCATTTGTTGCTGCCTTTGGGGTACCTACAGCCTCTCCTATATTTCACTTCCCTCCTTCTACCTCCCTCTGCATTTTTATCTCAACACCTGCAGCAACAGGATGTGTGTGTCTCTGTGTGTGAGTGAGTGAGTGTGTGCAGGCATCAGTCTGGTGTAGAAGGAGTGATTAAACCCTTGAGCGCTGCCTCCTTCTCCTCCTTCTCCAGTGAACCAGTGCACCTCAAAATAACGCCACGTCACTGACACTCCCACGCCGACGGCTGAGATTGTTTCACTTCGATTTTCGCTATTTATCATAGAAATAACAGTCGGTCGTGTCTGCACTGAAAGGATTGAGCAGAGGCTTTTCTTTCACTCTTCTTTTTTGTCTTATGTGGAGTTACTGAGCGCAATATGGATCTCAGATAAGAAAAGATCAGTCTGTCTGTTCTTGGACTCACTAAAAAGCAGAATATGTTGCCAGAAAGTGTGTTGCAGGCGTTGCTTTGCCACATGTTTTATCTTTGTATGGGATTGTAGTTGTGGGTATGAGGTGGGGCTTTCCTTCAGCCTCTTCAAAGCCAAGTCTCTTTTACCTTTCTCTTTTTATTCAGTACACCGCAGGTTGAAATACTGAGGCAATCCTCTGGTCAAAAGCATACTCTTTCTTTTTTCTTTCTTTTATCAATTGGTAGTCTTTCTTGGCGGCTTGAGTTTCTTGACTGATGTCTGTTGGTCTACAACTTTGATCTGGAAATATCTCCATATCTAACAGATCAATTGTAATGCAATACATTTCAGACACTTGTGGACCCTAGAGGACGAATCTAACCAACTGACTCATCGAACCCCTACAGAAGGAGTTTGCTTTCTTGTCTTGTCCGAAGTATCTGAAAACACTACTACCTTACTTGTTTGTGTGGCTATAGCGTACGTGTTTAGACTGTCTGGGGATGCTCAGGTTGAGTTGGGAAGACAGGTGGTGTGAGAGCTGGACACCCAGCGTGGGTGAGGATGAAGGAGAGTGGGAGAAGGGGGGGAAGAAGAGGAATCTCATTCCCCTCCTGCTGCCACAAACACGCACTTCAAAGATGGCTTCTGAAGGCTTCCGGCTCCCTCAGTTCTTGTTATTGTTCACTGATGAAAACTCATTTAGTGTAAACTAGTAATGACAATTTAGCAGGAACTCAAGTTGTGTATCTCTTTACATAACAGGTCAATGACTGAGTTCTGGGTCCCTTCACCCGGATATGGTTTCTGTTTAATGCACCAGAGTGGCAGGTTGTTTGTTGTTATTTTACAGCATCGCCAACTGTAATGAACAGCCGGGATGATGCGCCCCATGCAGCATCGATCCCACACTCTTGCACAGACGGTGGATGGAAATTGGTCCTGGTGGGGGAGCAGAGGAGGTGCACACACGCCTGCACCTTCTGTGGACACATATGGATGCGGGATCAGCGCACATGTACATACTGAGAGGGCGAGAGTGTGCGTGTGTGTCCATGTGTGTGTGAGGGGGCAGTGTGTGTTTATTGACTCCTGCGGTTGCTGGGTGCTCACTGGACCGAGGATGATCTTCTTATTGGTGACAGTATGGAGCGTATAGAGGAGGAGACCTGCTCCCGCGGTGGGCTTTTCTTCCTCTTTGCTGCAGAAAAACTCTTGGATCTCTTTCACCTCGCCCCATGTCCTCAGCTGGTGCTCACTGCGGTTGGAGGGAAGCCTCGTATACAAACTGTATTAAACCGGGCTGTAATGCTTCCCCTCCTGCTTCATTACCACATGAATGGTTGCCATATTTCAGTATACTGTGTGGATACTTTTGGCAAGTCACTCAAAGTCATTGGCTTTGACACAGTGGGCTAACAATAGCCTATAGAGGAGGGGGTCCTTTTTTGTTAGGTTTAAAGCAGTGGTAGAGGGGCATTTCCTTTAAGAGAAATCCACATTTACTACAAATTAGGACTTAATTTAGTGGCTTTGGCTGTCACTTTACTATCCTGTTGTACACTTCAGGTCACTTTAATACATCAAAGTAATGATTATATGAACAGATAGGCTTTAAATAAGTAAACAGTAAAGTCATAAAAGGACAATAAGCACACAAGACATATCAAAGATAATCCTCAAGTTATGGTGCAACATAAAGAAGAAAGAATGACACAGTAAGTACAATTAGAGACCTCTGGAAACAGTGCAGTAAATACCACAGCCTGTCTTTGCTTTTCAATCCTGTGAAGTAGAGTTTATTGTCAACATCAAGTGAGATTTCCAGATCTAGAAGGAGAAGTACAATGCTCTACAACTTAAGTGTTATTTCTTTGACGCTGGACTCATGTTTCAGTCGGTCAAAATCATAGTACCCTCACCCAAGAACTCAAAATCTGATAACACGACATTGCAGCAAATAGATTTAGAGGCCTAAGATGATCAAACAAGTTGTACACAAATCCCTAAATTAAGTCAGATGAAAAGGAACGGCCAAACTGCTGTTTGTTGATAAAATCTATTCACAGTTTACAGATTGGTTTCCTGGTTTATTTTTGATCTTTTATTATATTTGTGGTTTTGCATATACACAGCACAGTTCAAAGGGGGATCAAAAGTGACATTAAGGTTAAATCACTTTCCCAGTAACCACTTAAGTAAATACACCGCTATCAGATATCCTCTTACAAGACCTCTGATTGTGCCAGGAATATATGATGTGTTGAACGATCCAGTTAGGTCCGGTTTGGGATAGGACTTGTGCACATTTAGTTACCCAAACATTGTCACCCTTGCTAGTGTCCAATATTGATATCAGATATTGATTCAATATCAGCAAAAAAACAAATATCCGATTATAGCAGCCTGCATCTTAAATCTCCAATATCAGCACTCTGATACAAGTAGTCTGTTCCAGACTCTGCTCCGGTACTTCTATCCAGCATCACCCAGATCCAGCATGCAGAGCCCACGTGATCACAACAACAGTGAGTACTAAAGTACTAACAAAGTAACAAGCAGTAGGAGTGATGTCGGACGTGTCAATATTTTGTTTAAGTCCAAAAAAGATGTTGTAGCTGAGTGCAAAATGTTGTGCCAAGTTTGTGCTTACATCAGATCAATATTGGTCTTGGCCAATACTGAAGGCTAAAATATTTTTGTTATATCAGAAGTAAAAAAGTTGTATCAGGACACTCCCAGTTTTAAGTTGCTCGTATTAAGTCATTAATTTTGTTTATTTCTTGAGGAAAAAAAGAAAAAGTTGTCTATAATAACAGATAAAAACCCATAAAAGTCTCATGTCTGCTCCGGTTTCATCGTTTGTTGTACTTCTTGTGTCAAAGTCGCCACATTTTCAGACTGAAGTCATTACATGCGGAGTGGATGTCCTTAAGTACAAGTTTTAAAGAAATCTGCAAGACAAAAAGAAGTCTGGATCTGTTGTTCTTTATTTTTGTTTAGCTCTGTTCAAGTATATCACTGAAACAGAAGTCATGTTGTAACCTGTTAGTAGAACACACTGCTTCTGCTCTGGCTTTTGTGAAGTTTGACTATTGTTTGTTTGGAATTGTGTCCGTGAAGGCCTTTCAGTAAAGAAGAAATACGATACCCAACACTGCAGGTCCTTAACCTCCGGGCTGGTCTGCTGCCTGTGTGTGGTAAATCTCTCTCATTCTACATGTCTTTTGTTTTCTTTTTTTTTACAGCACTCCCTCTGCCTCTCTCTCTCTCTCCCTCTGTCCTCTTCTTTTTCTCTCCATCATCCTCTCTGTTGTCTGTGAGCGTGTTAACACTCCAGCCCTGTCACCGAGCCTCATGGCACCATGGAAACCAGTCCCACCATTCTCTCCCAGTGTGTGTGTGTGTGTCAGGGTCTGAGTGTGTTTGTGTGTTGCTGGGCGGGATCAGGGTCTTGTTTAGTTTAAAAAAAAAAAGCTGAGGAGAGGTCGTGGCCATCCCTGTGGGCCTCTTGCTGTAATTCATGTAAATTCCCTTAAGACCCCGGTGGCTTTGTTTTTCCTCATTGTCCCCTCTGAGCTGGTCGTATCTTCACTTTGAGAATAAGTTTTTTTTCTTAAATGATTCCTTTGCTCAGCTCCTTTGATAGTTAATCAGATACCTTTAGTTAGTTATCATGATAGTCTTGCTATTTGATACTTTGACACCAGACTCTGCACTTTTATTATGAAGTTACGGGTTCAGCCAGAGTTAACAAGGATGAAATTTAAACAGACGTGAACGAGGACAAACAGAGTGTTTGCCAAAGGACATTGTTTTTCCTCAGGGTCATTCTCAAGGTCATCAAATTTAAACAATTATTGATCCGCATGTCTTTGGACGAGTTTCATTGGAGAACTTAAACAAACAAGCGGTCAAAGATTGCACATAGGAATGCATCTGCAGCGAACATAAGAGGAGTAAACCGTCCTTACTTGTCCTTTCATTCTTCCTCTGAAGTGCCTCCCCACCCTGCCTCGATAGCCTTGTGAACCCAGCCCCTTATTCTCCCCGCGAGCCAATCATATTTCACTCCCATTCAGATTTCTGAATAGGAAAGTCCTCGCCCAGAACACCCACTGATTGACAAATGCATGCACACACAGGCAGCACGCAGCTCTAGTCAGGAGGGCCCGGTCTAGACCGCAGCGTGAACTCTGTTCTGCTAAAAAGTTGCCATTGAAATATGCGGTTGCCATTGAAATATTGTTTTTCCATTGGTGTGCTGACAAAGAGCGAGGAGGGCGCCGGTCCTGTCTCAGTGTGAGTCTGAAGGAGCAATGGGCTGGCGGGGATCGCCCAGTGTCTCTGCTCAACAGAGCCAGTGTGCAGAAATAATGCCCATTAGACTTGGTCAATCACGCCCCTTGCTCAATGAAATATGGCCCTTTCACTCATTTCATACCATAATCTATACACCTCCATGCTATCCATCATCTCTCCTAAAAGATGTCTGCCACCAAGAATGCTTTTATTTATGAAACTTTTTTTTAAACTAATAGCTTCTCATGCAGTGATGTGAGATGCTGAGAAAGCTGCTTTAAGGGGTGAGTTATGTTTACACAGGGGATGGCTGAAGCTGTTCATTAGAAAATTAAAGTGGAATTCAGAGTCAGAGGTTTCATGTCTGCTGACCGCCAACGAAGCTGTGACACTCCTTGGACTGATGGTTTCATCATGGTGAGTGGGTGGAAATTCTATGCCAGCAGTAACATGCAATAATATAAGAGTCATGAGGCTATTGAACCTGCTGGTGCAGACAGGATTCATGTGCCTCAGTGGCTATCCGTCAACGTGCAAAGAAAACTGATGAAGTAAAATCAAGTTATCAGTGGGAGGAAAATACTCTGATTTTTCACTGAATGGGGCACTTTTTAGTGAGCAATGTATACTGATGTTTTATGTTTTAAACTTGCAGATTAGATTTTATCTTTAACAGCTTCTATCCAGAACTGTTGCATTCCATATAAGCTTGCTTGCACTCTTCTACCCCGTCTTTACTGGTATTTTACAAGAAGAAAAAAATTATTCCCACCTGTAGGGCTGGGCGATACGGCCTCAAATCAATATCACGGTATATTGCTCACCCCCTTCCACATTAACTTCATCTGCTTCAGCCGCTCCAACTTTTGAACCGTCCTCCATCTCCTCACCTGTCTTTCCCTCCTTGTTTTGGACTGGATGGGGTGGAGTCACGTCTCTGATGTAGGACAGCGTCTTAAAGGAACATGAGACCATAACTTATTTACACACATCCAAAACCAACCTTTATTTATTTTTTTTTTTTTGAGACAGAATATACTGACATGGGCAAAATGACGTTGGTTATTGTTATAACTTGCGGTATCAGTAAAATTTCGGTTTATCGCCCAGCCCTACCCACCTGCTTTATCCAGGTATGTTAGTTCAGCTGTTGAAAAGTTTGATATAGAGTGATTGTAGTCATACTAATCTGTTAATATGTTTTTTTTTAATTCTAGTTTTTAGTGGGACTAAGGCAATATATCAATTTTTTGGAAACATGTGAACTCACTTTAAAAGAACCTTTACCAGGATGCAAAATGAGCTATTTTGAGTATAGATTGTGCGTTTAAACTGTGTGTCCTGTTGCTGTGCATACATGCATGTGCATCTATGTGTACCAAACAAAACAGAAACACACACACTTTTGTAGCAATGCAACACTTCAACAATCTCCATTTCAAGTTATGCATATATAAACCCTTATCCAGTGGCTGATCACTGCTGCAGAGATTACATTAATGTATACCTAAGTTTGGTACTTCAGAGGTGTATTTAGTTACAGTACTCGAATGAATGTACTTGGTTACATTTCAGCATTGCAGTCTACATGTTTTTTTGCACATCGGGGTCTAAATCATTGTTTAGCTTAGTGGATTTTATGCTTTGAGGCTGATTATGTTACATTTTGTGGGCTTTTGTAGTGGGAGCAGTATTATTTAGGGCCGGGCTCACAGAATAGAGACACTTTCAAAGGGAGAGCTCCCACCATTGTTGCCCTCTGCAACCATAGCTAACGGATGTCAAAAGACCTCTCTCACGTCTATTCTTTTAAAATGGGTTGCAATAATACCAGAGAGGAGTCGGCAATAAATAAGCCTCCCTTTACTGAGTCAACTAGATTAGATTGCATGGGGGACATCTGTGGAGTGTAGGTGAACACTTTCTCTGTATGGGAAAGGAAGTCCTTAGGATGTGCCTTCAGGCTTCTTCCTTTCATTTGAGAAGCTCTGCTGCTTTTACTACACCTCCACCCTCTATTGAGAGTGTAGATGCTGAATTGACTGGAGCACAATCGGGGCTGCTGACAGTTTTTTTTTTTTACTGTACACTGGAAGCCATTAAAAGAAACATGCAATTATAATGTCAATTTTTGTCTTTCATTCTCTGCCAAAATTCGTATCCCAGGATGTCGGGATCTGTCATCTCTTCATCCTGCTGACAAGTTTGATCCAAAACAAATAACCTTTCTGAATTATTTATTGCTCTTGTCCAAACATGTGTAAAGAAAAAAACTCACCCGGTAACTTTGTAGATTGGGTTCAGCTGTTCAGATGATACCAGGAAATGTTTAACCCCTATTGTACAAAGACAAAAGGTTGTTTTAATCCCACTGTGAGAGGAGGGAGGAGGAGAGGGGCTGGGGGGAGGGGGAGGAGGGGGTTGTGGGTGTGTTGGTTGGAGGGGTGTTGGGTGATTTTGTGCAAGGGAATTGGCTCCTCTCTCTTTGCTGTCAGTCAGTTTCAGCAGACACATCGAGGAATACGCAGCGAAACGGGATTATGAGGAGTGAACTTTGCTCTCACACGGCGGACACACACACACTGAGAGGACTTACTCACACTGACACATACAGAGGTAAAGGTGATGTATTCACTCTTTTGTTAGTGAGAATTTAGGACATATAACCGCAGATTAATGCTTTGGAGGGAGAGGATAGCATGTGATGTTCTTGGTGATCTGCAGGTGGAAGTTCAGGTCGACTGGATTTGATATTTATATACGATCAAGTTATTTTTAAGTAGGAAAACATCTCATGTTAAGGTAAAATTATAATTTCTTTTCTTTGAACATAATAATATACTTTTAAATGATTGACTTTTTAAGGGTGGTTGTTGTTTTGTACTCGGATATCCTAGCAATGAGAGATTTTCATCATTTTTCATCTTTTATGATGGGCTCAATGAGGAGCTGAAACGTTTACTCGCTTTGACAGAGAATTAAGCAAACAACTTTTTTAATCATTAATTAAAGATTTCGAGGTTTGTTTTTATAAGCAGAAGTGTCAAGATTTATCCACTCTAACTTTACAATTTGTGAACACTGGCTGCTTTTCATCCTTTTATGTTGGTGTAATTGAACGTCTCAGGGCTGTGCAGAGTTTGTGAGACACATGAAAGTGTTTCCTTGAACATTTTTAAACAGTTTTTAAAAGGCTACTAACAAATTAAACTGATTAACAAATTATCTGTGCGTACTCAAACAAGGACGACAATTTCAGACATTTGATCTCATAGATAAACCTAATTGGTGTCTTCTTGGCCCGAGATGACAGATGAGGATATTTCTTACAGTGTGGTAAAATAACCTCAGCACACATTTTGTGCAGTGTGACCTTCATAATGACTCTCTTCCTCCAGTAATCAGCTTTATAACAAACATTTTCATGGAGACTTCCCTGCTCTTGCATATCAACACACCATCCCTATCCTGCTGAATCTCAGCGTACCTTTCGCGTAAGTGTGTGAGAGTGGCTCTGTGTGGCTGCGAGCCGTGTCCCCTAATGTAAATTCATGGTTGGGGAAGAGCGTGTTCCGGCTCTAATTATTTCTCCCCTCTTTGGCGGTAATGATGCTTCATCGGGAGAGCCGTATCGTCTGCCGCCACACTCTGCCTCTCATTAGGAAAGAGTCTAAAATTAAACCCACAGGCCACTACGCTGGAGCTGAGCTGCCTTCCCTTGTCTGAGGACACACACACGCACGCACACAATCATATCCACACTCACACATACACACATCAAAACAACACAGCCTCGAGGAGAAAAGCAACAGACCCTCATTAGAGGATGGTGTGACAGTTTGGTACCTGGCATTATCTGCTATGAGCCTCATGCAGAGTGAGGACATCTCACTTTACTGTACCCACATTCAGCTGTGCCATAATTGATATAATGAAACTAATGACTCTATATTCTTATCGCTATATAGGAGCTTTAAATGTCCAATTATAACCTGGCTCTACATGCAGCATTGACATGTGCAGTGAAAAGAAAAGAACAGCATGAATTCATCTATTTAAAATAAATTCTTTCCTTATCTGTTTATACATCTGAATATAAAATGATACAAATGCATTTTGCATCCAAGGTAACTCATTTGTTGCTGCAGTTTTTGGTGTAACAAGCTCAAACAACAACAGCGATGTATTGTTGTCTTTTGATGTTTTAATAGATAACATGCTAGCAAATGGTCATTTATTTTGACACCCTGCAGACTAGCGTACTGGTAGAGTTGATGTGAAGTACTGTGTACTTCCTGTCCATAACTGTATGTCCGGTGTGTTACTGATGTTGAAATCTATCTAGTGCTCAGATTAATGTCTTATCAGTTAATAAATGTCCCGCTATGCTCGCCAGCTAGTTGGCATCTCTCTGTCTGACATTTGATGCTAGGTAAGAAATACAGTATTACTTGGGGGTAAAAAGCAAAAACAATAAGATTAAAAACACTAATTGGAATAGACTTTGATATAGGATGTCACATGTATGTTTTATAAATCACAATTAATTACAGAATTGCAACAGTTCCATGAAATTAATGACATTTTAAGTTTTTTTTTTTAATTCCTCAATTTTTGCATTTCCAAACAGTTTTTAAGTCAATAAAAGAGCGTTTAAGTGTTTCATAGGTTTCACTATAGGTCCGTATTGGTTCCCCCACTCCAGAATAGTACTATGCCAACCTCTGTGTTGGTGCCAGTCTGATTAACTGCAACTGTATCCCTAGGTTTAAGGTGGTAATTCCAACTTCCAGTGCTTTAGTGAGATTTTTACTCATTTTGACACAAAGTGCATATTATTTTTGACATGTTACCCAAGCCAGCTGAGAAAAAGCTATGAAATCGACAGTTTAAAAGCACAGTGGTTTCATTACTTTATAATCAAGGCAGCTGCAAGAAGCAGGAAGATGCTGCAGAAGCTTTACTACGATGTGCCGAAGGGACAAATTAGAACAGGATTTGAACTGTAGTGTGATTAAGACATTGTTGGTTCACACAGTCATTTGATCAGTTTATAATATATTGAAAAAGGCAGCTTTAAGTCACGGTTGTATTTCAACATATGTATCCTCTGTCTATAAACTTATGGTACCTTTTTATAGTATAATTTTTAACTCTTTCAGATTCTGTATGTTCATTATTAACAACCATGTATCCACCTATGTGAAGGAATGTGTCTCAAAACAAGCAGCTAAACTTGAAGCTAAGGCAACTTTTCCGAAGTTTAAGGGTCTTTCTCCTTACAGTCTCTGTAAAAGTTGTCCTTTTCCACATTGGGATCTGTGGGTATTTCATTTTGAGCAGTATACAAACATACAGACTTTGCCATTGCTGCTCTGGTTGTTTATAAAATAGCCCAGCAGTGTTCAGTTGTTTTCTGGTCCTGAATAAATCTTTAGATAAGGTTCCTGCCTGTGCCTCCTGGTGCTGATATTGACCATCAGACGAAAACATCCCACTATCAACCTTTCTCATCGACATAAGTTGTGTTAGTTTATATTCCTTGGAGACTGAGCTGTCTTTTTGTTAGTCAGGCACCAGAACACTCCCGGAGGTTTTGAGGGCACCACGTGTCTCTCACTCAGAGGTGTTTTGTAGTCCTTCTCCATGCCCACCGTCAGCATCTCATCCATTTATTTCCAGTCTTGGTTCTCTGTCCCTCTTCTTATCACCATGGCAGCAGAGCTGGACTGAGCCCGGCTTGACTCTGTGGGGTCTGAGGTGCAGAGGTGGGGTGGCGGGATGTCTGGCTCGATGTCACGGGGGGGGAGGCTGCTTTTGATGGGATCAGCCTTCAACTCGTTCAAACAGGATGTGGAAAGGTCATTTTGCTGCTGTGTTTTATTCATGGATCGCAGCTGTAGTCAGCTGTTTCTCTGCTATAGAAACACACAGTTACACATAATTATGAGCCTGATCCTGCAAGACTGAAGCGCTGCCTTGACATATTGATGCAAGGTCGGTAATGGGGTTAGCAGTGATACAACCTGATGCTGTAAATGCAACATGCATGTCAGTGATTCTGTAAATCTGGATCTAGATCTGCGTTTCAAGGCCAGATTTGTTGGTACAAAAATCAAAGTTAATGAAGCTAGCGGGAGACTGAAATGAAAAAATACTTTGAAAGACGAATAATGACAAGCATAGTGTGAAGACGCCGCAAAATTGAGTTTTACACAGTGTAAAAAAACCCCGAAGAACCCACAGCTGTTATTCCTGTGACGGTGATTATAACATAAAACCATAGTTAACATTCATAGCCGTGCAGAAAAGCAGTGTGTGTATCTAACCGGGTGGAAACAGCGGCCGCTCTCAACGAGGCCTCCACATTCTTATTTGGAGCAGCAGACTGAAGTCGATAAGCCTTTGCTAGAAGTAAATTGGATTGGCTGCTTCAATCATTTTGCCCATCGATTCCGGCAGGTGAGACCCTGTTCAGTGTGACTGTGTTTGAGGATCAGAACTAAAATTGAGGCGGCAAGAAGGTGGAAAAGAGAAAAGACGTAATGTAAGAAGATTATTAGAGTGGAGGGGGAAAAAGAGACAGGGTGGGTCTAGACAGGAGGACATCAGAGTCTTTCCAGACCTGTGACCCCATTCTCACTGTGAGGATTTATCACTTCATGATATGTCAAGTGAGAAAATGACATGTCTTCACTAACATGTATTTCTACTTCGATTTGAAGAACATGGCTTGCAGAAAGCTGTGTCTGTTTTTATTGGAAATATGTCAGCACATGTATTTATCGTCTCATGGATGTTTGGAGGCTTCTGACCTCAAGGCAAAAACTCTTGGACAGGCGAAAAGGGAAAAGAGACATAGCTTGATGGAAAGGAGAAGAGATGATATGGACACGGGGAGAGGAAATAACAGCAGAGTTACACAGACTTTTGTTGCAACTCAGCAAGGTGAGGAGAAATGGATTTAAAATGGATGAATTCACCCAAACACAGTCAGTTTTACTAATTCCTTTGTAGGCAAACACAATATCAATTTTAGAAATCCCCCAAGGCTGTTTGCATGTTATGTAACTCAACACTGTGTCCTTTTCTGACTGAACTCTGAGATAGAAGAAGAGAGATAAGTAGAGACGGGAGAGGAGGGATTTGGCAGAGGGAAGGAAAGCAGAGGATGGCTGAAAGGGCAGAAAAAAGAAGAGAGGGATAAAGGAAAAGGACAGGGAAGGTTAGGATGAGGTATCTTTGACTTTTTTTTTATTGCCCTCAGGCCTTTACTAAGATACCAAACTCTCAGGGTCACACACAACCTGCTAAAAGAGATAGTCTTTTGTCTTTTTTTTGAACATGGGCAATAGATGAATTGTGAGTTCTTTCCAGGAGGACAAACAAGACGTACACCTAAACTCTGTGAGATGCTACAATATTAGTATAAGTATCTACCTACAGCACAGTCTGGTACTGCAGTATCAGGTATCAAATCAATTGATCTGCCTCCTAAAAATCAACTATTTTGTATTCAACTTCGCATGTATTGATAACATGAGACAGCAGTGTGGTGCTGCAGTGAGTGCAGTGTTGATCAAGGTTAAAAAAATGTTTCTACTTTCCATGTTTGGGACAAGCTAACAGTTAGCAGATGCTGCACAATGTAGTCTCTTATAATTAGAAAAAAAAACTGTGATTGAGAGAGAAAACAGCTGAAGAAACCGCATCTGTTATTGTTTTTTTTTTTTTATGTACATCAGAGACCATCCCTGTTCACGATTTCCTGTCATTTGAAAAGAAATTAAAATTCCAACCAACCAACAAAACTGAGCAAAACTTACTCAACATGTCTTGAAGAGTTATTACCTCATCTTGGGGTAAACTAATTAAATTGGTTGTTTTTTACACTGAATACTGTCAAACCGTGACAAGCGGTTTCTGTCATCTGTTCTTGTTCACACCCGAATAGAAGAGCTTTATAGCATTAAAGCAAGAGTCATTAACCAGAGCTCCAGTCTGGGCAGATGTGCTTTGGTTTAGATGTAACATATGACCATGAATTTGCTTTGACTGTTTAGCTGACTCATTCTGGTGCCATGTGGCGATAGTGACAGTTTTAAAACATTTCCCTAGTTTACATTTTTTGTAACTGTGCAGAATGATCAAAACTAGTAATTTTAGGTGGAAATAAAGGTAATCCGAGTGTTTTTACCCTCTGTGACGTGTATTACTTTTACTTTCTCTGTCTCATAATGGCAGAGAGCAAACTAATCAAGTTAGAACAATCCATGATGAGGAGTCTGGCACATTTTGCCTCCGCCTGTTGACACTGTGAACTTTAGTTCCTTTTTTGTTTAACATCAAAACAGGACCTGGAAGGATGCATAGTCCATACCCAGGTTTGTGTAATGCTAAACAGGTGTAGAAGTTCCTTGTTTAAGATCTTCCCCTGGAGCACAAGGTGCCATCTTAGGGACTTTAGTCTATTATTAAAATGTCTCAGGAGTTACTCAAGTCAACCACCATGAATGGTTAAAAATCATCCTCAGTCAGGACCCCTACACTTTGAGTCAGGGTCCCCCTCACCTGCAGGGGTTCTGATTTCTGTAACACCCCGTCACTTCACTTGATCCCTAACTCATTACTCTTGGATTAGTCGGACACACAACATTAGGTCTAGATATCAGAGAGAGTGCAGAAATGGACCATCTTTAAGAACAGTGGTTTAATAAAGTGTTTATAATTTAAATTATTATTGATTTCATGTGTGGCCCTGACCCTTGTAGATCCAGAAGTACAAGTGGGTTTTTTCTGTGGTGGGTCACAGAATAGGGTTTCTGCATCAGGAGTGAGAGCTAAATAAAGACAATTTGAAACAGAGGAGCAGATGAGTGAAAAAGGGACAAGACAACAGTAGATGTGAGGGAAAAGAGGCGAGGAGAGAGAGAAGAACCGAGGAGTACACAAAACAAGATCAGGAGACTGAGACAAAACAAGCAGAGAGACTCTGGGAGGAGATGTGACTCTCCTCCAGCTCACAGCCACAGGCTTTTGTGTCTATCACTTTGGATTACACACTCCAACTTCTCCAAATCCATGTTCACACTTTAGTTTACACAGCTCTGTTGTTTTCCGCTGCAGCTCGTCACAGTGGTTTGTTTTTCACAGTGTTTTAAGAGCGTTTCCGAAGAGTCAACACGCTCAGGGGTGATTATGCATTAACAGAAATATCTTCTGTCGGAGGAGATAATGTTTGATGAGACCAGGAGATTTCCTGGTGTGTAATCTGGGGCATGACGGTGACAGAGCAAGAAGCAAGAGTCTTTCAATATGAACAGGATTTTAGCAGATTTTGAGATCCAAACATGGAGGAGAAGGCCTTTGGTGATCTCAGATATGTAGGGGGAGATGCAAAATCTCCCTCGAAAATCTTCGGACGAGATTTATTTCTTCTCTGGTTGGTTGTTGAGTGTCAATCATGTCCTCAAAAGGGGAGCAGAGGAGTCTAGACTAAATGTTAAACCTGTTGTTCCTTTTCTTTCCAACAAGATTGAAGACAACCCCAGAGGGAGAAGAAGAAGAAGAAGCAGACTGCTAACCAGGGAGGAGGAGGCGAGAGGGAGACTTGGATTCGTTGGTAAGTTGGAACCCTTTCTGTCAAACTCTGATCCATTTTTCCCAACAACATCATTTTCCAAAACAGTGTGAACTTCCGACTTCCCAGAATCAAACGCTCTTGTTCTTCTCAGAGGCATTTCCCCTCCCTAAGGATGCGAACACACACACAAATGTCAGCCTGTTTGCAATTCCTGGCGAGTGTCTCCAGCCCAAATATCTTCATCTATGATACTGTGTCAATAATAACACTCTCTGTGGAGCTGCTGAGTCCCTTAACAACTACCCGGCCTTTCCACCGTTTTGACTCGCCCCCTTCTTTTTTGTCTCTGTTGAGAGGCCTGCTCCTTTATCCTCGCTGTAAGGCAAAGGTCACCGCTTGCTTGATTGGCATCCATCCACTGGCAAAGTGTCGGCGGCCATTTTGGCAGCAAGGTTTGGCAGGGGATGCAAAAAAACAACACTGTTTTTCTAGCATCCAACTGTCTTTTTGATGCATATGGCTGTCAAGGTAACACTGTCTCTCAGTGGGCGTCAATACTCCAAAATCACAAAATAGCACTTAGAGCCTGAGTTGAGCCTGCTCCTCTCTATCGACTCATGATGGAGCAATTTAGAGGGAGAAAATTTACTAATGGTAGCTGCACAATTAGGAGCTAAAGTACCTCCCTTTAGCACAAGGTCTCAGCGTGCATTAAAGCCAGGAGGATTACCTCTCAGGGGTTTATTTTTTTGAAGTGAACCTCAGTAACCTTTGGCTCGTTCTCTCATGCTGTGGTGCTGAGAGTGAGTCTGTGATTCAGCAGGGAGTTGATCTAATGCTCTGTGAGAGGAGGTGACATGGTGTGATGTGTGTCCACCGCTCAGCTGAGTGTGAAGGGGAAGGAGCTCACCTCGCCACTCGTAGCCAAGCTGAGCCGGGCGGAGGGGCGTAAATGAGGCTTCACGCACAGCCGAGTGAAGAGTTAAGGGACTCTGATGGCTCTGAGCTCATCCGCCTCCGCTGTGGGTGCTACGCTTGTTTTATTTTGGGACGACAGGGGGGTTTCTCGCTCTCATCGGTTCCTTCTTGATGTGCCTATTTCTATCTTTTATTTGTCTCTGAATCTCTTTTCTCTCTCTCCTCACTGTATCACCGCCTCGCTGTGGACGTCAGCTGTTGTTGTGAGGGTGTGCTGCAGGCCAGAGAGGCTGAATCCACAGTTTTCCATGCCTCACTCACAGAGGGCCACACTCAGGAGCTGTGGACTGTATCTAGGGTTCAAACACAGCCAGGCGTGAAGCTGGGCTTTGTGAGCAGCTGCATTCAGGTCCCTGGCTCTTCAATAGAAGGCTGCAGAGGTTTCTGTTTACCTCCACAGTGTTGTCTCTCACAGGTTTCTCTCTCACGTGACTGTGCTGTTATTGTTTGTGTTTGTATGTTTTAATGGCGCAGGCTGGGAAATAGTCCCTGCTGTACATGAGTGTAGATTGACTGTAAATCTGTGAGACAGAGTTACATAATCCGCTATATTCTTGTACGGTGCAGTCAGACAGTATCTGTAATTGATGTATTTTATTTGACTCTGCTTCTACGCAGCAGGTTTGAAATGAAAACACGACTAGTAAGCTTGAAATGTTGACCCTGACTTTTAAATGCATTTGATTGTCGGCCCCCCTGGGTTTTACATCCTGTGATTAGTTGAAAAGCAAAAACACTTGACCCTCTTCAGAGCTCGTACTTTTGCAGAATTCTGCAGGACTGAAATCGTGACAAAAGGAGTTTCACGACCAATCTGTGATTGTCCAGATCAGCAACCTGACCTCTTTCCAGCTCATCATGTGTTTCGCTCTCTGAAGAGCAGACTGTAGGCAGAAAGTCCCTGAAACAAGCAAGAAGTGCAGATGGCTGCAGTACAAGCCTGGCAGGGAAACACCAGCAAGATGCCAACAGTCTACTGAAGTCTATTGGTCGTAAAATCAGGACAGACATTTACAAAAAAGGACTGGCTTCCAAATATTAAATATGATGAGAGAGTTTTAAGAAAAAACAGAGCTAGCAGCCAAAAGGTGAAATTGTAGATGGTTTGTTTTTCAAGTATTTCCTTCTCACCTGTTTTCCAAGATCTCTTTCCCTGAAACTTCTTTCTGCTTGTGACTCATGAGACAGATTTGGAAACACACCAACATTGCTAATGAGAAATTTATTATCAGTTGGTTATTCATGCAGTTATTTTACTAAATGTCATATTTATTTAGCTTTTTTATATAATTGAATTGTTCAGGGAGTGCTCATATTCATTATTCTCTTTTATGGCTTTTCCCTGTGTAGACATTTTTCTTGATGTCATTTGTTAACTAGTCAGTAAAATGTTATGATTTGTGAATTTTTCCATTAAATTTGGATTAGATCAGATGCAACAAACTCAATCGTCCCAGAGAGCAAATTTGTCATGGGCGAAATGGCAAAGGAAAGATGAAGCTTTAGTGCAACTTGATGTGTTGTAACACAAAACTGGCAACCACACAAACCCATCAAGAGGAGCATATGAATATGAAACAGAAATGATAATTTTCCTGATCGTGTTTGGATTTGGAGTGCATATTTGAATATGATTTTAACTCCTGCACAGTAATTTATAGATGCATCAGTAAAAACACTTCAAATAAACTGAGAGCCAGCCTTTTTAATCTGCATCAAAGTTGTATTAAATTGTCAGATTATAGTGCAGAATAGACTATTTTGACTGAGTAGTAGATTTAAAGCAACTGATTAGGGCTGAGCGATATGGCCTTAAAATCAATATCACGTTATATTGAGGAGTTCAAGTCGATAACGATAAATGGACAATAACTTCTCCCGAAGCTTCTAACCCTCTCCCACATTAACTTTGTCTACTTCAGCCGCCGCTCCAGCCGCTACAACTTTTAAACCATCCTCCATCTCCTCACCTGTCTCTCCCTCTTACTCCACCCTGGATGGGGTGGAGTCACGTCTCAGATGAAGGACAGCGTCTTAAAGGGACATGAGACCAGAGCCTACCTACACACATCCAAAACCAACTTCTATTTACTTATTTATTTATTTATTTGACACCAAATATATTGACATGGGCAAAATAATGTCGGTTATTGTCGTAAATTTCTGTATCAGTAAATTTTTGGTTTATCACCCGGCCCTACTACTGATTTCCAGTTTACAAACTGAACTGTCTGGAACAGACCCTCTCAAATAACCTCTTTTCTATAAATATGTGTGAATAACGTGAGAGTCTACTTAAAGTAAAGCAGCAGCTCTCTCATACATGGTTTGAACTGAAGGCAGTGACATTACACAGCAGCAGTTCTGAGCTCAGACGAGCTGCAGATGAGTGGAGGGATACATCCAAACGCAGAGGGCCCCTGGGCTGCTCCCAGCACCCACTGTTTTAGATGAACATGTCGAGGTATTTGGAAGGTGTCGCTTTGATTCCAGCCTGACAATCCTCTGACGACTCTTTGCGTCAACACTGCTGTCTGCACATGTTACATTTAAGAGGGGCTATGTGCGAGAAAGAGGCCCTGTGTGGACGTGATGAAGTGGATTGTGAGTGTGTTTTTCAGTCTCACTGTGGTTGTATAAGAAGAAGAGACAGGGGGTGCATAGAGACGAAGCTAAAGTGTCAGAAGGAAGGACATGAATAAACAAACAGATGAATAGATGGATGCAAAGACAGAGAGAGAATGGGGGGGGCAGTGTGAGAGAGAGAGAGTCTGAGTGATGTGAGAGAGGTTGGTAAGGCTCGCCCTGAGGGGCTCCCGCTCTCCTTCTCCATCCCTCAGGCCTGTGGAGAAAGTCGGCTTCATGCACAAATGACTCACAAACTGTTCAGCAGACAGCCCGGAGAGTCTGAGCAGACTCTGTTCTATATCTGGCTCTCTGCATCTCCATTTATTTTGCTTTCGCAGTTCCTTTCACCTTCCCTCACCTGTGAAACCTTCCTCTAGGCCCTGTTCTTCCTTCACTACTCATCCTCTGTGTACAATTATCTGGCCCAGCACTAAAGATGATCTCTATTCACAGCACTCTATACATGTTTATTTAAACCTTGTTTGTCGGTCTATTGAGACCTATTGTGATAAGTTAGTTTATGTAGATTTAAGAAATGCAGACAATTCATCTCTATATTTCTACACTTCCAATTTATCATTGACAAAATAATATACTATCCATCTTCCCAAGAATAAGATGATACGAGTGATAGAAGGTGCCTTTGCTTAGCTTTGGCTTTTTGCTAACAGCTAAAGCTAACAGTCTGTTAGCCTAGCTCAAAACTAGCCTGGCTCTATTCTGCTTTAACACAACTTGTTATATTCAAGTTTGGCTTTAAAGGAAAGTTAATGAAGATTTAAATAGGATAACTTAAGACTAGGAGGCAGTCGTGAAAAGTTAGTCTGCCTCTTTCTCGTTGTTAGCTAACACTCACTAGCTAACATGTTCAGATGTTTTTAAAAACAAATGTAGGCAACTTAACTAAACGATTTGGTGCTACAGCTTTTGCTGGACAGACCAAAGCTAGCTGTTTCCCTTTGCTTCGGTGTTATCGCAAAGCAAAATGGTCTCAAAGCACCAGGTCAGTTTTTAGCATCCAGGCATGTGTAGCAGTGTCAGTCTCCTGATCCATTTCATGTTTCTGAGGTGTTGCTGCTAGCTTAAAATTTATCAGGGAGCTGGATGTCTCACCTGAGCTGAATAAAATAGACACATACAGAGAGAAAAGTTAACTGGCCTTGAAGTACAGATATTTTTCAGAAAAGAAGTACCCATAGGTCGCTTGCCTCGAGTGTTTTTAGTCTTGACTTACTCTGGGAGATCAGAGTAGAAGAAAATAGCCAAGCTTGTTGTCTCCATTCAGTGCAAAACTGAGCTAGTCGTATGCCCTAAAGCCCATGTTTCCATTTTCTATAGCTTCACAGATTTTCAAAACCACATATCCCTATCTCAAAGTCCAGAGTAGTTGTCCTTGCATACAGGGGGACTCTTTTTTTTGTTGAACTCTTCCTTACATTGTAAATAAGTGCCCAAGGTCTGTTTAGAGAATCAACGTGGCTTTGTGACAGAGAAGATTTTCCTCCCAGCGTCAGAAGCTGGTAGGATCCGTCTGTGGCGAAGGTCCTTCAACAAACCAAATGATTTATGTGGCTGTTAGGCAAAGGTCCTGGTCCAAGGCCAAGTCTATCTGCTCATCAATATAAACTGGCTGCTCTCCGGGTGTTGCGCTGGAATACAAATAGCTGAATTTAGATGTAACCCCTCGCTCACCTGCATCTAGGCCTGTTATAATGAGAAATCTCTCTCAGCACCTGCTGTGAAAGACGGAGAGAGTGAGGTAGATATGAAAAGAGAAAACACAATAAAATAGAGAACGCTATATTTAGACTTTTTGCCTGTTGATTTCTACCGCCTGGTAAATTGCATCAGTGTCTGATTACTGAACGATGCATGTATTTGATCACAGTTGGTGACTCAAAGGGATCTGAATCCAAAATGAACCCTGCTCGTCTGTAAACCAGGATTATGAGAGTGTCAGTCAAGTGAATAGAAACAGAATACCCAACCTTGATCATAAATGAAAGTACCGGAGAGTACACCTGCTAGAAAGCACACAAATAAACATCCATGTTTTGTATGTCAACAGAAATATTTATTCAGTCTTCATATGTTGACAGTAGAGGTTAAGGTTTCGTAGCAGAGACCCTGAGCTCTTATCTGATAGATGTGGTAATTCATTCAGCTATCATGTTTGACCTCAGAGACACAAATACACCATAACATCCCTGGTCTGCATCCCTGGAGGCCAGTCCTACATGCCTTGTCCAGCCATCATCCTTGACCTCATGCACATGTCTGTTGGTACAGACGCAGGTCCACACACACAATCCCCACTAAAACTTCACCAAACCATTATCCAACACTCAGCGGACTCAGCTACTCTCCTACATTAGCGCCCAGCCTCATCCTGTCAAACACAGACACGGGACAGAAGCTGTTGGCGGAAGCTGGGTTTTGACTGTTAGTGTTAAATGGGAGCAGAGTTTCCTGCAGATCCTTCACTTGACAGACGAGAGCTGATGGAGCAGTTCTTGTTGGGGTCGTTATTTCTGATGGGGCCAGGGGATCTGTGAAGATGGAGTGCTGTTTTTCTGAGCTGGGACTCCCTCTGGGTGAAGAACTCAAACTCTGCAGATGATAAATGTCTGGGGGGAAATCTGTGAGCAAAAGAAACTTTTTAGCTTTTTCACTGTTGGTTTCAGATGGTTTTACACCACACGCCTTTCTTTGTAAGGAGTTTTACAACACATAAGAATCATTAGTATCATTAATACTCAGTAGTTGACGTTTTAGCCATCATGACCCATGAGACAGATAGAAACATGCTCAGTCAGTCACCACCAGGGGCTTTTTTCACTGCATTCTTTAATCTTGAAAATTCTTTAATGTCACACAAAAACCAGTGCTTCAAATAAAATGAGGTGACCCAATTACTCACCAAAAAAGCGCACTACCATTTGCTTAAGGGAGATGTTATCTATCTCAAAGTTATTACATATTTTAGTGAAATATCACAAGTTTGTCTTCCTCAGACTTAATGAGATCAAATCCCATCACAAGTCTTTGAATTGGGGAAGATTTATAATGAAATTCACAATCAGCACTCCTTCAGATACAGTCAGAGGAGTTTGCTCAAGGCCAACTTTGATGAATTGTTCACTTCCCCTGAGTTGTTTGTTGTGTTTAGCATATGAAAACATGACTTGTGAAATAGAGTGGCCATAGCTGAAGCCAGTGTAATCAGAGCTCATTCAGACTTGGCTGAGAAAGAGTGTTTGGATCAGTGCAGCTGGCACGCACTTTTATTTTACTTTAGCAGTGTTTGTGCACGTGTGGGGGGTGTACTCTGGTGAATAATGTGTCTGATTTGGATCATATCCTTTATGATCTGTGTGAATCAAGAGATAGAAACATGTCAAATATCAAACCCAAGCCAATCCAAGTCCTTTTACCACTGTTTACATGGATAGAAAATCAATCATCTGTAATGTCATTAAAAACTGTAGATTAAATTCCTTTAGTGGTTTAATAAGCAAATGACCAATATTTTACATGCTAATATCCTATGTAAATATTACAGACCCACTTTTATGAGAAATTATGACTAAAACTGACTCAAGATTAAATCTACCACTTGATGACACAAACTATCATGAAAGACACCTCGTCACTTTGACAGCCACTGCTCTTGCTGGTATTGCAAGAGTGGTTCCATACATAATGCAGGAATTATTCTAAATATCCTGCAGGGAGTTTTAACCAGTTATGACAAAGTCTGAAATTGATGCAACTAAATAACCCACACTGGCAAAGAAAACTGCTTCTCCAAGCTGGAGCCTGTATAAGATTAACTGGGTCAAAGAGCAAAACTGTCCCGGTCTGATTCATCAAAATCTGACATTCTTTTTGGAGATACCCTTGCAAATTTGGGTATCTGCAGGTATTACAATAGCATGGCTCTGAAGTTAAAGAGTCCAGGTGCTATACTGGCCTACATGCAGTCCTAACATGTCAAAAATATGACAAAAGAGAGCTTGAACTGTGGATTAGCTAAGAGGTACACAAGGCAAGAATAGTACAGTATTTCACTAACAGGACTCTAGAAAGTAATCTGCTCCGTTCCCAAACTTTCTCTGTTGAAATAAGAGGTGATGCAACACAATAATGAATAAACCCCCGTCCCAACTATTTCGACAGTGTTGCTCTAAAGTTAAATAGTGCTCACATTTTCTCAAAATAATATCATTATATATTTTTTTTCAGTGTCAACATTTGATACGTGGAGTTTTTTCTGTTAAATATTGGGTTTAAATGATTTCCAAACCAATTATTTCTGTTTTTTAAACATTTTACACAGCCTTCCATTTTTCCGTTTGTGTAATTAGGGATGCAGGATGAGATTAAAAAACAGCACACAACCATCCTATTAAAATAAAAACTCTGACTTAACTGTATCAGAGTTTAATAAATAGGGACGTCTGATGGTTGTTGAATTAATTTCTTACTGCCGTTTTCACACATCAATATTGGTGAAACTGTTTCCCTCTGCTGTCCTGTAGTGTCTCTTCTTCAGAAATGTCTTTGTCTGACCTGTTGCACTGTCATGCAGGATCTTTAATAAGAATGAATTCCTCTTGCAGAACTTGTTTAGCATTTTGGAAGAGTAAACTCCTGATTGTGTCATTAAAAAAAGACCGCCATGATTTGATTTTCTCACACTTTGAAAAGGACTATTGTTTGTGTCCTCTATGTCTGAAATTGGATGGTGAGTCCTTTTAGAGAGCAGTGGAGGGGAAATGATTTGTATTCACCTGCCGTATCTGAATGGAGCTGAGGAGGGGCCGAGAAAGAGAGCGAGAAAGTGGGGGGGGATACTACATAGTGCCTCCTTTATGTGATAATGGATTGCTCTGACATTCACACACATTGTGCTGTGGTGTGTCTATCAGTCAATACTGCCAAACTCGTGAAACGAATGGCAAATTTAAACAGAGGCCATTAGAGATCTGTCATGCGCTGACACATCAGGTGACACAATCAAGCCAAAATGGAGAAATGCAGCACTTACACATGTAACATATGTGTTTTTCCTACATCCAATCCAGAAAATGAATACTTTTTCTATCTTTTTTTTATGTAACTGCACTCTCTTTTATTGGTCCGGCTGGGCAACTGGATTCTTCTGTCAGCGGCACAAAGGAGACAAAGTGGAACCGAGGACGGGCAGTAATGAGCAACTCCTCTTACAGTGTTACATATAGAGCAACTGCGGTGCGGGGACGCCTTCAGGAGACAATGGAGGGTTTTGAGAGGTCTGGAGCCCTCTGAAGCCCCTCTTTGATTGAGTTTCCTGGCACTGGGATCCAGTGTTGGGGCTGATTGTGGAGTGGGAGCAGTGGGTTTTTCGAGGAGGGGGGTTAGGACCCTCCTCTGCGCTGACCTTTCACAGACACAGGTGGGGTGGAGTGGAAGGGGCGAGAGGAGGACGAGGAGGAGGAGGAGGAGGGGAGCGGTAGGAGAGGTCTATTGTGATGCTCCGTGAATGCAGAGGTGGCACTCAATAACACTAGACCTTGCTGCCTCAGTCCACCTGCCTCGGATTTTCTCACCGTTACTCTAACACTGGCAAATAATGTGCTGAATAGAGTCAGTTATCTGATGTTTGCTGTTGATTAAATTGGACAGTAGCAAGCATAACAAGTTCTCAGCTTGCAATATTTATAAATTTGTGCAATAAACAACTCAAAATTGGGAAAAAAGTAACCCTTGAACTTGTTATTGTTGTTGAAATCATTTTGGAAAAAGGAGAGAAATTATGTGTATTAAAGTCATGCACTAGACAGAAACAGTGGAGCCAATATGCATTCTTAAGTGCAAGTCATAATAGGGCTGGGCAATATGGCCTTAAATCAATATCACATTATATTGAGGAGTTCAAGTCGATAACGATAAATGGACAATAACTACTCCACAAGCTGCTCACCACCTCCCACATTAACTTCGTCTACTTCAGCCGCCACTCCAGCCGCTACAACTTTTAAACCGTCCTCCATCTCCTTACATGTCTTTCCCTCTTTGTTACGGACTGGATGGGGTGGAGTCACGTCACATCTTTGACATAGCCTACCTACACACATCCAAAACCAACTTTTATTGGTGTTATTCATAAGGTGACACACTTCTTTTACACACCAAAATTGTGCTTCAACATGTAGTAGTGCAATGATGAGTACTTCAGAGCTTCAGAAACGGTCTGCAAAGTAGCTATTTTCAATTCTCTTGAAGCACAGGTGATGCAAATATGAGCAAAACAACACTCCTTTATCACTGCCTATTTAATTGTGCGTTAATTAATCCTCCAGGCGTCCACAGGCTAATGGTATACTTGGAGCCTTGCTACACAATGCCTCACTGGTGTTATTCCTCAGTATGGCCCTGTCCAAAACCTGAAGCCTCATCTCCTGTTTTAAAGAAGAGTTCCTCACTGATGCTATTCATATTAGCTCTACCCCAGACATCTGGACAGTGAGTGTGGGTCCTGTTGGTATGTTGAGCCTTACTGCTGAGTAGAATTAAAGCATTGGATTTTGTGTGAAATTCTGGTACTGGGAAGTTCTTTCTTCACAAAGAAAATACATAAAGTGTAAAAGTCATGCAGCCCTAGTGAGTTTGTCTTTTGAGTTAAAATACTTTCCTCCTCTTATTTCTGTAATTTATGCTCTTTTTTGAAGACAGTATCACAATCTACACTGTGGTAGATCAAGACAGTTTGAACTCTTGGACATTTATATTTCCCTCCTTTCTAAATTAGCAACAGCTGTAAAGGCTGAATTTCACTGCCATGAAGTCTTGGGGATAAAAGCCTCAGTTACTCCTAATTCATGTTTGATAAAATTTCATATGTCGGACGCACAAATTAGGCTTGGTAATTAAATTGCATGTCCTGTCTTTAGAGGCTATTGGTGGCCTGGTGTTTTATTCCAACATCTGTCATGGATCATTCCTCACTCTCTCTCTCTTCCTAGTTTTCTAATTTATCCTGCTATCCGCCCAGTAAAGCCTAAATAAGGTGTTTTGCGTTTTAGAGGCAAACATTTTTCTTGGTATGATGGCTGTTTAATCAAAGAGTCAAAGTTCAAGGTCCAATTTTTTTAATGAAGAAGTAATCCAGCATTGAGTTGCACACTGCGTACAAAGAGGAATGTAATTTGAAAAGGACGTCTGTTCTTTTTGAGCACATTTAACATTTCTATGAACTGTTATCAGAGACTGAAAGAATAAGATATCTTCTCCTTTTATGCTTTCTGTTACACTTCAGAATCGTCCAACTCCCTCATGGTCTATTCCAGCATGCCTAATGCGGCCCCGTCATGGCCTCGGGGTAAAAAAGATTTTCCTAATAAGACTAGACTTTACTGGTCTGTCCACCTGCTACTTTCTCCCCAGCAAATTACATGTTCTAGTACCACGCAGCAGTAACAGATTGTTCCAGCGCACAGTCAGCGTTCACGCTTTGTTATCTGATGTTGTCGGCAGATTTTGCCAGACTGAATGGTACCATACAAAGTGCAGACAGCCCTCAAAAAGCCATCACTGCCTGCCTGTACTGTATCAGCACTATTCAGGTTCCACCAGAAGAGTGTTTATATACAGTAGTGCTTTTCCAGAAAGGCCCGGGCTGTGTCAACTGTTGACCGGGAGTAATCACACGTTGACTCTTTTCTCTCGCTAACGTTGCCCACGGGAGCTCCTCTGCTAGAAATCATCACGCTGGCTAGTTTTTAAGCATCTGAGGTGAACATTTCCTCTGCTGCCGTTCCCACACACTCTTTCCGTGGCACCCCTAAGCTTAAAGTAAACCCCACATATTGGCCCCATCTTGAGAGACCCTTCTCATGTTGAGAAATCCATCCGGTGCAGACATGGTGGCAAACTGAGATTCTAATCATACCTCTTTTGTTGAGCACAGAGGAGGTTGAGATGTTTTTCAGGACCGAGCAGATGTCAAGCGTACAGTTTCACCCTAAGGTTACTCATGAGATGACAAATGGGTCCGGGCCTCTTTGTCCTCCTTTTTTCCTTCCATACGTCTGTGTTTGATGAGAGGGTTGACATCTTTTTGTCAGCATGGAGATCTGTGAACACAAGGGTATCACCATGGATACAGAGTGCCCCTCTCAGAGTGCAATTTTGAGAAGATCTACTCTGCTAAAAAGTATATGGAGTGACCCTATATTTAGCTCTAAAGCATTTTCATGCATTTGCTCAAGTAGGAGGATTATGGATGATGTTGTGCAACTAAAATAACAGTGTTGGTCTCTGATTCTGTGTTTGTGTGATTGTCTCTGTCTGCTTTCTAGAAGGGTTTGCTTATGTCCCCACAGCAGATTGATTTCATGTTGATTACTCTTTCGAAACTGTTATGTTTCTGCAGCTGAAGTGTGTCTTGTGACAGTGTATGAAGAGGGGTTTTTTTAAGTTCCTTTAGCTATTCAGACACCAGTTGGAATACAGTCCTCCCACTCTCCTGCGTTTTTCTCATTATAATGAACTGCTGCTTAGCATACGAATAGCTTAAACCATAACACACTCATGTGGCGGGCCGGCATAATCGAGCTCCATCTTCAAAAGTCTGGGGTTCATACGCTGACCTTTGGAATAATTTGACAAACATAAACAGGAAGGATGCATTTGCAAATAGTGAATTTGATTCAGATATTCAAAAGCAGAACTACTGGGAGATTTTAAACATCCCATTTTTAAAGTGTAATTACAGTGTCGGGATTAGCTGTCAGAAAAGGTCGAGGTCAGATCCTCAGTTGCTCGTTTTGGCTTGTACTTCTGAACTTCTTTATAATGAATGCTTTCTAAAGCGTCTCCACCTTATCCTCAAACTTCTCCAGTAATGAACGTCTAAATAAATAAGGTCAGAGAAGCACACAAATACCCTTTAGGGACTTAACTTTTCGCCAACTTGCTGTCATTATTGCACTATTAACTAATAATTTATAGCTTTTGCTGCACTGTGACCTAGAAGAAAGACCTACAAGAGGGGGAAAGAGAGGGCCTCACACATCCATCCAATCATAAAAAGGCTATCAGAGGAGGCGCCGCTTAGCGAGGACATGACAAACCGACCATAATGTCATATTTAGCTGGCCTGCAATGATAAAGATGAAAGCAAAATTGCCCTTCGCTTCCATTCAGGTTGAACAGGCAGGGATTTCCTCCTCAACACAGCCGTCCCATCTAGTGGTGCCTCTTCCATCTGCATGCTAAAGAGGAGCCTCCTCTCAGAAGTGCCGGCGCCGGCAGTGATTAGCATTTGGGCAGAGGGGGACAGAGCGCGAACCCCGGAGTGTTCTTGGCATGTACAGGGAGGAAGCCAAATGAATGCCAATGTGCGGTGCGCTGTGAAAAGAGGAGGACCAAGCAAATTGCCGGACACATTGCATTAGTAGCAGATGCCCATTAGCATTAAAGGTGGTGGTTGATTGATAGCTGGGTCACAAGGTTTTAACAGGAGGAAGCTGCAGCAGGGATTTAAAACTGTGTCTTCAAAAAATTAAAGGTACAAAGTGGAAAAATGTGAATATTTAACGATATCTAGCAGTTAGATTTTTAATTGAAATGCTCCCTTGCTCACCCCTCATATTGGTGAGGTGACAGTCCCCTTTAAAGGCATGGTTGACGATCTGAGAAGCAGTTGAAAAAACTGGGCCGTTATGGTAGATTTGGAAAACGTGTCCCACCCCCCACACACAAACCTCTCCCCTCTGTGCTCCACGATAACTCCCTCCCCGATCCTGTATCGCCTTCCCCATGACACACCCCCTCTGGCAGAGCAAGAAGCCGGCTGGCAGAAGATCCTACACTAGCTTCAAATAGGATTCACCATGTTGGATTGCTAGTGACTAGCGGCAGTACGCCAACTCTGCTAGCGAGCACTGTCTGCAGCTGCCTGGACAGCTACCGTGTTGAGATTGCAGAGACTAATAAGAGTTATTTTTGTAACACGTGCCACGATAAAAGGCAAAAATTACCTGTTCAATAAAAACTCTGCTGTCTCGGCATCTGTTTTCAGGCCTGGATCCTGGTGGAGCTTTCTCCAACACTCAAAGGATGACCGAAGTCCTCGCTTGGTCACATTTCCTTTTCGTCTCTGCCCTTTCTTTTGTCGGCTTGCGTTTCCTTACCAATTTGGCGGTGGAGCAAGCAGAAGTGGGGTTTGTTTTGTGTCCTTTTCCATCTCAGCCCCTGTAGCTAAGCTGCTACGCTACTTTTAGCTGCTCAGAGCTCGGAGGAGGGCTGGGAGAGTGGGAGGGGACGAGTCCGAACTACGGGGAGAGGGGTGTGTCGAATACAGCGAGCAGGAGATTGACCAATAGGAGCTGTCCGGGACGGATGGCTCCCATTGGTCAATGTTTTTGCAGCCCTGCACCTTCAAGGGTGAACAGATTTTTTCCATTCTTTTTTCTCTACACTTTGTTGAGATCGCACTGCAAGACCATGATCTCCATATAAATGAGGTTCATAATATTTACCGATCTCTCCAACTGTCAACCATGCCTTTAAGGATAAGAAGCTTCTATGGTGCATGATAGGTATGATCATCCATTGGCCAAGTTTTCACCTCCAAATAGTGGTATCAACACAAATTCTTGATCACAATCCCTCTACTCATCCTCCTCTTCAAAACCATGAATTTTGAGCTGATACTCACAAAATACAAAAATGCTTGTGTGACTAGTTTGTAGGCTAAGGCTTCTTCTATGTTAACAAAAACAAAGCAATTTTTATATTTAGGCTGTTGAACTCTAATTCAAACTTCTTTAGGACTTTACGCTAAATGCTGTTTTATCCTACATACTGCCTACATTCCCCATAATGCACCATGAGTTTTTTCATCAGACCTCCCTGCTTGGTGAACCTGCATGAACTCTGCTTGAGTAGTTTGCTCCTCGTATTGTTTGTTAAAAATCTCTCAGACTCTGCGCTCACACTTCAAACTAAGTGCCCCTTCAAAACATCATAAATGGATTCCACCTCCATGTTTTGGAGGATTTTTGAGAGAAACACGAATGAAGATAAACGATGGATTTAAAGTTCACAGAGCACATAGAGAAAGGGTTCTCACTTTACTGTCTGGATAAAAGGGCGCTCGCTTGTTTTTGAGCTGCAGGGTCTTCCTCAAAAACACGACCCCGATTCATATGTTAACCAGCAATTATTTGCATACGGTCCCTCAATTATAAAAGCTAATGAGGAGATTATGGGAAACACATGCTGGAGCCGTCCCGCAGAATGTCTATTGTGATCCTGTAGCTGCTGATAAAAGGCCTGTGAGAGGTGTTAGTCAAAGTCAGTGAACATTCAACCTCATACATCAAAGCTGTAACTCATCTCTGCTAATGTCTATCCAGTACATTAGCTGTGAATCCAAAGCTCATTTAGACAGCTAGATGGTATAAGTATAACGATCCTTTTAGCATCTGCTTTAAATGACTCACATAAGACTATTAATTAGAAATGTAACTCCATATATAACACGTGCAATGTGAATAAAATTTGATTCCTTCATGAAATATCCCCTGCATCTTTTACACCAAGGCCTTTCATGAAACCTCCTGCTCCCTATAGATGCTTAATAGCACTGAGGAATAGGCCCTTAGCCCCGGGCATGAATACCATACAACGATGTCTTGAACTACAGCACGAGCACCCGGCAGCCTCAGAAAAATAAACTCTCCCAACCGTATCCGTTTTCTCATCACCACCTTCCTGAGAGCCGAGCCATTCTCATCATTATACCCCCACATTCAGCCGTCTGTAGGGGATCCCTGCTGCTCCATTAAGGCCATACGGAGGCTCACAAACCTCTGATTGCATGAACTATCAATAGCGCTGATTATAGGAGTTAATTAGGCGGCTTGGCATGAGAGAAAGGCTTTCATTTTCATCATAGACGTTAAAAACTGCACAGCACTGATGCAACAGCAGCTATCCTGTCACTGTTACAGGGTTGCGTCAGCATTGTTTGGCACAGGAAATGGCAATATCCTCACTATTGGGTAGCATTCAGCGTATGGAGTAGTACTATCTGTTGCTGTAAGGGAATTTCAATTGGGCTTTCTCCCCGCTGACTGCTATTCATTTACACCGTGCTGCGCTCCAATTCTCAGTGCTCGTGCCCCTGTCAGCTCCATCTGTGTCCTCAGAGATGTGTCGACCCTCACGTCCTGCCGAACAACGTGCGTGAATGCGAGTGTGTGTGTGTCCCGTATGTGCTACGTCTTTCTGACATGTGCACAAAACCAATTAGTTTTGGGATGGTGAAGTAGCTTGCCATGGGAAAATGACAATGAAGTAATTGAAGAGGCCGGCTGAATGAGAGGCCAGACAGCTCAATGCAGCTGTTACACAAGTGCAGAGTGTTTTCTCCATGGACGGAATGAACAGAGAGAAAAGGGAGTTCTAAGTGAAGGTGGTCTTGTGTAGTTGTAGACAGTAATTAACGTTACAGCTCTTTTATTTCACTGGCATTCATTTTAAGGGAAAAACACAGCTAGTCCTGTAGTCGCATTAAAAGGTCCTTAACAGTGGTCTTGCAGGCTGTAGCTCATTTAACACAAATCCAATTTGTTTTAGATCAAAGCAAACCATTTTGCACTCTGTGCTGCTGCTGTCAAGTAAGAATATGTTTTTAAACATTCACTTTAATCATGCCGTTCTTTGCACTGGACATAAATCAACTTGCAGACTCTTAAAATGTGCAAAACGTGTGAACATCCAGTCAGCATCAGTGTTTGACTGACATATAAATTCAGCATAAACATAAGACTTTAAAAGTTAATGTAGATTTGATGTTTACTGTGAGGGGATATTTAACTTCAGGTGCCTTGCAGAAAAGTTTAGCAAAGTTGCACAAAATGCTCTCAACTCTGGAGCATGCAGTTCAACTCATCAGGAACTTAAGCAGGGAGTCTTCTGTACAATAAGGTTAGGGGCCATAAAACCCAGTAGTATTGCTCCAGTGCTGGTACACTCCGTGCACATACAGCAGAGATAGGGTTGGAATTAGGGGTGGGAGAAAAAATCTATATAACATAGTATTGCAATATTTTGTCTGGTGATATATCGTATCGTCTCATTTACCAATTATCGATGTTTCAAATTAATTGCTAATGTGAAGTCAAATCTTAGATAATGGAAAATTAAAATCAATGGTCCAGTGAGGTTGACAGAGGTCACATCATAGAGCAGGAGAAAGTTAGTTCAACAAATATATATATGGTTTGCAAGATGTGCTACATGAAAATAAAATACAGTGTAAATAAGACAAACGTAAAGGAAAGACAAATGCTAAATTAGCTAAACAGTTGAAAAAATTATATAAATCACAATATATTGTATTGTAAACATATCGTATCGTTGCCAAAGTATCGTGATGGTATTGTATTGTGGGGCCACGAGTGATTCCCACCTCTAGTTGAAATAACGCAAAGATGACACGACACGACATGATATGAACTTTAAAACTAATATTGCTTTAGCAAAGGCAACTATTTGCGAAATGTAACATTATCATTTCAAAAAGTTAGTACATCCTTTGAGCTCTATGGAGTTCAAACTTGTCAACTGCTGGTCTGGTGCTCTGGCAGTTGTCTTCACGGGATTGTGTGACTTTTATATTGAATTTCTCAGCAAGACAGTAGCTCTGTTTATCCTCTCCTTAGCTTTTTTTTCTATTTTGAAAAATAACTAGAGATCCTCCCTGTCGTGTTTCTTTTTAAGAGACAATTTCCTGTTCGATATTATCTGACGGCTGACAGCTTTTGGCTCAGCACTTCCAGCTGCTCTGTGTTTTTGCCCGGGCCTCAGCAGTCTGCACACCACACTGAGCTTTATTTACTTTGGCTACTCCAGTTCTGTCAGCGCAAGATCCATTGAAATGTTCAACAATTGTGAAGTACGACTTTTGATTGTGTGTCCCCTTGAAGAATCGTATATTCAGATGAGAAATGGGCTTCATAGAGTGGCCTCTTCTTTAAGATACTGGGATACTCTTGTTTATGCGAAGAATACACTGATTATGCGAGATTTGGCCTTATCCCAGATCTGTAAAGTGACGGTTTTAGAGTAAGAGAATGTAAATCAAGTGACTTTATCTGAACAGTGGTGAAGTGTAGTCTGGCTGTCTTTGGTTGTTTTCGTACCCGATGTTCAGACAGGATGTCAGGAGTTTTAAGCCCTTGTGGATAGTTTCCACTTGAGCTTCCACTGTGGGGCCTCTCATCACTGTAGTTCACGGTAATAATGATTATAAAACACTTACACTCAGGTGAATACAGAATCACATATACAGTACACACACCGACCAGCTAGTGCTGAGCTGCTACATCTCATTCAGTTGGGAGATAAATCCTGGATGGGGTTCTGGCTCTTTTCCAGATAAAAACCGCAGGTCTTTGGGGTATTCACCATAAAATGTCAAATGAGCTCAGTTATTCACCCACTGTCACAAGCCATCCTTTTATAATGTAACTGCTGCACTGTTGGGATCAACTGTTGTTCCTTTTTTCTTATAAATTATAGAGATTTTTATCACTTTTTACATTAACAAAATTGAGCTGGCACTGAGAATTCATTACTATGCAAAACCTTTTAATTCACCACCGATGAATTTTGAGCAAATTACATCTGATTGTAACTTTCTTGAACAGCAAGTTGAAAATTAAAGTGGGTTTTCAGTTTGTGTGAGTTTAGCTCCCCTGCCTGCAGGCTGCAAATGAATTTGATTAAATTGCCCCCCTCTAGGATCTTTTGTGTCAAATCCCAAGCTGATGGTGTCCGCAGCTGAGTGATTGGCCGCCCTGGGCGGATAGTACAGGCCCTCCCCAGGGAGGTGTTGCTGAAGCCAGGGGCAGCAGACATTGGCCTCTGTCTCTTCCCGAGCCACCAGGCACCAGCTCTGAATCATGACTGCAGGGCAGTGTTAACAAATACATCAGTTCCCCAAGGAGGTCCGGGCCTGGGTTTGGCTGCTCGGCTGTGTAGCCGCTGGTCTCAGACTCTAATGCTTCATCTGCGGCCCCTGAACCAACTCACATCCAAAGGCAGGAGGGCAGTACATGCACGCTCTTCCATATTTAATGGCCTCAATTTGATTCCTACTATCCCGAATTTGATGTGCTTTTCTGATAACACAGCAAATTAGCCTTCCTGAGCTCTAAACTAAGCTGTGACATTTTCATGCTGCACCAACCAGAGGGTGCCTGGGGTAGGACAGACAAGAGAGATAGAAACAGGTCAGACTGTGGGTATTTGAAGACAGAAAAGGACGCCTCCCAAAGTTATTTTTCCTGGTTCTTTTTGCTAATCATCTGCAAGCTGTTCTCACATTTCATTAAAGTACTGAATTATTCTGATCATTTCTTTGGACTTAGACTGAAATATGCAGATGAATATGAATTAAATAGAGCAAAGTCATTTTGGCTGAGTAGCTATTACCCTCTGGAGCTCTGGTCAAACTGCAGTGATTACACTGACAGTGATTATTTCAACATTAGCATTTTGCTTTTAGCAGTATTATAAAAAAAAAAAAAAACTGTAATTGCAGAGTGAAGGTGTGCTGAGGCAACTCTGAGCTCACTGGCAACAAGAGACCCGGTGAGTTTACTACAGGGCTCCTGTTGTTAGGGTCACCTAAGATGCTCAATTGGAACAGATTTTTCAGTTATTAAAAAATTAAGCAAATATGATTTCTACTTTGCCTCTTTTATGGAATTTTTTTTAAATGCTATTCAAAAAAGTTAGATTTTGTGTTTGTGCTTGCATAAATACTTAATACTGCCTCTACTAGGGCTGGGTGATAAAACAATAATGATATATATCGAAAATTACTTTCCCTTGATAACAATATAAAACATGACCAATATGCTTTTCGATAGTCGGCATTCTGCCATGTTTTGGTAGGCTTTACGAATAGCCAATGAAAAGGGGAGTTTCTGCGGGTCAACTTCGCGCTGAACAAATCATGTGCTGAATTACAACCAAGTAAAAAAACAACTGCGTAGTAGCAGGCAGCAGCTACACGCAACCATAGCGCTTTAACTCCAAAAACAGCTGACCATTCATTTTGCTTTATCCAGCACAACGCCTGGACATGCTACCAATAAGCACTGTTAAAATTCATTTTTAATATCGTGATACATATCAATATCGACTGATATGAAAAAAATATATTGTGATAAACTTTTTCCCATATCACCCAGCCCTAGGCTCTACATAAGTAGTTGAGCAATTCCAGTTGCAAAAGTCTGGACGTGCTCCAGGTTCAAAACAATACACAGGTTTCTGTTTATATCCTGGTTTATTTGCAGGTCATCCACCACGCCACGTTAATGAACATGTATCTCATAATTGGCCATTAGTCTGTGGCTAACTTGCCCTTTGTCAGTATCTGTATCCTGTAAACAACATCCTGCTGAACTTTGATCATCTGTCTTCATTGAACAGTGTCGCCTGAGATGTCAGAGTTCTCAGATCAGTCCAATCACTCGCGACGTTTCCCTCTACACACCACTCATGAAAGAATGATGGTTCAGTGTCTGAAATCTGGCCTCACTGCAAATCACCTCAGTCAGTCAGTCAGTCAGTCAATCAAACTGATGAAGCCAAGAGTGAAATGGATGGGGAAGTCGGTGTCCCCATGTCTGGTCCCTTGGCATGTCAACTGGCGGCTCATGTGATTAATATGGCAGAGAGGTCTGATGGTGGCGGTGGTGATTAGCCAAGCAAAATGAGCCCATGTGGATCACATTGGACTGTGTTGGAGAGCTCTGGATCAAAGGGATAGCTTCCAGCAAACTGCACTGCATGACAGCCTACATTGATCTGAAGCCTTGGTTATATATGTGTGTCTCTTCTGACAGCCAATAAACACAAAAATAAAACTCACAAAACGAGTTTCGTGATTGATGGCTGCAGTAACCATATGTGCTTTTCAATCCAGTCATCCCTCTTCTTCAGACAACCATCTCTGACCGTCTCTCTCTCTCTCACTTTCTCTCCCTGTAGCTGTGGATGAACACGTGTCCTCTCACAGTGCAATAGAGCAGAGAGGCGGGGCATCGCTGTTTTCCGGGTCAGACCTTTGCGTCACACACGGATGATGGAGAGGAGGAGGATGGAGGCAGCACTGCTGGTGCTGCTCCTGGTACACCTGGTCGCTGCGCTGGAGGTCCCACTAGACCGTAAGGCAACAAATAGAACATCACACAACATATTTATGCTCAAGAGAAATAAGGAGACTAATTCAGGTTTCAGTATTTTATTTCTGAGGATTTACAGCGAGTCAATTAACTGATAAAGTAAATAAATGAAAATCCATTTGCATTGGGGCTACTTATTGAATTAGCCTTCCATCTGCAAACTGCAGCTTTTTGAAAGTTGTGTTTTTGCAGCTTTTTCTTTGCCCCATTTGACAATAATTTGGACAAAATACAGATAAAATATGAAAATAAAACATTATACTCAAAAACAGGTTTATTTGTTTTCATGCCAGAAGTTACATGAGAGTGTAGGTGCCACTGCCCAGCACATAAGACTTTATAAAATTAAAATATTTATCCTCTTATCTTCCAAAGTTGTTTTCTCTAACTGAACACTGTCACAGTTTAAGGGCCTGTGTCCACTTATGGTAATTTTCTGCATTGGCAGCACCTATTTTCTATACAAAGACAACAAAGCTTAACTTTTGGAACACAACCACAGTCATCTTCGTCATCCAATCAATCAAAGTCAAGAGTGGGTTGGACTTCTGGTAACAACTTTGTCAGCAACAAAGATGGAGGTCAGTAACACTGGGAGAGAATTAGACCTCACTTGATCTGTGGACCGTAGACCTCCCTGATCTCCCTGATCTTTTTAGGATTCCATTAAATCCTTAAAAAAAGAAAACATACAGCAGGTGCCGAGGGGCAGCTTTGTAACCTAGCAACAACTAATGCTGGTAAGAAGCTGTTTAGAATTGAGGCGGTAAAGATGTTGTTAGTGGACACAGGCCCTTACAGCTAAGGTAGCAACTAAAGGTCAGTTGTTGTTTTTAAATAATGATTCATGAGCTAAGTGGTTTTGAAAAATCCACTTTATTTGAGTGAGTCAGACCAGTCCACAACCTGATTATATGCAGCTTGTACGGTACACTTAATTTGTAGAGAGTGACTCATGCAGTTGTTCATTTCTTCCGACTATCTACCTGTATACCTAAACTCACTGTCAGTAACAGTTGATAATTTATTAGTGGGGGAAACTATTCGCCCTCGTTTTGGAGAGTAAAAAGTATGAGAACCAGTTTCCATCCTGGTCTCTAAGACCACATACTGATGTCACTCAGCTGGCAGATTTCAGTCTCATTCTTTGGTTGGAGCTACTGACCGCTGGAGCCTGAAAACGGACCTCCATTAAACCTTGTGAGAGGCAGAAATAATAACACAAGGAGATTATTTTTCACCACTAATGTCTGGTTTTCTTTGCTGTCACAATTTGTTCTTTCTTGTTTGCTGATTCTTGGAAAAAAAAAAGTTCTGGAAGGATGTAAGTCTGAAACTAGTGTGAATTTCTTGCAGAGGTTGTGCTAGCTGTTTGTTTTTATGCAGTGCATCAAAGGTTATATTTAAATGTACATGACTTGTATTTTAAATGCTTTATGTTTTAAGACTTAAAGTGTGATTTGGAGTGGGCTTTAGTATATATCGCATGCTTCGTTTGCTGTTTCTGTGTTTCTGCAGTGGTAGAGTTATCCCATAGAGTAATACTGCAAACAGCATGAGTTCCCATACCATTTGTTTTGCCATGGTCCATTAGTTATTTCCCCAGCTCTGACAGGAATACATTAAGCATCGGATCATTACAATAAAGTGAAATGTACCCGAGCGTTCTGCATGCTTTTCTGTTGTTGTTGTTGTTGTTGTTGTTGCACACGGTATGGGAGCTTTTTTGTGTCTGTCAGCAAACAGCCGTCTGCCTTCATACAGTGTGGTAAGTCTGCATGTTATCAGTAGTGACTGCTTGTGTGGTCAATACAGCAACAGAAAAGGAAAGCTAAGTTATGCAGTAAAGGTCATGATTGAATATTACTCTGTGTCTGATCTCAATTAGTGCCGCAGCCGCCGACCATAACTCACCAATCCCCCAAGGATTACATCATCGACCCCCGAGAGAACATTATAATCCACTGCGAGGCAAAGGGGAAGCCTCATCCCAGGTACTGATCTTTCTGCATTCATCGATCTATAACTAGAAATGAATATACTAGAATTTAATTCAACCTCCACCTGTAAGCCTCAGCTGACATGAAGTCCCAAGAAATCTAGTTTAGAAGTCAACCTGTAGAATTGGTATTTTGGTTCAACAATGCTGTAACAGTGTAACACACAAATGTATTTGTTGGCACTACACTTTTGTGCTCCTTTATTAGCAAGCAAACTTACTGAACCAACATATTTCAAGTCGAGAAGGTTCACGTTACCCCAACACAACCTCAGCTGTAAAAACCGAGTGTTATGAAACTCTCAAACATCCTCTTTGAAGAAGTTTAAAACCAAGTACAGGAAAATCTTCACCTCTAAATCTCTGGAAATGCGCTGCTAAAGCTCCTTGAATTTAAATCCTGGGAATGGCTATATGATATTAAATATTCATGACTGAGTGTGCAACATTTAAGGTTAGAAGAAACAGGAAAGAAGGAGAAGAAAACTCTTAGAATTATTTTTAGGAATCTAAGGGCACGAAGATTCTCTGGATCAGGATTGTGGTGGATAAACTTTAAATTATGTGGACTCAAATGCGGTTATCTCTGATTTGGACCTACAAACACGTGACTGACCCTGCTATAACCTAACCCTGCCCATTTAATCCACTGAGAAGTGAGTTGAGGACAAAGCAGTGAAGAAAATTAATATGGGAAACAACAAAAAGAGTTTGAGCTTTGGCAAGGACCTCACTTATCAAAAGTAATCCACAATGTTTGGTTCTTTATCCCTTTGTCCTTTCTTGTGCCAAGTCCCAAATATTAAAAGATTAAGTTAGAGGTACAAGTTGTTGAACTCGATGCTGTCCTCAGTCGCCAATGTCTAAACAGCTCTGGTCTGTCTTTTTCTTTCAGTTTCTCCTGGACAAGAAATGGGACCCACTTTGACACTGATGAGGACCCTAACGTCAGCATGAGGCCCCACTCAGGCACCCTGGTGGTAGACATAGGCAGAGCAAAAGCCGACCAGTATGAGAGCGTGTACCAGTGCACAGCCAGGAACAAACATGGAACTGCTGTTTCCAACAACATCGTTGTTAGACAATCCAGTAAGTTCAGCTCAAGTCTGTCATTTCTATCACTTCATTTCTCTTCTCTTAATGTCAGGCATATGTCACATCTCTCTCACATCATTATTATTTTCTTTTTTAACAATAAAGTGGCATTTTCAGTCAGTACAAGTACTCCTGTAAGGTAAAGGTTGCATGTTAAAAGCAGCATGTTCTGCTCAGCAGGCTGTGACAGTAGATAGAGGTAATTTACCCTCTTGTATTTCTCCTTTCGTTTATCATCATCATTCAGTAAAGCATCACTCTGTTCATCTTGCCTCGTCACCTCCGTCATCTTGTCAGCAACAGTCCATTAGCGGCCAACGTTTTCTGTCAAATTACAGGAGACTTCATCCGCTCATGTGTTTATCTTTCTTGAACTATTCCAGGGTCCCCCTTGTGGTCGAAGGAGAAAATCAAGCCAATTGTGGTTCAGGAGGGCGTGTCTCTGGTGTTACCGTGCCGACCCCCAGCTGGCTTACCCCCTCCCATTATCTTCTGGATGGACAATTGTAAGAGCGCAACAGTGTTTTAGCTTTCAATATGAGGAAAAAAACACATGACATAGTTCAAAGCTTGTAGTAAGGGAGTAGAGATTTATGGGAAATGTGGTTAAATGCCACAATACTGCAGAAAATAATGCAGTATTGCAATGCTACTTGGTGTTACCTTAGCTCCTTAAGTAGTTTAATTTCATGACTTGATAGTAACTTGATTGGTCAAATATGTCAGCACATACAGTGACATGTATAAGGATGTTGATTCGCTGTTCATTGCAGACTTTCAGAGGCTGCCACAGAGCAACAGGGTGTCCCAGTCCCTCAACGGAGACCTTTACTTCTCCAATGTTCTCCCAGAGGATTCCAGGAGCGATTATATCTGCTACGCCCGCTTCCCGTACACACAAACCATCCAGCAGAAACAGCCAATCAGCGTCAGGGTCCTCAGCCGTAAGTCTGACCTGAAGTGCATGTGTGAGGTGAAGATACAGGAAGTCAAATGAGCTGGAAGTGATATGAGATAAACACGAGATTGAGTGAGTGAGTTATTGTGTAATAGCTCTGCATAAGAGTGAGTTCATTTACAGTAGTGTGTGTCAGCACGAGTGTGTAGGAGGGAAGCAGCATTTCCTATCAGTGATGCCATCCAGAGAGACGCCAGCGGTCGTCATCGCCCTGAAAAGACAGATTGTCAGAGCTCTTATTGCCCCCGGCTCTATCTGCCTGACAGGCGTTCATTTTGTTTCTTCTGCATACGCACTCTCCACAAACAAAGACTGCTCTCATTCAGTCGAGTGTTTTACAACTGACATGGTGACAGGCTGCTTTTACAACCCTCTTATTACGATCATCTCTCATTTAAAAGTTTTATTTTTGCACTTTTACTTCTGCACACTCTCATGTTAAGTTGTTTTTATTTCTCCTCTGACTTCATGTGATGTCGTTTTATTGGCGTGTTTGATTTTTTTTTGTTTGTTTCTGTTGTGTTACAGTGGATGCAATCAATGACACAATGGCAGCTTTTTACAATGACACTGATTTATTTAGTGGTGAGTTTTGGCACCCCCTAGTGTTCACCCTCCCTGACCTAGAGCTCCAAACTCTTGACTTTTTACCCACTAACATGCACCCTTTAATCCAGCAACTCAACCCAGCTTGTTCACACAGTCACAGGGGGTGGGATCTGGCACCCTCTGTTGTTTACCCCTAGAAATGGAACATCAGACACCGACTTTTACCCATTTCCACTAACCCTTCAATCTAAGAGTCACAGTAAATTCTCTTCCCTTCTTCACTCCTATTCTGTCCGATCATCGCTCTGTTAATAAGTAATCATTTTCCTCTGTCTTAAACTGCAGCAGCATGGGGTTTTCCATATTTAATATGCAGTTTTTAGATATTACAAGACATCTGAGCAGCTTTGAAATTAAACTTCAAATCTAAGCTGAACTTGATCTAACACATTAATTTGTGAAAATCTTCCTCTTTAATTGCTTTTTGGGTTCTTTTATTACCCTCTAAATCACTTTTCCTCCAATGCCCTGCTGATTTTTATAGCAACAGCTATCTCTTGGTTCACCTCTTTGCCATAATTCATTTTCACCTCTTTAATTTCTCATCTCTTAGAAGATCCTCTTTCTGTCTAAATGTCTAAAATATACAACAGTGGCTAAATAAATACTTTAAATGCAAACAGTTAAATCCTCATAAATATGCTCCAGGGAATTAACTCATCATTATCGCCACAAAGTTTAGATCGATTTTGTTATCAGACGTTTGTATCATTTCAGACGGAGGAAAAGATGTTTTATCTCTCTATTTATTAGTTCTCTATTAGGCTTATTTTAATGTTTCTTATAACCCTAGAGGGCTGTTAATTTGGATAAACAGCCACAGAAAGCAGTGCAATAAAACAAAGAGATGACTATAAAATTTACATCCAACCATTAAATCCAGAATTGTGGTCTGTACTAAAGAGGCTCAGTACCCGTGCGTTGACTTGTAGGAGAGGCTTTATTATACCACAGAGTAAAACAAGACAGAGTTGTCATCATGTAGAGCCGGAAAGAGGCGGTAATATTTTTTCCTTTATGAATCTGTGTGTGACTACAGACGACCCAGCGGACGAGAGGAGGCCAACCTTCCTCGTCCCATCTGGCCCCTCCAGCTCCAAGACCGTGCTGAGAGGACAGGTGCTGGAGATGGAGTGCATCGCCGAAGGACTGTAAGTGAAAGAATCCGCCGTTACTTCAGCTCTGAAAGCCCCCAAGTGCCCACCTGCTCGAGTGTCATCATCGCTCTTTGTCTCTTCCGTCTGTCTCCCTCTGAATCCAGGCCCACCCCGGATATCTCCTGGACCAAAGTGAGCGGCGAGCTCCCTGCCAAGCGCACACACTTCCTGCACTACCAGAGGACCCTCCGCATTGTGAACGTGTCGGAATCAGACGCGGGAGATTACCGCTGCACCGCCAGGAATAAGCTCGGCTCGGTGCACCACAACATTCACATCATGGTCAAAGGTTTGTCAGTGATAAAAGAAGATTAAAACTCATCAGGACACTCATTCATCCCCTCCCTCTTCTGTCTCTTCTTCCTCCTTCTGTCTCATAATTGATTTATGCACAGATGCCAACAGGGGTGGCGTGTTCAGTGATTAATTCTCTAGCCCACTGCTGCACTCTGCTCTATTTTCAGCCGCTCCATATTGGATCAGTGGAGCGCCGAAAAATCTTGTTCTGGCTCCAGGAGAGAACGGGGTGCTGACCTGCAGGGCTAGTGGCACGCCCAAGCCCTCCATCAGCTGGGCCATGAACGGCATCCCTATAGAGAGTGAGTTCAACCTGTTCCTCCTCACAGGAACTCACCCGGCTAATAAAAGAAACCCCTCTGTCCTTTTTCATACAAACAGGATGGTGTTCAGTCTGACCATTTCAGACTCTCTTGTGTTTATATGAATTTGTACTGCATGTCATTTTAAGGTTTTATATCTACAATTCCAAGCTCTATACTAACACCAAATCTGTGCTTTTTCAGTATCTCATAGTTGGAAACAAAATGTCATGTTTAAAGAACTTAAAGAAATCGGAGTCAGTTCTGTGCTTAACTTTAGTGTAGTGGTTCGACACTTTCGAACATTATGTTTAGTATGTGGTCAGGCAACTAAGAGGCAAACTTTAAGATTTCACAATGTCAATAAGGAAAATATTCTACTCCTGATCCCCACAAAGAACTACTTATAACTTTAAAACCTTTCCAGTGAGACATAACTAGTAAACAAGAAACCTTCAGCAGTGATTTCTTAATCTTTAAACAGAGCATTGAAAGGGTTTATCCTTTGTTCAGAGTCTTTATGCTAATCTTGGCTGACTGGCTCACTGTAGCTTTGTATAAAGCAGAGTTGCATCACGTTAAATACTTTTTATCAAACTAATTCTCGATCACAGAGAAATCACAACAGAACTGTTATGGGAAAAATCAATCAGAGAGCTGAAGGATCATCTCTGACCACTGTTTCCATGTACAGATGCGCCGAAGGATCTGAGCAGAAAGGTTGAAGACGACACGGTCATCTTCACTGATGTCCAGATCGGGTCAAGCGCCGTCTACCAGTGTAATGTTTCCAACCCTTACGGCTACCTCCTGTCCAACGCCTTTGTCAATGTGCTCTGTAAGTTCATTACCCAGGCTCCATTTTTATCCACAGCGCTGTTTTATCATTCCTATCGATTTTTGGGGTCTAATAACACAGCAATAATGGCTCCTGTCTCACTGCAGCTGAGCCGCCCAGAGTGCTGACTCAAGCCAACAAAGTCTACCAGGTCATCAAAAACCACAGAGCTCTGATCGACTGCGCCTCCTTTGGCTCACCCATCCCAAAAATTACCTGGTGAGTTAATGAACTTTTAATGAGGGACACTGATGAATTATGTTCCTTTACAAGCAGCTGCCTCTCTGTCCCAGGTTCAAAGACAGTCGGGCAAGTACCCTGGATGGGGATCCTTACATCTTCCATGACAACGGCACTTTAGAGATCCACACAGCTCAAGCACACAACGGCGGCAAGTACACCTGCGTGGCCAGGAACTTGCTGGGGAAAGAAGAGAACCATGTTATCCTGGAGATCAAAGGTGAGAGTGAATCTGGGAAGGTTATGTTATCCTTGAATTAACACACAGAACCAGTGCAGTGTTATCGTCATAATCAGTTTAATAAATGATGCTCTCATTGGTGAAAATAGTAGTTATGAACCAGTGAATTCAATTTGTATTCAATGACAGGTATCATAAAAAATTGAATCATGCTGCGTTCAAGTTACCTCGGAAGTCAGATGTCCGAGCTGGGAATGACGTCACACCCGAGTTACCAGTATTTCAGTTACCAAGTCAGAAAAAAGCAAATCGGAGGGTTATAATAATATTTGTACTACTTTTTGTACTAACTTTCGTAGATGTAGTCATCTTGTTTTCGCCTCGGATTTTGCTTTTTTCTGACATGGTAACTGAAACGCTGGTAACTCGGGTGTGATGTCGTTCCCAGCTCAGACATTTGACTTCTGAGGTAACTCGAATGCAGGATCAATTCGTTTTAAACTGACCTTTAATTCTACTTTTCAGAACCCACCCGGATCCTGAAGCAGCCGGAGTATAAGGTGGTCCAGAGAGGCCGCTCTGCTGTGTTTCACTGTAAAGTGAAACACGACCCCACTCTCGTCCCTACAATGACGTGGCTTAAAGACGACGGAGAGCTGCCTGATGATGAGAGGTCAGAGCTGCGTGGACACATCCCAGATCTTAGAGCATTCACGCTTGTTTACTGTGTCATTAGCCAACTAGGGCTGGGCGATATGGCTTTAAATCAATATCACGATATATTGAGCAGTTCACCTGGATAACGATAAATGGACGATAAACTACTCCACCAGCTGCTCACCCCCTCCCACATTAACTTTGTCTACTTCAGACGCCACTACAGCCGCTACAACTTTTGAACCGTCCTTTATCTCCTTACCTGTCTTTCCCTCTTTGTTACAAACTGGATGGGGTGGAGTCACGTCTCTGATGTAGGACAGCATCTTAAAGGGACATGAGACCATAGCCTACCTACACACATCCAAAACCAACTTTTATTTATTCATTTTTTGACACCAAATATATTGACATGGGCAAAATGACGTCCGTTATCGTAAATTTCTGTATTGGTACATTTTCCGTTTGTCGCCCAGACCTACTGCCAACACTGCATTAGCTACTTTACAGTAATTCACACAGCGCTTTTTATGAGTATGTGGTTCTTTCTATTTCTTCTTGTGTTCTGGGTACAACCAGGGTATCAGCTAAAATGTGTTTTATTTGCAGATTTATTGTAGACTCGGACAGCCTCACCATCACTCAGGTGACAGAGATCGATGCGGGCGTGTACACCTGCATCATGAACACCACCTTGGACCATGATTCAGCCAGCGCTGAGCTCACTGTTGTCGGTACGTTTATCTCCAGAGAAGCTCAATTTCACTGACTCGTAAAACAAGCTCACAAATTATTAAAGGTCTTCCCAGGAAAGTGAAACGGCCGATAACTCACAGATCAGATTTCCTGTCGGTACTTGAAGGTTAATTGCCTCAGACTTGCTTTAAAAGCTGATTTAGTCAGCTTTTGTGTCAGAAGCATGAATATTTGATCGTTACCGTCTTCACAAGCCAGATAATCTTCTTTGTTTTCTTACGGATGACTGACCACTACACTCCTTGTTTTACTCCCGCCTTCCTACCTGGCAGAAGCCACACCGACACCAGCTGTTGTCATCGGTAAATCTGCAGAGCACATGAGCACTCAGCTGTGCTCCGAGACATGGACATGTGTGTCTGTTGAATGTTCTTGTAAAGTGGAGCATGCTGTGGCCTTGTTTCTGTCAATCACAGAGCCTTTTATTTGAGTTTACCAGCCTATGTCAGGTTTATTTTGAGAGCGGTTTTATACCTCATTTTGTTTTCAGGAGTTTAGTTGAAGCATGAGCACATTTAACAAATGATGTAAAAGAAAACTGTTAAGCAAGGGGGTAGGTAAGTGATTCCCCCTCACGCTTGAAAGCAAAGGTAATCTGTAAACATCACCTCATCGCAGCACTTTGGATCCATTCAAATTCACATTTTCCTCATCACTCATTTATTCAAAGCATGCGTTCCACTTGATCATTACAATTCCAAAACATGAGCTTCAATTTAGCTTCTCTAGTGAGCCTGAGACTTGATTTCATGCAGGGTGATTATGGAAGATGCCCATTTGAGAATCAGTCATTTCATATGCATGATGCGGTGTCTGCATGCGTCTCATCGAGCCAAAAACATTACAGAGCAGGAATGTAAAAAAGGAGGAGAGGGACAGAAGGATTGCTCTTTATGATTTTTCTCCATGGATGACCGGGAATGTCCTTTTTAAAATATTTTTGTTGAACATCTTGTGGCATGAACCCGTCATATCCTGTAAATGTATCTTTGTGTTGATATCGCTGCCCGTTCTGTGTCTCCTTCAGAGCGACCCGACCCCCCAACTGACCTCGAGCTGACAGACCAGAAAAAGAGGAGCGTGCAGCTTACTTGGATTTCTGGAGATGATCATAACAGTCCTATTACGAGTATGTCTTATGTGTGTGTGTGTGCATGTGCATTATGGGAATTGTAGGATCCAGTGTTTTGAGATTAGAGCCAGACAAGAAGTAAAGAGTTTGGAGGGAATCTCAAACCCATCTCTTCTGTGTTTGATATCTTTTTGCAGTCTGTCTCTTAGAGTTTACCCCTAAATTTTGAAAGTGCATAAACATTACAGCTGTGATTGCCCTTTAAATTAGACTTCAGACAGGCCTCCTCTTTGCCTGTTTTTAAATCCCGTCTTAAGACCCACCTCTTCTCCTTGGATTTTAACACCCACTAAGAGGTTGACTTCATTTATTTTATTTTATTGATTTTATTTATTGTATTTATTTTTATTTGATTCTACTGTGTTTTATCTCATTTTAATTTTACCTTATCAACTGTGCTTCCGTTGTGTTATTTATTGTATTTTTATCTCGCTGTGCAGCACTTTGGAAACCTTGCGTTTGCTTAAATCGTCATCATCTTTGTCGTCGTGGTTGTCATAGCAGCTTCAGGAGTGAAGCCCAGACGGCTCTCACCCCACCCCAGCCACTTACACCAGCTCCTCCGGGGGGATTCCCAGGTGCTCCCAGGCCAGGCGAGAGATATAATCCCTCCACCTGGTCCTGGGCCGGCCACGAGGTCTCCTCCCGGTGGGACATGTCTGGAACACCTCTAACGGGAGGCGTCCAGAAGGCATCCTAACCAGATGCCCGAGCCACCTCAGCTGACTCCTCTCGATGTGGAGGAGCAGCGGTTCTACTCTGAGCGCCTCCCGAGTGTCCGAGCTCCTTACCCTGTCTCTAAGGCTGAGTCCGGCCATCCTGCGTAGGGTTCTTTCGGTCATTACCTAAAGTTCATGGCCATAGGTGAGGAACTTGGCCATGAACTTTGAGTAATGACCATCTGCTTAAATCATGCTATATAAGTAAAATGGATTAGATTGGATTGGATTAAATTATGTTTTTTTTTTCACCTTTGGGTGACCTCTGAAAGCCGACTGACACTTTTTAAAATAATCTATATGCAAAACTGTCCCTGCGGTAAAATCAAGTCTGTAATAAAGTTTGAAAATAGTAAGCAGCGAAAAAGTTTCCCCCTTGAGGTCAGCATGAAATTATTTACAACAACAAATCAATGTTTGAACAGCGTAAAGACACAGAAAATCCATATAAATGTCTCCCAACATTCAGTGCAGCCCACTCTAGTTGTCGATCTCTTATTAGTATTCGCCGTCTGATTCAGACACTCATCCTCCCGCAAACATTTCCCTTACCCGTCAAAGCACAGCTGGAGGGCAGATTAAGACATATTTTAGCCAAACTTCTTTCTTTTTGAGTTTTCTTAAGGGCATTTGTTCCTCCAGCTATGCAAATAAACGATCAAGATGTTAGCTCTCATAATAAATGCATTTTTCTTTTGTTTTTGCACAGAGTTCCTGATCCAGTATGAAGACTCACTGCACCACAGAGGTCACTGGCATAATCTCACAGAGGTCCCTGGAACCAGGACAACAGCTCACCTCAAACTGTCACCCTACGCCCACTACACATTCAGAGTCCTTGCCCTCAATGCTGTGGATTACAGCCTACCCAGTTTCCCCTCCAGGGTGTTCAAGACAGAACCTGCAGGTATAGACTGTTCATAGAGGAATAATAAGGAGCAATATTAGCTTTTTTTAATAAGAAAGGGATGGTTTTACAAGCAAACATATTACACTAAAATATTATTTGCATTAGAGTGTCTTGAATGCTTCATCTAAATTGGAAATCTGTGTATTTATCTGAGCCTCGGTGAAAGATTTTCTTCTTTATTATTTTTCTTTTAGCTCCAGACGAGAACCCAACAGGTGTCCAGGGATTTGGGACAGAACGTGATAATCTTGTAATCTCATGGAAGGTAATAAAGTTTCACAAAGCTATCTGTTTTTAATATCCGGGAGAATTTAGTGCAGCCAAGGGTGAACCATGAAACATGACAAAGTTTTTACTGTGAAGCAGGTTTCATTTTGTGTCTCTTTCTGTTCTCTCTTTCCTGACAACCACATGAGATTGTGCTTTCTCTTATTTTTCTTAAAAGTAAAGTAGTGAAAAAAATAAAGATGCATTCAAAACGCTCTCCTCTGCAGCCGCTGACGGGCCTCCAGTCCAACGGTCCGGGGCTTCACTACAGAGTGATGTGGAGGCAGAAGGCAGTAAACAGCGACTGGAACTCAGCGACTGTGGCGAACACCTCCAAGTTCGTTGTGTCTGGAACGCCCACATTTGTTCCATATGAGATTAAAGTTCAGGCTGTGAATGACTACGGAGCAGCTGCCGAGCCTGCTATCTCCCATGGGTTCTCTGGGGAGGACTGTGAGTTACACTGACCCCTCAAGACCCTAACTGCGTTTCCTGGTAAATATTTTGTATTTACTCTTTTTCTTGTGTGTTCATTTGTTGTTTTTCGCTTTCCCTGCTGTTCAGTGCCAGCAGAGGCTCCAGACAACGTGCAAGCCGTGGTGGTGAACAGCACTCTGGCTGAGGTACACTGGGACCCCGTGCCCTCTAAGGAAATACGTGGACATCTAAAGGGATACAAGGTACAACGCAAGAGATATGTGACTTTAACACTAATCCTCACAATGACTTGCCAATCCTCGTATTATAACTGTGAACAAACTGCGGGTTGTAGGTGTACTACTGGAGAGAGCGCAGCCTCCACAAACACAACCCTCACCACGTGGAGAAGCAGATCCTGACCTTCAGCGGGAACCACAGCCACGGCAAGCTGCCCGGCCTGCACCCCTACAGCCTCTACTCATTTAACGTCAGGATTTTTAACGGCAAGGGGGAGGGGCCCCCAAGTACCACACAGCAGTTTGAGACACCTGAAGGAGGTAGGTTCAGGAATACATGACTACACACTGAAACTTAAGCACCACATCTGTTAAAAGATTGTCCTGATTGTGATTTCACAACATCTCTAGTTTAGGATCCATTTCTTTTTGGACCCCTTAAATGGTTAATACTGTAGAAAAGCAAGGATCATTAGTGCAGATCGTAAGTTACAGCAGCAGGAGCTCAAATGTTTCTGGATTTTAAGTACTTTGCTTGGAGGAATGTTTGTCACTATCATAGTTTATCAATAAAAAAAAAAAACATCTGGTCATAAATTATTCATCTTCCTCTCAAAATATCTTGAATTTATGAATATGAAAACATTGATCAAGTGGCTTTTATTCCTCTAAAAACTTATTCTCTGTTAAGGCCCAAGGTTTTCAGACTCTAACTGGTTTTAGGTAGATATCACGCACAACTGGCCTCTTGCTTTGGTTTCACAAAAAAAGCTCGCAACGATGTAACCCCTGTTTTTATTGGAGCAGAGACGAAGTAATTTTATTCGGAAAAAGAATTAAATACAGTCTTTACTGTGTCAAACATTCTGCTGAAATTATTCTGCACCATAGAGGTCGGCAACCAAATGTGACTAGGGGTGTCCCGATACAACTTTATTTTTTACCTCCGATACAAAAACAATATTGTAGCCGTCAGTATTGTCCGATACCGATATTGATCCGATATTGGCACAATATTGCGCTCAGCTGCAACGTCTTTTTCGGACTGTAATGAAAAATACTGCCACACGGCCGACATCTTTTTTACTCCTTGGTACTTTGTTAGTACCTCAGTACACACTGTTATTGTGATTACTTGGGCTCTACATGCTGGATCCAGGTGCTGCTAAATAGCGGTACTGGAGCGGAGTCTTGGATGGACTGCTTGTATCAGAGTGCTGATATTGGGCATTTTATATGCAGGCCGATATAATCCGATATTCGAATTTTTGCTGATACCAGACCCGGATATCCAATATCAGTATCGTATCGGGACACCCCTAAATGTGACCACAAGCAAAACAGAACCAAACACACGCACATCCTGCAAATCAGCGTAGATTAAGTCCAGATATCTTCACAAACTCTTTTTCGAAACATAATCTTGTAAGTTTTCACTGACGGTCTTGTTTTCCCTCAGTGCCCGGGGCTCCTACTTCCCTGTTAGTCACCAACACAGACCTGGACTCTTTGACCCTTGAGTGGAGTCCCCCTCATGTCCGTAATGGACGCATCACTGGATATACTCTCAAGTACCAGCTCGGTGAGGCTTTTGTTCTTTCTTTTCTGCCACACACAAATCTGAGCTTGTAGACTTTTAGACTTGCAGACTCACGAATGTTGCCTCCCTTCACGTAGTTTGTAGTTTTCTTTGTCCTCTTTTTTTCTGCTCTTTTTCTTTCCTTTAGTATCAGATGATAAAATAGAAAGGATAGCATGAAATAAGTAGCGCAAGAACATTAAAAGAAAGTAATTTTGCCACATTACAGCACAAATTAACAAGTCAACTTTTGTCACTCTCGCTTTCTGTTCCTGAACCCCTCACCTCCAAATACTTTCACTCCCACCTTTGTCATCATTTACACTCCAACCCCATCTACACCCCCTCCTCCTCCTCATCCCTTACCTTACCTCACTGCTTTTACACTTCCATCCTCATCCCGTTATCCTCATCATATCATCCATCATCCTCCACCCCTGTAGTCAATAACTCCAATGAGCTGGGCCCAGTGGAGGAGCTGGCCCTGCCCGCCAATGAGACCTCAGTCACTTTGTCCAACCTCAGGCACAGCACACGCTACAAGTTTTATTTGAATGCCAAAACAGACAGGGGAGCAGGCCCCGCCATTTCTCAGGAAACTGTCACCATCATGGACGAAGGTAAGTCAGCAAAAACAGACTACTGAATATTTTTGTTTCTTCCTCTGGGAGGCTAAATGATCGTTCAGGCTGGTTCTGATGAACTAATTTTACAACTCAGGTTACAGGAGTTGTACATTTGCTTAATCCATGGGTGATGTGTAATGTGTGAAGTCCATTCAGAATCAAAAACACTTGACTCAGCTCTCACATAGACCAGGAGGGGGTACCACAAAGAGAAATCAGAGTGTACACTGGGTCAGTTTTAGTGCCACAGGCTGGCTCTCTGTTAACCTGACTCAACTTATAAAATGGTCAGTGCAGGTTTTACGTAGAGTTACTTGTTCTTTTTTTATGAGAGACATTGAATGACTCTCTAAAGGCTCCCCTTACATGTAAGCATCCACAGAGCCTGAGCCTCAAAGTTTGTATTTAGAGGAAATGTTAATTAGAAACTTTGTGATACCTGATATCTCTAATGGAGCTTCAAACTCTGTGGAGTCAGCTCAGTCAGCTGGTAATGTTGAGCACTTCATAGTTTAGCCAGATGTTATCACATTTTTACCTTGATGGCTTTCATTGTTACAGTTGATGGGTTAAGATGAAATTTTAATGTTCTTTTAATGAATGGAAAGTATAATTTAAAGCAGGAGTATATTGTAGTGTTTTCGTGGTATACACTTTACTGATTAACTATTTAAGAGAGCTGTGTTGGTGCAGTGTTTTTAATTTGGATGGACTGTAGCTCATCCTGGTTGTATATTTCTTTGAATGCAGTCTCAAAGCCAGAAATTCTATGTTTGCTCCATCCATCAAATTTGAGGTTTTTAATCATGTTCAGCTTTGTGTAAAAAAAAAAAAAAGGTAGGAAAAGATCACTAGAAATAACCACTAAGGCTTTTTAGTGAGTTAAGGCGGTTTTGGTACAAACTAATGAACATTTGTTCATTACAGCTTGTAAAAAATGCAAAAATGTGCTGCGTATGTCTGTTTTATTTCAAAGTTAGTTGCAGCTTACTCTGATGAAATAAAACAATGTGAAGAGCTCACTCACTCCATGCTATGACAACTATGATGCTATTTACTGACATTATGATTGATTAATTACATAAATATTCAATGACTTACTTCATAATTGTAATAATTGTTTGTCACAGACCTCCTGCTGTTATTATCATTGTTGTGTTTTTGTTCTTGACATGCTCCTTCTGTGTCTTAAGTGTACGCTGCACACTCTCCCATAATATGGTCTTATTTATTTAGAATAATATGATGTTTCTGAGATCCTCATCCTCGTCCTTATTTGTGAAACATGAGTGTGATCCAGTTGCATTGTTACACAAGGTGACTGGAGCAGTTATAAAACCTCAGACCAATCATCTCTGACATTACACAGCGTGACCACATGAATGTCTTAATGTTACATAAAGTGACTCAGATGAGGAGGGGAGGTTTATCCCAAAGTGACCCCTGTCCGGTTGTTTCTCTGTGTCCCGTTTCTCTCTATAAGCTCTTATATCACAGCTTGACGTAGATGTGGGCACCGGTGCTGGTGGTATCTACACTGATGCATGTTTTTAAAGATTCAGCCATAACTTCAAACCCGAGCATGCACTCCTTGTCTTTAAGCAATTTCCCCTCGTCTCTATCAAGCTCTGCGGCCCACCTGAGTTCAAAGCTATAAAGGGTTCAAAGGCGCTCAGATAAAGATGCTGTGTGACGTCTGCCTTTTTAATGCCATGTGATAAAAGTAGACGAGTCTTTTCAAAGCTCTCGTCTGCTTCTTTTCTTCCCTTTTTTTTTTTTTATTTGGACTGTGCCTTTGGCGACTTTGACCCTGCTTCCCGCTGCATGGCGAGAGTTTGCCAAGCATGCCAATGCACTGTGACTTCAGTGCCAGTGGTGTCCTTGCGTGTGTCAAGTGTTTGCGTTTCTATTGTGTGTCTTGTGTTTTATGTGTGAGTGTGCGTGGGTGCCGTCTTTACCCTCTCCGTGTTGTTTGCAGGAAACTCCCAAACCTCTCATCCCATTGCACGGTCTCCTCTTCACCATCCCCACAACAATGGTACAGATACTGCTGCGATGATAGCTCACTAAATGCCTGATTTGTGACATTGTTAGCTTTGTGTATTCCTTTGCTGGATGGCATAGTTTTCCCATTTGTGTTGCTATTGTGTAAAGCTATGAGGCTCTAGACTCTGATGCTAAGACAATTAAATGGGAATGTAATTTAATCAAAGGAATTGATTGCAAGTTATTGGATTGTCCTTTGCCCAACAGATCAATCTTGATGGTTGTCTTTTCTCTCATGTGCTTAGTGCTGCCTGTGAGTCCTTTTGGGAACATTAGCCAGTCGCCGGTAGAGAACGGGGCTCTGATCAGTTGGGAGTTCTGGGGGCCGGAGAAAAACGTTTATGTAGAATACAAATTAAAGAACAGTAAGCACAGCAACACACCTTTGTTTCTGCTAGTTTCTCACGCAGGTGGCAGGAGACTCCATTACATAATTAGCTTGTGCAGGTGAATTGAAATATTGGCAGTCGTGTCGATGCTGGGTCCTGCCAACATGGACCCAGATGTGATAAACAAAGCTGTCTCTGATTGGATTGCTAATTTCCAAGTCCTGTAATTGACTGAAGTTTCGTGCATCCCCTTTGGAAACCCCCATGAATCTTCTATAGAGAAACTTTCCTGTACAAAAACGTAACAAAAACTCTTCTGATATCCACTGATTGTGACAGAAGGTCTCTCTATTGTTTCTATCCACCTGCAGTGAGAATGAAAAACACTGTGATGTTGTAGAAATACTCTCTCACATCTACTGTTTAATAGATTCAAATAGGAAATATCATAATCGTAGATCCCAGTCATTAGAAAATGTCTTCATCAAACACATAATCTTGTCATCAGCTGAGTACTCATCACAGACTTGGCCTCTACAGTGGCCCTGAAAGATCAGCAACTGCAACTGAAGAAAACACAAAAAGGCACCGAACAAAAACGATCGAAGCTCCTGGAAAGAACTTTTGATTTAAGACCAGCTACAAACTCTTCACAGGAGCTTTAAAGAACAAGTTTTTCTCAGATAAGAAAAAAAGGCATAAATATTTGTGTTTTTAAACTACACATTCACAAACTTGCAGTTACACATTGATGTGTAGCAAGTACATTAACGTTGTTGATTAGCTTTGTTTGGCATGTCAATGTGCTAGAACTGCCTATAAACAACAAACACAAAGTAGGCCACGATTAATGCTTGTGAGGTTGTCAGTATTTGTGCAAAATGCTGTTAGCACTAGCATCAATAATCCAAAGGAACCAAATGTCAGTTTGGACCAGTTTCATCAAAAGGCATTAGGAACAGCTGAGCTTGACTTTTGTGTCCTGCCTGAACTAGCACCATGCTAAATTTCATAGCAGCCCATCCAACAGGTAAAAAAATGTGACTGAAGGCTTCTTATTCTATGGTGCAACACGAAAAGTCAGAGAAGCCTTTAAATGATGTAAATTCATCATTTAACCAACAATAATGTCAATCCAATATCACCATTGGTAGACAGATGCACTAATGTAGTTGCCAAAGAGCCATAACAGTAGCATGGCTATTAAAAATGCTTCAATTTAAGTCAACTACAGAAGTAAGTTGTCCAAAGGATGGCGAACGTAGCCCTAGTCATCCCTTTTTTGGTTCAACTTAATCTTTGTCGTGTGCCTTCTCAGTTGCTGCTCAGTTTCAAGATCACAGAGCTTTCAGAGCCACCATAGAGATCCTATAATAGACTTAACTCTTTGTAAGTCCATCAGTTTCATCCATTTAATTTCAAATTGAATACGGACCTGCAGTGTAATCCCATGTCAGTAGATGTCATTTTCAAGTAATTAGTTCCCATCATACGCTGATCTCCATGACCCATTTGAACGTGTGTCTGCTCCCTCCAACGTACCTCTCTCCATGAACGTCCGTCTTGCAGGTGAAGGTGAAGAGGAGTGGCAGAGAAGGCTCGTGAATGGCTCTCAGAACTTTGTGCTGAGTGACTTAAAGGTGGGGCTTCCCTATAAAGTGCGTTTGGTGACCACAGGTCACCACGACCAGCCGCTCCTCCACTCTCAGGAGATTTTTGTCACGGTCCCAGGTGAGGCAGCTGGCCTTGCCTTGAATTGTATTGTGTGTAGAGTATGTTGTAGATTGTGGCGTTGTGTAGTCGTAAACCAGTCGAGCATGGGTTTTAACAGACATGTTGTGATTGTTCTGTTCTGCAGGCATGATCTGTAGTGGTAGACAGTGATTAGCAGCGTGCATGACAGTGTGGTTGAATTTCAGTTTGTTTTGATTCAGTCCTGTAGATTGGTAATTAGAAAAAGTGGATATCATTCTCATTTAGACATCAAAAACATGTTTAGTGTTTTAATATCCAACCTAATATCTCCCACAGTAGACCAGTGTGTTCGGTGTGTCTGTGTTCGTGTGTGTCTGTTTGTCTTTGTGTGCGCTTGTGAGAGCAGTATTGATTCCTAAATTGTCTACTAATGTGCTATCAATAATGCATTCAAGTCACCATTAGCTTGACACAGCAGATTTCTAACTCGTCTAATGTGAAAGTTGTCTTTCAGTAACAATAAGCAAATGTGATCCACTCATGAGCTGAACTCTCTAACAAGCCCACTAAAAGAACTACCCTTCACTTCTTCTTACATGTTTGTTTTGACTCATAGACAACTGTTCCTCCACAGCACAGGTGTAAGATCATCCAGTTATAAACCTTGTGTAAATATTGCTCTCTCTTTCTCGTTCTCTCTCTCTCTCTCTTTCTTCTTGCCAGCTGTTGCGAGCAGACAGGTGGACATCGCCACTCAGGGATGGTTTATTGGGCTGATGTGTGCCATTGCTCTGCTCATCCTGATTCTTCTTATTATCTGTTTCATCCAGAGGAATAAGGGAGGCAAATACCCCGGTGAGTAAGACAAGCACATGTCAGCACGGGCATGCTGTGCATATACTCTCCTAAACCATCATGCATGGATACAAGCCCACAGTTACATGCTTATCATGCCAATATTAAAGCTCCTGTGAGGAACTCTTAGTTTGTTTCAACTTTGGCGCCCCCTATCTTGTCTTTTATATTAGGGATGGACCGAATGGGAAAATCTTGGCTGAAACTGAATACCGAATATTAGAAACACTTGGCCGAATAACCGAATACTGAATAGCCGAATATGATTAATAAATATGTATATAAATTATGAATTTTTATCACCAAGCAATTTTTGTACAATTGCTGTCATTGCCATACATTTGTTTTAAAGCTACCTGATTATGGCAAAACCTGGCAAACTTAAATATTAATCACTTTATGTTTGAACCATGAAACATTTATTCAGCTTCAGCACATGACATAACAATGCTATAACAATAACATTCAATAAAATAAAATTAAGTAAATAACATCTTTGCAATAACAATACAAAAAAAGTGCAATTTTCCCTGTAGGATAGCCTAAAGTAAATAAAATAAAATGCACACATGCAAAATAAATAAAATAAATGCAGGTACGTGCATGCATATACATGATTGTGCAACAGTAAACACAAATCCAGGCCTGAGGCCTTCAACAATAAATGCACTTACATGCATGCACATACGATTGTGCAAACTTTTGTGCAGTGAGTTTCTTAAACTCGTCATGTTTGTCCTTATGTTTAGCGCTCAAGTGGTTGATTAGCCCCGATGTACTGAAAGTTTTTGCCGTCACACCACCTCGAGACACTTCAGCAGAGCAGAGTTTACAAATTGCCATCAGACCATCTTTCTCTGATATGTCGAAATATTTCCAAACCGCAGACATGCCGGTTGAACGGCTTCGAGCCAAGACAGCTGCACGTATCGTGTGCGTCGTATCAGCATGCCGGTGTTGTGCCGTAGAATGCACCCCTGACGGGAGCGCGGTTGAAAAATATAATGTATGCCAGCTTGACAGTTTACTGTACAGTTTATATACCCAAGCACACCTCCGTATGTGCATTTTTGAGACAGATAAAATCAGAACGAAAGTTGTAACGATCAAATAGTCGTGTTTTTTAAAATATGAGATCATTTTCTTCCACTTTAAGAAGCTAACGAGTGGATGGGAGGCAGGGGGTGCATTCTACAGCGGGGGTGCTTGCTACGGCACAACACCGGCTTGCCTCTTGTCGCGTTCCGATGACGTCATCAACATGCTACTAAAACAGGGAAAACAGCGCCGTCTGCGTTTTCCGTTTTTGAGAGTTCATTCTAGACATGTTTATCCACACTATTCGGTAATTTTTTTCGGCCATAACATCTATTCGGCCGAAAACCGAAAATTCATTTTTGATGCTTTTCGGCCGAATATTCGGACCCATCCCTATTTTATATGCTTAGGTGGTATCTTGAGACAAAAAAACAATGTATTCTGCTGACTTCTGACAGTAAAGTGTGTAAGTTAGTGTAAAGATTCTATATAGAAATGTAAAAAAAAAAAACATGGTTGTTTCCTCAGCTGACATCTACCTCTTCGCTCTGGTTTCAGGCACTAAAAATTAAAATCTCAAAATAGCCAACCATGTTGCTGATGGTTTTGTTTGTTTTTGACTATTATAAAAGGGCACCAATATAATTTTTAGCCTGTTTCATAAATAACAAAAAAACTCTCACATGAGCTTTAATTACATGTAATAGGATTCGAGGATTATCTGTTTTGGCCTTGAGCTTATTTGAGTGAAGCAATAAGTTAAAAGTTCTTATCAAAAGAAGAAATTATCAAATCATACTTTTGATTTTACATCCTTAGCTTTTGCTTTTCTTTGTGCCATTTAAGTGGATGTTGTTTTTTTTTTGTGATTTACAGACAAATTTATTTTAATGAGCAGCGAATGGGAACACAACCTATTTTGATCAAGGATTGTAGTAATAAACAACAGAGTCACATTTAGTTAGTTACTACTATAAAAAACGCAAAAAAAACCTCATAAACTTATACAACTTCATTACTGATAAACTTTACAACCGTATCTTGCTTTACTTTACAAGCAGTATGGTCTGATTCCTTACCTTTCTCTCATTAGTCAAAGAAAAGGAGGATGCTCACACGGACCCAGAGTTCCAGCCCATGAAAGACGATGACTGTACTTTTGGGGAATACAGGTGAGAGAAAGTGCTCTGGCCTCTCGAACCCCCAGAGCCCCCTTTTTTTACCCATCAACCCTTGCCCCGTCCATTCTTTCTGCTCAGATCTGCTCTCTCTGGCTGGGCTGGAGCTCTGCACTCCCTCCCTCCTCTCAACCTTTACAGCTGACCAATAACTGACCCAGGATCACCAATAACAGAAATACGACTCAATATAAAGGAGAAGTGCCACTCACCTGGACTTCTACCACCCTGAAGCACAAGATTTTTTTTTCTCCTGGGGTCTGGGAATCCTGGATGCCACTTGTGTTGGACTGTTACTGTGTGTTTGCCCAATATGACATTGTGGTGTCATTTGAGAGGCAGGAATTTTTCGAGCTGGTTTGGATGTTTTAAAATAAGACTGTCAGGAAAAAATATATAAGCTAGATTCATTTGCAACACTTTCAAACTAACCCAAGCATCAAAACCCGTTCAAAATAATAAGCTACACATAGATCCTGTGTACAGTACTCATAGTATTAACACTTTGCCTGGTGTATTGCTACTGATTTTCACAACTTTCATAGGCCTGGAATAGACTGAAATTACCATTATTGTTAACTTGAAGCATTTATCCAGCTGAGCTTGTTAGCATCCTCCCTCTAGGCTGCTTCTCCAATCGCACGCAGAAAAAAAAGCACTTTACTTCTGTATAGTTCGCATTTTTGAATTGTTTTTACAGGTCAATTTATAAAATGTCTTGGTTTTATATTTTGTATTCCTTTTTGTATTATGTATACATAAATCTGCTCTATGGATTTTATTCTGAGACAAACACATATCGATATATATCTATATAAAAATATGTGATATGCATGGTGTGAAAACCTGATATACCAGTATATGAAAATTTGCTCTCTTGGCAATAATGTGTTAAATGGTATTATTGTTTATATAGAGATATATAGTATATAGATGCATATGGATATAATAAGAAATTATCAGCATGTTTGAGGGAAGCAATCATCGTTGGACCAGGGCTGGTTAATGCTGTTTACCACAGGCCCGTAGCCATTCTTGAACAGTAATAATTCTCAAAGAATAAGGCTGGTGATGGTGTACAATTTTATTACAGTCAACTAAACCTTTTGAAGAGAACGAAAACAATGACCTCTCCACTTCTGTTTATGCTCCCTGTTTCAAGCCAAAGACTTTAAAAAAGGGGGGAAAATTACGGCTATCATTTAAAAAAAATGGGAAGCCATATAATATTCTTTAGTTTAATTACTTAGATATATGTTTTTGGGACTATTTCCAAATGTGGACTGGATAAGGATCATGGGGTTGACCTAAAACCAATCTGCAAACTCCCATGTTACATAATGGAGCCTATGTGGGGGTAAAAAATTCTGCAGTTCTTTGAGTGTCCACCAGGGGATAATCCCAAAGTAAAAGAAACCCCATTACAGCCTACATTAAGATGCGTATATTTACATCAGAATTTAACATGTTTTTATCCTGGTTTAAAAACAGTTTCAGTCTCTTTTTACTTCAATTCTCGATTGGCAACACTCCTGAGTGCCGTCTTTTAAAAACCACCAGTTATACAATATATGAGTCATACATTATTACAAATATGGGGCTGATTAAGCAAGTGGCTCATACGACTGCCAGGTGGCAAAACAGGCAGCATTTTCTCCTCTTTCCCAGTTTTAGCGTTCCCGATATGGCAACCCCCACCTCTAACTTTCATTACCATTCTATAGAAGGATGAAGCTGCTGTGATGTTCATGACACAGTCTGTGCTTCACTTCAATGTCTATTATAAAAAAGAGCATATTGACCAGTTGATGGTTTTCTCTTTGTCACAGAATAATAATGTTTGGTGGCCTTTCAAGGCACAGTCAATACTGTGATGACTGTTTCTTTACTGATTTGGATCTTTTCATTGGATTTGTTGACAAGATAAAAACTGTAGATCAATGCCAGGCTTATTCTTTCAAAATCGTGTTTGTTGAGGTAAAATGAGAGATCTATTTACACTGCAGGGGAATCTTTCAAACAGGCATTGACTCAGACCACAGTAGACAATAAATCACAAGGCAAAGTGTACATTTATTCTAGTGCCTTTGTGAAAGTATACTTTCTATCCACGCTGTTTCATTAAGCTCAGCTGGAATCTTGCAGTATGTCAATAAAGGCATCAGACAACTCAACTCAGCTGTTGTTGTGTGACTGCAGTAGCGCAAAATCTAAGTACACACTATATCTGTGCAGCGCAGGGCATATACGCCTGTTAGTGTTACGGTTGTGTTATGTGGGATCTCGGCTGGATCTCCTGACCTGATGGCAGAGTGTAGGTCTCAGTAAGGTAAGGGTGTTCTGTAAATCCAGCATGTGAGGAGGGTCAGAGGATAGTCGAGTCACTGTGGAGAAAAGTGCTCACTGTGTAATCTTCCTGCTTTGTTTCACTGCTGTCATCAAGTTTAACATCTGGTCATAAAGCCGTCATCATGTACCATGCACAAGAAAGTCTTATCTTCAGTTTTTACTGTGCTGGTTTTATCCCTGAACTGCATTTTTGCATGCTGGTTAATATCTCCTCGATACAGATCTGAATTTCAGCATCATGATGGCTTTGTGAACTTATCTCATCAATGTTCAACTCATGTATGTGGAATGTTTTCCAATATCTGATATCCAAAGAAAACTTTCTTTGCAGATTTTTCATGCATTTTGCCTTTATCTGTGATTATTATCATGCTTGCTTTGGGGGGATGTTTGGCTGAAACCTTGCTTTCCAAGTTGTATTCACATCACTGCCTTGAATTTTTCTGTTGTTCATCACAACCTCTGCCTTTGGCGGGAAACGCTTTTGTCAGACAACATTTACCACTTCATGTTTGGTTTCAGGGGGAATTTGAACAGGGTATCACTGCTTGAGCTTTATTCCCCTGTTGCCTGATGGAAACCAACTAATCATTCATAGCTGCCGTTTTTTAGACATGGAGCAATTCAAATTCAAATTTGCCTCTTGTTCAGCAGGCACGGTTGTTAACTTGCACACATTAATGAAACTACTGAATTTACAAATTTGAAAATTTATGACTCATTGACTGGAAAGAAATTGAGTTTGATTTGAAAGAAACTTAACCACTCACAGTTGAACTACGAGTATTCTGCGGTAAAACAGAGGTGCTCCATCTAAAAAAAAGTGATCACTAATCTCCTTGTTGCATCTGTCACACCATCTCACCTGTAACACCTGCATGTTATTTTCTCCTTCAGTGACAATGAGGACCATAAACCATTAAAAGGGAGCCGCACGCCTTCTAATGGGACAGTTAAGAGAGGCGACAGTGACGACAGTTTAGTTGACTACGGGGAAGGAGGAGACGGACAGTTCAACGAGGACGGCTCGTTTATCGGACAGTATAGTGGAAAGAGTGTCAGCAGGGACACCGCTGAGGGCCACGAGAGCTCAGAGGCCCCCTCCCCTATAAACGCCATGAACTCCTTGAACTCTTTTGTGTAGCCAGTCGGCCCTCTCAGACATGAATCACAACTGCTCGACCCTCGCATCCCGACACTGCTTGGCTTTATCCAACCCCCGATGCAACACATGACACATAAGATACACTCACCTCATCAAAAGACTCTTTTTCTTTTTGAAACCTGTGTTCCTCACCGTTTGTGTACCAAGCAGCATTCAGGAAGAAAGTAGGAAGTAGCTAAACCAGACATTTGACTCAAACTGTGCATGAAATACCTGATGTGACATAAATCCATTTATTGATTAACATTTTAATATTAACAAGTGTGGCATTCTTACCACAGATCTTACATGGACTATGCAGTGCTCATCTGAACTCTATTTGTTTTTGGTTATTTTATTATCTACTATGTTCAAATAGTAATCATTGTCTACAGTATATGACAATTACTCCATGTGCTTCTTTCAAACACAGAGGCTTGTACAGAAATCTGTATTAACAATGTAATCCCTTCATGTATTTCATGAGGCAGATCATGTGTAGTGTGTAAACATAGAGAACATCAGAAAACTGATGTGAGGAGCAAATCGCACAGCATGATTGACATTGCCGCATTGCTACATCCTCATCTGTCACCTCTCTGTTGAATGATCCAGCTGCACCTGTGATGGAGGAAAACGCTGCATGGCATGTCACACAGCCTCCATGACCTTTGCCCTGCATGTAACCTCCTCTAATTGAGTTTGACCCGAAGACCGCTAGTGAGGGCGCTCAGCTCGTCTCAGTCCCCCTCGGTGGGTCTTTGGAAGGTAGTGCCTTTTTGAAACAATCCTGAAGTCTCTTTTCATCAGAGTTCAGTGACTGGAACAGGTACGACGTCTCCTCCAAGGATGGGGAAGATAAGCTTAAGAAGAAGACTCTGTAAAGGGAGGATAATTCATATACTCCAGTCATCTTATTTTAAAAAAATCCTCCCGATGCCTTGAGACACAGGACTTGCATTGTTTCCTTCAAGAAACTCAACACACACACACCCAGGATCAGACTAAAGAATTATAAAAGTCATTGTGTACAGTATATGATTGTATTACTGCAGTGTGTGGATGAATGGGCATCTGTGAGTGTGTAGGTGTATGCTTGTGTGTGAATACTGTACATTATTCAGTTCCTATTATGTAAACATTGTTCACTTGTACTAACCGCACTTGAGGGCCTTTTGGACGGGATCAAGATTTCTTTTTTTCTTAACTTGTATCAAGTTTTTTTTTTTTTTAAAGAAGTATAGAAAATTTGTTGAATTTGTAAATACATAAATTGATTGTACAGGGACAAGCAGCTTATGCAGCAGCCTAAGAGGCATTATTGTGCATGATATGGTTTAACCTGTTGATAGGGCTGTATTGAATATAGAGAACATGTAGAGAATAAATATATATATCCATTTTTTTCTTGCTGAGCACAGTGTACATTGTACTGTAAGTAACTGGACAGAAAATTGCAAACAGTGTAAATCTGAGTTCTGATTGTTGCCTGATGTGCTTGTTATTAACTTGCATAAAGACAAAATTAATTCATGCACAGAATTATATTACTCTGATTTTTATTGGTTTTACATGTTTCCAATATATACTGCCAAAATGATGCTCTTTTCTGACAGTATTGCAGTTGATTTTGTATTTAAGAAACATATTTGTACTAACAGATTCTTTCTTTGTCTCTATTTAAGTTTCTCCTTTTAGTGCAAGTACAGAATTCAAGCTTCTTGAAATATAATTAATGAATAAATAATTATCTGCTTTCATTCCTGAGTTTCAGACTCTTTACTAAAAATTTCATTGCCCCCTCTCAAAATGGGTCATGCAAATCCTGTTATTCAGTTTGTATATGCTTAAGGGTCACATTATATAAACCCAAATGATTCATTGCATAACAAAAATTATACCACCTACAGGAACAGGAAATGCTTTTTATATATGTATATTTTTGTTCTGCATGAAATGTTCACAGTCAGGGTCCTTACATTAAAATCTTTTGAAGTTTAGGCTCAATGTACTTGACATTAGAGTCTTCAAACTGGTACCCGTGAAGGTGACGCAGAGGCTTTGGTTACAGGATTTGTTTGCTGTTCTAGCGGGTGAAGGTAAAGCTTGTTATCAACTCTGTTCCACACTAAGGAAGGTCTTTATCCAAAACTATTAAAAAGTGTGAGTACTGTGTGCAACATTTTAAGGGTTTTCTTTCTCCAATTACGGTGAGATTGAATGATGTTTGCTCAAGCATCTTATTTCAGCATTACTCAATCTACATCATAAAATGAATCCCAGAGTCTAGAGGATGAATTTAAGGCTAGAAGACAAGAACAATTCTTTGTCACAAGATTGCTGACATTTTTTAATATGTTAATATATTGCATAGTAGAGATTATGAAAACTTAATGCCCAAAAATGGATATATTTATTTGTGATGGTAATTTTACTTTGGTAGGGGTGTTAAACCCAAGCAGCAACCTCTGATGTTGCAAAACAAGGTCATTGTGAAAGTGCAAAAATCTGCCTCACTGACTCCAAAGGCTCACATGTCAAAATGGTTATCTGTACAGAAGAAGTTTAGCCTGGTGCAAAAACTGTTGAAGTCTCAAAATAAATTCTTGATTTGGCCACACAGCGTGTTCAGGATTTTCAATTATCTGCTTTAAAGATAAGATAATGAGCTCTGCATGAAAGGCATGTTTAGGGACACCTCTTTGCTCGGTCAAAGTGAGGATGAGTGAGCATTTCCAATATGGTGACTGCTGTTCAGTCGGATGAGAGACGTCACTGAGATATACTGCTAATGCAGAAAACTCGTAAGACTTCTAAAATATCACAAGGGATCCATATATATTTATATTCTCAAACCATAGATGAAACCTCAATTTGTTCCTCAGTTAGGATTTGTATTTTATGAGATTATTGTGTTGTGTTTTTATGTGTTAACAGTTATTTAGAACTGCTGCCTTGAATATGGCATCAAAACAGTAGTCTCCACCTCACTACAGTGGATCAAAACTAAATGCTGCAGTAAATATACTTGGTTACTTTCCAAATTTATATAGTGCTTGTGTTTTGCTGCAAGTGTTGGCATTAGGCCAATACCATCTCCTCTGCACCAGTTTTATTATATTTAGATCAACATTGATCTAAACGAAGTGATACCAAAGAAACATCAATTTTGACCTCCTCAAAGCTCCTTTAGGTTAAAAGGAGAGGTAACATTCTGGTACAACTGCACACACACACACAACCATTCAAACCAGATATACCTGACAATGCATACCTGCTTATTAAAATATACATTGAACTGTAACACTACCCTACACAGTGAGTGGAAGCTGAAGCCTTTATGGACGCCTACACCTGCTCTGGTCTTCTTCTGAGTGGAGCGGCTATAAGCTTCATGGAACACGACAGTTGGCCTCCATCTTTCTGGCGCTCACTTGTGGCACTTCCTCTTCCATTACAGTCATATTGTCAGGGTAATAGCAAGAGAGCAGGCTGCCATCTGGAGCATTATCACACCGCACTGGTGTCAAGAAGCAGTGAAGTCTGGTATCCAGTGTCTTGGATTTACTTTCTCTCCCTCTGGCAAGGACTCTATGCCTTCTGCTCATTCAGGTACACTAATTCCTTTTCATGGGTGAAATTGTTTGGGGACTTTCACGGCACTGTTTGCAGTTAATAACAGCAGTGATTGAAAGTGGATGCTGCTCTGCATATTTAGGAGTTAGGGTTGATGGACTTTCTAAACAGAGGCTAATTTTATGAAGGATGGGTGCCTCAGTGTGAGCTGCAGCTGTCTGCATAAATAATATTATTCAAGAAAAACGAGAAAACCCTTGAAGCAATCCTCTCAAAGAGCTGATGGCCTGGAGTTTATGGATTAGAATACATCCATTTGTTTTAGTTTGACAGTTCTCACTCTTGACTTTACTGCCACCTAGTGAAATCAGACAACTTCACTTGATGCTGGTATGAGAGACAAGCTTTCAAACACTAAATAAAAGTTGGAAATGCACAGGTTATTCAAACTGATCAAAGTGTGAATAACCTCAATGTTTGAGCAACAACTAAACTATTCTGTGTGAAGTATTTTTTTAAAAATCACATTTTGAGGACCTACCTTAAATTTTACCTGACATTCTGAGAACATCTAAGTCTATTTGGCTCTCTCCTGAAGTCCTTTGTTCTTATTTGCAAAGGCTTCCTGCAGGATTAGTTATTTACTTCCATGGCAACAGAATCACATTATTTTTTTTTGTCAAGTGATCATTATGGCCACCACACAAGCAGCTGTCCCATTACCTCTCTGAACTCCACCCAACCCCTTCTTCCTGACGCTCCATGCCAGCCTCTCTCTCTCCCTTTCATCCTCTCATTCCTCATCCAATCCTCGGTGGATTCATTCTGTGTCGGCTGCTCGTCTGCCATACCATCCATTAACCATTCCCACATCCTCTGCGTCCAGATCTATGATTTACTGCTGGGCAGAGAGCCTAGTTTGAATTGATCTATAGCTAGATTTACGTCTGCCCCCCAGTCTGCCTTAAATGGGGGAGAAAAGAACATAAATGGGATCTCGTCCTGTTTTCTAATAACCTTGGAGCTCAAATGCGCATCATTTGCATGCGAGATACTCAAGCGAAGGATGTGATTCTTAAGGATCTACATATCTTACACTGAGATGCTTTGCAGAATAAGCATCCAAATGGCAGGTATTATAAAAACACCCTCATTTAGTTAGTAATATTTTAAGTGTGTGTGGGGCTTCAGGGTGTCTGTCCTTTAGATGTAAGTGGCAGAGCCTTTGTGCTCTTATGTAAATTTGCCCTTTTCTGATGCACTGAGAGCCGGGGAGGATAATTGTTTATGATTACTCTGTGACATTTCCATATGGCTGACGAATGGTTTGTCAACGCACGCACACACACACTCACTAGAACATACACCTACGTCAGGATCTAGCTGTTTGGAGCCTAATGGAAGCTTTATTTAGCCCCAAATTGGAAACCCTGGCTATATGAAGGAAATCAACCTCACTGGTGAAACGGTATCATTTTTTCAACTGTGTGTCTCTGAACCTAAGGGCCCTCTTTTAAGAGGGGGATGGGTTCGGGTGTCGGGCTGATAGGGTGGCAGATATTGTTGCAATCCAGGATGGATGGTACATAAAGCGAAAGTGCTTTGTTCTATCGATCTGACACTCTCTTTCAACCCCCATATACTTTTTTTTTGTTATCATGATAGCATCAGGATTATAACCCTATCCACACATGATTCCTATTCCCCATTCACGCCCCCATCATTTCCCATGGGATACTTGTATCGGGTGAGTGTGGGTGGGGGTTTACCTTTGCATGAGCCCTGGTTGAGATCATAGGGGCTAAATCATATTTACCCTAACCCCTCCCTCCCTCCCTCCCTCCCTCCCTCCATTCTCTCCCTCCTCCTCCATGCCCCCCTTCCCTCCTGCTCTGTTGGGCAGATAGATGACAGCCACCTTTTCTTTCCTCCAGACAGCAGGGTGTTTGCTGTTCCTCTTATCCACCCAAGAGACCGGCCTCGAAACAGTGTTATTCACCAGCAGGATCTGTCTCTGTTTGCCCTGCCATGTTGTAAGAGGAACAAAAGTGTTTGTCTGTGGCATGAATACATCTAGATCTTGGATAACCACCACCACACAAAATAATATCCTTTTTTGGGTCCTGTATTATACTGTACTCCTTGAATGTTATAAAGTTGTCTTTGGTGTTATTGAATCCTTTTCTGCTTTCTGTGGACTGACACATTTTTCTGATACTTCCCACTAGGCTTGAGATAATGTCTTTTTTGTGTATTGACAACAGTTCCCATCCATAAAAAAGTCAGAATAATAAGGAAAGCCTCAGGGAACAAAACATCAACCTTTCATTTAATATCGAGCCACAACTTTTGTGTTAAGTCAGTTTTTGAACACATTAAAAAATCACTTCTTTTATATTTCCCCCAAAAAAATTCATCCAAGGGTGCTAAGTCCTTCAATTTATTCTACCCCGCTCTTTCTCAAAGATTCTTGCATTATTTATGGGCTGCCGCCACAGCAGATTATTATTTGCTGTGTGGTGTTTACATCCAAGATTTAAATCTAATCCCAGGGGATTGAGATGGTCTCATGTTTGGACTGACACACAGACACGGCGTTGTAATTAGTAGAGGTGCCCTTTTGATATCTGACTGATGAAAAACAGGCGGACAGTTAAAGTGCCAGCAGCAGTCACACTCATTTCTCATCTATCTACCCCCTAGTGGTGCCTCGTCTTGCAAATAAATTTATCTGCTCTTTTTTAACATCTTCTGGCTCTGAAACTTTCACACAAAAAGGAAAAAAATCAAACCAGCTTCAATGTCAAATGTGAGGGAGGTCTTCACCAAAAAGTGATCAATTGGGTCAACTACAAATACATTTTCAGCGTAAAATAATTCAACTTTAAAAGGAGAAAACTGTCTTTTTACTGTAGATTGTTGTTAGGATATGCTTTAGGTTTGTCCTGGTAAAAATAACTTACATGAGTCAGGGCAAGGAGGGATGACTCAAGCTCACACTAAGGCCGATGTTGAAGGATAAAACAGTCTTTAGGCCAAAATTAAGTAAGTAGAGTCATTCTGAGACTGCAGTCAAACAGAACTTAAGAGAGTAGAGCAGACAGGTCTCAAAAAGGTCAAGAGCAAAGCTGAGGAAACATATCCTAAATGTGAAATCTATGTGGGATATGTTGTGTATATTTACCAAAGGGAAACAGGTGTGAGGCAGAGTAGCTCCTGGACAGATCAGAAAATGGGTCTGGACAACTAGTGGACAGGTGAGGAATGACAGGAGAGGTGAAATTTACTGTCACCTCAGATGATCTGAGTGCCTCATCACAGCACACAATGTGAAAATAAAAATTAGAAACCTGAAACTTTTTATTTGTATGTTTCAAAATAAGTCACATTTTAACAGATAACTGAGCGTCATCTCTGCATCTGAGCCTATTTATACAACCACTTGACTGCACTTTACTCTGTGGCAGAGTTTTGATAGCTCAGGTTATGTTTTCAAGAGTTTGCAGAAACTACTACAACCAATTCAAAGTGAATGTTGGACTTACTTTCTTCGTGGTCAGAAGAAAAAGCACAAGATGAAGTCCAGGTACTCCTGTGGAACAGCCGATTCACAACAAAGGTAGGCGACTGTTGGCCGACGTATTTCTACTCCATGTTGCTTGTTTTCTCTCATACATTTAACAGTGGTTTGGCTCTAAGTTAGCTTACTTCACGCATTAACCCGCTACTACTGACGCTGAAAAATAAAGAAATCTGTCGTTGACTTCGTTAATACACGCTAATGCATAAATTTCAAAGTTGTTGAAACCATACAGTCTATGGTTGAAACGCATAACGTTAGCTTGAAGTTGATGTAGCCTAGCTAGGTAGCCCTCCAGTAGTTAGCCGTCTCATTCATTCACCCAGCTCACATTTAATCATCAACACTTCTCAGAGCCGGACAATGTTCTCTAAGTGACTCTGTATTCTAGTCTTTAAAACACAGTCTCAGATTTGTGTAACTGTAATTGTTGGCTATTTGTGAAGATGCAAGAAGGGAGGGTGTAATTGCTACTTTCTTGGGCAAATCTTGTCAAAATCAAAGAGGTATTGCATCTAGGTTTAGTGGCTCTAGATTAGGACCTTGTTTTCATAACCCTTACCATTAAGTTGAATCAGATAGAATAAGATGTTGTCCTCAGCATCATGCTTTTTTCAGCCTTATATAAATGTTACATATATTAGGCTATAGTGGAGAGTGGGGTAAGATGAGCCATTTTTCATATTTCAGATCACTACATCAAGGTAATCATAGTTTTGTCTCTAACTTGTGTATCTGCATATATTTCAAGATGTTGTGCATCCCTGCAAACCAACAGAATGAGTGTAAACATAACTGTCTTGGGAATATAGCATATAGCGTGGTCTCCTATGGTCAACTTACCCTGTGTATGGGGTAAGTCGACCATAGGAGCGGGGTAAGTTGAGCCGTATCCCTACTACCCCCAACTCTCCACCCCAGCCCTTCCTCACCTTCTCTCTCCCTAAATAACAGTCACTTCTTCACATTCATATGTATTTTTATCTATTATACCCTATTCATTGGTACAATAATTCTTGTTATTTTTATTGCATATAACTGTTAAAAAGCTGTTTTGTAAAAAGTCACTTAAACACGAGAATGTCTTAAAGTGATTCAGAACATTCACAGCTGTATTTTTGAAAAGAAAAAGTAAAACATTTCAACATGATGACTTTATTAGTCCTCTAAGATAAAATGGTGGACTTTTAAGCCAGGTTTTTGACCTCATGTTGTAGCTCATAGATGCCACAATTGATGTATTTAAAATGATCTTTTTTGGTCTGAACACAATTCTTATCAAACTTAGGACAGACTAAATTCACTTTCAAGAGTGAAAAATGTTTGTTTTTGGGAATAAGTTTCTAACCTCTTCACCCATGTGCTTCTAACCTTCACAGACTTCATGAATTGATGCACATCTCCTGAATATTTGGTCACATGATCAATTTCTTTTACTATTTCCAAGCAACAGGGGGCTCAACTTACCCCACTCTCCCCTATATGATCTATTTTAGTGTCTTAGTGCCATCATATTGGAGGATAACTAAAACGAGATCATCCGTACATTATATTTTAAGCTGGTGATTATGGTTTTAACTGAAGGTTTATGATGTTGGGAGTCTGTGCTGATAAAAAAAGAAAGCTTTTTGGTCTTTTTAAAAAGTTAAAAATCTGAAAGAACTAAATTGTTTGGGCCAGATAAGATTTCATAACCTTTTGATAAGTGATGCCACAGACTGTAATGTGTTTGGACAACCATTAATGAATGTTTTATGTCCCCAGGATATCCTCATGTGCTGCTGAGGTTGAGGATCCGGTGATAAGGTTCGGGGGGAATGAAGACCCCACCGTGGGAGCCAGTCCTCCATGGTCTTGTGTGGAAGAAGAAGGTCTAGCGCCCCCCTAAGTTGACAGTCGTAACCCTTCATCCAACCCACGGGGACAGGACCGCTGCTCTGTCAGTTTCTTTCCCCGCTCTTGAGCGCCGGGCGATGCGGTGCTGAGCAGGCGTGAGCATCGTGAAGGACACACGGACGGACGCGTTTGCCCGCTACGGAAGGTAAGGACACGGGCAGCAGTGGGCAGGATGAATTAAAGCTGCAGGTTTTGACATTATTTCCAGTGAAGCCGGGCATTGCATTTTGACAGCTGGGAAATCAGCGTTGTTTACAACAGACTGAGTGGGATGTGGAGATGGGATGGAGCTTGTGCGTCCCTCCGCAATGCAGCCAGACCTGGAAACGATTCTAGTTCTCAAAAATCTGCGTTTTGCATGTTTGTGCTGTAATGACAGATGCAAAGAGATACCGTGTGTGTAATACCTGACTTAGGGTGGTGTGGTGGATGTGATGTTGTTACATGAGCTGCTGCACATCCTGGCATGCACTTCCCTCCCCAAAAATAATCGATGGGTAGAGCAGATGTAAGGGTGTTGTGATTTGTTTCAGCCCCAAATAGCACACCTTCTCTAAAGTCTCAAGTCTGAGTATAAGATTCATTATTAATAAGACCTCGCCTGAGGCCATAGTCTTTTAGCTCCGCACATACCGATGATTCAAACTGCCGCCTGTCTTACAGCCAAGAGATTAGGAAGCACCCGACTGTAAACACTTTGATCTGGGCTGAACTGAAACGCATGTGTCGGTGTCGGTGCTGCGGTGGATTGAAACGTTTCGTTCGGCTCTGACATCTTTACCGGCAGAATGAGCTAAGGTACTAAGCAATGGCCCATTGCAGGGTTATTCCGGTAAGACGTCAGGTGCAGGAGAAGGTGTCATGGGCGCGTCCTATACTCACCAGACTGAGCTCCAGTGAAGTGGGCAATCTGATCTGGCTACATGTTGCCAAAGTATGATCTGGGGACCTCCAGACATTTTGGAGATAGGTAAGACGAATCCACATCATGAAGCTAAAGGATGGAGAGTATTTCTCATTTTAAGTCATCGTTGGAGAGGATGATGGAGATTTTAGTTCAAACCAACCTTAGGATCTGCATGACTGAGAGTTTGGATATGTATTCCTGTAATGTATGGGCAGCATTTCTAAGTAATTGTTTGCATTTGTTTCATCTTAATAGCTACAGTGGCTTTGCTCACTGCTGAAATGTCTCACGGTGGAGTTATTATGCCCATAGAGATATTTTCTTCCATGACCTTTCTATCTCATTATAGGTTGATATTTCTGTAAAGGCAGGGTTATTGTTTTCAACATGTTGCTCGGTTATTCCGGTAAGATATCAGGTGCAGGAGAAGGTGTCATAGGCGCGTCCTATACTCACCAGACTGAGCTCCAGTGAAGTGGGCAATCTGATCTGGCTACATGTTGCCAAAGTATGATCTGGGGACTTCCAGATATTTTGGAGATGGGAAAGAGGAATCCACATCATGAAGCTAAAGGATGAAGAGTATTTCTCATTTTAAGTCATCGTTGGAGTGGATGATGGAGATTTTAGTTTAAACCGACCTCAGGATCTTTTTGGATATATTCCTGTAATGTATGTGGGTCAATAAGGTTTTTAAAAATGCCAGTTTTATTTTGTATACAAAAATTTATGTTACATTTTCAATTTACACAATTTTAGTGTTTTTTCCTATAGATGAATTGCCCGTGGCCTTAAAAAATGTCATGTGGTGCGACCATAATTGATCTCAAATTTATTACATTTTTTCAACATACTTAAGAGTTTTTTAAATTGTCAGTAATATCAAGTAGATAGAAACAAAGTGTTTGCATTTTATTTGTTCATTATCTGTTATTAATGTTTCAAATATAGAAATTAGATATTTTAGTTTGTATTTAATACAATAAATGTTATTATTGGTTGCACCACATGATATTTCGACACTTTGAAGTTCAGAAAAATTACAAATAAGACCTGATTTTTGAAGAGTTGAGGTGACTACATATATGAGAGAGACACTACATATAGAAGGTATATTTTTGTGCATTTAAACCTTTTTTAACTTAAAAAAAAATACAGCCGGACAGAATATTTAGGCATCACGTCATTGACCCATGTGCATTTCTAAGTAATTTTTTGCATTTGTTTGATCTTAATAGCTACAGTGGCTTTGCTCACTGCTAGAATGTCTCATGATAGAGTTATTATGCCCACAGAGATATTTTCTTCCGTGACCACTCTATCTCATTATAGGTTGATATTTCTGTAAAGGCAAGGTTATTGTTTTCAACATGGTGCTCGGTAATAGCTTGAGTACACTGCTTAGAGGATATTTCTCTCCGCAATTGAGAGCAGAGTATCCTTTAAACCCACAGCATTCCACTGCGCTGTAATGAGTCTGTAATTTTGATTTACGATGTAATCAATAACAACAAACTGGAGGGGAATTATGACTCCTAATGGACCTCTTGGTTTTGCTGTTCACACTCGCAGGGATGTTTTGGTTTTGTGATGGGCAGAGCTGGCTTCATCTAGGCGTGTCTTTTTGGATTAATGGTTTCAAGGAGTTATTTGTCCCTGATGGATCGAAGTGTACAGATTGCGTCTCCACTCATTTAACTTACCTATGCATTGTAAAATAACGTGTACTTTTAGATGATGACCCCCCTCCTGCACCTGGACCCTGCACAGAAGTGTTTTTGACCCATATTTTCATGTCAGCATTTGTCTTAGTATCCCCATCTCACTAAATCAAAGCCATAAATGTGGCACAAAATGTCAAAGGGATTCCTCAGCCGACTGTCAGGTGGGCACTTTATGAATCTTGTAAGCCTGTGTGCTGCTAATGCATCCTGTGCTGTCCTGTGTACACCCTAAGGACATGCAGACCCTCTCCTTCATGCTAGGTGGATGAAATCACTCAGCTCAGAAGTAGGCTAACCTACTGTGTGCAAAAGCTTCACCTTACATATATTATTCTGCTCTGGACACATGGAAAATGAGCTTTAAATTTTGTCATAAGCTGCTCCCTGCCTGCAAATTAGCTGTAGGGCTTCAATAGTTTGCCCAGCCTGCATGACAAAAAAACTTTTTACATAACCCAGCGCCCTGCAAGATATGGATGTTCCGTGATGGATTTGAAGGGTACAGCCTCAGCCTTTATTAGTGTCACAGCCAAATGAATCAACTTAGCTGTACCCTTACTTCTCTGGTTTGATGCTCCAATCACACACGTGTGTCATGTATTGAGATGGACAGGCTAACCTCACCTGAGGCAGAAGATAGAGCTGTCTTTGACCTTCCCATTTTCGCTTCACTTCAGTCGGAATGCATTCATGAACATGTCTATGAAGGTGAGAGGGTTCGCTTTAACTTATCTGATGTATGAATTTTTTGGTCCAGGCCTGTCAAAGACACAGGGATTTTCCTCATATATTATTTGAATATTTTTTTATGTCCTTGAAATACCAATGTCTTGAGTTAAGCATGATTTTGGTACTCAAAGCAGATCCCTGGATGCTTGCCATCAAAGATTAAGGTAATTCTAAAGGCGTTTTAGGAGATAAGATTCGAGTCTAGATGTCCTTTCAAGTCTTTGGCAACAAATTCCCGGGCAAAGAGTCAAAGAATTAAAAGACCAAGATCAATTTTGTATGTGGTTTTTAAGTAGGCTCTAAACTGATCGGAAGTGTTGGCATTTGGCAGCTAGAGGACTAGTTTGTGTGATGCTGTTTGTTTTGCCACCCTGAATGTAGAGTAAGTCAAGCTGTTCAAACTAAGTACCTCATGACAACCTATGTCAATGTTCTGGTGAATTCAGGAGGAAAGGATACAGCATGAGGATTCAGGCCAAGCAGATGAGCATTTGTGTACATAAACACACATGCACAGATGCACAAACACCAGCAGCTTTTATTGCTGTAACTGTCTTCACTGCCTTTACAAGTGCTTCGCTCTGTCCTGCTGACAAAACATGTGGTGTTCTCGTCTTGATGCTTCCTTTAAATTGCTCAGCAATTTACGCGCCTGCAATCAATAGCGAGCTCCACTAATGGTACGGCAGGGAGGCAGAGACGTGACGTCTTCTGTGTTTGCCTGGAGACAGACCTCCTCTCTGTTCATGCCTGTAGAGGAGAAAGGGCCTCAGTCCCCATCTGCCATGCCTGGCTGTCTGAATGCAGTTTGCACTCAGCCTGCCATTGATTCCCCCACTGTGGACTCTGCTCTTCTGCATGCACGTGACCTGATAGATCTTCTGCGGAGAGGCTGAGCTAAGTGGGAAGAACTCACAGGCACAACGCTCTCACATCACACTTGTTGATTATCTGTCATATTTCACCTCTGTAAGAACAAATTACATTCATGCTGTGCTTTTATCAATTTTGTTATCATCATTTTGTTATCAGCAGTGACATTTGTTTTCTGAGTAAAGCTAAAGGAACCAGGTTTAAACTGAGGCTGTAAGTGAAGTTATTGAGAGACACTCATGTTAAAAAAGCTACTGTTTTATAAAAATGTTTGCAGATTTCAAGTGTAAATGCTTTATGTCTCTTAAAGGCAAAACAGTGCAGCTCTTCATAGACTGAACGTTGATGTGGTATTTATTCTGTGTTTTAAATATTGTATAGTAGAAACGATTAATCCTGAAAATAGGTCAGATTATTTGGTATCAAAAGTAATCCCCCTTTTTTTAGCCTTAATGCAGCACCAACATTAGTAGCCAGATGTATCTCTTAATCACCCTACATTGTTTTAGAAGTAAAGCCTGTCCTCTTAAATATGTCCGATTGTTTGACTGAGTCAGATTTGAGGTTCTGTTCCTGGGGCCACCAATGCCCCTTTGAATTTAACAATCTTGAATATTCACCCCCGGCCCTTCAGGAGGCTAGTTTCTTTTAACAGCCAGCCTGCAAATGAATAATCACTCAGCCTAAATGTGCACACAGATGCGTGTATGTAAGTGTGACTCATGTAGCTCTTGTGTGTTTCATGATTTCTATCTGCTACAAATAAAAGTATGAAATACATCCAGCAGAAACGGCCCTTCATGGATTCACTCAGAGGCATGAAGTTAAAAATAGATGTATTTGATATCAGCGACTGGATTTCTCTCTGTGTAGCATTAAAGCTCAAGAAGAATGATGTTATTCAATTTTAACAAAGCCTAAAAAAGTGTTTTTAAAGAAGTGGCTTGGCTGTTCAAGCATGGTAGATAAAACTCCACTCATGATACAACTTCAAGTGTCTTCTATCCAAGAACATTAATCTGTTTTTCTTCTTCTTATCAGTGATTTTATTTGTTGATAAGAAGCTGAGCTTCCTCAGTGACTTGTGTGGCCTCTGCGGTTTGTCGATCTGCCAAATGGATGTCTCATTCAAAATCCGGTTATTCCATTAAGATAATGTGGACCGGACAAGCAGGTAGTGTACGGATATTGTCAGTTATCTCTTCCCTGCCACTCAATGGGGGAAATAAGATGACATTGATCAATGTCACCAGAGTTTTGGCATGAGGCAGGGAAATGACTCATGCCCAGTGACAAAAGGTTTGTTAGTGGTCAGTGTGCTGAAGGTAAAAAGTTCACCACTTTGAAATAACTTCAGTAATATTCACAGAAATCATTTATTAATGAAGCTACTGATGAACTGGGTGAATGATAGATGTCCTGAGTGATTAATTTATGGATTTACAGGCCATCTGTGTGTGTGTCTGATGGTTTAGTTTGAACTGAGTGTCTTCAGGACATGCTTTTGGCTGCGTTTAAGAACAGTAGAAAGAAATCTGAAACTAGGTTACACTTGACAAGATTTCACTCCTTTTCTCTGATTTGTCGCTCGGGCTTCTCTGAGATATTTTTAGACTGTACAATCAAAGTAAATCTTTGGGGATTTATGGACTCAATTAGAAGGAGATTACAAATGTGTGCCCTCTGCCTGCTCGTTCCTGTTAACAGCCTGATCAGCCTTTTGGAAAATTTCACATAATATTGACTTTTTTTTTCTTTTACATCATGTCAGCACAGAAAATTGTTTGTTTGCCTATTAGCAGGGACCCAATCTCACAGGTTTATGGCTATTGAATTTCAGAAGTATCAAGGCCTGTTTGCTCATCAAACAACTAATTACATTTTGGTTGTTAAGCAGCGCTGTAGAGGTCCTACCCCTGTAGGTGTCAGATTTCCTCTTTTGCAATTATTTTACATTACACTGAGCAGAAATGTTGGGATACACAGCGGACTGACTTCTCTCACGGGGGTCTTGAGCCATCTGTTTGTACAGCTTTGCATGCGCACTCGGATATGCATTGTTTACAGTGCTGTCGAAGCTGTGCAGTCAGACTACACTGTACGCTTTTATACTCCTGCAATAGATCATAAAGATTGTTTTTTTAATTATTATTTTGCATTATGATTAAGACAGACATAATGTAGTATATGTTTGTGATGTTGTCTTCATCCCACATCACTTTTTGAGTATTTTAATCTACATGTATTTTAGAAAAGTATTGAACCGTGTTGTAGAACTACTGTAATAACAGTGGTTGCTTTTCCTACCTAAATACATTTAAATCCCTTGATACACAGTGAATTATTTCGTTACCGTCGCATGAAAGCTTGTGTTTAGCATCATTGAGGAGATTAGATTACCCCTGCAGCCTTCATCAATGATACTCTCGGTAATGGGCTGCATTGTTTCGGACTTAATCCACTGTAATCTCAGTTTATCGGTGGATTGAGAAAGCTTACTGTAGTTTCAGCAGCTTGCACTGTTATCTTATAGTACTGGGGATAAAGAACAAGCCCAGAACTGTCCAATTAGGCAAGAAAGCATCTTCCTCACCGGGGCAAAGCTACTCTTGGGGCCCTTGAGCAAGGCCTGTTGCTATGGCGCCAGGATCATGTGTAGAAGACAAGAACACAACTTCATCCACATGCTAGTTCAGTGTGCAAAACTCGCAAGTATAACCAGCTTCTTCTGTTCTTCTGCATGTTGCTATGTTGCAGTGGTTTATGCTAGTTGTCAGCTCAGCCCTGTTGCTGTGTTAGCATGCTAAACCGGAGACAAGAACTCCCCCAGAGGTTTGTGCTGAAAATAATGAATGACTGGAGGGGGTCAAAAGGGGTTCTTCCACTAATCAAAAGCATCCTTGGCGAGAGGCATACCAGTTCTTTAGCTGGCTGACCCCTAGCCTTCTGTGGGAGGGACTGTATGTGTGAGAGGTGCATGGGTAGAGGCTAATCGCGCAGAGAGCCCAAAGGCGAAGGCCTCCTTGCACGTGGGATGAATACTGAAGAAGCTGAGCTCTTGGGAAGCCTCATTATACATTTAGGGGCGTCCTGTTTTCCCTCTCTCTGGACAGCTGGACAGCTAAATTGTTTGTGGATCAATAGTTTAGCTTCCTACTGGCTCCACAGAGTGAGTGAAGTGCATTTAAACCTAAGAAATCCCATTACGCTTGGCAGAGATGGGAAGCATAGCACTATAGGGGCCTCGGCAAGTGCTATTGCCATGCCCATTATTCAATCTCCCTATTTGTTTACCTGCAGTGCTTCTGCTGGGACCACCCAAACTTATTTAAAGCTCATGTTATCAGATTTTTTTCGATTTTTATACCCAGTCCCGGCCATGAATATCCTAGCATTGTATTCCCATTTGGTATTCTTCTAAAACAATGCTACGAGCACTGTGTTTTAAATCATTTATCCGATGCTGTCAGTTTTTGGGATTTTGCTGCTTATTATGACCAGAGCCTGGCTGCAGCCTGTCTGTATTGATTTAAAAGTACTTTTAAAAAGCCTGGTGTTTTTCAGTTCAGCACTCTGGTTATGTAAAATGCAGATAGAGAGAAGGGGTAGAAAGAAACGCAAAGGGGTTCCAGGGTATAATGAGAAACAGAGGGAAACAAAACATTTGGAGCTCCCTCTTCATTCCTTAGATCAGTGTAACCAGAAATAAAAGCTGTGGCTGGTGCAGGCTCGGGGCTGTGGGCAGCCGCTGTCCTCTCCTGGCTCTCTGGCTGTGCTGCCGGTGCATTTGTGTTTCACTGGTCAGCCTCCGAGCACCCGGGCCCAAAGCTGCATCCCTACATGAAGAGCCCATTGATGCCGGCTACATTAGCATTCGCTGCGGGCGAGCACGACAAACAGGTTGGTCTCCCGTTTCACACTTACAGACCTGTTCTCTCTGGATGCTCTCAAAGGGCCTTAAATCACCCCACTTGTTGCATAGCTAATGTGCGCATGAAAGAGGTCAGACAATGCCTATGTGGCCTTCTTTGGTACTCTTAGTTTAAGGCCTTGCTTTGCCAACTGCCACGTAATGGCACCGGTTTTTCAGCTGGAGTGACACTGTCACATCTGGCTCGCAAACGCACAAGGCGATGACGTAACAATCTGCGTCATGCCCTCCCTTTAAGTGCTAGCGGGACAATACACCAGCACTAATAGCTTCCGACAAACTAGCCTAAAATGTCCCCAAACAAAAGTTGTTCCCTTTCAGTTGGCATATCATTATTCAGCTCCGATCCCAGCATTCGGAGGGAATCTGGCTGACTTATGCATGAGACTTGTGCACTAATTATGCTGCAGATTTTTTCCCCTTCAGCTGCAGGAGCTTCTGTTGCAATCTGCTAATTCATGCTGCTGACATTGTTATCACAATTTTACTTAGCAACAGCAAATTGCCCCCGAGAAGACGCAGGCCCCCATGATAAATAACACATGCAATGTTGGTGTTCACCATCTCTGTTTTTAATTAACATGAGTCAGATGACTACTGTTTCAGCAAGTCACGCTGATGCCAAGAGAGAGTAGGAGAGGCCAGCTTCTCATTATGGATCTGTTTCTCCTGGACACGTCTCTCTCTCACTGTGGAGGAATGTATATGAACTGTAAACAGGCAGATAAGGGAGATGCAAATGGAGATAACCCTCTTATTGCTCTCATTACTGGGCGTCTAGACGGAGGGAGGTGCGAGCAATCACAACATCACTTCCCTCCTCGGCTCTAATTAACTCTCTCATTATTCCATGGAGGAAAACAAGCCATGTATGCATATTGATGGAGCATCTTTTCAGAGTTCAGTAGAGCAGACTGCTGGACAGCCTCCATACTGTGTGTGTGGACGTGGTGGTGAAGTGTGTCAGTAGGAAAGCGGCCTTTGTCACGGGTTGGATTAATTCATGGGGAAGGTGTAATGGCAGTGTGTGAAAGAAAGGGCATCCAGAGGTGAATCTGACCCGAGGAAAGAGCACTGAATCCTTTTTTTATTCTGGTGCTCTTTCAGTGACACACACACACACACACACACATGTACACACACACACCCTACCCAAGCAATACTCCGGCTCTTATCTGCAACACACAGCTCCACTCATGCTGTACACACAGGGCCGTAGTGTGTGGAGGACAGACTGAGTGAAGGGCACAGCATCATAGTCAGACAAACAGACCCCTATACACACTCACAAACACACACGCACATACACATACATGCACAATGGATAGAAAGAGGAGGGGGGGGTTGTACTTTCTTAATTCCCCTGCACCAGAGGACGGCAAGACAAAGCGAAACACTGCTCCTCTGTGTGACCGTAGGGGGATGGAAAGTTCTCTATATTAAGAGACTGCTGGAGCACTTAATGTCATTCACATTGACCCGTGACCAACCAGATTATGATTTGACTCCAGCACAATGAAATGGAAAGGTTGCAAAAAAAATGAATGCAGGCACCTTTTACTGTATATATTATTAGGTTTTAGTTTCAATAATTGATGAACCATATGTCCAACAAAGGTTATTCAAACATAACCAGAGAATGCTGGCAAGAAGAGAAATAAAGATATAACTGTTGATGCATCTGATCACAGCTACTGTGTGGACCTCCAGGCTGGTTATAAAATTGGTTGAAATCAATACTTATGACTCTATATGATTAAAGATTGATGTTTCCATGGAGTCGTTTTTAATATCTGTAACTAGGAAAGTCCTGAAGCGAACTGGTTATAAGCATAGACTGTATATAGAATGGACAGAGTCTGCCTCCTCGCTGGGTGAAGCCACCGTGAGAACAGCACCCTCTGGTGATTGGCTGCAGAGCAGGTCATAAATCCCGCCTCCTCCAGCAATCCCTATGGAGCTGCTGCCAAACTTTAGAAATTATTTAAACAGAATATACATTTTTCTCCCCCCTGGTTGCGATGTTGGTATGTAGTTATTGTAAGACTGGTTTGTGCTCAAGTCCTCTTTTTTCTGTACAGCTCCATTTTTAAAAGTTATTAGGGGGTTCATGTTTTCTATGATTGACACTTGATACAGTCTATGGGTGTATGAAGTTTGCTAAGCTTACCTGGGGGATGCGCTGTTTGAGCCGAGTGTCATCAGAGCGACTCTTGGCGACTCTCTCGCCCAAAGTGGTGGTTCCAGTAAGTGGAGAAAATTCCGGACGTGCCGAGAGCAATATGACTTCAAACTCGAATAATGGCGGAGGGCGGAACCAAGTGGTCCATAGTATATACAGTCTATGGTTATAAGCCATTTTACTAGATACAGCCTGCATACATCTGTCTCTGTTTTCTGATCTGAAGCCTCCCAAACTGTGCTGCACTCAAAGAAACTCTCTGTGCTTGTTTGCATCTAGGTAGTAGAGCATTATAGCATTTTGAGAGTAGCCATTGACTAGTAGAGTAGAGTAGCCAACTCTGTGCCTGTAATTACAACAAAAGTATTGATAATCCCCTGAAACCTCCTGGAGTCTGGAAAAAACTAGCTGGAAGATTATGTTTTGACGGTAAACTGCAAAGTAATACCGTATATTCTATTCATCAATAGTCTTAAAAACACTGTAAATGCTGTTAAAACAAGAGTAGTGACAAGAATTCTTACAAAAATATTTTAATAAGTACTAAAATGTTTCTCAAAGCTGTAGTTTTACTCAGGCAGAGGCATGAATAGAACAATGTAGGTGAAAGGGCCCTGTGAGTTTTCTAGGGCAGTCTAACAACAGCATCTGTTTGAGGGAATAATGTATGAACAGTCTCTTAACCTAGTTTAACTTTGCTGCTGCCACTGGAGGAAACTTGTTATCGGAGAAGTTTCTTTATCACATTTGGACTCGGTGAAAATAAATAACTTCATAACCGTAAAGCAACGATTTCCTTCTGTTCAGGGATGTTTGCTTTGAGACCACACTTTTAGCCTCAGAACTATCGACTGAGCAGGGCTGCTTGATCATGGGAAAAAAACATAATTCTGACTATTTTTATTGATATTGGAAGGAGGATTATTGTACACGATTACATTTGAATCGGCATCTGCATTACATGCTTTCATATAACTTTGAAACTCTTTAAAATTGAAACACTCTGACCAATATTGATGAGTGATAAAATTACTCATCTTATATTGCTTACCAGACTGATCTGAGCTCATGATGACAAAGTGAAGGTGAGAGCTGTCACGGGGAAAGGCAGAGCGCACGCTCTGAAGAGAGGGAAGGTGAGTATCATTTACCATAAAGGACAAAACAAGCATGAAACAGTAGACGGGATCATATTGGTCAGTTTGGATCGTCATGTTTGTTATGATCATGGGGAATCAGAACTGTAATCAAAATTGAAGCCCAGCTTTGTACTGAGTGAGTTTCTCACGGTCTTTCATCGTGATCTAAGCACTCCCTCTGTTGTTCTTGTTGTTGGTTGAGTGGGCACCTGTTCGACTCTATGCGCCATGATCACATGATGTGACTTGGCCAAGAGGAACCAGATGACTCAGGTTTTTGCACAGGCTGTGCTCATTGTCAGTCCATACACACACACACGTACAAACACATACACACTCTGCTTATCAACAGGCTGCCTGACTGTGACCATGTGCTCAGAAGTAAACACAGGTGACTGAGTCTGTTTACAAAGTCACTGTGCACATGGAGGTAAACAGGGGTTGATGCTACATTTAGAGACGATGTTTATCCTTTTTTCCAAAGTTCCTACATGCAATTTAAACATCCTCTTTTGACAAACCTAGACGAGAAAGCATTAATAGGATAATGTGTCCACACTCCATTGTCTATCAAATAATGGCTGGTCCCAGCTGCTACACTTAGGCTCTTGGCGCTGTGAAAAAGGGCTCGTGCTGACTGTTTTAAATCGAACACTGGACTCCTCGAGGAAGGAGTGCTCCAGTGCCAAATAACAGGGGAATATTATTTTACACATAAATGCACCCATTGAGGGAGACAGTGGAGCTCGCAGTGGCGCAAGTAGTGGAGGAAGACTTCCTGATGGGTGGGCATGAATATGCATGGCCTGGCAAAGAAGCAGTGGCACAGACTAATACAGTATGGCAGTCAATGGTTTCACAGAGCAGGCACTCTGTCATGGACTTTCAACTCTGGAGGAGGTGTCTGAGCCTCTTGTTCGAGCTGTCCATGCCCTCAAGTGCCACTACTACAATCTGGGCGAGAAAAACCTTGTAGGAGATCAGATCTTTCCAGTTCACTGTTGTGTGAAGTTTTCTAATGTTTCCTCACTCAAGTGTTTATTAGTGAGGGCTTGAGGTGTTTCCATTTTTAAATAAAAGATTGTCCTTGTGTTTCTTTTTGGGATCCTTCAGTTATGACTTATTTTAATGAACACCCAAGTAAACAAACCAACAAATGCACCCTGAAAAATGCCTGAGATTCTCTAAAACCTCTTCATTTTGTCCAGAAGAAGTATGTCACCCAGGCAGCAGCAGTCTGGCAAGGAATTTGTTTCCCTCCTTTTATCCCTTTCAGGAATAAGCTGTCATCCCTCCACATCTGCCTATGAGAGAGATTAGGAAATAGGAAACAGCACAAGTAAACAAATATGTGCAGAGCTTGCTGTCAAGTCCTGAAAGCTGCAAATTGCACAATGCTGCCCTTGGCAATAGTGCTCCTGCTGCAACGTTGAAGCTACAGTGGTGTTGGCTAACACCAACTGTAGTTTCAGTAAATTAAATCATCATTCCCAAAACATCAGCGCATCCATCATGCTTCTGTTTTCTTCTGGGTGTAGCTTCAAGTTTTGACATGAGCATGTGTTTTGAAGGTCTTCTTTAAGGGGTGAGAACCTAACCTAGCAGGATGTAGCTGTTTGGGAAAGAGACTGTGTTTTGGTTTGATATAAAGCAGCAGTTTGAGATGTTTGTGGATTTACAGTTTCTCACCAAGACCCCTTAAAGCTCTCGGCACAAAAGGACACTTTTTCACTTTTTAAAAGGGTCTGTGCAGAGCAGACTCCTTCATAAACAGAGAGCCTTTTATGACGGTGAAGTGAGTGACAGTCTAATGGTAAAATTATATCCCTGCTGGGTTCTTTTTCTGTGAAGTGGGAAAGAAAAGAAAAAAGCACAGTGACATGATAATGGCTGGAACTCTCCACATTTATGTCACAGAAGCTCTTTAAGTCAGGAACTTATTTTTAAGGATGTTCTATAAATATTTTCTAATGTCAACAACCTTGTGACTTTGGAAATATACAGAAACTCTAACAGCGTTAGCTTATTTATCTTACACTCCATTACTCTGCTGCTTTGTACCCCAGTGTGTACGGTGTTTTAGATTAGGACGATGGTAAATATTATTTGTTATTTAGGTTAAGGTAAATATCATTGTTATATTTTTAATGTAAATACTAGTGTTTATTTTATTTTATTATGATTCCTTTAGGTCTTAGTTAAAGTTTTTTACTGTTTGTTCTTTATGGCTGATACCGGGTCCTCAGTTTTAGTTTCAATCTTTTTGTTTGCTGACTAGAATGACAAATAAAACCTTTGAATCCTTATTTCTATTTTCAATAGACTTTCATAGGTTTCCTGAACACACATTCATGGAGGTCCTGCTGGTTGATTAGTTCTTTCTCTAACATGCTTTAAAGCCAAACAATTTGTTTGACTGCATTGAAAATACCAAACTGGAAAAAAGTCTTCTCTCATATTTCCAAGTAAATAGGTGCAGTGGTGGTCAATCAACAGAGAGAAAACAGAGAGACAGAGTAGAGTTGAAGAAAACATAGCAGTAAAAATGAAAGTTAAGACTTTTTCTGTGAAGTAATTTATCAGCATGAAGCAGAACAGACTTGTTAGAAATGGAACATAATATTCTTAAGTGCATTAAATTTGTGTATAATTATCTGAGTATAATTGATTCATTTCTTATTCTGCATCAGTATACCCATGAATATACATATGTATTCATATAAATACCTATCTAAGGAGTGGATCTGCCACCAAGAGGTTGCTACACAGTCGCCCTTTGAGAACGTACTGTGTTCACATCTTTGCAAACGTGCAGGAAGGTACCCGATTTTAATGTTGTGCTTCTTCTATTTCCTCTATTCAAGACACTCAAACTCTCTGCATTCACAGGTTGGCATGTACTGGAGTTTGTTTGTTCCTTTTGGCATATAAGAAAGACAGATGTCATATTAAGGTCTGTTGCAAGCAGACTGAGATTCAAGGATGTCAAATGGACCCATTTGTGTTTTCTTTTTTTTCCCGTTACTTCCTGTAGGCTGTGGACTGTCAACAAGAATGATCAAATTAGTAAGACAGTGAGAAAACACAGACTTAGTGGGTACTCACGACTTGATGTCATACCATTGTGGTACTTTGATATCTACCATGAACTGTGGTCGAGTTTAGTCCATGCCTGATTCAAAGACTTGGTACAAACAGTCATATTATTAAGTCCTGTTTTTTAATGATTGAAAGGAACAGGTGCTTGGCTGTTTGAGTTTAAATGACAAAAAAACAGATAAAAGATATTGACTCTTTGAAGAAGTGGACAGACCAGGGTGTGAGCTCCAGACAGGCTGGGTAAGTTAGATAACACCTGACAAAAGGTAAGAAAACAGATTACCACCAGATTTGCACATTAAGTGGGATGTGTCTGTGTGAGATAATGAGGGGAACAACATCGTATAATCATCCTAGTTATCATGTTGATTGATTTCTGCAGTGATACTGAGGTGGAAAGGAGATTCTGCTGTCTGGATTTAATGAAAGTGAAATCAATCAGAGCACAAGTCGATGTGGATGTGATGCTGAGGCTGTTTATAAATGCGTGGTCACAACCAAAGCAGCGAGTTCAAAATCTAACCTTGTGTCTGAACTTTGGTGAAGCCAAAGCTTGTAAAGCTTGTATACTGATGAAATACCACATTATAAGCTGATAGATACAGATCATACAAGGATGTATTGGTCTGAACATTATTGCCCATGTAGAGAATAGCCAAGTATTAATGATAGCTGATGTTGTTCCTCTGCCTTTCTCATAAGGATCTCCTAACAGGAATACTACCTATGACGAGGAGGCAGGATTGTATTTGCAAATCAATACCGTTCGATTGATCCGCCCTGTCTGACTCAGATTTACCTGAGCTCCACTGACACACATTGATTCATCTCCTGATGGACTTCATTCCTCACACACTATTCTTGGTGTACCAACACAAGAGCGGATGAACTCGTACATATCGGTGATTGGCTGGTGTCTCTGTTGCAGCCATACATTTGTCACTTTATCCGCCTCAGTGAAAAGCATTTTCTTTGGCTTGTGACTGACGTGCATTGTGTTTGTTACATGGAGCGTACATGTTTTTCTGCAATTTTACAATCAGGCTTGCTGGTGTTGAGAAGTTGCAGCCGGTGTTGAAGCGAGGAAACACTCGTCTGACATGTCGACTACTCACTCACTCACACACCCATCCACCCACACACTCACTCAATCGCTCTGGAGTTGCTGGGTTTCTCTGGCAAAGCCTTAAAAATTGAACAGTGTGTGGACGAGGGGATTGTTTGGTTTGGAGCACAGCAGCGGAAGGTAAAGATTGCAGCCATTATACACAGACAATCACTCTTGTGTCTGTACATAGTGACCACTCCAGGACTCCTCTGCTGAAATCTTCTTAGCTGCAGTGTGCTCAGTCTTCAGAGCACACTGGGTTAATGAAGATGAAGCGGAAAAGGAGGGATTGGGGGGTTAGATGTGGACCCATTCTGTTTTTCTCCATGCTGTAATGTGCACTCACACATAACAAGACAGTCCGCTGTTCTTTGTTCATATATACCCACTCTGCTGTACAAGAGAGATCATGTTTGTTTGCATTTGTTTAGAAGTAAGTGAGAGGGGAGTGAATCCATTTCCTGTAAGGAGGGAGACACAAACACAGGTCCTGGATTCTGTGCCGTGACCTTGTTTGCTAATTAAGTGTCAGACCTATTTTTCCACTCCAGAAAAATAAGCTCATATCTAAGGGGCTTGGATTGCCAGAAGGCAATGGAAACAGTCATTTCGCCACTGTTGGCTGGCTCCTCTTCAGAGTTTGTGTGGGAGTGTGTGTATAGGAAAAAGTCAGGAGATCATTAGAGATGTTTCTGTACTGTATGGTGGCCCTTTTTCTATGAATACTGCATAAAGCTGTGAACTAAGATGTAAAAGCCAAGTGCAATGCTGCAAAGATGTCACTGTGACTGTCACAGTTGTATCGGTTCCAGTGATCTCCTCCACAAAGGCCCAGTCTGACTCAGTCTGGATCTCAACACAAATTGGTTCTATAGAAGATGAACAGTAGAGCTGGGTACTCGTCACATCTTGTGATATGTCTGCATGTATATTAGTCTGGATGTAGCTTTGGTTATCCTAAAGTCCCACTCTGATCTTTTTTTTCTACTACTTAAAGTCTTCTCAGTGGTCTTTAAATTGTGATTATGACGTTTACCTGTGTCATTTTCAAGGTCTTATCTTCTGCAGAGCTCCAGTAGCTCATTAGCAATTCGCCTCTGAGTTGTGGGCGGAGACAGTGCTGCTTTGCACACTCCTCTTCATGTTGACGTGCAGCCTAACATTGTCAGTGCAGCAGAAGTTGCAGGTAACATAGGAGCTATTCAGCTCTTGGACACTAATGTCTTTTGGGGCATGATGAAAGATAATATCATAATTAGCTTTCTTACGAGCATTGCCATCCGCTAACGCACACTCTAGTTCCACGATCGTCCTCTCTACTTCTTGGAGTCTGGCCTGCAGAACAGAGTGCCGGGGGCGGAGCTTGGATTTGTGACATAGGAAATCTCTCTGTGTCTGAACCTGCTGTTCCGGTCTGCCAGAGGTTCACAGTGATTTGAATGAAGAAATACTCAGAAATGCAATTTTCCTCCTACTTTTCTCATGACATGTCCTCTAGCGGCAGAAAAATGCCACATGATAAACACATCATCATACACTGTAAATGTTATATGAAGTTACTTCTGAGATGTTTACTCCCCAAATTATTTAAAATGAAGACTGCATTTCCCATGAGCACCATCACCCTCCATCATAAATATGTGGCTCATGTCAAAGCAGCATTTGTAATTCAAGCAAATGAAATACAGATTTCCTTTGGACCACTATTTTCTTTGTTTGCATCCTGGTTTGCAGCTTACAAAAGGTTCAGTGTTGCATGCCACAGCTCCAGTCTCATGATGTGTTTTGCAGTAAGTGTATGGATACTGCAAATATGGTTCTCTCCTTGTCTTTACAGGGAAATGCAGCATTTGAACACTTAATCCAGGAGTAAGAATACTCCTAGACTGAGAGGTTGAGGTTCTTTGGCAAAACAATAAATTAACTGAAAACATGTTTTTTTGCTAGTTCTGCTCTAGTAACAACCGACAACAGAAAAAAAACCCTCCTCTTGCTTGTTAACTTTCTTCTCACTGCCAAACTTTACCAGCAGAGATCTAAACACAGTCACTTCAAGGTGAGTGCTGAATATAGACCCAAACACAGGCGCTGAATTCAGTGTCAGGAAAAAAACAAACTTTTGGCAGATAATCTCGTTTTACAATGTAGGTCATGAAGAGACATATTTTTCAACATAAGTTAAAATCTCTTCACATTGCCTTCAAAAAACAAAATTACAAGTCTAATAGTTTGGCTCTTCCCCTAAACAGATAAATGATAATTGATAATATGACTGTGGTTGCTTCCAGTTAGCTAATCCAGACTTAAACATTCAAACTTTAAACTTACACACTAACATTATAAAGACATGAAAATGCTATTTTCTCTTTCATTGATCCACCTCAGCCTTTTCTAACACTTCTGGTCAATCCTACCAGCTTAAAAAGTTATTTCCTTGACATATTTCCTCCTGTCTCTTTGCATCTGGCCACTCTCTTTACATTGTATGTGTTTTGTTCATTGAGCATGAAAATTGGCCCATTTTATTACGCCCTCCCATGTCCCTCAAGATGCGGCGCCTCTTACGCTCAACACTGAGCAGAACTCGCTGACCCTTCCTCTGAAGGCCCCGTAACTCTGCTGCTGTAAGCGAACAACACATCTCACCACACATGTATTGTTTATCTCTATTGTGGTGGACGTTGTTATATGCTAATGCTGCAGGGCATGAAGGATTGTTAGTCCACTCCTAAAAAGAGCAGCATTGTGCGTGTGTCACTTGAATGCCAATGTTGACCCATTTATGAAGACCTGGGTCAAAGGAGAGACAGGCTAGCCATAGCATAGGGCGCTTATCCATTCCTATTAGCTGTAATGTAGCATCCAGTGACATGACACATGTATGTAAGACTGAGGCTTTCACTGATCGCCAAGGGTAGGTATTTAGGATGGGAATCATGAGTGGCCCAACAACATGAAATTATTGTGATTTTTAACATTTTGCAATACAGTGAGTTTTGTGATACAATATATTACGATTTATACATTTTTTTCAACTGTTTAGCTAATTTTGCATTTGTCTTTCCTTTATGTTTGTCTTATTTTTGCTGTATTTTATTTTCATGCAGCATATCTTGCAGATCTTATATATATTTGTTGCTCTAACTTTCTCCTGCTCTATGATGTCACCTCTGCCAACCTCATTAGACAAATAGTTGACTTTATTTTTCTAATATCATAGATTTGACTTCATATTAACAATTATTTAATTAAAAATCGATAATTGGTAAATGAGACGATACGATATATAACCAGACAAAATATCGCGATACTATGCTGTATCGATTTTTCTCCCACCCCTAGTAGATATGATATAAAAGTGGAACATTTGCCTTAAATGAGTTGTTTTTGTGAAGACCATGGCTCTGTGGATCAAAATGACATGCATGAGAACCCTCACACATGCATACACACTCCAGCTAGACCCTCCTCATCCTCTCCAATGTTCAGTCTTGCCCTTCGTCCTTATTCCCCCTCACATATATACCAACAGATACACATCAAGGTTTTATTATATCCAATTCCAAACCGATTAATCCATCAGCTAATTGGATTTGTAAGCATGTTATGCTGGACTGGATAGACAGCAGAGGACAGGAGAAGATGGACCGACTCCCCAAGAGGGGGAGGGAAGGGATGCAGAAAATTCAGTGTGATGCTAAAGCGCATTATCTTTGCCTTGATGACTCCTCTGGTGCAGGAATCAATACAGGCCGACTGGCTCCAGGGGCACTGGGCCCACGACAGGAAGCGGATATCTCCAAACGCTCCATTATGGATGAGAAGAGGAGTGAAAGGATGGAAAATAAGAGAAGGAGGAGGATGAATGAAAGGAGGAAACATAGCCAGAGGAGGGGGATTAGAGGGTGGGAATACAGAGAGGAGGGAAGAGAAGAAGGGGGCGTGAAGATGGAAGAAAGATTGGACGAATGAGTGGAGGAGGAGAATAGATTGAGGTGAAGATGCTTTTTGTTACTGTAGACCAGCTGTCTCGCTGTGTCTGGTTCTGTTGCTCCTCCTGTGTGGTTGTAGTGTTTGTTTCCAGCTGAGGGAACGGAGTCAGACCTCACACCTACCTCCAGCGTTGAAGAGTCCTCTCCCTCAGACAGTTTGTCACACTTCTTCTCCTCCTTGCCGCAGCATCCCTCCTATGGCACCAACTGTTGTTTCCTAACTCATCCTTCCTTGCTGTAATCATTTCCTCCTCCCTATCATGCTTTCTAGCCATCCCCTGTTATCTTTCTACCTCAACACACACATATGCAACCCCAACCCCCTCCTCTTTCTCAACACTCGTGCTCTTTTTTTTCTTCTTCCTCCTCCTCCTCCTCCTCCACTATGATGTGAGGTCACAGCTGGGGAGCCCTATGATTTGACAGCTAAATGTTTATGTGATGCTGCATGCGTGCATGCGTGTGAAGGAGGGGGGCTTCTGTGCCACTGAGGGCCTGTGATAGAAGGGGCAGGATGCCATGACAGCAGTTGCTAACCAGCGACTAGCAGACTAGCAGTTTTATCCTGCAGCATCCTGGGGAGGAGAGATATACAGCTGGCTTCAGTCGACAGTAACACGACCATATCTACAGGCCTGTTGGGGTGCTCCCTCTGCATGCACCTCAGGGGCCTGCGCTCAGGAACAGAGGTGGGTGGCAGAGTGGGCTCGCTGCTCTGTTTGGATGTGTGTGTGGAGGGAAGCAGAGAGGAGCAGAGAGTTAAGAAGTTTTCTGGCTTCTCTGGGGTTATTGTTAAATATGTGTGTGTGTGTGTTTTGCTGTGTATACTGTACGGTTGTGTGTGCAGCTTAAGTCTGCTGGCTCTGTGATTCTGTCCTCTGCAGAGGGAACAGCTCATTATCTGCCTCTCAGAATGGAGCGTCCTACCTCTACACTGCAGTGGTGTGCACCGAACGGATGAATCTATTGAAGCATTGTGTGCGTGTGTGTTTGTGTGTGTGTATGTGTGTTTGTTTGTTTGCTCCTTAGTCATTAGAAAGAAAGTCTTGATGGGTGTTTAAAACTCTTGTGTTGTTTCTGCTAACTTGTGATAGTGTTTCTGCGTATTGTTGTGTTTACATTTTCTTACATGAGGCATTACTTTTACATGATAGAGTCATTAAATATGCATCATTTATTTCCACTCCTTTTTGTATTTTACCATTGTTGAACATAAACAGTACTTGAATTATTCATATCAAGCTTGATCTGTGACACATTTGTCCTCTATGCCAGTTGTCACATATACGGGCAATTAGCTGTCTAGTGTTATTATAATGTATGCAGCTGTAATGCCCTGCCCTATATGTGCATTGTTCATCCATGCTTGACAGGTTTGCAGGCCTTAAGTATTGAATGTGTAGCTTATGGTGATTGCTTTGAAGCTCGGGCGCTCTTTCGTGAATGCATCACCATACCACGCCGTCTCTGTGACCTTTACGTAACGACTGTCTTAGATGGTTTGGTGTCATCGTGCTTGTACAATCAACAGCAGCTTGTCATGTCCTCATTTCCCCTCTCATCCTCAGAATCCAGGCTCATTTCTCCTCCCGGTGGTTTGAGAAAATGTTGTGTGAGCCAACTCTGGATAGATCATTTTCAGCTAAATGAGCAAATGAGGTATTAACTCCATAAAAATCCCACTAAGGGAGTGAATGAAAAGATAATAACCCAAGGTGAAATTACTTTGGCTTGGGCTTTTTAGAAGTGTGGCCTTGGAAAACCTTTTTTTTTTTTCTCACTCAACTGTTTACTCTGAGTAATAGGGCTCTATGTGAACAGCTTCTTTTCTTCCAAAGTTTAAACTCTTCTGATGTATTCACATGAGAGATTTGGCTGTTTTGTTTTTGTCTTTTCAATATCATCGGGTCACTCTCAATAAAACTTTGTTTGAGTTGTTTTGTTTAAATTGTATGTGCAGTATGCACAGTGGATAACTGCCAGCACATCCCCAGCTGAAGCTTCTGTATACAAAGCTATGTATCACTCGAGGCAGGGTACGGTCACTCTTTTACCACCAGATTTCGTCTTAAAAATGCCATTTTAGTTCATGTGAAGATGCTATTCTGAAAATTTGCTGCTTTACCTTGATACTGTATAACTCATTCCATTAGCTCTGACACTATATACCTTAGAATGCAGTAGGGGTAGGGGTAGTAGTAGAGTTCGACTCTGATGCCAAACCTTTCTGTGGCGGGGGACAACGCTGCTTGGCGAAGTGCGGCTTGGCGGGGTGAACTATACTGATATCAGCACAAGAAGGCAATTAATCAAGATGAAAGTTGAAATGCTCAAAATAAAAATAAATATTCAGCATACCACTGGATGTTGAGTAATGTGGACGCTCTTCAGTCTTTCTGTCTCCAGCTGGTCTCCATCGGGTTGGGCGAATTCAAAATGGTGAAAACAAGGGGGCGTTCTGAGACAGGCTGTTACCTGTGAAAAGGGGGTGCTCTGAAAACACCCCCATTAACACTTGGTATGTTCCTCCTGTTGAAATTAACCATAAACTGTAAATTAACGTGGACAAAAATTGAGTCAACCAATCAGAATTTAGGTTGACTCAGCAAGTATCGACCAATAAGACGACTATGACGTCACAGTCCTAATGAGAACATGCTTTTCTTGCTTTACTTTGATGCTAAACAACCCATTCCATTTGCTCTGTGGATTACTCCTTGCAATGGCACTATGTACTTAAGAATGCAGCACATTGTTTAAGAGCAGCTGTTTAGATCAGATTATAGGAGGCTACTCATGAGGGAAAATGAATTATTATGGAACTTGGACTCCATCATGACTGGTTGAGTCATGACAGTGTGAAATTATGTAAAAAATACTTTTTATACTCTTGAGTAAAAGTTTTTAGGTGCTTCCCCTTCACTATCAGGTAATCTGAGACATGAAAATGTGCTCTCCTCTCATTCACCAGCTGACACTCAGAAAAAGAGCACACTCTTCGAGAGCAGGGCGCCTTTCAAGGTACCTTCATTCAGCCAAACCTCTCAGCACTGCTCATGTTAACATGCACACAAAAGCTCTATGGGGGCAGGTTGGATTCTTCTTCTCAATCACAGGTTGGCTTGCTCATTCTGCTTCTATTCTCCTCCACTGACTAAAAAAAGAGCAATAAAAGGCTTTGAGTAAAGAATCACAATCTGGCAATCAAGAGCAATTCACTTCAGCTTAAACTCAAGCCTCAGAGAGACCGTAGCCGTGCCTGTTTTGTTATCAATCAACCATAAGCAGCAGTGAAGCCCTATTAACATAATGCAAGATTTAATTTATTCATGTGTGGCACGTGAATATATTCTGATTCAATGACCCGTTCTTAACTTGAAGTACATGAGGTCACAGTCGTCTCTGGATTTTCACCCACAGTCTTACTGGAAAAGAACCATTTAAACATGGTCAACAGCAAATTAGATACAGCTTTTATTTATCCTTTTGGGAAGGATGATGTTAAATGATGGGGAAAAAGCAGAGAGAACGTCGATTTTAAACCTCAAAATCTCTCTGGAAATCTAAGTACAGAAAATTCTCTAGACGGTCTTTGAACAGTGTCAATGACCATGCTTGTGTTGCTCCTTTCATACATCCTCTCTCTCTTCCTTAAATAACTGACATGCTCACATGCTGCCCATCAGGGTTAAACAGTTTAATCTTGTCTATGTTATCTCATGGACTAGTTTAAACCCTATTTGCTTTTTATTCCTGATTGAATAAGTTGGAGGAAAAGGTGAGTACATATTAGAGATTCACTAATTGTCACATTTAAATGCTTTATCACTGAACAGCTTATGGTGATTCGCTCACAAATAAAGAGACTAATGACAAAATCATCAGCCAGTGAGTGTACTGTTGCAGAGAGTCCTGGCATTTGAAATCTCCTCATGCACATCAAGTCTTGTTTATTGTAGAGGTTTACTGTTTATGCTTTCTTATGCCTCCTCTGTTGAATTACAATCTGTGTTATTTGCACAGTCAGTCTTCATTTAGGGTAGTCATGCTATCTATCAAAGTTCCCGAAACTTAGCCATCCCAAGGTCCTCCATACAGCACACGACCCTGCAGGAACCTTCCTTAAATTCCTTGAGTAATTACAAAAACACTCTTTTGTAGTTTCTGTTTTGACAGTAATCCACAGCATTAATAACAGTGAACATATTTTTAGTATTTTTCTATGTAAATGATGCCATTCAATTATCAAAGTGATGCGTAACCAGCTCTGACATGTCGACGTTTCCAGCGAGAAGGTCTGAAGGCTGGATGTAGTTTCACGTTGTTGACTGACTTATACATAGGGATGGGCGATATGGGCTAAAAAGATTATCGTGATAAGATTTGCCATTCTGGGGATAATGATAAAAGTCCTGATAAAAAATATGATAATTCCAATCTATATTTTTGACTCATTTTGTCTTGAGAACGCCAGTTGGAGTAGTCAAATAAGATACTTAACCACAAGTTTAAGTGGTAGGTTCTGGAGAAAACTAATGACGTCAAACAAGTTTCAATTTTGAAAACATTTTCAACATATCTTGGAAACTCTTGCAAAGAATAAACAGCAGCAGATCCACTGTCCGATGTTAGGCATACCTGATTGCGCTCATCTAAGCCCCAATCTTGAAGGAAATCCCTCATGTGGAGCCTTGATTAGCAACAACTTACTCAGAGATGTCTTCTTCACCATCTTCGGCCATGTTTGTTTGTTATTCTGCTCTGTGTGGGCTACGGCTGTGAGTCTGTTACTTGCACTTGCGTCATCAACTTGCATTTATCGCGATTATCATGAGATGGCAAATATTTATCACGGAGGATTCCTCTGACGATATATCCTGAACGATAATTTATCGCCCATCCCTACTCGTTCATTACTTGTTCATATGTATTCAGTGTCCTTTGGATTCATTTATCTCAGATCAAACTCAGATCACAGTCCCAGCCCAAATCTATCACCGAAGAGGAAACTATGAGGAGATATGCAGAGCCAATGTAAACAGTTATTGATGTGAAAATCTTATTTGTCGTTCCTTAATCTTAATTGTAGTAGATGCACAGTTACCTCAGATACAGACTTTCTGCTAATTAACAAAGCCCCATCTTGTCCTCCCAACCATTTTTGTCCACAAACTCTATCTAATTGAAACAAATACTACAACTCTGCCTGTACATTTATACCGCTCTTGTCAGTTGTGATCAGAAAGGTGACTAGAAACAGCACAAAGTCCAATTACCCACTCTGAATGTACTGCGGCCCTGTAACGTAGACAGAACAGAAGGGAGAAGATGATCCTCCTTTATTCCTGTCAGCGCTGGGATGCGCTGAGTCAGAAGTCTCGGCTAAATCACTTTGGAAGAAAAGAACGGGAGCGATGAAGCCTGCGAGACTTCAACCTTGTGCTCTGCCGCTGCACTCTGTGCCCTGCTTCACATGCTGCACGCTTCACACAGATTTGCATTGGCTTTGATTAGCTGAGGAGCTCATGGTTTATGAATCGTACTGAAGTGCTTGCTGAAAGAAAGAAATGGCATCTTTTGCTTTGGAAAACTCAGGTGACTTTTCTGTTACCTCTCTGGCCGAGTCTAATGGAGGCCATTAGATTGGATCCAGTCTGTGGCATCATCTGCAGCTCCCCTCTCTTGACCTGATCCATTAGTTTCAATGACTCCAGAGTTAAGAGCCACATTTCCTCATTTGTCTATTCCAGATTTTATCGGGTACCTTTTAGTATCAGTGCAATAACTTTATCTGCTTTCAGCTCTGAATCTCTCTGTTGTCATCTCTTAATACTCACAATCATCTCTTTCCCTGTACACTCATGGATGTTAATGTTTCTTGCAGCCTAAGGCAATGAAAAAGAGTTATCCTTATTGCTTTATTTTCTAATTGCTTATTCCTCCCTGTGATATTCGTAATTCTTGAAATCATTGAAGACTGTAGGAGGGAATCAAGATCAATTATTAATTTCAATACAGTTTCCTCCCTTAGAGCACAGGCTGGACATAAATTACCCACTAAGATAGATGGTGATAGGGTATCTGGAGAGATCTGGGGCCCCTGCATGATTAAACAGCATGAAATCCAATAATTTAAATCAATTCATTGCTCTCTGTTTTGTTGTCCAAACACAAGGGTGTTTTTTTGTTTCTTTCTATCCTAATCACTCATTTATCATGCTGTCAGCTCTGGCTGAGCAGGGTCAGTGAAACACCAAATCATTTGTTAAAAATGCTGCTGTGTGTTTTAATACACACATAAAAGCTTACCGAAACTCTGCTGAATTGGTAGTGAAGCTCTTACTCTCCTAAATCTGCCAGTGTACCTAACTTCCAAATCCCTGAAACACTCAGCATTTTCTCTGTTAATACTCAAAGATCCTCTGTGGGAGTTTGTATAATGGTGGCTGCCTCCCTCCTATTCCCAAACAGCGTACACATAAACTCATTTTGGAGACAGCAGTGTAAAACTTGCCACAAATGGGAGCCGCTGAATTTCGTATTTTATCATCCTTATGCTGTTAGCCAGCAAGTTGCTTCGCTGGAGACGTCTAGGGTTCAGTATCTTGTTTAGTTGCCCTTGAGTGCTTACTTTAGCTTTTCTCTATCTCTCAGTTTTCGCTCTCTTCCAGGAGGTTGAAGCAATAAGCTGTCAGTTTGAAAGTTAGCTCTCAAAACTTTTGGGAACTTGTGGTATTTTTAGCCACAGAGAAACTAGATATTTGTGGTGGTGGTGGAGATTGCCTTTATGGGATAGGACAGCTGGAAAGAGAAAGAAAAATGATGTGGGGAGGATAGAGCAGTGGGGTAGACATACATTAAATTGTTGAGGCTGGAAGCCGAACCTACAGCCTATGCACTGAGATTAGGGCTGGGTGATATGGCCTTAAACCAATATCACAATATTTTGAGCAGTTCATCTCGATAACGATAAATGGACGATAACTACTCCAATAAAAACTAGCTGTTGTGTTTTTGTCTTTTCAATATCCTCTGATATCATCCGGTCGGTTTTAATGAAACTTGATCTAAACATAAATTTTATAGGGATAGTTGAGTAATTTTGTTATAAATTGTAAGTGCAGTATGCACAGTAGGTAACTGCCAGCACATCCTCAGCTGGAGCTACTGTGAGCTAAGCTATGTAATAGGGCTGGGCGATATGGCCTCAATTCAATATCCTGATATATCGAGCAGTTCACTTTGATAACGATAAATGGACGATAACTATTCCACTAGCTGCTCACCCTCTCCCACATTAACTTGGTCTACTTCAGCAGCCGCTCCAACTTTTAAACCGTCCTCCTTCTCCTCACCTGTCTTTCCCTCTTTGTTACGGACTGGATGAGGTGAAGTCACGTTTCCGACGTAGGACAGCGTCTTAACGGGACATGAGACCACAGCCTACCTACACACATCCAAAACCAACTTTTATTTATTTATTTTATCATTGAATATACCGATATGGGCAAATTGACGTTGGTTATTGTAGTAAATTTTGTTAGCGGTAAATTTACTGTTTAATCGCCCAGCCCTAACTGAGATCTACTGTATCTGTATGTGAGGTGCCTATAGGTTTTATACTAATATTGATTATCTGTACATCTACGGTGTTATTGTTATAAACAAATCTAAACACTGTAAGATAAATCTGAACCGGCTGTCACTAGGTGAGTTCCTCTATCCAAGAATAGTTTAGGGTTAGAGTCATAGAAAGCATGGACCATTTGTCTTCTGTTGTAGATTTCAGTGGTTGACTGACTCCTGCCTCTCCTTGATGTGACTGATGCTACCTCAAACAACTTAAGGCTTTGAGGTATTCAATATGCCCACTTATTGCTAAAGCAAAAGAAAGTAAAGGGAGACTTAATCCTTTCTTTGTTCCACGGAGAAGAGATAAATGAACTTCAAAAAAGCTCAATTATTGTCAGCAAAGAATGAACTAAGAATGTGTTCAAACCGAGAGAATTATATCAACTTTCAGCATAGAAATTCATCTCAAAGCAACATCCTCTCATGTCTTATCACTTTCTTGCTCTTAGAAGAGGCGGAAGAAGTCTGCCTGTTTATTTAGCCTCAGTTATAAGCATCTTTTTCAGAAGGGTAACTGATTTCCGTTCAACAGTAGGAGATGAGGGTTAAAGGAGTGCTGACTGTACATCTGGCCAGCTGCCAGGCGAATGAAGTGGGGGAAGTCGGTAATGGAGGTGGGGTTAGAGAAGTGTGGTTACTTATGAAATTGTGTGGGTTTATGTGTGCTTGTGCGTTTTTTTTTTCTGGTGTGTTAGTGTGTGGGAAGGGGGGGGGGGGCTTAAAAGATTAAACCCCAGCCTGACCACAGTGATGAAGAGGAGACCCCTGTGTGGATCCCTCTCTCTGCGGGGAGGCTTCTTCTGTGGCGTCCCATTTGCATAGCTCCCTGTCCTGCTCAGGGAATTAGCCCTTTCTTTTCCCTCCCTCTTTCCCTCCTCTGTGCACCTTTTGGAGAGAGTTCTCCTATCCTGCAGTACTGCTCATTTCTGAGGCAGACAATGGAACAGAGTATTTAGGACACTTGGCAGGGTTTGCATGTTGGAGGGGATGGCGACACGGGCTGCTAAGTAGCTCATTTTGTCACATAGCCACTGGCATGATAGCGCTCCACAGCAAGGTAAGCACTGAGCAGAGTCAGCGCGCACACCCACACTCCATGACTGGGTTGTTTTACCCTATATCTCTTCAAGCTTTTTCTTTTGGATATACAACAGGTAACCTCATCTTCATTTTGACCACACAATTAAGCAGCATGTGTTTTTCCTTTTAAACATTCAGTTTGTCAAGTTAATCTGTGGCCTCATGTTGGATTCACTCCCTCTAATCCAATAAGGGGATGAATAAAAGATGTTGTGTGGAAGACTAGACTTAGATTAATCTTTCTATTGTTGTCAGAATAAATGCACTGAATTCACTCCTTCCCTCGAGACACTTCTTTGTGCAATTTGGAGGTTTTGATTGTTTTTTCAGTATACGTCTGGATGCAGTAATTACAATCATATGAGCTCTTCTTTCTTATCTTTACAGGCTCACCATCAAGTGCTAGCAGCGCTCTGTCACTTTGTAATTACCATAATTTACAGTCAAGTGTATGGCCATCAGTAAAACGCATGCCACTGCTCTCGTATAGGAACCTCAGCCAATATCTTTATTGGACAGATGTGGCATGGAGTAATTAAGTTGAGCGCTCTTCCTTTATAGGGTGCAAGTCTTCTGTGACCTTTGCCTGTGTGGCACATTTATCATTTAACATGTGACATACTTTCCATACTAAGAAGAACGTAGAGCATTTCATATCTGGGGGCTTTCTTGGAGTATTGGCCTACTGTTGGATGCGTCCGACTCTCCCACAGCTGTTGCACGTAAAGTTAAACACACTCAACAGTTATGAGTCAACACTGAGACAAAATGTGTACCATTTCCCTGATGTGACAGACTTAAAGTCACACTCCGATCTTTTTTTTTTTAACACAAGTGTTCTCAGTGGTCTTTAAATTGTGATTAAAAAGTTTTTAGCTAAAATCATGTTACCTGTATCATTTGCAAGGACTTTTCTTCTGCAAACCTCTAGTAGATCGTTAGCACTTCACCTCTGAGTCGTGGGCCGAGACAGCGCTACTCTGCACACTCCTCTTCATGCTTGCTTGCAGCCTAACATTGCCGGTGTAGTGAAAGTGGCAGGTAAGAAGAGCTATTCAGCTCTCGGACACTAATGCCTCTGGGGACATCATGGGAGCTAATATCATAATTAGCTTTGTTACAAGCAGGACGTAATTGTCCTGAATTAAAGGCTAAAATGTGACATAATGCTCATATATTAAAGATAAATGCAATTGGATATGACAGAAAAATAACATCAATCTACAACTGAAAGCATGTGGTTTGTCATATTTGTTATTATCCATAGTCATTTGCAGAGTTTGGGTTTTTTGGTGGAATATTCTTGTATTGGAGACTGAAGGCTGGACACTATAAAACCTGTCTTAAGTGTTTGGTTGATCCTTACATAAAGGAATCAGAGAGGATATAATAGAGTTTCTTCAATTTCCTTCATCATATTGTCTTACATCCCTTTTCTGTGAAGACTTTCATGAGAACGACATTTTGTTATTTACTGTTTTCTTTCTTTTCCATTTGAAGACCTGACTCAACCGATGTAAAGATTTACCCGGCGAAACTGAAGGTCATATGACTCATGGCGCCTGTCTCTGCGGCTGAAAGGCTGTTACAGAAATGCACTAAGCTCTTGTGTGAAAAATCACTTCAGAAGCATAAACTCAGTCATGATGGCAAAATGCATCATTGCGTCATTCCACCTCTCACTCCTCTGGCACAGCATCAAAAGGTGTTTTATTGTTCTTGACAGAGGGCCAAAAAAGTTGCATTTTGTTGTACTAATTGATTCTTACCGTTTCAAATTCAGGATGAACACAATTGATATGTATTTAAAGTAATATATACAGCAGTCCAGCCCTTGTTTCCATGACCTGAGTGACTGGTGTCATTGATATTCAGGTCAGCTGAGGTAGCTGTGCGGCCCCGAGGGTAAATTGTGTTGACTGCAGGGGTCGGGATAAATAGCTTACATTAGCATGACTGCTTCTATTGGGCGAAGCAGACAGGCAGAGTGAAGGAAGGGGGGAAACAGAAGCGGAGTGACACTGAACGAACCATGACTTGATCATCTGCAGCTGGATTACATCATGAATAATGCTTTGCTTCATACTGAGTCTGTCTGTGCTCTGGGCTCTGCAGGTACGGAGGTGTTCCTACTACAGATGAAAGCAATCTTTGCATTTGACTAGGCATGAAGCAATGAGTCAAAACCTGAAAAAAAATGGAGACTGGAGTGCACAGTTAACAGTTACAGCTGCGGCAGCAAGGGTCACGAAAGTGGTTTGAACCAGGTGGCTTGTTCAGGCATTTTTATGAGAAGGAGCAATGAAAACAAGAATTCAGCGGGTCTCGTTAATATGGAAACATTTAAAATGTCTCAGTTATTTACTCTTCTGGACAGCTGGATAGAAAAAGTGAGGCGGAAACTCTAAGCACCGATAAAATTTAGCTGTTATGTTCTAAAAAAAAGATGTTTTCCATTAAACACTCAAAGCTTGGAAGGAGGAGAGCATCACCTTCTGCAGTTGTTGTTGTTGTGCGGGTGTGCGTGTTTGTGTGTTTGTGTCTTGGGCTTACTGCTTTATCTGCTGTGTAATAGGCTTGGATAGCCTGTGTCTTCATCCTTTATTTAATTGAATCCTTCTGTTAGTCTTCAGGGAGATATAAACCTGTTTGTCTGGGGCCAAGTCCAGTCTTATTTTCCACACTGACTCAAACACAGCTTTAGAGATGTGCATGTTTTAGAGCTGGAGTTGAGGAGACACACAGACTGCTCATGGCTGGTTTTAGAACCAGAATCAATACAGTTGTTGTTTAACATATATACTGTATCAACACTGCTTTGTGCTAAAAATATCACTGATTCAGCATAAAAACCAAGGAGATCACAGCTTGTGTTTCATGCTGAGATTTATGTTTGAACACAGTATGGAGTCATATCAGGTGTCTGATCTCAGCAGTCAGTCTTATTTTCTATGAAGAAGAAAACCTTGTAATACTACATTTCTACATTAAGTGTTTTGACAGCAGACTTTGGGTTTTTTCTACATGGCTGGGAGGGCTCTAATCAACCAAAGAAATTTTTGGTTGACTAAAACCCTGAAATTTTCAACCAAAAATTGACTGATTGGTGGGTGGGGCAGCGGCTCTGAGGGCAAACCGGTCTGCGGCAGGGGATGACATGGCTCGGCGGAGTGCGGCTAGGCGGGGTGAAAATATACTGATACCAGCGCAAGAAGGCAATTAAACACAAATATTATATTTGGCAAACCACCAGACGTTGATTATCGTGGACACTCTTTGATCTTCCTGTGGGTTGGGCGAATCTAGAATTGTGAAAACAAGGGGGGTGTTCTGAGACAGGCTGTTACCTGTGAAATGGAGGTGCTCTGAAAACACCCCCATTAGCACTTGGTACGTTCCTCCTGATGAAATTTACCTTATGCTGCGTTTGAGTTACCTTGGAAGTCAGCGCTGAAAATGACGTCACACCCGAGTTACCAGCGTTTCAGTTACCAAGTCGTAAAAAAGCAAAATCGGAGGTGGAAACAAGATGGCTACACCTACGAAAGTTATTTTAGCGCTTGCCTTGTCCTTGTTATATTCGGACAAGTCAAGCGCTAAAATTACTTACATCTTAACGGTGTGACATCATTTTTAGCGCCGACATCTGACTTCCGAGGTAACTCCAACGCAGCAATGTACTGTAAAAATTGATGGGGAAAAAAGTCGATTCTGATTGGTCGACTCAGCATGTATCGACCAATACATCGACCAGTCAATTATGACTTTACAGCCCTAGTGGCTGGATATGTTACAAAGACGTACGTTTTAATGTATTTGGTGACACTAGAGCAAACATTTTTTATTAAAGACATTGGACTGGTCTCAGTTGTGCTGCTTTAGAGTTAAATTCATCCCAGCTGGTTCAGTGGGCCACGAGTGGTTATACTGGTTGTACTGGTTGTACTGGGCATCTATTAGGATGTATGTATTTTAGCCTACAATCATTTCTCTGAATTTCATTGACTTTTTACAACAAGCACTGAACAAATAAAGCTAAAAGAGATTGAACAGTAATGCCCCTTAAACCAAACTACGTCCATGCTGACTCTTGCAGGAGATGTCAGGGCCAATGTCTCAGTGTTTCATCCTTATTTAATCTGGATCAATATTACACTCCCTCTCTCGCTTGTTTTTCCCAGCAGCACTCTGTGGTGACACTAAATTGTACCACAAAATGTGTGATTTTACAGTGAGTAGTCATCTGATACTGTGATAATGTTGGCTGCCTCACCCAAGCTCTCGTAAATTGACTGCCCAGTGGGAGGTAAACGAAGGCCCAATAAAACATGAAAATTAAAAATAAATGGAAGCTATATGAGGCTATAGCTGGAGCATAAGACTTTCTATAGTGCCTGTGTGCTTTAAACATAGACTGTGAAGATGACTGACAGGACAACAGCTGTCCCGATTTTGGAGACGTTAAACTGTAGCTAGTTAGATGTGAAATGATTGATTGACAGCCAGATAAGCTGAATAGAGCTGGAACAGCAAGGGAAAACTTGTTATAAAACAGACTGGATTTCCTATTTATGCCTTTTAACGATGTTCAAAAGCAAACAAGACCATCAGCAGCATGATTGACAAAGTCTTCTATATTGTGATTTGTATTGCCTGAAATCACTGTGGGAGTGTAGGTGTCTGCCAAGCGGCTAAAAAAAACTACATTTTTGACATATCTCACATAAAATATTCATGATAGTGATACATTTGACTCTCAAAAGTCAAGATTAGATATTTTTTGTCCAAAGAGATTACTTTAGCAGGACAAGAGAAGAGCTTTAACCGACACTGGCACAAGAACCCATGAAACTGTACCAATATTTGATGCTTTACAATAAGGTGTTTTTTAGTTTGTGGAAAGTGTGCAGAGTTGATCCTGCAGCTCCACCAGCCAGTTTGCTTTTATACAACATGACTTAGATGTACCAGCATTTTATAATAATGCCCACTGAGGCTGTACTTTGGCCTCAACCCTTACGGATCCATTTAATAGACTGTATAAACTATGGACAACTTGGCTTTGCCTTCCATCGTTACTCAAATTTGAAGCCGAATTGCTCTCAGTATTTCTGTGATTTTCTCCACTTCCTGGAACCACCACTTGAGCAGTGGCGTTGTACACATTCGGCAGGAGAGTCGCAGAGAGTCGCTGTGACGATGCTTGGCTTAAACAGCGTATCCCCTGGGTGAGCTACGCAATCTTCGTACGCCCATAGGCTGTATCAAGTGTCAGTCATAGAAAACATGAACCCCCTAATAACTTTTAAAAATGGAGCTGCACAGAAAAAAGAGGACTACATGTCAACATCGCAAGCAGGGGGGGAAAAAAATATAGTCTGTGTGATGAATTTCTGAAGTTTGTCCACATCTCTGTAGGGATTGCTGGAAGAGGCAGGATTTATGACCTATACCGCAGCCTGTCACCAGAGGGTGCTGTTCTCACAGTGGCTTCACCTAGCGAGGAGGCAGACGGCGTCCATTCTATATACAGTCTATGGTCCATATTGATTTGCAGTCAATGGTTTTAAACAGAGAAGACATTGTAAACCTGCAGTCTGTCGGGGTGTTGTCAGGCGGTTAGCGAGGCTACCACACCACCAGCTCCAGTTTTGTGCTTTCACTGGCGAAGGTAAGGGGAAATCAGCCTTGACTACTTGCCAGCATTTTTAGTAAATGTCAAACCACCGCTTTTGTTTTCTTTGTGTACAAATGTGATTTTTAATCAAACTGTTGTCTTCTCTTTTTTAGTTGAGTTGACATTTATATAAAATAAAAGCCAGAAGAAAAGTTCCTTATGAAAGAGGAGGTGGCTTTTCTATTATTCAAAACAAATAAGGTGATGTAGAAAAATCCAGAAGATGTATCATTACAATGAACAGTCAACAATGGCGAGTTATAAGATGCCCAGACAAATTGTTTTTCTAATGCGGTGTGTTCAAACATCTCACATTAAAAGCACCATCCAACAATGCAGCTGTTACACCATTGTTTTCATGATAGAATCATAAAGGCTTCAGTTTTTTCTGTTTCTTTTGATGAATTGTTTTATTAATGAAAAAGGTGTGTGGTTTTAAAGTTAATGGTTTCATAAAACAGCTCTTGTCTTCGTTCCTGCTTATAATGTTGCACCCTGTTGATTTCAGACATGATTTAGGGTCTGCAGTAGCTGACACCATCTCAGCAGGATTCATTCCCCCTTCTCCAACTGATTAAGACCAATCCAGCGTTAACCCCATCTTAGCTTCCTCTTCCAGGATTACTGTAAATCTCTTGTTAATGACTGATAGGGATGGTGGTCTCGAGTGTGTGTTTGTGTGTGTGTGTGTGTGTGTGTGTGTGTGTGTGTGGTGGCAGCGGTGGGGGCAACATCTTGTTTTTGAAGTCTGACACTCCGACTGCTCCATCATCCTTCTCCTCTCCACCGTATCCTCTTCTCTCTGTTTCCTCCTCCCCCCACATCGCTGGAGCTGCCACAGCCGATAAGGGAAGATGTCTCTGCAAAGTTCTCCCACTTGATTATTCAGCACACATCAGGCCTGGCACAGAAAAAGAGGGGGTTCACTCACTTTCACTTAGCCTATTGCACCCTAAGGGGGTTATGGGGTCATGATAAAAAGCACAAATGACAGAATCGGTCAGTGGAGTGCAGCAGGGAGATCCCAGAATCGGCCCCCGCGGCCTCTACTCCTTGCAATATCGTTTTTGATTTCTGAGCAGTCGGGTTGAGAATTCTAAGGGGAGCAAAATGAGAAGGAGAGAGATTGAAATTCACCAAGCAAAGCAAAGCAGAGCAAAGCAGGGAAAAAGATGGTAAAACGATCCCCCACCTCACACTAGAATCAAACCAGAAGCAGTAATAGCTCTGGCAACGTCCAGGGTGTGATTTATGAGAGGGAAGAAATGGCCTTGTTTGAACGCTGTCACGTCTGGGCTGTGTGATTTACTGTGATGGCTGGAGCACTCTTTTCACGTGCATTCAGGCTCTAGGACAGGAGAAGAAGGAGGCCCCCATTAATACTGATTATAAGAGCATGCTACCTTTCTGCACGTGGTATGGTTATATTTTACAGTATATCAGCTCGCTGACGGTTCTTAATGGACGTAGATGGGATTGGTTCTTTCACTATATGCTGTAATAGGGCTCCTTTACGTCTCCCCTAATCTCCTAAGTGCATCTATTAAGATCATTCATCATTTATGAGTTACAGAAACGATACTTACCAGAGCAACATGGCTGCAGCAGAGTGAAGAAGATGAAGGAAGGGAAAGAGTGAGTTTTTACAAATTTGTCTTTGCAGTGCTTTTAACGTCTGACTTGAAGAGATGAGTGTCTTCAATAAATAAGTAAAGCACCCTAGGTCTCTGTTCCACAACAGCAGTTTTGTTCCAGATTAAAATGAGTGTTTGCATAGTTTCATTGCCGGTCACAAAAGGCCCCCCGCAGCACACAGACTGCTCCTTTTGAAAGGTGTTGCTAGGAAACCGTGCAGAGTGAAGATGAAATCCCTGTCTGTGTTGCTCTCCTGCAGCTGTACAGCTTGGACATTATGTTCAACTTATTGTGCATGTTTTACTGTAAGTCTGCCCTTTTGTCTTTGCCTTTGTGTGTATGTGCGTGTCCATGTGTGCCAGTGTGTTTGGGTTTACAGTAAGCGCAGTTCTATTTGTGACATACAGTGCAGGCAAATTACACAGCTCCTCTTCCATCATAATCCATTTTCCGTGATACGCCTTCATTTGTCTGCTGAGCCCTGAGATCTCAATCCTGCCGTCACACCTCTGAGTCCCGGCCAGCTGACACCTCAGGCTGTGCACAAAGAATCAATAGTGTCTGCCTCGTGTTCAATTACACTCTAATCAACACACAGCAGTCTAACACAACCGGGGAATGAATGGACAGGTCTGTTGATATTGAACTCATTCTCAAAACTGTGATACTCGTAAATGAATATCTGAAGGTGTGACGTTTGGTTGTGAGATTTCACAGCGTTCTTACAAAAAGAAAGACAGGCATACAAAGTAAAACTGATAATAAGCCATGGTTCAAGTCACAGTTACACGAGGTCAGATCTTGAATGTTGACGCCGGCCTTGAGTTGTGTTGTTACCAGCTAATTTAAATAAATCTACTTTCCTGTGAAGCTCCCAAAAGAGGTCTTCAGCTGGTTATAAAACAGGCTGAATTCAAGTGATCTCTCTGTATGGTCGTTTAAATTGAGTCAGTGAATCATCAGCTGGAGGACTGGTTATTTTTTTATTATTATTTCTGAATTTTAATCTTCAACACAAATGCGACTGAAGAAAAGTTTTCAGCTAAAGCAGTTTCTGCGTTCTTCAATAACAGTCTTCTTTTTATGTTTTTAATGGCTGAGACTCAGATGGTACATTTGAAGCATTATAAATAAGGGTGTCCTGATACAACTTTTTTTTAACTTCTGATCCGATACCAATATTGTAGCCTTCAGTATTGGCTGATACCAATATTGGCACAAACTTGTGCATGACAAGTTTTGCACAAGTTTGTGCCAATATTGGAATCGAATCCAATTCTTCGTTGAAAAGGCAACTGGACTTGTATGAGGTTCTTGAAGGCGTTTCGCCTTGAAGACGTTCACAGCATCAATCATGATGCATCTTGTTAGTAGAGATGTAAACCTTTCATTGTTGATTTTCTTTACAAAAATAAGATATTTATCCTGTGGTTCAATTTTTATTCCATTTACTTCATTGCCTATGTTTGAATTTTCCCAGATATTTAAATGAAAGACATATTCTTCTGTTTAAAGCATCACTCAGTATCGTTGATCATTGTCTCAAGGTTCGAGGACTGCTGCTTTGTATGATTAAAAAGTAGATAAGACATGAGATGTTTTCAGACTAACCCTCAGACTATATATAGCATGAAAAAAATATATAAAAAGGTAAAGGCAGATTTCAAACCTGGAAGAAGTAATTAAGAAGGAAATGTTCGTACTCCCCTTTGCTTCTGTCAGACTCCGCTCCAGGACAGATGTTGTTCTTCATATTACGTTACTGCCTGTAAGCTGATGGTTCGGTGCTAAAGTCTTAAGGGCAGTGACTGAGCAGCGAGCTGCCTGTTCAGCTAAACCATTGCTCAACATTTCATCTGGCAAACGTCGAAATGTCATTCATCAGGCGTCAACTCATCAAGGAGCTTAAGCCTTGGAGGCTGACACGAAGCAGAGATTCAGTAAAGATGTTGCAGTGCTGTCTGCCTGTGGTCCAGCTGGAGGAAAAGAGTGGCTGGTCAAGCTTGACATGTGCTGTGATGCAGTTTGTATTCCCAGAAAGGCTGCCATTCAAGGACACAGACATAGACAGAAATAAGAGTCCATTTTTTTCAGACGGTTACCTGACTTTACCTGCTGTTTTTTCTTATTTTTTTATTTAAGCTGTTGTTTTTGTCGAAGTTTTTTGTATTTTCAGTCAGACAAATCGTGTTAGATGGTACCTTGACTTCTGAGGACTTTTAAAAGACAGTTATCTTTGGGAATTTTAAGAATTTAATTATTTACTTTAGCTGAAAAAGAATCACAAGGTTGTCTGATCTTTGTAGACGTGATTGTTCCTATCAGAGTCATTAAATTAAGAGTTCAACAGGTCGAGAAACTTTTCTTGCACCACCGCTCTGAATCAGGCATCGACATGGTAAACAAGTTCCATCTCACTTTGTATTTTTCATTCACAGTTTTGTTATATTATGTCGAAGGATTCTGTTTTTTTTGGATGACCTATTGGATAGTTTTTAGACGTATCCAAGGTTAATACCGTAAATAGAGAGTTTAGCAGAGAGTTTTATCTTTTGACAGTGTCTCTCTTTCTCTTTCTCCTGAAGGAAAACCAGGCGGTCCTGCTAATGTTCCACCAGCTGAGTTTCTAGCTGTAACCCCAGCAGGTGGTCCTCACTTCAACATCATGCTGCACCTCATCCTGCTCCTGCACCTCCTGATCCTCTTACCCTCCTCTGCAGGTCAGTGGCGCATTCAGCTGAAAGGGAACGGTTAAATGAGTTGACAGGGTAGTTTTGAATTGATGTTTTAATGTGCAGTACCCAAGGATGTGACACCCATTTAACAGCATGTGAAGTATTGAATTTAAAATGTAGAGTCAGACATTTTCTCAAATCTTAAAGCCACAGGTAAAGTAAAACCATGTCACACACACGATTTTTTGCTTCGGCATCAGTGTTACATAAAATGAGGTAATTAATTCAGTCGAAGCAGCAGTTTGCTCTTAGCTGAGAATTTTCTTTTTCAGACGTTGCCTTTGAGAAGTGCTCAGATATCAAAGAGAATTTTTGCTTTTAGCTTGACTTGCATGCCCTTCATCTTTCAAATATAGCCATCCAAAAAACGAGTCGTCAAACATTCAGCAGCAGTAGTGACAGTTAAGAGTTTCCTTTGCAACCATCACTGCTGAGCAGAAATCAAAAGGACGTTGCTCAGTTAGACAGACTCTGTTTCGGTTGTATGTCCTTCATCTATTCAGGATCACCATTCACAAACGCAGTTGTCAAACTGTCGGAGCAAGATCCTTCATAAACTTGTATAGCAACCACAGAAACAGACACAAATCTAGTTGAATTCAGGCTCAGCTACATAGTATGAAGATCCCACAGGTGTCTGTCAGCTCGAGTAGCAGTGTACGGCATCACTGGAATCTCAGGATGAATGGGGAACTAAACAGACAAGGTGCTAACAAGCTGCAAACTGACAGTATACAGTAAACGATCACTTCAACAGTGACGAGTGCTGCAGGGATAACTGAAGCCTGATTAGAGCGGCTACAGCAGAAATGTTTTTTTTATGTGAGTAACAAATAAATCAGTTTAATTGAGGTTCTTTGAGGAATTTTTATAATTGGTTTCAAAACTGTTGAAATCTTAATCTTAGTGAGCTACAAATGTGAACAAGACCACTGGTAAGAAGTTGGACGATTATAATTTACAACTTTGCAATAAGGGGAGAGAAACCAGACCAAACAGTTACCAACATTCACGATGAGTAATACTGTATATACTACCATTGAAAGAAAGTCAGGTGAGACTGTTTGTCAGAAAAGTGATCTATACTAGGGCTGGGCGATAAACTGAAAATTTCCAGATACTAAAATTTACGACACTAACCGGCCTCATTTTGCCCTTATCGATATATTTGGTGTCAATCAATAAATAAATAGAAGTTGGTTTTAGATGTGTGTAGGTAGGCTATGGTCTCATGTCCCTTTGACAGTCCATGACAAAGAGGAGAAGACAGGTGAGGAGACGGAGGACGGTTCAAAGGTTGTAATGGCTGGAGCGGCAGCTGAAGTAGACAAAGTTAATGTGGGAGGGGTTGAGCAGCTTGTGGAGTAGTTATCGTCCATTTATCGTTATCGTTATCGAGGTGATCTGCTTAATATATTGTGATATTGATTTGAGGCCATATCGCCCAGCCCTAATCTATACATACACAGTACAAGATCAGTTAAGAGTTCAGAGGTGTCAGTGGACAGCGCAGTCAACACAATCAAAGAGTTTCTCACAATAGCTTTGAAATGATCATAGAAATGCCCAGGAGAACTATTGAAAAACATATTATCGCAGAAAAGCCACAAAACTTCTTTTGATCTGCAGGTTTTATTACTTTTTTTCTGTTACTGTTGTGCTTGAAACACAGCAGAGTGGTCAGAGGACAGCAGTGCTAAAAATGACATGTCTGAAAAAGAGAGAGCCCCCTCTGTGTGCTCCCGCACCTCAGGCTTTTCTCCCTTGTTTAAGATTGGATTCATCACAAACCAGAAAGTGAGGGAGCTTGGACTGGGCGGCTCTCCTGGCTTGGCATCACATCTTTTTTCAAACAGATTTCAAGATGTAGAGGATTTAGCTTTCCTTTTTTTTCTCTATTATTCTACATGCAGGATTCTCTGTTCGCACAAGGTTTTTGCAGCTAGAACAAAGAATGCCAAGTCGAGAAAGCACTTACACAACTGCAGAAAGATTGGCTGATAAATGTTTAAAAGAAAGAAAGTCTTACGAGTATACAGACTCGGTCAAAGTCTCTGCCTCATTGAAACAGACAGCTGCTCTACAGCTGACATGTGTTGTTGTTGTTGCTGTAAGGAAAGAACATTGACTTGACATTTTTGTTTAGCTTCAACAACAAAGAAGCTTGATTGTTAATGTGACATTAATGCCAAGACAGCAGAGCAAAAGTCATGAAATATCTGTCTTTTCTGTGCCTCAGCCGGCCCATAGTAGAGCGCTCATTAGAGGGATTTAAGGATTTAAGACTTGTCTCAGTGTAATTTTGTTATCTCATTATTGGGATGTACATAAGTGGCAATTTGACAGCAGCATCACATAGTGCACAAAGTTATATCCACTCAAAGCCAACCACAGAAGTTCTGGGTTTTCTATTCTATCGTGAAAAAACAGGATAAAGTGGATACTGTGGACATGGCCGCAAGCCAGGGGTAGTTTTTCTGTTCAAAGTGTGGTTTCCAGCCATTCATCACGGTCTTGGCAGCAAAAGGGACTCTGTCAGAGACTTGCACCCCTTTGAAGAACTTAAACCATGATACATGAGTTACCCTTCATCTTTTTTTGTTGTTGCATCCTGTGCAAAGTAAGAGAAATACTCCTGCAGTCAAGGTTTGCACCATCCTGTGTCAATATGCTGACATGACCTCCTGATTTGTCTTTACAGATGCATCAAGGCATCATGAGGCGTCTGACTTTTATGGAGGTAAGGATGTCATTATCTGTTGTTAATGATCTGTAACAAGATTTCACCAAATGATAACTCAGCATTCCTAAAGTTTTATTGCATTAAATATGACTGGGCTGTTTCTGCACAGTATCCTCACCAAGTATAAAATGAGGGATAATAGGGTTTTTAAGTCAGAGGCTGACCTCACGGATGCTACAGAGAATGTTAAACAACCACAGAGGTCACAGGGTTCATGTTCGTGTTTTCACGTACATAAAGCATATTTTCTCAGCACCCTTGTAAAATCTATTCAATTCCGCTCACTCAGACCAAGACCACACTCAGAAATATCTGATCTGAGCATAAAAAAACGGAGGCATACGTCTGTTTGATTTGTAGTCTTCAGAACAGAAACAAACAAGCTGCGCCGGTTCTTTGGCAGTTTGATGAGACGGTGGCCTTGGAGTTCAGAGGAGGAAGCAGGTGGTGATTCACATTCAAGGCTGTACCACCACTTGATCTGAAAAAGGTCAAACAAGTCTGACTGTTGACGGCATTCACTCGTCAAGAAAAATGATAAAAGACGACCACGCTTTCTTTGTTGCACAATTTCCTGCTTTCTTGGCGAGAATAAGCTCCAGATGCTATTGACGTGAGAGAAACGAAAAAGGTCTTAGAGTCAGCTACAGATGAGAAAGTCGGACATTGCACAATTTTAACACAGCGTCAAGTCAGATAAACTTCAGTGAAACTTGTTTAAACAATCCCTCTTTATCCACTTTGATTCCATTTCTCACAGGCATATATACAGTAGCTTTTTTGATCTTTATGTTTTTTGTGTTAGTTTATACACAAATATCAATCAAGTAAAAATTTGACAGCAAAAAAGGGGCCGTTGATTCGTTGGGTGGAGAGCCAGGCATCCTTAGCGCTGCAGTTGAGCTATTATAAAATCAAGAGACTTGATATTTATTTAAAATGTCTTCTTAGTCTGAACATCGTTTTGGTAATTTACAATGAAAACCCCTCCAAAAGTATGTCAGATCTAAATTAGCCACGCTTTTAGCTCTGCCCATCTTCTGCCCAGTCCATCCCCTGAGGTGGTAAAAGTACAATAGTATCTGTGCCGGTCAGGATTTGTTAGGAGCCGTCAGTCAGTGACAGACGGTTCTATTCTCCTGGTCCACAGTAGGAAAGGACAAATGAAAATCTGTCTGGAGGTCGTGTTTCTTTCCAGAAGGATGTTGCTATTTCTGGATTACTCCTCCTCACAGATTTACATTAATCTCAATAGAGCTGGTTGAAGTCTGAGTTTTCGGGCTGTGTTTCGCTGATGAATCGGTGATGGTCATTAGAGCTGGAAACTGGATAAGAGATATCTTGATTGATTGTGGTATAGATGATGATGATGGAAAAGGATGATGACAATTGTAAGTAGGGCTGGGCAATATGGCCTCAAATTAATATCATGATATATTAAGAAGATTACCTCGATAACGATAAACGGACGATAACTACTCCACAAGCTGCTCAACCCCTCCCACATTAACTTCGTCTTCGTCCCTCTTTGTTACGGACTGGATGGGGTGGAGTCACGTCTCTGATGTAGGACAGAGTTGTAAAGAGACATGAGACCATAGCCTACCTACACACATCCAAAACCAACTTTTATGTATTTATTTTTTTGACACCGAAGATATTGACATGGACAAAATGACGTTGGTTATTGTCGTAAATTTCGGTATCTATAAATTTTCAGTTTATCGCCCAGCCCTAATATTAAGTTAGGGTTAAGGTTTAGGGGTTATGTTAGATTTCCTTTCTTGACTTGATGAAATTGAAATGATAGGTTGGATTACACTCTCTTGTCTGCTGTTTGTTGTACCATTTATACCACAGATGAAATCCCTGTTTGTAGCAGGTAAATTTGTCACACCACTGAAGGCTGGAAACAGGCATGTTGCCAGCTTTGCTGTTTTCAAATGAAATAGATTACACATTCTCAGTTGCTAGATAACCTACTATATTTTATGTCTCTGTAAAAGCATCAAGATGGGGATTTGTACTGTGTTCTGTGCCCAGGAGTTTCTCGATGGGGTACACTTGCTTTTAGGTTGCCAGGCAACAAGTGGAGACTCTGGGAAGTCACTGTGCCCGGCCAAGAAATCATCCAAATTTAGTTTGTATTGATCGTTTACCAAACTCTGTAAGAAAACAAATGAGCGTGTTTCCAAAAACTGCCTTACATCAAGTGTTAGCAGAAGAATATCTGATCCTTTGAGCCCATACGATACATCCTTAAATGCAAAAGCAAAGATGTGGTTTCCTCTCCATTTAGAAACATATCAGAGCTTTGTGTTAAAAAATAATACCATTTTTACCGACCAAAGAAAGAACCCTTCTGTTCTTGTTTGTATTTGTGCTCCACTGTCAGTGTTTGCCTCTGTACCTGTAGCTAAGACGCATGTGTGTTGTTCTTTGGGAGAAAAATCAGGAGGAGGCAGACTGTCAGCGAGGGGTAAATTGGACAAAAGATGGCCTGCTGATTCGTTGCTTGGGAACAAGTTGTGGTGCTGCATTCAGACTGAATTGTTGATGGATCCCGCGAGGAGTCAAAACATGTTTACTGGTCTGCCTTATGTTTGATCCTCACCCATTTATTCTCCTATCTCCCCTAAAGATGGTTTTTAGAGTCTCTGTGTATTTTATGGTGTGTCACCTCCTGAGAGTGTTGACATTTTATCAACTTTTTTTTCTGCAGAAATGGCAGCGTGATGCTGCCAAGAATCACCTGAGTGACTGATATTCTTCAGACTGCAGCTTTTACGGTCACTCGGCGTTAAAGAAAGCGAGAAAACTCCCTTTTGGGTCTATACTTCTGAATTATTTGTCAAACTTTGATCGGAGTGAAGGCAAAGCAATAGAGGATAAAAATCAATACCTCAGGACAAAAGGTTGGACCATATGTTCAGATTTGTGGCAGCCTAAGTCACTTTGTAGATGCTCAGCTGGATGGTCAGAGCTACTCTTTAAATGCTCATGTATTGCTGGTACAAGACAAAATAAATCACTGTCATTTCTGTCCCCATGCACAGACTTGTAGAGCTCAGCTGGACCTGTTTCTCCAACCGGCTTTCTTCACATTATAACCATTCTTATACTTTCTAAAGATCAGTCTGAAAACTTACAGCTTTTCTGGCAAATAAAGTCCATATTAAATTGTATATGAAAACACAAATGTCAGACATTTTAACAGGGGATTTTCAATTTAACCTTTGCTATTTAACATGCAACATTCATATGCCGTGTGCAAGCATATGGACATGATTCAATGGATATGCACTTATGGAGTGATGTCAGAATGAGGGAGCTGCACTCAGTCTTCCCGATCAGTTTGGACTTGAGTTTATTTTCACATAACATTTGCCACGCCCAGGAAGTGAACCTGCAACTCTCAAGCTACCAGCCTTTTTACTAAACTATTGCTTCTACTGGGTCTTGATCGAGTGACCCCCAATTTCCTACAGATGAAACCACTCAACCAACTTTTCAGCCATCAAATGTCTCTATTTCCTGCTTCCTTAGAAATGACTATAAAGGTTTCTGAATATACTGGGCATCTAATGGAGTGAGGAAGCGTGGATAATGCTGCAGTGAAGTGGTCTGGGATGCATCTGTGATCACTCGAATACTTTTTTGCTGTTGACCTTGTTGCTGTTGGATCCATTGTGTGTAACTTGAGTGCAAAGGAGATGTAAAAAGAAACTTGGTGAGTGCACTTTTCCCGTGGCTCAGCTGGGTGAAAATACACTGATATCAGCTCAAGAAGGCAATTAAACACATAAGGCAAGTTAAAACGCTTAAAATGAAGAATAAATATTCAGCAAACCACTGGAGGTTGATTGACGTTGATGCTCTTCAATCCGGTCTTCAGCTGGTCTCCAGTGGGTTGGGCGAATCCAAAATGGTGAAAACAAGGGGGGTGTTCTGAGACATGCTGTTACCTGTGAAACTGAGGTGCTCTGAAAACACCCCCATTAGCAGTTGGTATTAACCATAGACTGTTAATTGACACGGAGAAAAATCGAGTCGACCAATCAGAATTTTGTTTGACTCAGCACGTATCGACCAATTAATCAACCAGTCGACTAGGACTTCACAGCCCTAATGAGAATGCATCGTTGTGTGCATGAAGATCAGATTTAATTGTTAAAATATTATTAGAGCAACATGCTTTGCGAATCGGACCTTGAGCAGACAGCAGGAGCGAATGATGCTGAATTCTTGGTGCTTTTAGCTGCAACGGTTCATTTTAAGCAAATACCCCAACCAGTGTTTACAACCATACAAGAGGATGTTGACAAGTGTTATGTACTGTTCATCCTCTTGTTTGTTCTGTTTGAGTGACAGCCCTCTGCAGCTAACACCGTTGTGGAAACTATTTGGGACTGCAGCAGCTTTCATAGCACAGCTAGCTCCACACTGACTGAAATCTCCACTCTGATGTCCCCACCTCTGCAGGATAGTGGCTGTGAGGCAGAATAATTAATTGTTCGACATAAAAAATTACTGAAGTAGATTTTTACCCAAGGGACTATTTGGTCTGCCACCATGCCTCATTATGTTGCTCAAGGGCTTGTGGGTAATTATTACCACACTGTGCTTTTTGTGCTTCCAGGAAACAATATGGTATCTGTCCCACTTGGACATTCTTTTGGTCATGCAAACAAATCGTGTGGCAGATGTAGCCCAGACACGCAGCTGTGTGTAAATTCCATTCATCAGAGGATATAGTCCTTATGGGATTTGGGGTAATTATGTTACTGTTTAGATCTGAAAGACATTTACTCACGAAAATATGAACTACCCTGTGTTAAACAGCTGGAAATCCAACAAAAGACCTCAAACAGGAATAGAATTTAACAAATTGGACAGATTGCAGTTGTTTTATGTTCCCATGAATCGTGTTTTTCAAGTCAACAGCTCATTGTCATGCACCTAAAATTACACCCCAAAACCTCAGTGAATAATTGGAGTCTCATTAAAGACGTTACATGCTAGGAGAAGATGATAGGCTCCTGAAATAACAGGCTGGTGGTATTTTAAATTCAAATGAGGGTCTAAACTTACCTGCTTTTCAGTTAATAAGGTGTCTGTGTTTGATAATGAGCAAGTCCAGAGGAAGTCCTGTTCCAGCAAGCCTTGGAGACACACCGCCTCTGACTTAGAGTGTGCGTGTGTGTGAAGTGATACATGTGTATGAGAAGGGATTGCTCAATAGACCATTGTGTAAAAAGCTTATTTACCTGTTAAGAAGGTCAACTCAGTCCCCCCACAGACAGCTAAAGCTCAAAGAAGAAACAAAAGTGTTTTATGCAGGAAAAAAAGAAAACCTGAGAGACACACAGACACAGAGAGGATGTACTACACAGATGGAAAGAGTGATGTACTGTGGCTTTGGGGAGCTGAAAGAGATCCTCTGTGTTCTGGACAAAACAGATCCGGTGTGTTTTGGATGAGGCTGCAAAGACTTTACAAAAAAATACAGTGGGAGGCTTTGAGTTTTAGAAGGAGTGATGAGTCAAGTATCAGAGTTCAAAACAAGACTCAGAGTCTGTGGCAGTGTTGACATTGCTCTGTGTGGCTGTACTGAAGTGGTAATGCTTTGAACTCAAAGATAAAATCAGGATACTTACAAAAAAAAACCAGAATTAAGGTTGTGAATTAAGCAGGTAGGACTCTGACACTGCACTTGTTTGATTTTGCATGTCTGTCAGCAAATATCGAATATTGATATCGATATGAAACATGGTCAATATGCTTTTCGATAGCAGGCATTCTGCCATGTTTTGGTAGACAATACTAATTGCCAATGAAAAGGGGAGTTGCTCCGAGTCTGCACTGCGCTGAACCAATCATGTGCTGAATTAGGACCAAGTAGCAAACAACGACGTAGTAGCAGGCTGCAACTACACGCAACCATAGCATGCAACACGTGAAGCCGACAGCACTGAAAAAAAGAAAATGAGTGCTACCCCCCAGCAGAAATGCAGATGAACGCCCAAGCGATTACAACATCGTCAACCAGACTGGCACAAGCAAGTGAGAAGCAGCCCGCGATGCCTGTGCAGTCGCAACAGCCGACCATTAAGTCCACTTTCTCTAGAGCAATGCCTGACAACAAAATGTCGTAAAGACCTCAGATGCAGTAGCTCATTAGGATATATGAGCTATATTTATATTTATTGATATTGACCAATATGAAAAAATATATTGTGATAAACTTTTTCCCATATTGCCCAGCCCTAAGTGGCGCTATGCAGCTAGCATGGCTAATTAGAAAGTTTGTAAGGAGCCATAAAGGGAAATCATGAAAGGAGAGAAGCACACCACAACAAAAAAGATACAGGTTATAGAGATGAGAGGGGACAGAATAGAGCCACAGATAGCTGGAGACAGATAGTGAAACAAGGCAGAGGGAATGTAAGAGGCCTGTGTGAGTCTCCAGGCAGTGGTCCTTATGTGGCCTGTTTCAACACTCCCCTTCACCATCTGTCACATCCCACATTGCAGGGACAAGGATAGGAATGGCACCAGCGCTCATCTCTCAGAGTTACACTCCAACTGCTATTTTAGCACCGGAGCCGAGCTGCAGTGACTCCCCTCCTCCAGCCCATCCCACATTTATATTTCATATTTACATGCAAAGCATTTATCTGAGTCTGATGAAGAGCAATCCAAGTGCAGCAGTCGAACAGGGTCACTCCCCCTCCTCTCTCTTATTACCACACTTAACAATGTGAGTCTGTTACTTTCAATTCTTTGCTTTTCTTTGTCTTTTCTCCTTCTTCTTTCTCCCTTGTTCCCAGAGCAGATTCTCCCACTTAATTTGCCTTCCATCAGCCCCACAATGCCCCATTTATAGTATGTTTAATTCTCTCTCAGCCAGTGGTATTTCAGAGTCCTTGGGATTTGCATCAATGTCAAGTACTTGCACGTGGTTGGCTGCTGGAGTGTGTCTGTGGGAGTGGATTCTGTCTTTGAACATCTTAATTGCTGGCTCCTGGTTGGCCGTTGTGGTGCCTGAATGCTCCAGCTAACTTGATAGTGCGGTTAAAAGTCTCTCTGCACTCTGGTTGGGATTGTAAGAATTTATAATTCCCGAGTCGCCCTTAAAGCCTGAATGCATCTGGTTCACTGATGCTTAACTACACAGTGGTTGAAATTATTGTGCATCGCTATCAAGCTGTCCGCATATTCCCAGCATATGTACCTTTATATTCTTGTGGCAGTAAATACTATTTCAATGCGTTTTCATGCGACTTGATATCATGAAACTTGGTGTCTTTTGTTCAGGTTTCTTTACTGTCTGTCAGTAAGTGACTGAATCCAAAGAGCGAGTGCAGGCCTGGTTGCAAGGACGGATCAGAAGCAGGATATTACTGTCTGAAAGAGCCGGCTTCTCCCCATTGAGGTGTCAGCTGTGCTCTCTCAGAGCCCAGAGACACGCAGGGGGAATAACACACACATTCGCACGCACACACACATTTGTATTCCCGCAGTCACCTACAGACACTCTTGATGTGAGGGAATAATCAGCGTTTGAGAACATTTCGCCTCATTGCTTATTCATAGCCTGGCATTGTGTTTATGTCTTATTCATGCCTCTGCTCGTGATGTCTATCTGTTTTAATGAGTCATTGGGGCTAATTGTCGGTACGTGCTGATAGTGTAAGAGGAAGACGGAATCGAGAAAGGTATTTCCATCAACCAGACTCATCTCTGTGGATTCGCCTGTGCCGGTATGAAAAGGGTCTGGATTACACAGAGTCAAGTTAGCGTTTCCAAATAGAGGATTTGTATTAGCTTCTAACAATATCCTATTCATTGGCAACAGATGAATGTGTCACTGTGGTTTGGCACGTGGCTGAGCTCATCTCTGTAATAATTAATCTGATGTTTTGATTCGGAATGAAAAGCTGATTACTCTGCATGTGGCTTCAAATAGAAGATAGAGACGTCAGGATAAATTCAAGGATGAGATAAGATGAAGCTCCACCTTGAATTTTTCTGTAATCTGTGATTTAGCAGTCAAGGTTTGTGTATCTGTGAAATCCACAGGTCCTTGCAGGAGCTAACTCACAGTCGACTCGGTTAGATTTTTTTTTACATCTGAACCCCGCTGCCTCGTTTTGATGGAACTGCCCCAGATCTGCCAAACAAACACTGAGCTCTGACAGCTTTATGTTTCCTGTTTGTAATTCTGGCCTGTCTTGTTTTTATTTACCCTGGTGTCGTTTGTTTGTTGTGTACAGACGAAGTCACAGGTTACGGGCCAGTGTTTGAGGAGCAGCCGGTGGATACCATCTATCCAGAGGAGTCGCCTGAGGCAAAAATCACCATGAGCTGCCGGGCTCGGGCCAGTCCACCTGCTACATACAAGTAACATATGCTCTCTGTGAAGCCTGTCTCACTACTGCATGCTGTGCATTCTGTGTGTTGGACATAGCTCAGCCTGGACTCCGACTATTTTAAGACCTGCCAGCAAAAGCTAAGGTCACAAGCTTCTTTCTGCTCTGACATTTGCTACAACCCCGAGGTTAGCTACTGTTCGTGTGTGTGATCATCCTGCTGTGCACGATTGAGGGATACTTTCAAATCCACATTTATCCTGTTTGTTTTCTCCTTATGCTAACAAAATTATTATGCTGCATTATCATTTTCCAGAAAAATCTATAAACAAATACGATTTTGTTCTCGCAGCAACAACACACACAGCTCTGGCATCCTGTCACCGTCTCATTTAGCAGCTCAAAAATGTGGAGCATTTTTCATGATCCATTTCAATTTAGATGTAAATATATGTAAATTATATAGCTGTAGCATCCCCCAAACCGGTTCCACTGTCAAAGAGCCCAGAATGAGATGTCAGAGGGGAAAGAATTAGCTTTGACCACGGTTGGTATTAAGTGTTTGAGAGGGTTCATCTGCAGTTGAACGCACTGCGCATTTCAAAATATGACATTTCATTTGTTGTTGCTTTTATGGAGGACATTTTTCAGTCGTTAAGAGTTATTTTGTTAGAAACACAACATACAGATTAAAAGCTTTTAAAAGCATATTCCTGGAATCTATTGATTTTGATTGATTTCCTTTTTGCAGGTGGATGCTGGAGGACACAGAAATTGACTTTACCGCAGAGGGCAGCCACTACAGCTTAGTCGGAGGAAACTTGGTCATCAGCAACCCGGTGAAAACGCTACATGTAGGAAAATACTCCTGTTTGGCTTACAACAAGTTCGGCACAGTCGTGAGCCAAAAGGCCTCCGTCCAGTTCGGATGTAAGTGACCCAGATGTGAACCCCCCCCTCCCATTGAGACTGCAATGAAGATGTAGGGTACCACACAGATTTAACAGAGAGCTGCCCTGAAGCTGTACTTTCATGCATATTAAGCACACTGACATTGCAAGGGCAGCCAGAACAAATTATAAGTGGTGTGGAAGTGCAATTTGTGAATGGTCCAACTTCATTTTGCCACCAACGCTAATACACTTTCTTATTAAATCTACAACTCAATTTAAAAGTAGTTTGTGAACTCATATCCTCAAACTTTGGGTGTCTATTATTTTGAAAATAAGCGGCAGATGGGTGACCAGGGGTGGCATCAGCCCCCCCTCCATATAAATAATAATAATAATAATAATAATAATTGACAACCTTCCAGTTATTGGCCGACCACTCTACCTCCTGAAGCTCAGGAGATTGGCAAGCTTCTTGCAATGTGAAACTGCGATAATATAACTGCCCTGAGCACAACTCGTACAGAGTTGTTCGCTCGCTGGTCCATTCCTGAAGCCCATTGCCTTGCAATGGCACACTGGTGACCACAACCCTGCAGAACAAAGTGAAGATGTGAACGGGAAGAGCTTTGTGGCAGCAGTATAAAAGTTAGCGGCAGCAGCCTCAGTGATCCCCTCACCTCTATCATCCTTGAGGGGTGTTTTCATGAGCAATACTGTATTCTAGAGCAGTGGTTCCCAAACTTTTTCCCCCCAAGGCACACCAAAGGACAAGTAAAAATCTCAAGGCACACCTATTGTGAAAAATAACACCTGTTATCACTCATATCATGTAAAATATACATAAATGTACATAATTATTTACTGGTACCAAATTAAATATGACAAAGTTTACTCATCAAATAGTATTTATTAACAAATATTTTTAAAATCCATTTTAAACTTTATCAAATTAGGCTTCATCGAAGCAACAACACGACAATTTAAACAAGACAGGTCACAAAATTAAAAGTGAGGCAAAGGAAACTCAGCAGAAAACTTTAACTCGTTGAGATGCCCAAATATGTCTGCAAGGTAAGCCAGCCTGGTGCACCACCTCTCACCACGAGCTTGTCCTTATGTGCGACAGCGTGTTTGTGTGAACATTCTAAAACTCTTCCTGAAGTTCATAAAGGCGGGATAGGACTTTCCCTGTGATGGCCAAAATTTCAAAATCTCACAGCACACCCGGACTTGCCTAGAGAATTGAAAAGTTTTCTGTGGATGACATCTGTGTTTTGGTATTTTTTGCTAAAGGTGATGACAGCCCTATCTAAAAATGTGACCAAAGATTAATAATATGTTTGTGATTGCTTGTGTACTTATTTGATTTTATCAGTTTGTCTTTTGTATTACACTTCTTAATGCCACATACACCAGCTGGCCACCCAAGTTTAACAAGTCTAGACAGGCCCCTGGTTTATAAATGAGGCTAAAATGATGCCCTAATTTTGAGGAACTTTTGATTCAAATTAATGAGTTCTTTGTTTCGGTCTCTTCCCCTAGATCTCGATCTTTTCTCATCAGAGGAGAGGGAGTCTGTGTACATCAAAGAGGGGCAGGGGGCGGTGCTGCTCTGTGCTCCTCCACCACATTATCCAGGTACATCCTGCTATAGCTGAATGTGCTCGCAAACTTGGTCCTATCTCTGGTCATGAAAAGATCACGTCTGGCCGTTAAGCATGCAGGTGGAGTATCGGCACACTCATTTTGATAGCTAGTCCTCGTTCCTTGATGTTGTGAATTTCCTGCAAAAAGTAAAAGTGTGATTTCTATAGAAGTCACAAAAGCGCTCCGCTGATCCTTTCACATCTGCATCGATTCATGTCATATATTTGGTTCATCGGTTGCATGGAAACTCCTGTTGGTTTGGGATTGAATTGCCCTTCTAAATGTCCTCTGAGGTATATAAAATGAAACCATTAACTCTGCTGCCACCTCATTTTCAGCTCTTTTTTCTCAGTTAACATTTAACCCCATACTGGGTTTATTTTTTCTTCCACATGGTTGTAAAATGAAAAATAATACGTCAGGATTTCACTTGTTTTGTTTTCATGTCATTGCAGGAATAGTTGTTGTTGTTGCACTCATTATATTGGTATATGGCCTATTTCATTTCCTCAGTTTTGAGCCCTTGAATCTTTATTTTTAAACATCGCTGAATGACAGACATTGCCATTCACAAATAAATCCATTAACATTTTTTCATATCCATGGTGATGCAAATCAGTCAACCAACAGTCTGAAAGCTTTATAACTTCCTTTCAGAAGCAACAGAATTGCCGGGAAAAGCCAATATGCTTATGTTATCCATCTATTGTGCCTCTCAGTAAGGAGAATTTTAAGATTTCATCTGAAAGGTCAACGGATGCCTGAATACTAAATCCCCCTTAGCCCCAAAGAGTTGTGCTATTTTAGTTTTGCGTGCATTCAGAGTATTCAAATCAAATCCCTCTTGCTTTGAAGGTTTTTCTGTGTCCTGGGCCTTGATTGACAGACAGTTGTTGTGTCTCTTTTTGTGCAGAAGAGCTTTCATTTCGATGGATCCTCAATGAATTCCCCACTTTCATCCCACTGGACAAGCGGCGTTTCGTCTCCCAGATAACGGGTAACCTCTACATCTCCAAAGTTGACTCCTCAGACAGCGGCAACTACTCCTGCATTGCGTCCAGCCCATCCATTTCCAAGAGTGTCTTCTCCAACTACATCCCCCTGGTGCCTCTGGCTGAACGTCAGTAACTTATCAACCAATCTTATTTTGACTTTCTCTTTTTCTTGCTTTCTTGCAGATCATGCACTTACACAGGTTAATATGTCTGTTTGCTCCAGTTATACCGTCAGTGGTGTTAAATGACCCACATTGAAGCACAAGTAAAAATCTAGGTTATTTTTAATCATCTTGCACCAGATTGATCACAGTATGGTACGTGGGCTGTAGCAACATTTGCAATCCTCTGAAATGAATCCTTCTCGCTTTAAAATGCAAATATTGTTCAGATTTCAAAGTGCGAAGTGTTTCTGCGATAGTGATTTACAGTCATGACTTCTCAAAATCCAGAACCCAACTGTTTTTTAAAGAGGTGAGTTTAATAGACATCCAGAAAGATCATAGATTTGTCTCTCCTGTAGTCTTTAATTTCAGCAGTGCTTGTTCTGTTGGGATAAAGTTGTCACTCTTAAACTGAGATGTACAGAGGTCAGCTCTAAAGTCACCTGGCTCACAAGAACTTCCTCAGAGGGAAGCGAAGCCAGAATGTTGAATTTTGACGATGACTGAACTGGAACATGAAGAGCCCTAGAGACAAGGGTTCACAAACTACAACGGTGTCCTTCAAGTCTGTTAATGCTATATGATTGTCAGAGTACAAGCACAAACAGACAACTATTTTAACATTTGACTCTGGGGGTCTTCCCAGAATCCATCAGGGTGTCCTTTTCAGGGTTATATAACTTTTCCCAGCTTGAAATGTGGGGAATGGGAATAGTACTGTATTTCCTGAGAGCACAAACTAGACCGTCAGAATAAGAATAGAGCAGACTTGTTGTTTGGACTCTCTCATGCATATGTGTGTTATAAAATCCCCCTCAGGTAGTGTGTGACCCATATTTAACTCTTAAGTACTTGGTTTGTCTTTGTGCATACCTTAGCATCCAGCCAAGGTTTTTGAAAGACTGTGTGTAGAAATAGGACACTACTGGAGTATTTGTTGTGACTGCTAATCCTCTGAGTTACATATAATCTCTGTTTTCATACAAAGTGTGCTCTTTATGTAAAGTAGCATTGCAGCTTTAGTGTTGTTTGTTGAAGTTCTAATTTTGTTGATGGACCAGAACCTTAAGAGACCTTAAAGGGATATTCCGGCTTAAAATTATGGTGGTCAAACCACCATAACACCGAGTTAGACACTCCGTCAAGGGATTAATGTTGCGGACCGCTTGCTTCTCTAGTTAAACCAACTTTAGTAACGACCGCAGATAGCAATACACAGCGGTCCCAGGAGCCACAAGCTCGACCAAAGAGCCACTCTATAGCCAAAAATAATGCAAGAACAAGGAAGAACATTTATGATCATTTCTTTATCATTTCCTATTAGTAATAATCACCATATTAATCATTTTGCACTGCAGACGCGGTAGTTCTTCTGCCTTAGCGTCTCGGTCTGATTGCATTTCCATGAAGAAATGATCATAAATGTTCTTCCTTGAGCTGCGTCACCCCGCTGCGGTAATGGACCCACCTGAGGTCTCTGTACAAACAAGCGGCTGCTGGAAGAGAGTGGGTGAGTTGTGTTTAGTCTCTTTGCTTAAGAAATTAGGGAAAGTTAAAAAGATGTTTGGTGGCTAGTGCTATGGCTAGGACTCTTTATGTACTGTTGATGAAGTTAGATGCTGTTCTGAGCATTATTTGTGGCTATAGAGTGGCTTTTTGGTTAAGGTTTGCACGTGGAGATGTAGACTGCTGTGTATTGCTATCTGCGGTCGTTACTAAAATTAGTATAACGATAGAAGCAAGTGGTCGGCAACATTCATCTCTCGAGGGGGTGTCTAACTTAGTGTTACGGTGTGTTTGACCTTAACTTTATTTTACGCCAGAATATCCCTTTAAGAAACCTGACGATTGGAACCTAACTGCTGCAGCAACCTTAACCTGAGTCTGATTAGCAGTTCCATTTTGGACGGGTGTTTCTGAAGTTTCTTGTGTACTTTTAAAACTTTAACTAACAAAAACTCTTTTATAATTAACTGTGTTCTGAAAATCTGGTGTGAAATCAGAAAAGAGGAAACTTTTCGAGGATACTATTTTTTTTCTGCTTGTCCTTCTACTGATTAGAAAATCAAGTCCAGCACAATGGCAAACACTCTGGCACTCAACCACCTGCGGAGGTAACTCAGATTCAAAATTACAGAGTGGCTGAGAGGACGATAAATTAGAGAAGCACTTGGCTCCAAATTAAGAGCTGCAAATCTGGACTCTGACGCATCAGAGGCAAAATCAAGTTTCTGAGCCTTATATTATTTAACCACAGACTCCTCTTGCTGTGGCCGTGAGAACGAATCCCTGTGAAAATGTGCCTCCAGAGTCTCCTAGAAATAATCGATGAGTCAGAGAAACCTAAATACTCCTGGTAAATAACGCTGTCCCTGAAGGTCTATGTAAACTTTATAACCCGCATCACTGTCAAAACCAGGACGAGACCATAAACCCAGGTACCAGTCTGCTTGTAAATGTAATCTTTGTGAAGTTAGCCGAAAGTATCTTGTCAACATCCACTTCCTGTATGTGTCTTAGGAGGATATCAGAGTAAAGGAGGTTTTAAAAAGGAGTATCCTGTGCTAGATTTGACCCACTTAGCAGTCGGGAGACGTTTGGGAAGAAAACCTCGAAACCACCGTGTTGGTTAAAATCATCAGTAAATCATCCTGAAACCAATGTGGAAAAAGGTTTAGTAAGTGAGTCATGACTCTCGCCTGTTGTTATTCCTCTCAGGTCCCATCAGGAAATACCCAGCTGACCTGAGAGTCAAGTTCCCAGACACCACCGCGCTAGTGGGGCAGAATATCACCTTAGAGTGCTTCGCCTTGGGAAAGTAAGTGCTGGAGAACAAGGTTTACCTTTAGTTATTTGTACAGATTGAAAAGTGTCTTACTGGACTGGAAAGTTTCATGACAGCCTGATGACAAAAACGTACTTTTAGCTTCTAACTTGTATTTGTTGTTGAATTGAATTGAATTTACCACCTGGTGTTCCTCCGGCTGTGTTTAGTACTCAATTCTGATTGGTTCATACTCCATAACGATGGTCAAATCAGTTGCTTTCTGCATCTGTTAAGAATCTCTATGGAAAAACACTAATTATAAGACTTTATTGTTAATGGAAATGTTTAGATCAATGTGATTTATAGATAAACTGTATACCGTATTTTTCGCACTATAAGGCGCACGTGATTATAAGGCGCACCATCAATGAGCGCATCTATTCGCGTCTATTTTCATACATAAAGCGCACCGGATTATAAGGCGCACCGGATTATAAAGTGCATTAAGCCAAACAAAGTGGTCCGACACGCCATCGGGCTGTGCGGCTTTGTAGCTTACCGAAGTCGTAATAAAATATTTTGCCAGATTTTTGAGCGCTGTGTACCTCATAAAATCGGTTCGAGGTCAGTAAGCACAACCAGAATTCATACGTAAGGTGCACCTGATTATAAGGCGCACTGAGGATTTTTGATAAAATTAAAGGATTTCAAGTGCGCCCTATAGTACGAAAATACGGTATACTATGGACAACTTAGCTCCGACAGTCCGTCATCATACAAATTTGAAGCCAAATTGCTCTCGGTATTTCCAGGATTTTCTCCACTTTCTGGAACCGCCACTCGCACAGTCATGTTCTACGCATTTGGTGGGAGAGTCGCTGTAATGGCGCTCTTCTCGAATGAGCGTATGCCCCCGGGTTGATCTACACAATCTTTGTATACCCATAGGCCGCATCAAGTGTCAGTAACAGAAAAGCAGGACTTAAACTAAGATGAAATGTTCAGTTTAATTTCAATTCTACTGGCAAGTAGCCTGACAAGATTGCAATCGAAGTGCTGCCAACCATCAAATTTGACAGTGATTTACAGTGAACTATACGTTATCCTTGACAAAATCAAGTTTCACGTACTGATGAGGTAGTTTTTGTCTTCTCAGGTGGCATGTGAAAAAGTGATTCAAAATAATGCTGTAGGATCTTCAGCCTTGTAGTAAACAGATATCACCTACAGACAAGTTGCTCCTCTGGCTCAGATTCACCCTTCAGCACTAAAAGATTCATAAAGCACAGTTCAGAATAGTGATGACCTGAGCGCTGTATAACTGAGGCTTATGTATAACAAGCTGAAATCTGCCTTGTGTATTATTTTCGTCTGTCTCTGCCCTCTCCAGCCCCGTCCCTGAGATCCGCTGGAAGAAGCTAAACGGGCAGCTTCCAGCCAATCACGAGGTGAGTATGGCTGGGGCTCACCTGCACCTGTACAATGTGCAATTTGAAGACGAAGGCACCTATCAGTGTGAGGCTGTGAACTCCAAAGGGAAGGACTACCATGCTGCCCGTGTATCTGTAGAAGGTAGGAAGTGTGTTTTGTCCCTCTCTAAAAACACTCCTGAGGATTATAATTCGTTACGTGGGTGAACTTTCTAGCAGCTGTATTATTTATATGCTAAGAACATTGTGTGGGGACAATCCACCAGTTCTTTCTTTTCATCTGTATCTGGCACATTTTTTTCAGATTTTACTTTATTTTCCACATCTAACATCTCATTTAATGCCTCAAGTTTCAATCCATAACATTTATAATTCAGCAGCTTTGCACTTCTTTCTCGATTCGTCTCAAAATTGTAACACTCACTCTGATTATTTGCAGCTTATCCCGAGTGGGAGGAGCACATCAGCAGAACAGAAAAAGAGCTCAACAGTGAATACACCATGTCCTGCGTGGCCAGTGGCAAACCAAAACCGCACATTCGCTGGCTAAAAGACGGAGAACTGGTAACATTCAAACTCATAAACCTTTATTCGCATATGACTGAGCAATCAAGCATTTACTCTACGATACTCAGAGCCTTCTTGTGCAGAACTGTACAGTCTGTACTGTTAGAAGCTGTTCAACATACAGCTCGGTGTTGTTACAGTAGCACTGCAGCAACAGGAAGCTGGCACTGCGGGTGCACACTGTGTCAGGAAAAAGTACCTGTTGTTATTGAGCAGATGCCAGCGTGGGTTGTGTAACCCTCCATAGAAACAACTGTCATCAGACTGGAAAAATACCCCAGAGAGTAGAAGGTAGTGTCAGCAGAGCGGGGGAGGTCGCTTGAAATAAAGTTACTCATCATGTTTGAGTGAAAACCTTGACTAGTCAAATTAATTAGTTGTCATCTCCGACTCTGCGGAGGTCAACAATCAACGGATTGAGTTTAATCCTTGAACCTTTGCTAAGTGATTGAATTTAAAATGCATGAAAATGGTTTGAGATATGAAGTAACGTTTTAACTTTTCTCTCCTCTTATTTTCTCCAGACTGACAGGAAAGAAATGAGGTTCAGCAGTTTGTCATTCCAAGACTCAGGGATGTATCAGTGCATAGCAGAGAATCCTCACGGAGTCATATACGCCAATGCAGAGCTGCGTGTTTTTGGTGAGTCACGTTTTGGCTGCAGCCACAGCACAAATGGCTGCATCAGAGATTTAAAGGTCACATTTCAGGCAGACTAATTGGGGCTTATTAGGGGCTTACGGAGTGCATTGTCATATTTTATTACAAAAAGTAACGTTGATTAGGCTGAAAAATACAACACGGATAAAGAATGTAGTCAAAATCGTCATCTGGTCATTTTAAAATAGGGTGCACAGTATGCTAGTTTAGCACACAAGGCATTTTTATGAATGGAAGATGCATCATTAATGCAGGCAAGTCTGCAGTTCATTAATTTTTGACTAAGTTTGTGATAAATAATCTATTGTGTCCCTTCTTAGCATGTGCTCCAACATTCAAACACAACCCTGTGAAGAGAGTCTTGGCGGCTAGAAATGGCCGAGTGGTGATACAGTGTCGACCCAAAGCGGCCCCAAAGCCGAGCTTCTCCTGGAGCAAAGACACAGAGCTGCTATCCAACTCAACCAGGTGAGCAGTCTTCAAAACATGGCCCACACCTCAATATTTGAAGGAAATGTTCTCATTCAGGAGCTTTTCATGCTAAATTGTTCTGCTGTAGTAATACATTTCAGTGTTTATCAACCTTTTTTTTCTGTGACACATCTGGGTCATAGTAATTCACAGACATATTTCTGAGTTTTCTCCAGAGTAGCAAAAACCTAAACCGTTTTGCGATTTGTGGGACTGAACAAGCTTTAGATCTCCAAAATCTACTCCACGTGCCTGGGATGTCTTTAGTGTTGAGCTTCGTCTGTCAGCAGTTGACATTAATCTCATTCTGAAGCTCATCAGCTTTTACAGAGTGGATGCGTAAACCCCTGTCTTGTGCTCCTCACCGACTAAACAAGCCTAATCTTTGAGCTCCTAGACCCCCGAGTCTTTCCCCCACCTCACAACCATACATGCGCTACAGTGAAACTAGCACAGAGGCGAAGCAGCGGCGAAATTACCATGCAGCATATGCCTCCTAATGCTCTTTATGGAGGCTGTCTGGGTGAAAGTGGGTGTGTGGAAGAGTGACAGGGCAGCTGGCCCCTCGCTGTTTGTCATGCATGAATATAAAACACGCAGCCAAATACGAATCAAACATTGTAATGTGCAATTTAATCTGTAGTTTCAACTTCAAATCCTTTTCAGATTTTTCCTCCTTAAAAATTTCTGAGCTGTCAAGCCTCTTCATCCCTTTCAATCATCCACTCATCCGTGGAATAACACGCGCTGGACTTTTGACCTCCATTTTGCACTGAATATTTTATAACACATAGCTTTTTCTTGTTTAGCCGATGAAGACTTAATTCCGCTTTCTCCTTCAGGGTTTTTATCTTGGAGGATGGGAGTTTGGAGATCCTTAACGTGACCCGCGCAGACGAAGGCAGGTACACCTGTTTCGCCCAGAACGACTGGGGAGAGGCGAACAGCACAGGCTCTCTAGTGGTTACAGGCAAGTTCTATTCATCAATCTATTCAAAGCTGATTTTGTAACGTCTCTAGGACAGTTTCACTTGCTTTGTCTTCCCTGTCAATCACTCCCATCACAAACAGTCCTGACCTCCAAATGTCTGCTGTTGTTGAGTTATTCCCCTCTCGGTGGGCTGCTGGTGAATATTCAGTCATTCCCAGAGGGCAGAGGCGAGAGGGGGTTTGTTTTTAGATCAGATGTAATGAGACAAGGGGAAAAATGCTCGATAGAAAAATGCAGACCTGAGTCGTGAACTTGTTCAGCAAGTTTGACCCACTAACAAATGTTTAAATTGATTTGCTTGTCTTTTTTTTCCATACATGCAGTTTCAGCTGTCGTGACTGTTTTGTTTTTTTTCCAGTTGAGCCCCAGCTGTGCTTGTAGTACAGCTCTTTTCTGCCCTCTTCTGGATATAGATGCACATTGCACTGTCTTGGCCTTTTTATACAAACACCTTATAAACTATGATGTACAGTATGTTTCCACTGCTCAGGAATCCCTTACTCAGTCAAGATGTTTCACAAAATGAATTTTCATCAGCTTGACCTGACTTCTTTTTCAATATCTCTAATCTCTAACGCTCTTGTCTTTGTCCCCAGAGTCCACAAAGATCACCTTGGCTCCATCGAACGCTGACATTAAATTGGGCGAAACCGCCTGGATGCAGTGCGCCGCATCACATGACCCCTCTCTGGACATCACCTTCATATGGTCCCTGGATGGCCGCGTGATTGATCTGCACAAGGACAGTGAACATTACGAGCGCACCCCGGTGAGATAACATGCTGTACTTTGCATAATGATGTTATAAAGAAAATCTACATAGCTGCTCGGTCCAAGCCAAGTAACCCCAACATCACGAGTAGAAACACTTAGCCCTTGAATGGAGTTCATTCAGGTCAAATCAGCCTCTGCCGGACATTTATTTGAATACCTGAAATGGAAAAGTTCAGCCTACTTTAGCTTAATATGGCTGTAAAAGTCATTCTGAGTGGAGAGTTGCATTTTATAACAGTCAAATAGTCATTCCAGCCAACGGCCATTATTGTTGACATGACCTACTCTCCCAAGAGCAGCTCTAACCATAAGTTAGGGGTTTGCATTTCCCATTTGTCCCTGTGCCCGTGAGGCAAATAGCATATTACAATCATGATTGATGTTGACCAGTTTTTGTACACAGGGAGGATTTTCCCCTCGTAAAACTGGAGTCTGATTCTACCTAATACTGTTTCTGTGGTTCTCTCAAACAAGTTCAAAGTAGTCATGTATTTTTTTGCTGGTTTTCTGTTCTAAGTGGATCAAACCAGAGTGATCAGACATCACTCTATAGAAAAAAAAGTGACAGACATGTCCACTGTCCCTCATCGGATGTCCTTCTTGTCCTGCAGGATTCATCTAATGGCGATAGTGATATTTAGTTTTCTTTTTCCGAAAGAGAATTTTTAGAAACTAAGAAAACATTGGAGATTAGAATTTTACTTTGATTGATAATGAATTAAATTTGACTCCCTTTTCAGTGAATTGTGGTCTGTTGTCTGTGTTGTTTTCTGCAGAATGGGAGCTCGAATGGTGAACTGATGATCAAGAACGCCCAGCTGAAGCATGCTGGACGTTACACTTGCACCGCTCAGACCCCCATTGACAACGTCACCGCCCAAGCCCACCTGGTTGTCAGAGGTGAGTCATAAGTGATGCTGTTACAGATGCACAAAGTCATGAATGTAAAGTTGAATAAAGACTCAGTTTCTTTGAGTTGATTTTAACAGTTTTGTTCAGTTTTATGTGCTCTCCTCACTGGTTTGAAATGGGCAGGACTAACTCGTGAGCTGATGATGTCACTTCCCTCTGTACCCATATAAGGACAAAGAAACATCGGCATCGAACTCTAATAACAATTGGTCTTGTGTGTAGGGGATTGTAAAGTAAATCTGATCAAACACATTCCTCAAATTTTTAGTGTATTAGAATAACTTGGACTTTGATAGCTATTGATTTATGAATCATTTGTGATGAAAAACACCTTCAAGGCCCTGTCGTCAGAGTTATTCGTCTTTGGAGGTTATGAAACTGAACTCTAGACTTTATAACATCTACTTGGTTTATTTGCTTGTGCCCTGGAAAGTGGATAATGGCGACAGAAAGAGAGGAACCATGAAAAGATGGCTGTGTCTCAGTGGAGAGTCTGTTGCTGCTCAATCTCAGAGCAGGCTGTGGGTATGATCTCATAGGGCTGGACGATATGGCCTCAAATCAATATCATGATAAATTGAGCAATTCACCTTGCTAACAATAAATGGATGATAACTACTCCACAAGTTGCTCACCCCCTCCCACATTAACTTTGTCTACTTTAAAAAGTAGATTTAATTTTTTGGTCAGTTATTGGTCAAGAGTAGGGATGGCAGTTAATAAGTTTTACTGCTGCTGATACCATCATCAATTACAGTTGTTGACCCAGCCCTTTATTGATTCCTGTGGATTTCCTACAAGGGAAAAGTTGGCCTTAGCTTCACAAATTCTTTTACAAGTTTTCTGACTGGCTTTTGACTGGGCCTTTACAGGTCATTTGATCACAGATACAGCCTCTGATTGGTCCACAGACCAAAACAAAGATGACAGTCTCTATCTGGTTTAAGCCAACAACAATCGTGAACTGTTTAGCCATAATAAATACATCAAAAAACCTTACAGATTACCTTTGTTTTTGAGGGATTGGTTCTGGACAGTCTCTTAAACACACTGGTCTTCTCAGTGGGATAGAAAAAGTCCTCAAAGTCACAGAAACACAGATGTTAACACTGGAAAGCTGCTAGTCTGACAGAATTTAAAAAATAAATAAAAACAAGCAAAAGAGTCTGGCTGCAGACCTCTAGTGTCAGGACCCCTCATAGCAGAACCCATACTGTGAGGACCCACCTCAACTGAACGGACTGAAAGTTGATTTGACGCCTTCAAAATAATAGCTAATATACCGGGAGTACAAGTTGATTCGAAGACTTTCAAATTAAAAGCCATTAGACTGGGGAGTACATATTTTTTGTCTCTTGTAAATATATTTAATTTCTTGGGACTTTATTTGATGTATATAATGTTAATCAGGTTTTTTGTGTATTCATGTGTTAAAGACAAAATACAAAATGGGATTACCACTTCAAACAAACTGGAGTGCGTGAAGAAAACGTCACTTCCTCTCAGTGGAGGTGGGTCCTGACAGTGGAGGTCTGCAGCCAGACCTCTCTTGAACCAAGAGGAATTCACGGATAAGAGATCTGTTGAGCATTAAAGCCAAAGATGTAAATAGACAAAATCTGTTGAAATTGGTTCTCAGTTATTATCCCTAGTCAAGAGTGAGACTTCATCCACACAAAGTGAAAGAAAAAGTGTTGAATTAATAGAATGATAAGGGAGGTACATTGTTTCCCCATGAAGCAGACTGACATACTGACTATCCGTCTCCTTGAAAGATCAGTCCAAACTTAAGGCTGCCTCCTCAAGGGTGATTCATCTAGATAACAGTATTGTGCTTTCTGTCTGGACTCGGGAGTCTTGCCTGTAGATAGCATTTCTGAAAGTTGTTATCTGTGTCTTGTTTCCAAACCGTGTCTTATTAGAAGCAGTAATAGATTTGACTGAACTTGATGGAACAAGCATTCTTTGAGTCAAGACGTGTGCTGATTTAAGTGTCAGTCGTCAGCATGAAGAAACATTTACGGAGAGTTTTGGCGTTAAACATCAAACAGGTTTTGGTTGTGTAATACCTTGGATGGGTGTTTGATGACTAGTGTGGCAGAACAACATAGATCTCTTATCTTCTCACATAGATCTCTTATCTTTTCAGCTCTATGTTTTGATACGCAGCACTGCTGATTTCAGCGATTGTTCCTCCTGCCACATTCAAATATCAACACTCACTAAATAAACTCAACCAAACTTCCTCACTGCTCCGTCTGTCATTTAGTATGTTTCACCTCCTGGATGATTCATCGGACTGTGTTTTCACCTCCACTTCCTGATGAGTGACGGCTTGCCTCACAGCCCTCCTTCTCTGGTCTTGAAACTGGCGGACAAAGGGTCTCTTCAGATAGCAACCAAAGAGCTCCAGCAGTGATCTGGATGCCAGTGATCCCTGTTTTTTGCCCTGGGTGTGCTTCCATCACTTCGTCTTTCTGAGCAGGTGCTGACAGATAGCCAGGTGAATGCACAGCAGCTGACTGTGACGTTTCCCACAGTGGAACCAAAACACAGGCCCTAATGGAGTGCCAAATGCCAACAGTCCGGGGCGCAGCGAGAGAGGGATGAAAGACAGCCATTAATCACGTCAGATGAGGAAACAGATCTGCTGCAGAGGATTGTGGGAGTGAAAAAACACAGCTCTGCACCTGTAGTTTGTTATTAGTGGGGATTTGAGATAGGTTGGAGAGCTGTTTTCTTATGACGGCTGGTATTTATGTAGCATTATGTTACAGTCCTTCCTGAACTGATGTTGAGACAAGCCTCTGTTAATGTAAGCATCTGTTAATGAGGGAAAATATTTATCAACTTGATCAAATGTAACTTCCTCTAACTCAGTCCATCAGTTGGTAACGTTTCAACAGTTTAATAAACTCTTGCTGAAGAAAATTAGACAACATTTACATGATATTTCATCTCTTCACTGACAGTAAAGAACAGTATTTTTTCCATGCTTAGCTTTCTCCCCTGACTCTTGGAGGAAAGTAGAAGCTTAAGGGCTGTCCACTTTTGGCTGTTTAATCGCCTTACATGTCTTGGCTCATATTCATGACTTGGAAAGAGTAAATCCTGGCTGATTTCAGAGGCTGTGGGTTGGGAGGCTAACCCTCGCACAGTCTGGGTTTTCTATTAGGACATTTTTTATGTTCCAGAGGAGGAATCAAAAGGAGCAGGAAGACCAAGAGAAACATTTGATTCAAAAGCTTTCGCCGAAGCTTTGGGTCATGTATGTCAATGGTTGCTTAACTTTAATGTGTTAATCCATCAGGCTTTTAAAGAAGAGACTCAAAAGGGAAGAAATGTAAGGGTGTTGATGTTCTCTTCTGGTTACATGCAAGTCAAACAGAGGTCTCTTTGCATTCTGGTGTTGAGGATAAAGTTATTAAAGGGCTCGGGACTCATGCCAAGAATTCCCCCATAAGCCTGAAGAAAGATAAAGCTCCTTTAATAACGCTCTCTCTCTCTCTCTCTCCCCTCTCTTTCTCTCTGTCTACAGCATGTGAGCAAGTAGGACATTCACTATCTGCCCGGGGGACAAGTCAAAGTGGGCACTTGTGTGATTTTAAACTCGTGAACTTGAGGCTAAGGGACAATGTCACTTGTTTTCGTCGCCCGTCAAACAACACCTTTAGCTTGTCTCTTGTTCTTTTTTTTTAATTCACCCCAGGCCCCCCCGGTGCCCCAGGTGGGGTGCGAGTGATGAACAAAACTGACAAGACTGTGACATTGCAGTGGAGCCGCGGAGCAGACAACCACAGCCCCATTTCTAAATATACCATCCAGTACAGGGACTCCTTCTCTAAGGACGTCTGGAAGACTGCCACTACATGTGAGAATTCCAGTGCAGCGCTTGGTCAAATAAACACTGTTAGTTTAATGCTGAGCTGGCTCGAGAGTAATAATAATTTAGGTCATGCCACATGGTGAGACTGTAGGGCTTTATGGTGGTTCATGTGTCTTAAAAGTAGCTACAATATAATTAAATTCAGCTCACAGACTTAAAATACAGGAAGAGCTTCCAAAAATAAAGCCTCATTGTTATTTTAAGGATATTTAAGATAAATTGTGGTGAAGCACAACCTAAGCTATATCATGTTTGAACGTACCTTTGTGTTAGCGTTGTAAAGTAACATCTGTGCATTTTCTCTGTAGCTCCTGCAGATGTAGAGGGGAACACAGAGATGGCCACAGTGGTGGATCTGTTCCCCTGGACAGAGTACGAGTTCAGGGTCATCGCCACCAACACTCTGGGGATAGGAGAGCCGAGCAGCCAATCACCTAAAGAGAAAACACTGCAAGCAAGTAAGGTCATATCTCAACTGGTGTATAAAAGCGGTGTAACTCGAAAGGTCAGCGAGGTTCTGTCCCCACAGTCCAGCTTTCCGCTCTGCTTTTATTCTTCATAATTCCATTATAGCACTGTTTACATATGCTAAGTATCCCTGTAGAAATGAGTCAGCAGAAACCTCATCAGTCTGTACTTCCTACTGCAGGAGCACGCTGCCAAACTAACCGCACAAACCTCTACAAATGAGCACTTTGCTGAAACTGTATACTGAAATTCAATTATAAAATGGAAATCACAGGCCTGCTGTAACCCCTCTTAAAAAAATAATCATCATTTGAGCGTGAGCTTCGAGACTCAAGGCAAAACAAGGGAACTCTTGCCCCTCTGTCTCCTTTGGTGGCAGCGTTCCCACACTGACATTAAGGTGTTGCATTTGGCACAGAAGCAGACATTGATATAGTATTTGCAGAGGAAGGATGTTTCAGTTCGGCTGCCAGGGATAGGTTTCAGCCTGTGTGGGTTGGCGTTGTTTGTGTGGATTCTTAGCATGTGGGTTTCAGAGTTTTGCTGTTGCTGTCTCATTGTTGTAGTTCCTGTGGTGGCGCCCTCGGACGTCGGCGGGGGCGGAGGGACCAGCAGAGAGCTGACCATCACATGGACGGTAGGTCTGGACTTTCCACTGTGTTCAGAGGGGAATGAGGTCACGGGCTCACAGGAAGGAGACATGCTGCTGTTATCTCATCTTATTTGAACCCAGAGAGATTGATTATTTTTAATATGAGTTCATTAAAACCTTGATTTAATAGCACCCTTTAAACAAAAGAGGTAAAATGATTCAGGGAGAAAAAAATACAAGCCCCAAGACAAAGCAAACAAATTAAACTTCATAAATCAAAACCGCCAACTCTGTGTCGGTAGATTCACACTTTGTAGACACTGATATTTTTCAGGATCATTATTTTGTCAGTACAGATCAAAAGGTATTGCAGGATTTTGTTGCAGATCAGTTAAATGGATTAGAAGTAAGAAGAGATGGTTTTAGGATTAAACTTGTAATACAGAAATGAACCAGTGCTTTCTTTCTTTCTCTTCTTCTTTATTTATCTCAAACTTTAATAACAACAACAAGAAAAGAAAAAAAAAAACAAGAAACAAAAACACCAAACAAAATAATACATATGTACACCAAACAACTGTACGTGTCAAAGATAGATTTACACAACATATGTATGTCAAAAACAACCAGTTTGAGAAGGAACAGAATGAAGCAAAGACCTTATCTAGTCCTGCCCTTTTTCTTGGAAATTAGAGCCAATAATGAACGGGAAAAAAAATAATCTAGTTGTATAAATTACAAAGATCTACATATTATACACAAAGATATCTACTTATATTTGCTTGTATCAAAGCTGAATATCAAAACAAGCTGAATGGATGGTACTATTTCAAAACAAGAGGTATAGTTCTTTTATTTCTCAAACTATTGGACCAAAACTTTGAAAATCAAAGAGGTGTTTTAGTTTTTTTTATCAAAACGAGAGCAGAACAAATGTGCCGTCGTGTCTCTGTGCTTGCAGGGTTTAAAGCTCCAAAACATCAAACTTCAACAGGCATGTATTGAAAAAAAGCTCCAAAGTTTCTTCGCCCATTGTTAGAAATATAGTTATGTCTTTTTATAGACGGCTAAAGTATCAGGTTTTAGAGGGGATGAATGAAACACTAGTACTTCAATAGAAAAAAAAAGTAGAGCAGAGAATTGTCAAACTTCAGGAAAGAATATCTGAACAAACTTGGATCAATTCAAACCACTAATACCCCTTTATACCAAACAAAGCAATCACTCTCAACAGAAATCAATACCTACGCTGAATCATTATCTCATCTTTTCCTCCATGCAGCCCTTAATCAATGAGCTTTTATCAGTAAATTACCTTTTGCTTGGCGGAGGAATCGCCTCAAATTCCGAAGCAGTGGTTAGCGGTGACTAATGCAGGCATGTCCTACCAGACATCTGGTGTGTCAATAAAGTCAGAGTCCAGACAGAGGAAATGAGACTGCAGGACTGATCTTGAGAGATAAACTAGCAGATATAAAAACATTGAACTTTTTGGGTGCAATCTGTATCAGCAAAATGTAGACACTGTCTCGAATGTATGTTGTGTTTTTCCGTCCTTTATTTCAATTTATAACTTTGATATTTGACAGTAAGTTTTGTTTGCACCTTATAGCATTGCTTTTTATTTTGTTTGAGGTATTCTTTTCTATTCTTTTGCCTTTTTTATTTGAAGAGGTAAATAAACCATCATTGATTAGAGGGACTGGGCATGTTTGGGTTATGCTGTTCATCCTGGAGGTACTGTTAGCCGATTAGGCAACTCTGTTCTGATCGGTGACCTGTAAGCTTGAGAAATGTGGTATAAAACATCATCCAAATAAATGTGATTGTTTGATATTTCTCTCCACAGCCTGTTCAGCCCCAGTACTACTACGGGCCCAATTTTGGCTACATAGTGGCCTTCAAGCCACAAGGAGGGAACGAGTGGATGAAAGTGACAGTAGCGGACCCCCAAGCCAAACACTACGTCCACAAAGACCCCAACATCCCTCCATCAACGGAGTATCAAGTCAAAGTCAAAGCATTCAACAGCGAAGGAGAGGGACCCTTCAGTCTAACAGCTGCTATTTATTCAGCGCAGGATGGTGAGCACCAAATCGTACAGATGTACAGCTCTCAGCGCTGAAGAGTAAAGGGAAAATGAGCCAAAGCGATCTTGAAACGATGCCAGAGATCAGCTTGTTTCTGTTTTCTCATTGTCACACTAAAATGAGGAACTCTTCGATATGCCATCACTCCGCTATTTCAATCTGTCAGTGTCAGCTACTTATCACTAGTCTGCTTTTCAATGGAGTAGGATCTATTTAATAGGAGTTCTCATGTATAGTTGTGTGGAATTTTAATACCCCTTGAAAGTGAGCCTCCATCTCTCTCTCTCTCTCTCTTTCCTGCGGGGGGATTATCATGATCTCTGTAGCATGAACCAGAAAGCTGATAATTCACCCAAGGATGCAAAGCATTTAGCCTAGTTATTAACTTCCACTGACAGACAGTTGAGATAACCACTGGCAATCCAGACATGATGGGTTATGGAGATGCCCCGTTGCCATGGTAACCGGTTTTTGGGGGAACACATGCCGTTTGATTGTCTGCGATTTTACAGCTAAGCCTGCGAAGTGCTCTGACTAAAAGGGGCGTGGCTGTTTGTATTTTTGTGCACGCAGGTCGAGCGGGGTTGTTTTTTCGCCTGTGTTTCAGCGTTCAGCACAGCGACAGTGTGTGATAGGTTGCTGGTCCACGGCCCAGTGTGACAATTTAACACTGGAGGACAGTTTCCTGGCAGGGACAGTGTACACACAGTCAATAAGTGGCTCATAAGTCACGGAGGGTGTCTGCAAGCCCAGTGAGGGAATGTGGGCCAGAAGAGATTTCTGCCACCTCATTTGTTTGAAACTGTGATTCATTCATGTTACCGAAATGATGTTGCTGCTGCACCACTTAGAAAAAGGAGCATCAGTAAAGCTAACAGACACAGACAGGAAAAGCTGTCTGCTGTTTATGGTCAGAGTAATGGATCCATTAGCGAAGGTGTGGCTCGCTGTAAACCTAAACAGATTCATTTGTTGAAAATGTGTCATCAGAGTCTGGTGTGTGCAAAAGAAAAACTACTTCTGATAGACGTGTCGTTGTTTCTCTGTCTTATAGCTGTTTTCTTTTACTGCTCTTTCTGCCCTTTTTTCCAGCTCCATCTGAAGCTCCTGCTGGAGTCGATGGCAAAGCTCTCTCTGCTACAGAAGCCATTGTTAGGTGGCGTCATCTCCCACAGAGCAATATAGATGGATACCAGGTGAGTGGACACTGTGGCCAAGTGGGAAAGAAATGATGTTCTTAGCCACAGGTCATCTGGCAGTGATGTTTTTGGCATGTTTAACCTAAGGCTGTCAAAAATTCTGATGTTTTAAAGACCCACTCCGATGAAAATCATGTTTTTCTTGTTGTCTACATGTTCATATGGCATCTTTCTGATGCTAGAGGACATAGTATGAGAAAACTAAAGTGCGAAATTACATTTCTGAGTATTTCTGCAGTTAAATAGCTGTGAATCTCTGGCAGACCCAAACGGCAGGCTCAGATTCTTGAAAATGACACAGGTAACATGATTTTGGCTAAAAACTTCAACAACTTAAAGACAACTGATAACATTTTAAGTAGTACAAAGTGACCAGAGTGGGACTTTAAGACTTTCAGACATTTGATTGTATCGAAAATGACAAAAAGATAAATAGATCAACACTCCGGTTTTCAATGAGAAGCTGCTAAGAACAAATGAGAGTAAGAGAGCGAGCAGTTGTGGTTGATTGTTCAAATTCAGGTGTTGTGATGACTGTAGATGAACCTGTTGTTGTTAAAAATGACACTTAGATCATGCCTGCCATGAAAGTAAACACATTGATGTGTACAATCAGAATCAGGTTGTTTGTTTCTGTCAATGAAAAAAAAAATCATGATTATTAATCTTTCCTGTTTTGTATGCTGTGGGTCAATTTCAGACCACCCCTCCTTTCTTAAGTCAGCCTTCTCATCTGTGTTCTTGTGTGTTTTCAGGTCAAATACTGGAGGAATCAGGAAGAAAGTGAGGGGGGCGCCCAGAGGGTGGTGGTATCCAGCATGGACAACCACACCAGGTTGGATGGGATGAAGGCTGACTCCTCCTATCTTATAGAGGTCCGGGGTTACAACTCAGCAGGATATGGCCCACCCAGTGAACGCCTTCAAATACAAACTAAGAAACCCCGTATGTTTGGCTTTATTTTTAGTTATTTCTCACAATCTGCATCCATCTTCCAAGGCTATGGTTAATAACTTTTTTGTGTGTCTTTACCAGCTCCAAGCCAAGCCCCAAGAATACTTGGTAAAAAGAACAAGGGCACAAAAATAAACATTGCCTGGGAGCATGTGGAACCACTGCCTAATGAGGCCCCCATAGATGGTTACAAAGTGAGTACGGCTCTGCTTTACTTCTTACTGTTACAAATCCCCCTGAAGGACCAGTATTGTATTTTGTCCTCTTAATGTGTATAGGTGCTGTGCAGCGAGGAGGGACAGTCACAAGCCATCCTGTACACCACCACTAAACGGTATATAGACCTTCCTCTTAAGCCAGACAAGAACTATGTTGTGGAAGTGCGGGCGTACACTGAGGGAGGAGACGGGGCTGTGGCGAAGATCAGCATCAATGGAACCCAAGGATACAGAAGTAAGAAGACATGGTCTAGGTCTTAAGTAGATTAGGACGATTTTTCAAAACAGCTGGATAAGAAACAAAAATTAAAAAAAAACTTTTTTGAGCATCGACCAAATGATCCAAATCTTGAAGGACAGACGAGCATCTCAAGTATCACTAGTTATAAGACTGTCAAAAACAGAAAGTTAGTCACCTACAGCTACCTCACCTACTCTCTTCCAGCAGCCGTTTGTTTGTAGGCAGAGCTCGGACGAGTCCATCACCGACTGCAGTGGGGTGACGCAGCTCAAGGAAGAACATTTATGATAATTTCTTCATGGAAATGCAATCAGACCGAGACGCTAAGGCAGAAGAACTACCACGTTTACAGTGCAAAATGAATAGTATGATGATTATTACGTCAAGGAAATTATGTGCGCATGGAGACGTAGACCGCCGTGTATTGCTATGGTGCGGTCATTACTAAAGTTGGTATAACTAGAGAAGCACGCAGTCGGCAACATTCATCTCTCGAAGGGGTGTTTAACTCGGTGTTATGGTGTGTTTGACCCGAACTTAATTTTACACTGGAATATCCCTTTAAATTTGGTTGTCTGTTAAATGACAGCTGAAATTTAGCTACGAGAAATGTATTGTGTATTTGCATTTTGCCTAACTCACTTAAACATAAATGAAAAGAAAGCAAAATAGCAAAATAAAGGAGCCGCTCAGGTATCTAGTCAGATATGAAATCCATAGTGCTGAGGTAATAGACTGTGACTGTTCATTTCCATCCTTTGTTAGTTAGATTACAGCAGGTTCAGAGTTTGTAGTAGGTTATCATTTGTCACAGCTGAGGGTCCCTCTGAGCAGAGCTGTCACATCAGGTTTCATACCTTCCGCCGCAGAGATGAGAAACTTTACGGTTCGTGACTAAAGCTCCGAGGGCCCGCTGGCTCCATCCCCTCGCTGGCTGATGGACTGACAGGTCGGCTGGCTGAGTGGAGGAGTCCTTAATCCTCTGTAATTGATCTTGATGAGTTGAGGAAACCCCTTCTGCGGTTCTCCTTATCCCTTATCATTCAGTCCAGGCCCACCTGACAGCTTGATTTCACAGAGCCGGGGATTTAAACCGTAGGGGATTTCAAATGCAGGGCGGTGACAAATGGAGGGCCATTTGAGGCGATCTCCACATAGATGGGGTATAATATCACACTTCCCCCCAATATGGTCTCCAGTTTGATGGATGAGAGCTGGACAGTGTGAGTCTTTGCAGCAGATTTGACTGTCATGTTTGTTATTTTTAAGGCTAGTTTGACGTATCTGTTCTTCTCGTCTCTCTCAGGTGGAGGTGTCATGGCCGCCCTGTCTCTTAGTATACTTCCCCTGCTCCTGGTGGCTGTCCTCTGGCTGAACCTCTGAATGTAGCGCCATCTTTGCCTTCACTCGCAGTGAAGGGGACTTTTAATGGTTGACGCCTATGAGGACTTTGGGACTCTTTCCACAAACTTCTGGTACCGCCCATAAACCCAGGACGTCATATTCCAACTCCTTCCCCTCGTCTGGAATATGTTTGTGGAAATGGAAAAAAAAAATTGGAAATGGACAAAGACATCCCTTATTTATCCACGAAAAGCCTCTCTGGAGGAGTGTCAAAGGAGTTCTGTCAACTTTTTAAATATGCCTTATATAAATGACTGCACTTATCTGTCACAGAACCTTGTTTGAAAATGGATCCTGACTGAAAGTGTGAGTAGCACACTTTGAAGAGGCTTGAGTCGAGTCTTTCTTATCACGAAGCCGACGTTTCTTCTCACTCTGTTTGGAAATGTGGGCTTTGTTTGATCCTTGATATTTCAGTGCATTCCATAGTACAAAGTGAACAAGCAGCCGTGAAGGATAAGTGTACTCGTTTATAAAAATGTCTTTATGTCTTTCTTTACCTGCAGTTCAGTGGCATTTTCTTCTCTTTTCATTTTTTAAAATGAAGCACACTCTTTGTTACAGAGATACAGTCAAAGCAAATCTCGACCTCAATTTTATTAACAAACATAGACGAGTGATAAGCGATTTTTGCCACGCTGAAAGACTATAACCAATAACTGATATGTTTTTTTTTTTATCTCAAATACTATCGGTGTTGTTCTGAGAACATTTTTAGATCTGCAATCAACGCTTATTTCCAAATCCTGACATGTGCTCTATTAATAGAAAACCATCCCCAGAGACGTGAGCATGTTGACATTGTTACAAGGAAGAAACATTCGAGATGGTTCAAAGAGGTGAGGCACATTGATCCGCGTTTGCAGAGCTGAATGTAGAGGGAGTGAACAGAACATATCAATGTGTTTCAGATGCAAAACTGCAGAAAAACAATGCCCAACGGTGACAGTGATTTAAGCGATCATGTCGAGGTGTAGAAGGCGTACGAAGAGGGAAGACTAAATTAAATCCAGAAGACTAACTTTTGTTTTGACTGTATCCTTAGGACCTCTGTGGTACCAGCTGGTGCTTTGTAAAGAATGTTGGCATTTTGTTTCATGTAAACATTTTTTTCCTTCCTGGCTTTGTGTGAGAGTCTCTATTAACAGTCTCAGTGGACAGTAGCGACGCTCATGCCCTCCAATAATCGTGCAATGTTTGACTCATCTGTTGCTACTTCATATTTTCTAATAAGACAACTTGCCTAGCTCCTTTAACAGTGATCTAGTCTGTTTTGTTTTGACATTTTTCTGCTACAAACAGAAGCATAAACAAAGCCATCCATGTCTGCAGGGAGAGTTTTATTCTTAAGCTCTGCTGCGCTGTTTTTTGTCTTTTTATTAACATGTATTCAGAGATATATAAACATTTTCAGCTGTTGTTGTTTTTTCTTCATGACTATTATATTTGTATGTCATGTCCCACCTCTAGCTGGACAGTTTGAAGTTGATTTCCCTCGTATGGAGGAACAAATGCTGTGTTTTTATCTCCTCCCATTTATTTCTCATATGATGATGCTGGCCATGCTTCTACATTGTGACTATATCAACATCCACCACAAAGTGCTTTTCCCCCGTTTTCCTTCATGCGACAAATCATTAAAAAAAGAAAGGGTTGCCAAATGCATGAATGCCTTGAACTTTGACATTTTGGACAAAGCAGCAGCTCTACATTTTAACATGCATGACATTGGAGATGAAACGGTACATTCTTTTGCAACAAATCAACATCATAGCGACTTCTCTCAGCTTCATATGAAATACATTCCATTCCTGAGTGACATCCCTTTACGTCAGAGTCAGTAGATGTGAGCCTAATATGTGCATTAGCTGCTAAGCGTCATTAAGCCAGTCATCTCATGTGAAGCCTGGAGAGATGATGATTTGTTTGGAGGGAAAATCTTACACTGACTAAAGGAATCTCACTCACAGAAGTTCAGAAAAGGTCCTGCAGTCTCGCACACTCGATGGTTTTGGATTTGATAGCATCACTGGTGGCAGTGGCGGCATGTTTGGCTGTTAGCTGGAGTTTGGCTCTACGCCGGACTTGAACGGCACTTGAGGGATGAAACTGGAAACTTATTGGCTGGAAAAGGAACAATAAAAGTGTAGTTAACTATTGAAGTATTCTTGTGTTTTCTGTTGTTTTAATGCCACTTTTCTTACACAATAGTCTTGGATGGGAAAACGACACTGTGAGCTGACTGTAAGCATGAGTGTTGGTACAGATTTGAACGTTATCTGTTATTATCAGAACTGCTCGAACCTGCATTTTTGTTCTTATTTGTTACGACATGTTTCTTGTCTTTAATTCTTAATCCATAGTTGCTCTCCTACACTCACCGGCCACTTTATTAGGTATACCTGTCCAACTGCTTGTTAACACTTAATTTCTAATGAGCCAATCACATTGCGGCAACTTAGTGCATTTAGGCATGTAGACATGGTCAAGACAATCTCCTGCAGTTCAAACCGAGCATCAGTATGGGGAAGAAAGGTGAGTTGAGTGACTTTGAACGTGGCATGGTTGTTGGTGCCAGAAGGGCTGGTCTGAGTATTTCAGAAACTGCTGATCTACTGGGATTTTCACGCACAACCATCTCTGGGGTTTACAGAGAATGGTCCGAAAAAGAAAAAATATCCAGTGAGCGGCAGTTCTGTGGGCGGAAATGCCTTGTTGATGCCAGAGGTCAGAGGAGAATGGCCAGACTGGTTCGAGCTGATGGAAAGGCAACAGTGACTCAAATAACCACCCGTTACAACCAAGGTAGGCAGAAGAGCATCTCTGAACGCACAGTACGTCGAACTTTGAGGCAGATGGGCTACAGCAGCAGAAGACCACACCGGGTGCCACTCCTTTCAGCTAAGAACAGGAAACTGAGGCTACAATTTGCACAAGCTCATCGAAATTGGACAATAGAAGATTGGAAAAACGTTGCCTGGTCTGATGAGTCTCGATTTCTGCTGCGACATTCGGATGGTAGGGTCAGAATTTGGCGTCAACAACATGAAAGCATGGATCCATCCTGCCTTGTATCAACGGTTCAGGCTGGTGGTGGTGGTGTCATGGTGTGGGGAATATTTTCTTGGCACTCTTTGGGCCCCTTGGTACCAATTGAGCATCGTTGCAACGCCACAGCCTACCTGAGTATTGTTGCTGACCATGTCCATCCCTTTATGACCACAATGTACCCAACTTCTGATGGCTACTTTCAGCAGGATAATGCGCCATGTCATAAAGCTGGAATCATCTCAGACTGGTTTCTTGAACATGACAATGAGTTCACTGTACTCAAATGGCCTCCACAGTCACCAGATCTCAATCCAATAGAGCATCTTTGGGATGTGGTGGAACGGGAGATTCGCATCATGAATGTGCAGCCGACAAATCTGCGGCAACTGTGTGATGCCATCATGTCAATATGGACCAAGCTCTCTGAGGAATGCTTCCAGCACCTTGTTGAATCTATGCCACGAAGAATTGAGGCAGTTCTGAAGGCAAAAGGGGGTCCAACCCGTTACTAGCATGGTGTACCTAATAAAGTGGCCGGTGAGTGTATAGCCCTGTTTTAAATTTCTACACCACTTTGGTTTGCTGTGGTGGTTTCAAATGAGCTCTAAGACTTAAAGGTGGGGTAGGCAGGATCCGAGGAGGTGCCAGTTTTTGGGAGAAATCTTGAATGTAAACTCTACCCCTCCCAACCAGTTTCCCCTGCAGCTCCTCCTCTCCCTCTCTTCTCTGCTCCAGCAAGCCCCGCCCACAAACAGACACTCTGTATCGTTTCAATTAAATTCAGATATTATGCAGATAAATACTTCAGAGAATTACAAATGGGGCCCAGTCAATGTGAAAGTAAACAGCATTGGTGCTACTGTAGATGCCCACAGACTACCAGCAAACACAATGTTTTCAGGACTTCTACAACTAGGATAAAGTGACATAGTCCAGGACCCGAGGTCAACAGTTTAGCGGCACTACAACACACAGCAGGTCCCCTTTGACAAGAAACACTTTGTTTACCTGTCCAGCAGAAAAGTTACAGGGTCTGTAAGATCCCGAAGCGTCTCCCAAATGCTTCACTGATGTTGACCCGGCTTTTTAGCTCTTGTCCGGTCTACCTCCATTGTAAGCGTCTGCTATTCCGTCAGAGTCTCTGATATTTACTTCGTTTTCTTGCTTGTGTTGGCAGTCGTGGCTGAAGGAGGATTCAGACAGTTACCTGTACTTTTGATTAGTTTCTACTGTCCGATATTGTAGCACGCTAACTTTTTTTGGGCTTGTGAATGACACGAGGGAGCAGCGTCTGCCTCACAACCAATCAGGATGTGGGAGGCGGAGCATAGCTTTGTTTACACTCAGGAAGAACAGGCCGCTCAAATAATTTAAAATGTTGACTATACAGACATAAAAAAACACAGCGATATCATTATATCACCAAATGTCATCAATAACTAATAGCTATTGACTGATTTTGAAAGCTTCTTTGTATATACAACACAAAATAAATACTTCTTTAACGGAGTCCTGCCTACCCCACCTTTAACTTTGACTTGAGCTTCAAGTATGTGTTTAATTTTCCCTTCTCTTAAAACGTCTCTGTCTCTAAATAGCCGTTTCTTACCAGCAGCAGATCTATCAGTGACAGCGTTTTAATCTGCCCTCTATCTCCGATAAGGCTGACTTTGTTGCTGTCTAGTTTTTAATGCACAAACAGCTGTTGGGCTTTTGTCTCCTATCAGGTATCCTGCAGATGAAAAGCAGATTGATATCACCTCTCTTCATGGATTAGGTCAGACCGAATAAATCAGATTCTAGATTTTCCTTCTAAAGCTTAGAGATAGTTTTCCATGTTTCATTTGGGGGCCTTGACCCTAAGAAGAAAGTGGCTCAGAGGGAGAACAAAGAGGGGGATACTTTTTTCCCCTCTGTGACTTATCTGTAGAAGCATACGGCCTGTGCGACAGGTCTGATCCCAGGTCAGGTGACTCTGTAACATTTTAACTTAGACAACTCACACTCACTGTGACAGTTAATCTAACAACGTTTCATTTAAGATCATTCAGTAGAGTAATAAAATAGCCAGTATTTCATTTGCAGTGATTGACAGGAGGTAAAAACACTCCTCCTGACCCTCTTGTGCGTGTGTTTTCGCAGACAGGTGTGCAGTCCCTGGACAGATTGCACTATTGTCTTTGTAAACCTACACCTGCTCTCTGACAGCTCAGACAACACAAAACACAGTTGTAAGTGCTGCACAGCAGACTAGACGCAGACCGCTTTGCTGGGAGAATTGAAACGTGACGCCCTGCTCTGAGTGCCTGCAATATGTCATGCTGTGTCAGGCACTGAACTCGGCCCGGACTCATGCAGGAAGGCTTTATTAGTGAACTTCTCTGTGCTGGTTTTGTATTACAGGCTGAGTTTTAGGCACTGGTGGACCATTATCCCCATGAGACGGGCCTCACTGACATGAAACCGCTACATAACCTGAACCAGAGGAAGACTAAAATAAATTTGGTTACAATTTCATTTAAATTTGATGTAATCTGATTTAAATGTACAGTTTCACATAGGTGTTATACACAGGGTGTGCAATCAATCACAAAATGTTGAAAGTTTTTCCATATCTTTAACGCCTGTCCTTGTGGTAAGATTAGATCCACACAGATTCACTATCACACAGCCGTAAAGTTTTATTTTTTATTCTTTTATTTGACAGGGACAGTAAATCAGGCATTGTTGCATATAATTAAAGAGAAACCAATGCTGTGTATGCAGGACTTCTAGCCGTGGCTAATTTGCAGTCCTTGTCCCTGGTTAAACGGCAGAAAATACAGCAGATAATACATAAACCACTCAATAAAAACTAACATTATAGCAGAAGCAGAAGAAGCCTAGAGGCAATCATATGTTTGCATAAAAACAAAAAAGCAGACAGAACAAGCAGTTTCTTCTATGCACAAAAATCCAGAGACTTAAATATACATATACATACATACACACACACGCACATAGATACATATGTACATTTTTTTCTGATATATTTCCTTTCTCCTGTTCTGTTGTTCCTACACATGCTCTGACTGATTAAATTATAGTAACTCAACAATAAAGGGGTAAGACTAGATAAGTTTTATCAACTTCATCCTACACCCTTTCAAACAAAGTATGATCTATGTTGCTACAGAGCTGTCTCTTTAATTGTTTTTCTGCCAAAGCACATTGTATATTGTATTTATTTTGTTTTTCTTTTAACCTGTTCGAATATATACATACACATAGACACACATACATGCCATAATATACATACATGTAAGTTAGTGATCACATATTTGTCTTTGTTTCAGCCATAGTTTTGTTTTGATATTGAAGGCTTTGGGGTTCTTTAATGTTTTTATTTCTGATGGTAATATATTCCAAATATAATATTGGACCTTTGACCGAGAAGGAAGACTGTCCAAAAGCTGTCCTGCGCTTTGCGGGTTTACAGTTTAACATGCTTTAAACCACTCAACAGTTTTAATATCATGATATTAAGAATTGATTTGAAAAACTTTAATCATTTTAACACAGTTAAGAGAAGAAAAATAATGTGTGGACTCATACAACTCTTACTCAGCCTCAGAGCTGGCCCAAGGCATAAGCGAACTAAGCGCCTGCTTTGGGCCCCGCAGACAGTAGGGGGCCCCCAAGAGCAATCAGAAAAGAAAAAAAATATTTTTTTGCATGTATGAGTGATGCTTTCTGTGTGATCATATATATTTATTCTTGAAATAAAATAAAGTAAAAACATTTGAGTGCTGGTTCTGATGTAGGCCTATGATTCTTACTGCTCCGCTACCGTTATGTGCCTCCTGCTGTGCAATGTGCACTGAGATTAAAAACCATATGTGGCACCCTGAACATCATTCATCAGTTATTCATTGGTATTATTTGTATGTTTGCATTGGTACTATTTATGTTATTACCTAGACCACCCCCTTAAATGTGTAAAGACACGGTGCATTAAATTTATACTGTAGTCGGTGTGTGAATGATCAACAATCAATATCCTTGGCAAAAATAGACGGCCCCCTAAATTAAATTTTGCTTAGGGCCCCATTGAGGCTTGGGTCTGCTCTGCTCAGCCTTTACCATTCAAGCTGAAGGTTTTTTTGGGGTGTGTGAGAACAGGAGCGCCCTCTACTGGTTGGATTGAGAACAAATTTCGTGTTCACTCCACCTACTCGGCTGGAAACTACTCTAGACCGAAAAGAAGTGCTAGATTCTGTAGTTTTAGGCATCTATTACTGAAATAAAGCGGTGTTTTTTGCGACTGGACATCCAAAGACTTCAGAGAAGACGGAGAAGAGGAGAATCAGCTGCGGGGTAAAGTTTTGTGCTCTCACGCAGATCGACACCTCATCTTTGAGTAGAAAGATTTTGGTGCAGCCCCTCGACTCAGCAGGAGCTGCGCAGACTGGGTCAAACTCTCACTCGCGTTCATGTGTTCGGACTTGTGAAAAAACTTTGACTTTAACTCACTTTACTGCGCAGGAAAGTCGCCTGCGTAAAAGTATGTGCGCCGACTGTCCAACTTTGAGCAAAGAGAAGGAGCCAAACTTACAGCCAGGCGAGATGGAGTCGCAAACAAAGCCGGAGCCGGGTAGCAGCAGCGGCGGCGGTGGTGGTGGCGGCGGCGGTGGTGGAGGAGTTTGTCAGGGTGGATGCGGGCTCCTGCTGTCCGGGGAAGAGCACTGCTGTGTGGACGCGCTGCGCTCGATCACCGATGCCCTGGAGGAAAGAAGCGTGATTCTGGAGCACAAAGCCCGAATGGCGAGATTGAGGTGGAACCGGAGGGAGCAGTACCTTTTAGCCCAGGTGTCAACTCTGCAGAATGAGGCCCAGCTTGCTGCTCTCCAGTACCAGAGGAGACTCCACCAGTACATGCTGCGGATCAACAGCATAGCGGAGCAAGTCACCGGCTTCAATAAAGTGAGGGATACATTTTTTTTCCACACAAGTGCATGCCCTAAAAAGTCTGACTAATAATCCTTTTAGAAAGTTAACACACTTATGTTCTTGTTTTAGAATCAGGGAGACTTGATTACAACTTGTGACAAGCAGAACCAGGTTGAAGCAACATGTCCAGAAGGAGAGCCACTCAAATCACCTGAAGTAAGAAATCCACTCACATTTTTTCCACAGCTTTTATCTCTCCCCCTTTTTTTTAAAACCCCACTGCTGGAACTTCTGGCATTCATGGCTCATTCATAAAAGCTTCAGACTTGGTGGTTGAAAATGCCCAGAGGCAGCAATGTTACTACAAACCAGGAGACACTTCCCCATGCTGTTGATATAAGGATTTGTTTGAGTGTTGTAAAGAACAGCTTCACACCACAGCTTCTGTTTTTCTTCCTCCAACTATGTTTCGCCTGCTGCCTCAGCTCAGGATTAACTAGACAACTCTTGGTGTAAATGTTGACTTTAGGATCCCAGTGTGTACTGTGTGGTGTTTGCAGTCTGTATGAAAAGACAGTTTAGAGCTTGAGCTATCCTCATACTCTGATGTTTGTCATTTGATATCATGAGTTTTCTTTTATTGATCCAAGAACTTGTGCTGTAAATGACAGTAAACATTATAGACATTAGGCTACATATGGTTAGTTGTGTTTACCAGCCTTCGATTCGTCTGTACAGTGACTAAGCTTGAACACCGTGGAGTGATCTTTTCATGTCCTGATATTTCATTGTCTTTTCTTCATTCTCTATTACTTCTAAAGTGGTCTTTGTTCTTCTTTGAGTCTCAGCTGATCTGATGTCAGGGGTCTGGTTAGTGTCCAGCCTTTTTTTTTTTTTTTTTTGGAAAGTTTTGGGTCAGAGTGACTTATCATATTTCACCTAGAATCACTGCATCCAGCTGTAGTCAAGGGAATACAAGGGATTATATTTTGGAGAAGGTCCATGTAAAGTCAGGACCTCTAGATCGACACTTTGCTCGAGAATTGAAAATGACACAATAGATAAAACAGTCCCTTTTGAATTTAGGAACTTGGACTAAATATGAATCATTGTCTGTTTGCTTCTTGGCTTTAGCATAATCTAGGTCTAATGGGATAAACTATTTGGACACATTTCTAACTGTTCCCAGAGCCTTTGTTGTTGCCGGGAACAGTTTATTAAACCTCTCCGTGTGGCTGCCAAATCTAGCTCATGTTTGGGTAAGCTCACAGGGTAGCCTCAAAGTTTTTTTGTCCTGAACCCTCCAGGAGGAGACTCAGTGTTGTGTTTGGGCTGCCTTCGAGGGTGGATGGGTTTAATGGTGGCAACGGTCACATAAAGTATCTCTCTAATTGCCTGCAGCATGCTGTGAGTGAAACAGACTCACTTTTGATTAATGTGGAAAACTGTTCAGTCTCCTCTGCCAGAGCTGGGCAGCAGTTCAGCGTCTATTTTCAGCTCTCTTTTCTCCTTGTCTCCTCTCTAATGGGTGTTTAATAGTTTTCTCACTCTGTTTTCTTCTTTGATTTCCAAATGTTTTTTTCCCCAATTCTTTAGAGAGCTGTGAGGCAATTCATCAAACAAAGTTTTAAAGTTGAGTGGAAATCAGCTTTGTTGGAAATATGCTTTCCGTCTGTAATTTGCAGTCAAGTTGTTGGACTACTTAACATCCCAGCTGCAGTGATAATCTTAATATCTAAGGCCTGACTGACTCTTTGATCCGCTTTTACAGTTATGCTAATGCTAGAACTGTAAAGCTTTATGTACTAGCATGACACATCTTGTGTTAAAATGGAGAAGTTATTTTTTAAACAGAGTTACCTGCTTTAAGAAAAGGTTGAATGAAACTCTCTTTGTAGCTTACACTTTCAGCTATCGTAAGGTTTCAGGTCTAGCAAGTCAGTAAAGATATTCCATTAAGATAAGATATTTCTTTATTAGTCCCACAGGGGAAAATTCCAATATGTTACCTGTCGTTACCTGAAACTGTTAACTCATTTTGGACCAACTTTAAATACTAACCTGCTCTTATGTGAAAAGACAAAGAGTCCAACTACATGTGCCAGCAACTTCATGAATGATAAACATGTCTGACATGGCATATAAATAGCTGTTACCATACACAGCTTTGGTGGCTATATTCTCATCACAACTTCTTCTGATGTTACTCACTACAGAAGCCAGATTTATGCCCTTTTTTTCCAGTTACAGAGCAACAGTGTTAGTTAACATTATCCAGGATTACCAGAAGTGGATCCTGTCTTTGCATGACCTTTCACTCAACAGTGCAATGTTGCTACTTTAGCACAAAAATATAACTTTGGGACTAAACTTGTTTTTTACTGCAAAATAAAAGCAGATTGATTCACTAACTGTTATCGTATTAGTCCATATCACTAACGCCACAGCCATGTTAAAGGGATATTCCAGTGTAAAATAAATTTAGGGTCAAACACACCGCAACGCCGAGTTGGTAACGACCACAGGATAGCAATATACAGCGGTCTGAGGAGCCATAAACAAACCTCAACCGAAACGCCACTATACAGCCACAAATAATGCTCAGAACAGCACCTAACTTCATCAACAGTATATATAGGGTCCTAGCCACCAAACTTTTTTTTTTTTAACTTTGCCTAATTTCTTTAGCAAAGAGACTAAACACAACTCACCCACTCTCTTCCAACAGCCGCTTGTTTGTAGCGAGACCTAAGGCCAAATTCATTAAACATACAGTACATTGTTGAATTGTGAAGTTAATTGTATTTTCAAATACTACTGTAGTAGTTAGGTAGCTACTGCCAACTATTTTTAATCGCAAGTTAGTTTAATTGTATCAAGATGCTTTTCTCTCTAAATTGCCACAAAACCATTAAAATGTTACTTGTTTATTTATTGTCTAGTTAGCTGTTGTTGACCTGATGATAGCTTACTTCAGCTTAGGGCTGGGAGATAAAATGACAATGATATATCAAGAATTATTTTCCCCATATTGATATGAAACATCGTCAATATGCTTTTCGAATAGTCAGTGAAAAGGGGAGTTGCCTCGGGTCTGCGCCGAGCAGAACCGACGTTCAGTCCCCTTTCTCTAGCGCAACGCCTTACGGCAAAACGTCGAAGAGACACAAAGATCTCACAGATGCAGTAGCTTATTGTATTGCAAAAGACATGCTACCAATAAACAGTGTTGAATTTCATGTAAGAGTAACAGGGAACATTTAAGATTGACAAGTGATTTTTTATATCGTGATATATAGTGATCGACTGATATGAAAAAAATATATCATGATAAACTTTTTCCTGTATCGCCCAGCCCTACCTCAGCTAAAGAATGAAGTTAACATTTGTTGTCATCTGCTTGAGGCCAAAATGATTTAGTGTTAACATAGAAAATATCAAACGGAGTGAGTTTGCTTCTGCTTAGTGCAAACAGCCGACTTCTAAGCTGGTGGACTTAAAACATTAGCTACACTTTGTGCGATTGTGAAACATTTTTTTTTGACAGAGGATATTTTATTCTTTTACAGTGACATTTTTTGCAGCGGCATAAGTAAAGAAGCCCTTGTGACTCAAGAAGCTAAGTAGACCCAAAGAAATCTGTACATTGTGGTCAATGGCTAAATGAGCTTACTGAGAGCCTGATTGTACTGTGAGTTGAGAAATACAGATAAAAGGGAAGCAGGAACTTACTGTGAGACAGCTGGTAGACTGCTGTTCAGACTTTGTCTTACTGCAGTTCATGACATATTTTTCCTGGTACCTCAGAGATGTACCGATCTAGATCCGGCTGATTGTCTTCTCAATGGGTGACAGTGAATGCAGTAGGTGGCCGTGCTGGCTCTGCCGCGTTGAAAAGGAATAATAGAAGCAGGACACAGCGTTGAAACACTAAATGGATTAGTCAGCATTGCAAAAACACAACGTCATCCTAATTTGACCATGTAATTTGCTCGTATGTTTGTTTAAAACCAGATGGATACACACTTGAAACCACAGCTGAGGTAAAAGAGTCCCAATCCTCCTCTTGTCTGTGGCCAAGACTCCCAAATACACACTTAAACCTGGAGTCAGCTAAAAGTTTGGGAGCTCAGGAGATGTTATTATGTAGTTCACAATGAAAGGCCCTCTTCATCAATTTTCTAACCAAAGCTGTTGAAGGTTTCTATTTTTTTGACCCAGACTTTTCTTTTGATATTTAAGCAAAAGGCAGATGCCAGAAATGTGGAAGCTTTTTACTGTTCAGGGATAGATTGAAGCACTTTTTGTCCGGATAAAGAGAAAGAAAGGGGAAGAGTAATGGGAGGAAAAACTAGTATACAGCTGGAGTATCGGTGTCATCAAAATCCAATCTTGCGTGACAGGCGGGGACGAAAGCAGGTCGGTTTGTTTGCTTCCATGACAAAAAGATGATAAGGAAAGATTGCTTCACGTCAAGAGGAAGTATGAATTTGTGATCTCTGCTTTTATGTCATTTGATTTGATTTTTCCCGTCCAGACTGCACCTCAAATAAAATGCTAAAATATCTTTTTCTCTTTGAAGTCACGGGGTGTCGGCCTGTTTGAAGGAAGGAGAAATCCAATTTTACTACCTGGGAAATACGGAAAAAAAATGTGTTTATATGTGGCTGCAAACAAAGGCAGACATCAAATGGTCACATCAACGTGGAACACAGTTGTACACATCTTTTTACTGCCTGTCTAGACCGTTTTATAGTCTCTTTGTGCTCCAATTCCCCGAAGCACTTTGTTTAAAATGGAGGAGAAAGCTTACATCCAGAGAAAATGGCATAAAGTTATTGGTTTACAGCTTTCTATCTGCTTCCCTCAAGGCTTACAGATTAGAAAAAAGAGATTGGTTGATATGAGGAATTCCTCTTCGGCTTGTGCATGTCAGGATGTAAATATTAGGTTGTGATTTTCTGTGTGTTAGCTCTTCGGAGGTGTTTTCTGTACCTGTTCTGCTCTGTTTGAAACGTCATTTATACAGCAGCTGTTTATCCATGGCCTGTGTGAGAGAGAGGGACCGCCCAGCTCACTATTTCCTATTTCCTCTCCAAATTGACACACTCACACACCCCAAACTGCTTCAACAAACTCCATCCAGCATTAATTTAGATCCATCATTACAGATACATTTGATTTGGATAAGTGGATAATTATTTAATGCCTCCTTTTGCTGCATTTACAATTCTTGTTTAATGTCTCATTCATGCTTATCTCCATGCATATTTATAGGAATTTCATTGGCTGAAAGAATTTGCAATATAGTTGGTTTGGCATGCGAGATGTTTTTCCAAAGCTCTTGGCAAGTGCCTCAGTTTTTTACAAGGCAGATATTGAGATAAAGATATTCCAGATTCTGAGGTTGTGGACTCGGACCAGCAGAGAGCCGTGGCTGGGGAGTAAATCATGTACAGTAGTGTGTGTACACTGTTTGCGTGCGTCTTGAATGTATTTGCTTTAGCAGCACAGGTCTGATGTTTTAGGCAGGTGGTGTGAAAAAGAAAACTGTCCACTAAAGACCACCACGCTCGTAAAGCCGAGCACTCTGGGTAAATTTGTCCCTACCTGCTGAAAGGCCTCTTTTTTAAATGTCCACAGTATTTTGGTTGGTTGGTCTGAGGGTCTTTTGAAAGTAAATCAGAGCGATCTGAACTCAGATGAACTGTTTGATTTTAAAACTTTGATGGTGAATTATGTTTGTAATTAATAAACACAGAATCTGCAGTCTTGAAAAACAGTCTTGTAGTTTATGCTGCTAAAGAAAAAAACGTTTTATACGTTCGTTTTTGCAAATCAAGTGGAAAAAAACTGTAAATCACCAAAGTGTATTTCATCCACCGACATATATATAAAACATGGATAAAGTCTCAGTGATGTCACCTATTTGGTTTTTATCGAGATGTTTTCGTTAACTCAGAATGAGCCTCTTATATCCTCATAAGTCGAGGGTCCCCTTCCGTGGAGGCCAACATATTGCACAGCCATGTTTGTACAGTAGCAGAATAAACAGAGTAGTAACAGCCAACAAATTTGTACTGAGTGAGAGGCCACATGAAATGCAGGGGCTGGAAAACGAAGAAGACACAGAGTGGCTGTTAATGCGTACGAAAGGATTTGTATTAGTAGAAGTTTTAGTAGTTTTTGACGGTAAAAACATGCAACTCCTTGTTCTTGCCACTGTCGCTTCTGGAGCTTCACTATCAAAGCGGGTGAGCAAGGGAGCATTTCACAAGAGAAAGTGGCTCCTTGATAAATGTAAATAATCGCATTTCTATATATTTTACTTATGGTCAGCCTAAACACTGACGAAACAGTGGAGCTGAGTTCAGCTTTTAAACATACCTTGATTTATACCTTATAGAATAAATCAATAAAAAAGGAGCTGCACACCCTTTAATCTATGATGATGCCTATTTCTGCTGTGCAAAGCCCTTTCTAACATGAGCTCTGGTTGGGATTTCTTGGCTTTTGGAGCAGACCTCAAGTGGACACTCAAGGAACTGCAGTTTTTGTTCGTATTTACACTGTAATACAGATACGAACAAGTGCAAAAATATTGATCAACACCACACTTTGCACTTTGATTACAACTAAAAATAACAAACAAACAAACAAAAAGAAAAAACAGAAAAGTTGGTTCATGTGTTTTTACATCCCATTTCATCTTTAAATAAATCACTTCAGCACCTATGTCAAGTTTGATTTATTTTGATTCTGAAGGGAATTTAATTGTCCTTGTAAATTGTATATATATACATGTGTGTATATATACACATATATATAGTATGACGGTATTTAACTTCATGGCTGCGCTCCTCTGTAGGTTTGCTACAATATGGTTGTAGTCTTGACTTTCTTTCCAGTTGGTGCGGTCTGTTATGTATCTGTCGACACTTTCTGCTTTCTTTTTTTTTTAGCAACAAGGTCTGAGCATATGTTCATGTACTGCAGCTGAGTCCTGATACTGCTGTTCTGCAGGAAGCACTCGGTGACTGTAGTGATTTATCATTTCAGTCACCCAGGAGGAGAATGCCTGGCTTTATTCTCACCTGAACACCTATAGCTCGCTGGCCTCTGAGCGTCAAGTTCAGGATTCAACAGCCAACATCTGGAAAAGAGTGTTAAGGGTGAAAGAGGCTGTAAACTATGTGGCTGATTTGAAACTGATGAACTTTCCAGGTCACTTCCAGGTGTGTGTTTTTTCAAAGTATCTCATTATGTGCCTTGTTCTGCTTGTTTTTACTCTGGTTTTACCCTCTACCCCTCTAGCTGATCTCACAGAAAGCACCAATTTAAACCTAAATTCTCGTGCAACTGAACCCTAATCTCTCCCTCGGTGTGATGAGAAAATCGCTTGCTGTAATGTTGATTCACCAACTAAATATCTGTGGTTTGATCTAAACTCAGTCGCCCCCTCTGTTCCCATCTTTACTAGCACTGGGGGGTTCGGTTAGTCAGAAACCTGATCTCTTTTGAACCTACACGGATCAGCTGGTTTCTTCAGCTCTTGATAAACATGTGGCTTCACCTACAGCTGTTGCAGAGAGATTACTGTGAAAGCCTTTGGTCAGCATGCACCAACACATTCACAACCAGCTGCATGTGTACATAAATACACACACAACAGTGCATACTCTATCATCAGTCCCCTCCTCACAGCTTGTAATGAAGGTGTAGTTAAACTTTCATAGAGGGACTAAATCAGTGCTTCATGTTTTTCCTCTCTGCTCTTGAGACGCTACATTAAAAACAAACATGCTTGTAGGAGAAACTAGAAACCACTGAATGGGCTTAAATCACTCCCAAAAACCAGTGTTTGTGAACACACATCCAGAAATACAGGTTAAAACTGCCCCATGCAGTGAGGAGAACCATATAGACATGATCCAGAAATGCTGAAGGCCCATTTAAGAAATAAAGGTGAAGAGGAAAACTGTCATATGATCTGATTGATTAAAATTGGACATCCTTATTGGAAATAATGGCAGCTGTGTGCTCTGTTCCAATGTTATGAGTGCACAATTAAAAAAAACCACAGGGATGCGTAAGTGCAGATGACATAGCTTACACATCTGGGAAAGCACCATTAATGCTGAAGGATAAATACGGGTTTGGAACAACTTATTCTCCCGACCAGATAATGTCTTTTTCAGGGAAGACCTTTCATATTTTACTAAGACAACGCCAAACCACATACTGCTTGTATAACAGTAACAGTTTTTTCAGTTTCATCATTTGATGTAGTCTTTGTACTATTTTTAATCAAAATGCTGAACCATTATAGTCTTACTTTTTTCTTACTTTTTTCTTACCTTAAAGTGCAAACATCACACCTCATTCAATATAGGGATACAGAAAGTACGAGACTCCTAGTTTAGATGAAAGTACTGTACTGATTATTATGTTGCCTCGTCAATAGACATGGTTTAAAAATTTCTTGATTCGATTAAAAATTTAAGGGAACGGAAAATCTGAATCTACTGTATATGGGCGCAAAATCAAATAGTTTTATATTATATTAGTTTTGTGTGTTTTGATGATTATATTTCATAATCTGAAAAGTGACTACTTCTAATTGAAGGTGCCAGCAAAATATGAAGTGGAGTAAAAAGTACTTTTCCAGAAGTTGTTGTAGTGGTGACTCACCTCTTTGTGAAGCTTTACTTGAGGAAATATACTTCAAACGGCTTTACAGCAGAAGTCAGCTCTGATCTGTCCAGACGTTTATTACGAGTTAAGCCTTAAACCATAAAAACCCGAGGTCTCACACTGTTGAGTCCATTCCTGATAATCTGCAGTTTAAAATGCCTCTACATGTGGATCATGTTGGGCTTCACATTCTGACCTTTTTTCGGAGCAGACCGTGACATTACCTTTGACCTTTCAACATCATCAAAGCAGCATGTCTGCACACTGTATTTACTGCACAGTCATCTGCAAACTGAATTAAGGCTTCCTCTGCTTTTGTTGACAGCAGGATTAGCGCTTAATTACATCTGGGCACTCGCTGCTGTGTAGTCGGAGAAATAACTGTACAGTGGGAGAGCAGTGCTGTACATTAGGGAGGTGTTGAGGAGAAGGATAAGCTTGTGTAATACGCCAGGTGCGTCCAGGGTATTAGCCAACACTGGCACGGCACTGTGCGCCTGCCAAGACAGGGGATCAAAACAAGCTCACCCCTTTGAATCCTCACTCTTATTTCATCTTAAGGCCAACACTCCCCTGTGCAGGGTATTGCTGAGTGGAAGAAAACAGTATGACATTTGGGCTCGTCTGAAAAGGCACAAACAAAGGCACAGTACGCCTCAGACATGCAAATCCAGGTTACTGAGAAATCAGGTTTTTTCATCAGACAGATTTCTTTTATGGTATTTCGCCATGTGATGGGCTTGGTTTCCTTTGTCTGGGTTGTGAGATATCCATCTTGGAGATTGAAGATCTGCCTTGCCGGGGAAGGAATTTGGTTCTTGGCAACGGCAAAGAGAGTTAAATTAGAAGCTCACAGCCCTCCTCGTGGAAAGCGTACACAAACACCCAACATAATTTAGTAACAAGGAAAATAGTTGAGCCACGCTAGCAGGACTGGGAAACTTTTCCAAGCCTTGCTTGAACGTTAGAAATCACTTTCATGGACACAGAGATCAAGTTAATGAGAAAATGTTAAAGTAGTTTAATTTTAACCATCTTAATTTTTTTAGTTTTAGATGAAAAGACTATAAATGCTGACAAATGATGAAAATGAGGCTGAATTGCAATTAATCCTGTGTGGGACATAAAGGTTAGTATAAGCGATGATTTTTGAAGTATTTGAAATCACATATGTACGGTGGCCCTGAGGTGCAAAATACAACAGCAAAAGAGAAAACACAATGGCAAAAAAGAAAATGTAGGTAGGTGTTTTCTCTTTTTGTGTTGTGTTCTCTAATTTGCTGCTGTATTTTCTCTTTTTGTGTTACTTAATTTGCTGTTGTGTTTTGCACCTCAGGGCCACCGTACATGTGATTTCAAATACTTCAAATATGTGAGCCTGGTGTTGGAGCTAACTGAAGTCATCTACAAATAATATAAGGCTTTCCCCTTCTGGCTCCATGTTAGTCTAAAACTCTATAACAGTCGTTGTGTTGTTGTTGTTGTTGAGATCAGCTGACATTGTTTCATCTCTTTAAGGTCTAAAACTTTACATCAGGGGTTAATTGAGTTAGACTGAAGCGTTCCACTCCTGTCTAAAGTGAAATCTCTGAACTCTCGTTTATTGCATCGTTGCATCTGTCCGTCTCTTCTCCACAAACTTTTAGTTGGGCAACCGAAAACAACATTCACACTGCTCCCTAACTTATTTAGATCTTTAAAAATACCACCTCATGAATGATAATAAGGTGGAATTTTTAAATAAGAAGTACTTTCTCCATCAGACAGAAACCTCTTTGTGCAGCAGATCTGCAGTTTCTCGTGTCTAGTGAATGAGTGGGTTTCTTTTCTCCAGTTTGTCTGGTGTTGCGTGACCTCTTAGCAGGGAGTTAGCGACAGGCTTAGTGTGTTCTTTGAGCAGCTAGATAGAGCAGCCTAATTTCATTCCAATCATTGCCTTCATGTTATTCCTCGAATTGAGAGGAGAAGCTCTGACGGATGTGTTTTTAATTAGCTTAATGGTCTCGCAGACAAATTGAGTATGATTATTCATTGTTATGGCTGTTGTTATACAGAGCGAGCTGAGTTTTAATCATAATAGTTTCAGCATCTTGAAAGCAAAGTAATCGTCTCAAGTACACTTAATATAATTGTGTGCGTTTTTTTTTTTTTTCTTTTTTCAGAAATGCAGATAATTGAAATCTTAAGTACTGTGCAGCCATTTCATCGCCTCTGACTACATGATTTCCTGTTTTATAGTCAGAGATAATCATGTGGGCTCATTGATAGCACTGTTAACGGAGAGCAGAGATATTAATGTAGTCTCTATAAGAAGAAAACAAACAGAGCACTTAAAGAAGTCCTTAATCTCAGTTAAGTGTTGACCGTTGTATCTTTGAACATCAGCATTAACCTCCTGATGGGATCTAAGGGCTTGACACTAACTTTTTTCAAAAGGAGCACATGTGCTTCTAAGTTGAAAAAGTAAGAAACACACAAAGAACTTCAGGGGCACAATGAACATTGATCAAATAATGTGTATCTTAATGTCCTTAGTACTATTATTTGAAATCAATTTTATGTCAGTTGGTCACGTGACATGGAAGCTATTAAAGAAAATGTCCAAAATTTCCCTTTAAATTTTAACAAAAAATTTCTAAAGGACGAATTAGGGAAAAAAAGGGGCGTGTCTATTGTCTGATCTCAGTCCTATTATTTGAAATTTATTTTAGGTCAGTTGGTTACATAACATGGAAGCTATTGAAGGAAAACAGCCTTTTTGAGAACAACCAGTAATTTATTGATGGTCCCTTATTCAGTACCTGACGTTGGAGAGTTAGAAGACACCGGTAGATATGCAGTGAATGTCCATCGGATATCCAACCTAAAACTAACTTTACTGAGGTATTTACATGAAAAAACATTTGCTGCCTCAGCTAGTTTTTTTTATGTGCACCTGTGCCTCTAAATACATTTTACAGTTCACACACATCTATTTTTAGTCACAAATGCGAGTGAAATGGTTGCACTGTTGAGCCCTGGATCTGTATGATGCTTTTGAAAGCTCTGGAGTGTGGACTAGGGCTGGGTGATAAACTGAAATTTTACCTATACCAAAATTTACGACAGTAACCGATGTCGTATTGCCTGTTTCGGTGTAAAAAAAATAAATTTAGTTTTGGATGTGTGTAGGTAGGCTATGGTCTCATGTCCCTTTAAGACTCTGTCCTACGTCAGAGACGTGACTCCACCCCATCCAGTCCATAACAAAGAGGGAAAGACAGGTGAGGAGATGGATGACGGCTCAAAAGTCGTAGTGGCTGGAGCAGCTGCTGAAGTAGACGAAGTTGATATGGGAGGGGGAGTTATTGTCCATTTATTGTTATCGTTAGGTGAACTGCTCAATATATCATGATATTGATTTAAGGCCATATTGCCCAGCTCTCGAGTGGACCATATTCTTTAAAATGTGATTTTAACACTTTGAAAGTTCGTTACGTTGAACCTCGAGGCTTGTACATTGTACTTTGTAGTCATGTGAGATCTGGTGGGAGTCATTTTTCTAACAGATTTCTCTAATTTTATATTCACAGTGCTGCCTGCAGGTAAAGTTAAATATTTTAATTCTTTCTATTAGTATGCTGATACGAGATCCAGAGGAAGATCAGCTCCAGCTTCACGCTCCGTGTTTATTGCATTCTTTTCTGCAAAACTATGCAATGCCAATTTTTCCATCCATGTTTGTTTTTCTTTAAAGCTGTTTTCTCTTTCCTTACCTTTTGTGAAGGCATTCCTTCATTACTTATCACCTAACCCTTTGCAGATGTGGCTGAGATAAGTAGGATGAGAGCTTTAACAGGAATGTGACGCGTCTCTGCATACTTGTGCGCTGAGAAAGAGAGAGCCCACCAGTTAAAAAAACTAACACTCACCAGGGTGGCTATCCAAAAAATACAGATGTTTGTTTTTTTTTTCCAAGTGAGAAGGTTCTCTGAAGTACATAATCAGTTTTCAGAGTGGAAACACAAGCATGGGTTTTTAACTCGATGTCATGATGGCTGAGTTAAATTGGGTTTCTTGTAGAGGCTTCTGAAAATGTTTGAACCAAAAGAGTATTTTCACAGATCTCACGTCTGCTCATCGTTAAAGAGAGCACATAATAGTGCCGCAGCCTCTACGGGTGAGTATCATTTAGAGTTTGCTGTGCATTTCCACAGGGCAGTGCACGTGGGTTGTGTGTGTCTCTGCTTCATTTCCTGCTAATTGATCTCCGCCATGCAGAGCAGGAGGCTGATAGAGATCTGCACATGTGTGTTTGTGTCTCTGCCTCCAAGAGAGAGACGGATTTCTGTTGGGCCACAGTGCAGCTGGTGTTGAGTCAGCATGTTGAGGTCACAGCGCTGGTGTTGGTAGCAGACCTCCATCTGGTCGTGCCAACAGAGAGCAACGCCAATCTCTCACAACATCTGATTATATCGCACAACCCAGATTGGATTTGGCTTGGATGCAGCCTACCCACATTCAGGACAAACTGTTTTTGCACATCATGTGTTTCCCATTATGTGAAGTTGTTTTGCAGAGTGCAGCAAGTGCAGTGGTGGGTATTCCTCCAGTGCACTGACTTGAGATCAGTGTTCAGTCGCTAGAGTCTAACCTGAGCTGGATGCATGTTGGAGTGTAACAGCTGTATCTCACCAGCAGATGGCAGAAAGTGCACATGTGTCGTCTAGTATTTCTAACAGGCTGCAGATGTTACCAGTTGGTTGTTATCAAATGAATCAGGATAGGCAGAAATAGATTGTTTCATTAAAACTATAAGATATGATTTTGTGCTCAAACTCTAGCTCTGTGGTCTTGAGTACTGTTTTTTTTTTTATTCCCTTAAAAGTAATAAAGGGGTTGAATTTGATTGATATCCGGCCAAACAAAAGGGTGACTTGTGAGATTTGCACAGCTGACTCTTAATTTTATAATTTCTCTTGACACAACATGTTCAAATCAAGGTCCGTTGTTCACCCCTTTGTCTCGAGAGTTTTGACAGTGTCACCGTTGTTTCTGATTAAGACCCATGGAGCACTTACAAGCTTCAGAACAAGCACTTCACCAGACCTTGAGTTTAGACAGTTTGATCTAATCCTGATTTTAAAGGTGAAGAAGAAACTGTCAAGTCTAACCACTCAAAGAAAACTTTTTGCATATTAAGAATTCCCTTTGCACTTCAGTCTTTTCATCTTGTGAAGATGATTTTTGGAGGATTGTTGCTTTTATTAGATAGGAAACATGAGAAAAGAGTGACAGAGGTGACATGCAGTAATCCTTCTGCAGGCACTTTGACAAGGACCGTAGCCCCTTCAAATTGGGCGCCTGCTCTACAAACTATGGGAAATGTAAATGTTAGATATATTTATTTTTTTTAACTCAATTTCTGCCCTTTCAAATGTAAATGTACAGTCTGTTTTATGGACACCCAGATGTATGCATGACTTTAATATTGGCGATACACAATATACTTGGGGCTAATATGTCATGCAGTCTGATAGGGAGATATCCTGTTGTTAGTTATTTTTCCTATAGTGAAATTTTAACTGGTAAAAACAACTGATAAAAGTTAATTTCATGTACTTATTAACACATTTTAAAGAATAGGTGGTGGTATGCAATCTGCCATAAATGCAGACAAAAAGAACAACAAGGGCAAAAGTGTGTCGATGTTTTTGACAGTTTTGTTGGAGGATAAGATTGCTACTTGCAAATAATGTTGCCAAAAAGTCCTCAAGTTTTGTCCTGTAAGGCCCCAAACATGTATTAAAAGATCACGCAGCAGCTTCAGCCGCAGCTAGCATTAGCACTCATAAACCAACGAGTGTCACAGTGCACTAAAATCTGCAGAAACTTAACCGAAGTTAACCAAAATATAAACCAATTCATGAGACAGTCTATGAGTTCACAGCACTGAATAAGCGCTACTTAGCGTCTGCCCTGTATGATATGACCTCTACACATTCACTGTCTGATCCACAACAGCATCAGTGAGACAGGTTTTAACACAGACAAATGGTCCCTCACGTTTGTCGAGTATGTGTGCTCAGTTTGAAGGTTCAGTAACTAGGATGCATACACAGGAGTGCCCAGTTTCCAGATAGGTAGGTAGGAAGAAAGTAGGTAATGCATCCCTGCATTATATGTCTTTTTTAGATGTTGTTTCTGTAAAGCTATCATAGATTTAAATAGGGCTGGGCATTATGGCCTCAAATCAATATAAAAAATTTATTGAGCAGTTCACCTCAATAATGATAAATGGATGATAACTACTCCCACATTACCTTCGTTCAACTTTTAAACCGTCCTCCATCTCCTCACCTGTCTTTCTGTCTTTGTTACGGACCGGA